ACTTTGCTTTGTTGACTACTAATCCAGCATCATCCAGTTTCTTTAATATCATATCCACATGTTTCTTGTGTAATGCCACATCATTTCCTTTTGTAAAAATTAAGATATCGTCAATGTATAATAAGCATATTACATCGATGTAATCTTTAAGAATAACATTTAACATTTTCTGAAACTGAGCTCCACTGTTTCGTAATCCAAAAGGAATTACTTTCCATTTAAATTGCCCGTATCTGGTATTGATAGTTGTTTTTTCTGAGTCGGACTCTGTCAGACGTTGTTGATGGAAGCCACTTTGAAGATCCAATGTCGTGAAGAAATTGCTACCGTGTAACATCGATAGACATTCATCAATCCGAGGGATGGGAATACGATGACTGATACTTAGTTTGTTCACTAATCTAAAATCACATACCATTCTTAGCTTTTTATCATCTGCTCGTTTCACAAAAAGAACTGGCGATCCATAGGGAGATGATGTTGGTTCTATCAATCCTTGCTTCAATAATGTATCTAATTGTCGGCGAAGTTCTTGTAGTTCTACTGGGCTCATCCGGTAAGGAGGCCTAGATTCGGGCACTGTACCTGGTTTGAAAACGATCATATCTTCCACCGTGCTTCTTAATGGAGGTAAACTGTCAATAACTCCCTTGAAAACACTTGGATACTTAACTGAAAATTCTTTGCACCATTCTTGATCTGTTGTCAATACTGTAGGGTCTAGGTTTAAGTTCATTGCTGATTTATCATCAACGAGCACAGCTAAATCATCAGTTGTAGAAATTGCCGAAATGTCAATTAAGTAGCATTCTTCAACGTTTTTCTTTTTAAATAGATTGTCGAGTTGTTTAGCCGAAATCAAAAAATCAAGCTCAGCGGGCTCAAAAACTGGTACTGTTGTATCTCCTTTGAAATCATTGCCCCTTATTTCTTTCGACTCCAGTTCTATGCTATGGGTATTTTTGGCAGATAATTGAAGTAATTGAACAGGTAAAGGATGAATTATAGTTAGTTTTTCAGGATCGTTACGAACTTTTATAGTCCATGTCCCATTAAACCAATCAGGTATCGGCTGTACTTGAGCTAACCATGCTCTACCTAAGATAACGTCAAATTTTGTATCAAATACATATGCTTGAATACGGTCAGTGTAACTATTTAAAGAAATAGAAAATTCCGCTATAGATTCGATGAATGTTTGCTGTCCATTGGCTGTTTCTACAGATTGTCCATTCTGAGTACGAATTGTTTTGGAAACAAAAGGCAGCATGTTAGAGTGTACATAGTTTGCGCTTGCTCCGGAATCAATCAATACCTTACAAGGGTGACCATTGATTAATATACGATACAGAGGTAATTTGTATTGAATATTATTGGCATTTATTAAAAACTCTACATCCTTTTTGATTGTTTGTGAATCCACTGATAATGGCTCAACAAAAGATGATGAAGATGGCATCAAACTATATAACACAGAAGACGGGGTTGTATAAGATGATGATAATTTGGATTGAGTTTTATTTGACTGATCATTTGATTTACTAGAATGATTATTAGGACCAGCGGCTACTGGTTTATGCTGTGGCTGATAATCATATTCCTCATAGCTATCGTCATAATCCGATTCCATATAATAAGAGTCATGTTGTTGCTGAGTTGGACAGTTAAACTGTAAATGCCCAAACTGACCACAGCTCCAACAATCACGAGTTTCTGTTGATGAAGAATAGTTATCAGAATTACCGTTATATCCTCCTCGTGCGACTCCATAAAAACCACCACGACCTCTAAAGCCTCCACGACCACGCATGCCACCACGGTTACCACGAAAGGTACTGCTACCTCCCCGAGAGTGGCTGCCACGACTGCCTCGAGAACTGTTACCACGATAAGTTCCTCTACCTCTAGATCTATTATCATGTGAATTACGAACGTAATTCAGAACATCACGTAACACAGAAAGATCCATTGGGTCATCAATATAATCGGTACTACTGGTATTATTATTTCCATTTGATGTATTAAATTGAAAGTTGGTATTTTCCATGCGAGATGATTCAAAAGTTTGAGCTGCTTGTATAGCTTCATTAAGAGACGGGGGGCGTTCATTTCTGTATAAGCTACGAATCTGAGCACGTACGTCCTTACTTTTTAGACCTCGTGTAAATTTATCGACTGCTTCGTCATCCGTCATTCTTGGAATACCTAATCTTATAGTTAGGAATTCTTTGATATAGTCTGCAATAGTTGTCTTTTGTACGAGCGAGTGTAATTGTTCACGAAGTTGTATGACCGTATTGGTTGGACGAAACTGATTAATAATATATTGCTTCAGACTGGTCCAAGTAGTAGGCGCATTAGTATCCGAGTCATTAAGGTTGCGTAACCATATTGCAGCCATATCGATAAGTAGTGTTTTTGCGAATCGGTATGTCTTTTGATCATCCCATCCTCGAAATTCCTTGTAATCATCGACTGATGAAATCCAATTGTCAATTTTAAATCTATCCCTGTCGCCATTGTATTTAAAAGGCTTAGAGTAGAAATCTTGTTCGTCTTCTCGATCATGATTGTTTGTTTCAAGTGCTCGGGCAATGCCACTTTGGATTGCATCAGCTATTATTTTTCCAATAGCAGTATCGGTATTATTGTCTGCCATATTGATTTCGTCTTGTTGTTGAGATAATGTTGTGTCTTCTGTAATGTTTGATGCTGTCCCTGTAAATTCTTCTATATATTTTTCGACTAGACGGGTTGTAATTTTGTTCCAGTGTGCTTCTCTTGCTGCAGTTGATGGTATTCTTACAGGATTATCGGTTGCTGAAGTTTCTCGTAACGCTTTGTATAGTGTATGGTATTGAACAGGTAAATTAAACTGAACACGTTCTTCTATTTCAAATTTTCTTTGGTAATCGGTATACTTCTCCATAAACTAATAGTTCTGTCTTATTTCACTTTAATCGTATGTGTTGATACGTAATTATAAAGTGTGTGAAAAAAAAAGAAAACTGGTGCTACCAGATGTCGGGTCTGATCTTAAGTTGTGTAAGATATATATAAAAGTAGAGTAGTAGATAAAAGATGATCTTTATTGTTTTGTAGAATTATGAAATATATATTAATATGGTTTGTACTCCGACAGGATTTTATTTTTTTTTTATTTTTTTTGCATTTCTTGGAAAAGATGTTTTGCATCAGACATGATAGAGAAGAAGGGGAATTTATCGTATACACTTTTTTTTTGGATTTTAGAACTCTTGTATTTTTTTTTTTTCTTTCCGGCTAATTCAAAAGAAGAGAGGTAGAAAATGCAATCTTACAGAAAAAGAAAAAAATTGATTTCAAGACTTTTATTCATAGTACTGATAATCTTTCATTCTTAGATAATATGTATACAGTATGTATGCTTTAATTTTGGTGTATCGTTTAAAGTTTAGAGTTATAACTACATGTTGATAATTAGTATATCGTTATCTACTAAACTCACTCCTTTGTAATCAGAGGGATGGGGGGCTGTGTTTGTTGGATGTATCACTAATGTATTTTTAAAAAAGTCTAGTGGACTAAAGAAACGGGAGGGCGTTTTTTTTTTTTTTGTGTTTTATCCGTTAAGACGTTTTGCCATCAAAAGACAGAAACGTGACATCAATTCTGGCAGTTCCATTATCATGGCTATTATTCATGTGCTTTGTCCTCATATACAAATAATGCTGCAACAAAAAGGTAGTCGGGGCACTGCTTTTCTTTTTAAAAGGTTATAGGTTGCGGCGTTGGGAGAGAATGAGGAGGAGGGGGTGGGGCAATAAAAGCCTGCTGACAGGACTATTATTAAGGGAATTCTATACTAGCTATTATTTACGTTCATAACAGTTGTTACACGCTACTTTTTATCACATGAAAAGATCCCCCATTTATATGTAAAACAGATGCATTGGTTATAAAACATTGAAGTGGCAAATTGCGCTGGGGGAAAGGGGGCTAAATCTATTTTGGCTTTTGGGTATAAATATAATATTAATTACGCTTTGCAAGGTGTTATAATACAATAGATTGATATCATTTTTTCTGTAATGCAACTTGGTGATACAATTTTTTTGTTAATGAAACAACTGTCTGTGCGATATTTATGATTATCTTTCGTAAATGACGGAAGAAAGTTTTATAATGTGTACTTGATCAATGTTTTTTCTTTTAAAAGTTATAAACTTGACAAGGGAGTGACATTCCATTTTTTTTTTTTTTTTTCAAAAAAAATTTAATAATTTGGTTTTAGGTTACAATCCTTGTGAATTTCTGACTGCATTGTACTTCAATTTGACGTATTTTGAGATACAATTGAGCAAATGCTATTACCGTAGTCATAGTGAACCTAAAATAATGTGCATTACACCAAAAATAATTCGCTTTTTTCTTATAGCTCTGACATCTCAAGATTTTAAATAACGTAGAAGATCAGAAATAAGATAACCCAAAAAAAAAAAAAAAACTTTATGGTTTCTGTTATCAGTCAAGCAAAACGTAATCAAAGAGAATATTGCATGTCTAGTGTTACGTTTCAATATATAAATTCAAATCCCAACATGAATGCATGACACATTATTTTATGCCTGGGGAGGCGAGTTCATGTAAAAAAAAACTTTTTTTTTATCCAAGCAATAATAAGTAGGTTTCATCGCGATAAAAGAAAAGCATGCATAATGTATCTCTTGTATATATGATTGGTTCAGGTTCGAGTTAAAAAAGCTCGTTATCTTGACGATTCATCCCATACTGAAAGTGAGAGTCCTGTACCTGTAAACAATTCGGGATGCATTATTTATCTTGTCCTCAGGACAAAAGTGTACAGATCTGAGCGTTTAGATGACGTACGTATATAAAAAGTTAATTGGTCTTTAATGTTAACTGTTAATAAGGGGGTGGGAGGGAAAAGGGGGGGGTAGGTATTATAATTAAATATGGGAAGAGATGGTACTCTGACCAGCTCATTTGATTTATCAGATGTCTCTTCCGATAACCCCATTGGTTGGAAAAATACCAAATTATTGTTCAATTCCCGCTTTTAGATTCTCACACAAAAAAGGCTTTGATATTTAAATATCTTTTTTATTATTCTTCTTTTTTATTTTATTTCTTACCTTTTTATTAACATATTATGACAAGTACAGATAATAGCCACTTCAAGCTGAAGAACCCAACAGAGTATCATTTACTGGCATCATCTCAAACAATAGCCGAGCCGCAGCACTTTTTACAGGACGATTTTTCAGACTGTTTTACAACACAAGGCCATTTTTTATCACCGTCGCCAACGCTTCATGATTTCGAGGACACGGAATCCTTTGTGAATGGATCGTCTATTGGTAATATGATGATTCATCAAGCACAGCCATTTTTTGGTGCCAATCAAGAGTCACCTTCTGATTATAGCTCTTCTACCGATTTTCTTTCTCACCCACAACCTTCTTCCTTTTTGATGGACTTTCATCAACAACCGTTTTCTGCTCCTGCTCATATGGGTTATAGTAATCCTCTATTGTCTTCTTCTTCAAGTCATATTAATATGGCGGCTTATCACCAACCGCCTGAGCCACGTAGTCTGGAAGAGTACGAATCTATTCAAATAAAGTAAGTTGTTGTTATGATTATGAAACGTTTTAAGAAAAAAAAAAAATTAATTAAATTGCATTAGCCACCAACTGATTTCAGAAAAAAAGCGCCGCAGAAGAGAATCTCATAACGCAGGTATGTAGATGGCATGTTTTTTGATGGTTTATAAGTGAACTGACAACAAAACTTCTTTTTTTAATATATATAGTGGAGAGAAGAAGGAGGGAAAATATTAATGATCGCATACAAGAATTAGGCACGATGTTGCCTGAAATCATGCTTGAAGAACTAGCTAGTAGTGTAAATATAAATGGCGGCAACAACAATAAACCTAATAAGGGAGCCATTTTAAGAAAATCAGTAGATCACATCCGTATTCTACAACAAGAAGTGACCAATCATAAATTGCGTATATATGAATTGGAAAGACAACTGGCTAGTTTCTCTTTATAAGAACAGAAATTCATTACTATCATATATCCCCCCCCCCCCAACAACCCCCTTTTCCTCTATTCTTTTTTTTTTTCTTCCCACTGTACATATTTACTAAATAAAGTTATTTTAACTCTTCTTGGCGACTTTTTTTTACTGTGAAGAAACTCTTGGATGATTTTTCAATACACCTCCCCCACTCTTTCTCTCTCGGCATCTTTTTATAACTCATAACTTCTCGGGCTGTTTTGCATAAAACAACAATTATCATCGTTAACCCGCACTTTTTTTTTCTTTAAATAATCAGATGACTTTTCATCTTTTTTTATTCAAATATTTTAGCACAGCATATCACATCCATCTGTACATTTCACAAAGAGGTCATTTGTGAGAGATGTAAAAAAAAAAAAATTCTATTGTTCCAATATCGTACGACCCGAAACTTTCTTTTTTCTCAAAATGCTTTTGCATGAATTGAAAAGAGCCCTATTTGTTTTTCATGTATAAAAGAGATGGAGTAACCTTTCACAAGAAACGTTTCTCACAAGTTAAGGCATTTAAAATGTGTGTGTTTATCAATATTTTTTTTTTTAAAAAAAAAAAAAAAATTAAGGCACGATAATAGAATGACATAACCTGCATGTATTACTAAGCAGTTCCTGATTGTTTTTTTTAAAAGTGAGACCTTTCAGTAACGTAGTACGTTATTTTTAAAAGGCCAAAAAAAGAGTCATCTATTTTTGGCCTTGTGATTATACAAAAAACACTGAGGCATCTTTTTTAATAAACGCGGATAAAATAGGCTCCCCTTTTCACCTGCTCCTCAAGAAAATAAGATGGATGTATATCTAGCGTCCCTTATCCTTTTAACTGACCATTATTAAACATGCGGGGTGTCTGAAACGTTTTGGATACCTTGCCTGTATGATTTCGGCTGCACCACAGACACATCACGTGGACCATGCTGCTTGGGGACAGGAGGAGTGCTCAATGTCAATTTCGTGTTCCCTTTCTCTATTAATTTTTTTTTTTTTTTATTTATTTAAACATAAAAAAAAAAGAGATGGTGTCTAATTCTTTTGTCAAACGGTTTCGAAAGTTAGATGCGTATGCAAAGACCTTGGATGATTTTCGCGTACGAACAGCCACGGGTGGAACTGGTAAACAGATGAATATATTTTTCAATGTAGCAACGCAATCGTTTATTTAAACTCATGGGCATTTAGTTACCATGATTAGTGGATTCACCATTGCTGCCTTGATCTTGTTTGAAGTGGTTCGATACTTGACACCTGTGATGCAGTCCGAGATTATGGTTGATGGTGGTATTCAGGTAATCATACTTAAAACAGTATACTTGCGTATACTAAAACTCGTTACTTTATAGGAAAAACTGCCTATTGCCCTGGATATTACGTTCCCTCATATTCCTTGTTACAGTAAGGCAACAGCAAAAAAAGAAAAAAAAGAGAGTGCAGGTATTGACATGGAGTTATAGTTCTTAGTTTAGATGTAATGGATGAAAGTGGAGAACATGTTGGAGATTATGACCACGATGTTTATAAGGAAAGACTTGACTCAAGCGGAAGAGCTATTGTCAAAGCTAAATCAGAAGGTAATTCCCAATAAGCAGCAGGAACGACAAGAAAAAAAAAAAAAGTTAATTTTTTTTTATAATTGGACTCTATGAATAGATTTGAGTAACAAGGCAGCAAAATTGGCATTAAAGCATCAAGGGGAAATGCCAAGTGAGTACTGTGGATCATGTTACGGTGCCCATTTTAAGGACGAAGAGAATTCATGTTGTAATACGTGTGAGGATGTTCAACGTGCGTACACAGATCAAGGATGGGTCCCCGATACGGATACATTTGAACAATGTATTAGAGAGGGATGGAAGGAAAAGACCAAGCTTCAATCAAGAGAAGGCTGTAGAATGCACGGTACCTTGTCTGTTAAAAAAGTGCGTGGTAATGTTCATTTCTCTGCTGGTAGAGCTTTTAGTCATGGCAGCTCTCATATTCATGATATGAGCTCATTTATCAATAACGGCGACGGACAAAACTTTATGCATACCATCAAACAATTGGAATTTGGATCTCATGAATATAACACACAAAAGCAAAAACGTACAAAAGCAAGTGATATCATCAATCCTTTGGATAATACCAATTGGGGAACCACACAGAGTAAGAACCATTTTTATGATTATTTTCAACGGATGGAAGGGTGACTAACATTTAAATTTTGAGCAGCTGCTATGATGTATCAGTACTTCTTGAAGATTGTACCCACCGAGTTTGCATTTTTAAACGGTAAAGAAGTACGAACATTCCAATACTCTGTGAGTAAACAGGATCAGTTTATACGTCAGAACACCGGTGGACTCCCTGGTGTGTTCTTCATGCTTGATCATTCTCCTATGCGTATCATTTACTCTGAGACACGACCCACTTTTGGCAGTTTGCTGACTAGTATTTGTGCAATTATTGGTGGCATTTTTAGTGTTGCAAGTATTGTGGACAGTGTCCTTTACAGGGCAGATAAAATTACAGCCCAAAGAAAGGCCATGTAGGAGTAACCAATAAAAATATATATATATATTGTGTAACTCGTGTGAAAAATAGGCTGTTGTAACGAAATCACCCGCTCTTTCCGAGTGATCCATTATTTTTTTGTGTTTTTGTTTGTCCACTATTTACATTGATGCACAGACAATGACTGTTGCCTAAAAGTAAAACATCGTACGTGTTTATTTTTGTAACATAATTTGGGTGTGCATTAAAAAAAAAAAAAAAAAAGAGAGGGAAAAAAGAAGGCTGATTGAATTAAACTTTTTATTATAAAGTGGTCGGATAAAAACGTCATGAGGTTTTTTTGTGACATGTGAGAGTGGCCTTACATTTTTCAATCGTGGCATGGTGCTTCGTCTTTAAAAAAAAAAAAAAAAAAGATATATATATATGCTGCGTTATTTCTTTTCTTGGTTCTGGTTTCTTTTTTTGTTTACCTTTTTACCGAAATAATTTTCTGCCCTACTTTAATATGTCTGTAACCAAAGTTCACGCTCGCCAGATTTTTGATTCCCGTGGAAACCCAACTGTTGAAGTAGAGATCACTACTGCCAAGGGCATTTTCCGTGCTGATGTTCCTTCTGGAGCATCCACTGGTATTCATGAAGCTCTTGAACTTCGTGATCTTATCAAGACTGATTATCTTGGCAAAGGTAAAAAAAAAATTAAATTATCACCAGAGCACTTTTATGAGGAATTTAGTCATCCAACATTAATTATAGGTGTCCTCAAGGCCGTCGAAAACGTTACTCAAATTATTGGTCCTGCTCTTATCGCTTCAGGACTCAATGTCGTCGACCAAAAAGCCATTGACAACTTCCTTTTAGAACTCGATGGAACAGCCAACAAGAGCAAGCTTGGAGCCAACGCTATTTTAGGTGTCTCTCTCGCTGTGGCTAAAGCTGGTGCTGTTGAGAAGGGAGTTCCCCTCTTTGTTCATTTCGCCGATTTGGCTGGCTCAAAGAAACCTTTTGTTATGCCCGTTCCTTCCTTTAATGTTATCAACGGTGGTTCCCACGCTGGTAACAAGTTGGCTATGCAAGAATTTATGATTATGCCCACAGGCGCTTCCTCCTTCTCTGAAGCCATGAAAATTGGTACTGAAGTCTATCATACCTTGAAGAGTGTTATCAAGGACAAATATGGTCAAGATGCTACCAACGTTGGTGATGAAGGTGGTTTTGCCCCCAACATTCAGGATAACCGTGAAGGTCTCGAATTGTTAGTGACCGCCATTGAAAAGGCGGGTTATACTGGCAAAGTCAAGATTGCCATGGATTGTGCTGCTAGTGAATTTTATGTTGATGGAAAATATGATTTGGACTTTAAGAATCCCAACTCCAACCCTGCTGATCGCATTACCGGTCAAGAACTCTCTGAACTTTATAAGTCTTTTGCTGATAATTATCCAGGTAAGCTCTTTCTTCTTTTTTTATATATATATATGGTTTAGACTGTGAGTTGTTAAAAACAAAAGAAATATATTAGTGGTTTCTATCGAAGATGCTTTTGATCAAGACGATTGGGAGAACTGGTCTCATCTTTTGGAAAACTCTGATTTCCAATTAGTTGGTGACGATTTGACTGTCACCAACCCCAAGCGTATCGTTACTGCTATCGAAAAGAAGGCATGTAACGCCCTTTTGCTCAAGGTCAACCAAATCGGTACTGTTACTGAATCGATTCAAGCTGCTTTAGATTCTCAAGCTGCTGGTTGGGGTGTGATGGTCAGCCATCGTTCCGGCGAGACAGAAGATTCCGTAAGTCTTTTTATAGTATAGAATGCCATAACAACCCGGGCTAACATTTTCTATTCTCTAGACAATTGCTGATCTTGTTGTAGGTCTTCGTACTGGTCAAATCAAGACTGGTGCTCCCTGCAGAAGTGAAAGATTAGCAAAGTTGAATCAATTGCTTCGTATCGAAGAGGAATTGGGAAGCAACGCTATCTATGCTGGTGAGAACTTCCGCAAGGCCCACGAATTATAATTTTCTGTCATATCTCTCTTTTTATGATATGCCTTTTAACACACACACACACACACACACACACACACACACACACATACACACACATACACACATACAAAAACACGCGCGCGTATATACACATCAAAAAAACATTACTCAAAAACAAAAGCACATCAAAAACATCATATAAGATGTGAAAAAAATTTACAAAAAAAAAAAAAAAAAAATTATATTTACTTCCTTATCCCCCATTTCACTCTTAAAAAAAGAGTCAAAAAAGTGATTGCTACTTTTGTAAATAATAAACTATATTGTCGGATCTGTATACATTTTACTATTTTCCCCACTTTTTTTTTTATAATTGAATGTGACATCAATGCGGAGGTAGAATGGCCATTTTGCTGCTTATTTATCGGAGTGTCTTTGACTTTGTTCTCGGAACACAACTACCCGGGATCTACCTCATTTACGCGACCCTTATTTTCTATTTGCATATGAAAGATGACGGGTAAAAGGTCTTCACTATATTCCACAACTATCACGTAAAGATCTATTTAGTTAGTAGCACGTCGAGTGATAGGTAATGTTATAGATTCTCGGTGATAAATTCAAAACCGGGTGTAATAGAAAAAAAATGATCCATCTCTATTGGCATGTGAATTCACATATTTTTTTTTAGAACTACTAAAATGAAGCACTATTTTTTAATATGTATTTCGTGCTACCATGGATTTTCTTACTTGTCAAAAGCAAAAGTCTTATTACTATAAGCGTGGGAATTACATTGCAAGTAGACGTCCCTCACCCCCCTCCCCTTTTTTTTTCTATAAAAAAACATTTCCTACCATAAAAACTTAGTTAATAAAGTAATTGTCAAGCAAAATTGTAAAGCCATCCAAACCCATGGTTTGTAGGCTAAAATCAACGTTCATTTGTACTCTGATGTGTCCTTGTTGGGTATAGGCATGCTTAAAGTGGATGTCAATTTATTCCCCATTCTTTCCAAGGAGAGATGAAAGTGCGGCCACTAGTAGGTGGATCGTTCTTGAGTATACGGAAGGGGGGGGGGAGTATGGAGAATTGCAGTGCATTATGATAAATTAACTCTATATTTACATGATGCCTCAAAACAACAAACAACCATGTTAGATATTTAACTAATGAAGATAGTTAGAATACAATCTATTTTATTTCTTTATCCACCGACATGGCATTGAGGAAGTACGTAAGCTATCTAAATGTACTGTTATCGACGTTACATATAAGACGAATTCACTCAAAAATGGTGTTTTCGAACTTTGTTGTTGCTGCAAGTGTTCGTAGGCTAGGATATACTCAACAAGGCTAATGTGAAATCACCTTTAAGAGTATCCTCTTGGTCAACACTGTACGTGCTTTAAGTGTGAATGAATGAGTATTAGAATTGCTATTGACCTATTACGGCTACAAGTAGTACTTGTCTTGCTGCACTTTTTTTTTTGTGCAGTAGAGACAACGCTGTTCTTTGAATAAGGAGCATTCATACTCTATAATTTATAACGGTAATCACAAAAAGGTCCCAACTTGGAAGAATTGCTCTTTAGAGAAAAGGTGAATTGCTGACAAGGTATTCCTTTTTACTTTTTACTTTTCAGACTGTTTTTAATGCTACAAGTAGGCAAGAGCAGTCACTGTCCTGGCCCAAAAGAATGCATCAATAAAAGCTGCGAAGGCTTTCCATGGACCAAATATAGTTCACATTAACTAGGGCATAAAAGGTCTATGGGTGTTGTTTAAAGTGCAGCGTTGATGTTGCTTGACATGTCTTCGGACATCAAGTCTTTTAGTTGTAGGAAGAATAGCACAAAAAAAAATCTGCTTCTCAGAACAAAGAAAGAATATGGACTTTATTATAAAAAAGATAAAACAATCATAGTAAACTACAAGTGCTCCTCCTAGTTGCCAGCTATAAACAGTTGGTTTAACAGGTCAGACCACGAGAAGGTGGAAGCACGATCCTGACCCAAAAATGCTGGGTAAGCCCCTCAAGTCATAAGCCAGCGATGCTGGGAGAACCTGATTTTAGTTCAACCCCCATGCTGCCTGCCCACAATACACAGCATGAGAATCAACAGGACCAAATACCCCTTTACACCATTTATGGGGATGGTGCTTTTTACACCGGCAGCTGAGTCGTAGCAGCCGCGCCTGGACGAGCCTTTGGCTTTAAGGCGAACATTCCGTGTAGATGGAGATAGCTGTCCAAAAGAATGTCCATCTTTGGCTGCCTATAGAATACAATATCTCTAGTGTAGACGTAAACAAGGCAAAAGCACTTACAAGATGCATTCGGCGATTAAACTTCTTACTGCCATTCAGAATGACCAAGAGCGTGTAGACTGGCTTCAAACGGCTGCGACCATCCACCTTCTTTTAACGCGCTCCTAAACCCACCTTTCGGAGGGAGGAGTATGATACTAGTTTAATAGGAAATTCTTGGAACTAGGGTTACAAACCCAAGTCAGATGCAATCCGCATGAAGCGATACAGACAAAAGTCAAAGACCATTGCCTAGCAACTTTGACAACCAACAGACTCCTCTAACGTAAACCGATTGGGAAATAATACGGCCTTTGGATCACTACCCGATGTATTCAAGTAACGAAGACTTACCCGAAAAGTATACATGGTCCGAAGACCAAAGAGGAAAGAAAAATGCGGGGAAAGTTCCCCTCCTTTTATGCAATAAAAAAAAAAAAATTGTGACTTTTTTTTGCTGCATTGCGAAGCAAGCGCGTGATGATTGGCTAAACTTGTTCCTGTTTACGATTATTTTGCATTTGCGGATTCACCAAACAATAGCGAACCTTTTATACCATCAATTGTTGCTAAAAAGCTCTATCGCAAACAAACTTGACCAGTATCAAAAATAGGGGGGGGGGGGGCTCATTAAGTATTTTCATTTTCTCAAGAATTCTTTTCTCATCCTTGATTGGATGATCAGGATAAAAAATAATAATTTTTGGCTAAATGGAAATAGTTAATGAACCCCTAGTGCGATTAAAAAGTACAAGGTAAATCTGATTTAGACTTAAGACAATAGTTAATTTAAACCAAAGCTTTTTTTTAGAGCCGTAATGCAGTATATAGTGCCTTCAATAAAAGTTATACAGATTTCAGGAAAAGCGAAACTGTTTTCGAAGATGCCGTTTATATTGGAACGCTGGGTTCTCATGAGGCAGCAGCATTTATTTACGCGAAGAGTCGACAGGCGTCTTTAAAGAAGTGCAAGACTATAAGAAAGAGAGTGAGTACTTGAAACTTTTTTTTTATTTATTCAAACTAACTCATAACCTGATAGATTAAAGCGACCGCTACTACAGAAGATGATGCTCACGTTTTTTCTATTAACAATCAATCATCTGGCGGGGAGTTTAGTATTGTCAGCCATTTAAATGAAGGGGAGTGCACAATTTAAGCTGTAAGTGTGTTTGTTTTCGAAAAAAAAAAGACGGACCAAGGAACACACAGGTTTTTGCAGAAGTGAAGGCAGATTACCAAAAGAATAACGCGCATAAAACCCACAGTGATTTCTCAGGTTTGGTTTACTCTAGAGGTCAGTGACTTAAGCAGGTTAAAATGACTTATGGGTTCGATGATTACACAGTCGCCTTGGACAGTGCCATGTAAGATTGGCTTTATTTGCAAGCCATGGATACGATAATAATTAAAGTGAATGGATACTAGTACTATAGGCAATAGGTAAAGTAACTAAACAGCTTCCATTATGATTTCCACTTAGCTCTTTCTCTTCCCCAATTTAGGATTGAACATAACAGCCTGCGGTTGTACTGTTGCAGCTAATAATAATGATATGGTTTGCTGTCAAGCAGGATTGGATCTTTCCTATAAATACTCTTCTTTTTTTATACAAAAATAAATGATGACAAAAACAAGACGGTCTGCCCTTATTGAGGGAAATGTCTAGAACTCCGTATTTTTTCCAAACGTAGTTTTTAGAATCACGTGAAGGTCTACACGTCAATTGAAATGCCATATCGTCTAAACTTCATAGGATGATCGATTTCTGTTTTCCATAAAATCTGCTTCACTGTCATTACAAGCTACTACTGGAACGCAGATATATAACTACCAAGTTTTGATTTGCTTGGGGGGAGTTGCATATGTTTCTATTTTAAGTAAAGGCTCAAACATTATGAAAGATGAAACAAGCAATTAAATCATCCTGACATAAGCTTGTTTATCAGCCTATAAATAAAGCTGGTTCACACACTATATTCTTCTCCTTTTCTTTTCCCTTAACATACTTCTTTTATCGTATGAAAGTAACCGATCACGTAAAAAGGTTAGTTTAGTAGTGACTCTTGTTTCTTTCAAAAGATGTTAAATCGAAAAAGATATTATAGAGGTATTGCAGCTGCGGCTAGTCTTTGCTATAGGAGGGCGACCTCCTAAGCAGGGCTCTTGAGTTTTTTTTGGAACTCATAGGCTGTGAATAACAGTGGTTTGCACTGTGAATGGCTGTGTTCATACTGGCCTGCTGGTCTTAGCCAGAATTGCTGTAAGTAGTACAAGAAAAATTCGTTTGAAGAAAATACGGAGGTCTAGACATTTCCCTTATTGATTCATCTGCGTCCTTATCAGCAGAAAAAACATTGTACAATAATGCACTTAAGAAAGCAGGATTAAGAAAGCTAAGAGAAGAAGTAGTAAATTTATATATCTAAACACAATATAAGACAAACTTTTTTTATCTAACAATCTACTTTGATATGTCAATTAGGTATCAGGAGAGGTAAACCCTATCTAAATGTATTGACAAACTCGCGTACTGATATTTTTTGGTGATGCAGCGAACTAGAAGGCAAAAAAAAGGCGGCCCATTCCAAAAATACCGATACTTTGCTGGGTATTTATTAATATACATACTAGGCTCTCCCTACAGATGTATTAACTATTTGTATTTTGTAGTTTATTAAAAAATAGTATCGTTTTAACTTCAAGTTCATCAATCAAAATAAATAGTGGTCAAAATATCAAGAAAATTGCTAGTCAATTCAAAAAGGTCATTTTCACATGATATAAAATGATCTCTGGTGACTAATAAAACCTCTGCTTTTACATATAGATCAGGACTTCGAATAAACTTGGTGATGTTATAGATACTGTTAAAAACTATAAGCCAAACAACATTCAAGAGAAAGTAATTCGAAATATATATCTTCACATGTAAGTTAATCCAAAGTTATAAATATTAAGGGTATTCAATTGCCGTATTTTCGACGAATAAATAATTCAGCCAATCATATTTTTTTTTATGATTGGCTGATTTTTTTATTCCTCGAAAATACGGCAATTGAATATCCTTATTTTAAAGCTCTTATTAAAAATATTTCCGCTTAGTCTTGACATGCACATGGATCGTCCATGGGTCTTCTCAAAGCATTTTATAGAGATGTATTCGGAAGCAGATTACCAGTATAAATTTTGGAGTTACGTATTTGAATCGTTTTTAGGAAAAAAGCAAGATATTTTATTGCGATGGTAAATATCTTATTGAGACTTTATGCAGCTTATTCTTCGTCTAACTGTTTTTAGGGGCGACACCATTAGCGATAGTTGTAAAAAAGCCGGTCATAAGTTTAAGTTGGATTTGCGGTTGGTGATGATTCGAAATGATGAAAATATAGTAGAAAGCGTTTGTTTAAATGCTGATTTTCGAAATTTCAGGCGGGTTTCCAAGGTTTACGTAATACTTTTTACACTGTAAATAGCAGTAAATAGCTGGGATCAGACTATAAATGGCTGTACTAGACAGATGGCCAAGAAAGCAACAGTAAAAAAGATATACAAAGACAAGCTTGAGTCCGTAATTGCATCAAAGTGTCATCTTAACACTTTTATCAAAGAAGTACCGTATATCCATGCCCGAGATGTTCCTGATATCAAGATACCCATAATCCAAGTAGCTGGCTTCAGTGGAAAACTCTCTGTTTTGAGTTTACCTAAGAAAAAAGAGTACCAACTGGAGGATGTTTCTTCTTTTTGTTTTCCTAAGTCGTTCCGGCAAATTAAAACAGGATATTTGGAAAATTTGATTAATGTTCTATCTACAATTGAGGTAAGAGGATGGACAAGACAACCAGTAATTTGCATTATCTAATACTACCACTTTTTCTTTTTTAGGATTTATTGGATGATCTTCGTAAGATTTATTACGATAATAATTCCAGTACTGATAACGATATCGAGAACATCTTGACTGAAGTAAATCAAACGAAAAAGTTCAATTACAATGCTTGGGCAACAAAATGAGGGATTGTAGATGAATCTGGAAAATGATTGTTTTGACCAGAACTGGTAGAAAAAATGGGGGAATTTATTTTCGAAAGGCTGGGCAAATTGATTTCAAACATCTAGTCAAACAGTTTCGTTTTCCTGGGGAATTTGATCTGACACAAGTGTCAAAAATTATTCGAAAAAATGGGCAGGGTTTTCAAAAATTAGGTAAATTGAGAGTGGAAGCACAGTATATTCTCTTCTCATATCTCACTGTATTATTATCGATTTACATTTATTTGTCTTATCCATATATTTTATCGTCTAAGATCACTTCTTATTTATTCTTAATAAATAATAAATCTAATTTGACAACTAAAAGTCTGGTGCTTACTATGACAATTGTTGTATAATAATAATCGTCTCTTTTTAAATCTAAATCCGTACTATCACTGGGTAGATTTTCTATATCACCCAATCCCTCCCTATCCCATATCCCATATTATATACCATTAACATTATGGATTATTATTACCACTTAGTAGATGGGATATTTTATAATGCAATTACCCTTCTTGTCAATCAAGTACTTTACTCTCTTTTACTTCTAACCAAGCTGATATGCATTTGTGCGCGGTTTAAATACTTTTATGCGTTGTAAGAGTCTTGGTCCTTTGGACTGAAAGATCTTGTGCTCCAAGACATTTTAAGATTGTCAGAGACTTCAAAAGAAAAAAGAATTGCAGTGCACCAAATCTTTTTAGTGAGTGCACCAATGATTTCCGGAATTAGTATGGATAGGGCTTGAGGGGAAAATGATTAAAAAAAAAAAAACGAAAAGAGATAGATCTTTCTTTATATTTTTTAACGTTCCATGTTTCTTTTTCTTTTTTCTACACGTTTTAATTACAAGTTCTCCAGGCAAAAGATCTAATCGGCATGCTGGGTATTTCATCCAATCAAATTTCATTATTTAACACATAGTTACCATAGACACCTCATTTGTTGCCATGTGTGACTGCCTGTGAACACCTTTTACATTCTCGTGGTACCTAATTTAAACCGCTTATTGCAGGAAATGCTACCCACGTTTTGACCAGAAGCCAATTGATTTGATTAGGGACTCAAGATACCCTTTACCCGTATTTTTATTTTTTTTTATTTTTTTTTACCCCTCAGCCCTGAGATGGATATTGAAAGAGATTGTTGCTTTTTTTATAACCCTTTACTTTCTTTTTTTTTTATTGTTTTTGGTATTCTTGCTATTAAAACAGGATGGATTTATCAACCTTTCAGTTAGTTGATGCAATCAATGATATGGACATGTTGAGAAATCTATCGGATCAACAGCAACCAGAGCCATATTCTCACCGACAACCATCTAATAACAATAGCAACAATGCATATGATCAGCTACAAGGAGACATCGACCTATTGTTTCAACCGGATCAAATAAATTCGTCTCCACAGAATATAAATTCGTATGTTACTTACAAGAATATGAATATGAGTCAGTCCAACAAAATGATGGTATCGCCACGTTATAACCAACACCAAAACAGCTATTTTGATCAAGAGGTATATAATAATAATAGTAGTAGAAAAAATCATAATGATGAAAGTATGTATATCATGTTTATTGTTTTTCTTTTCTCTTTTTTTTTTCTTCTTGTCCTCCTTAGGATATTCTTACGCCTCTTATATCACCAGCTATGACTCCTTCGTTTGGTTATCAAGTCCATCATCAAAAGAACCATCATTCATCAGTCAATTTTAATAACAATAATAGCAGTAACAATGATATGGATTTTTCTCCACTTTCGTCGCCTGCCATTTTGCCTCAGACGGATCGCCATGGAAATCACCATCATCAGGCATCTCGTACTTCATTTCAAGATCAGCTGGCTTCATCAGTTGGTCACAACAATAGCAGAAATCCTAACGGAGATTCGTATAAAAACATGTCGGCGAATCAAATATGCGAGCAATACGAGCAGCTTGAACATGCTAAACTGTTGATCACTCAAAAGCTTTCCGAACTTCAAAAGTCTCAGCAGCAATTCAGTCATTATGATGACCAAGGTTATCAAAGAAACTTGCTACCTTCAGAATCAAATTCATCCAAGGATTCGGAGGTTTCTCAGTCAAAAACAAATGGTAATTACTTTTTTTTTAAGTACACTATGGCCATTTTAAGATAAAATAAAATAATGACTTAAAACATATAATAGGTACATCCATGGTAAAACAAAAAATGAATGGCGATCACATGTCAATCCACCATTTAAGTGTCATGTCGAGACCCAGCTCACCCAACAAGTCCCCTCTGTTGGAACCAGCTACGCCTGCATCTTTGATGAACATCAAAATGAGCAGCAGTAACTCGTCCAAACTCCAGTTCTCTTCTAGCGGAAGAAGCCAACCATTTTACTCGAAACCAACTTCCAATATTACGAATAATTCTACATCGACTATGAACTTTAACACCTTGCCAATCTCTGCTCCGAATAACAGCAACGGACATGTATTTCAATCTCCCATTTTGAACACGGATCCTATTCACGAAAATAATACTTTGAATCTTTCCCCAACAATGACTCCTACCAATACCATGAACAATCATCATCCTGTTCCTTTATCTCCTCTTGCTCTTCATCCTCGTGGTATGAAATCACGCACTTCCTCCACTCTTAAAGAAAAGCACGGTTCACGCACTTTGAAAAAACAGCGAAGAGAATCAGCCGATTCAAAAACTTCCAACGGTATTCATGCTTCACCTCGTGCTTTGAAACCTCTGCTAATCAGTCCCACATTAAATCCCGGTATCAAGCCTCTGCCCAATAGCATTATACCTACCCGCTCTGTCCAGTCTGTTGAGGATGCGGAGCGGATCCTAGCTACCCGATCTAATTACCAGAATCTAATGGAAGGAAAAGGAGCTGCATTAGGTATCGCATTTTCTACTCAGATTAAAAGTGGGTTAGAAGTGCGAAGAACTGCTCACAAGGCAGCAGAACAAAAGCGTCGTGATTCTTTGAAGGAATGGTTTGACAGATTACGCTGTGAGGTAGAAGACGGATATGTCAAGCGACAAAAAACTCTGATGTCGCAAGTGATCAAAGCTCAAGAATTAGAGAAAAATCACGGCCATAAATCGACAAGTAATACCACAGATGAAGAAGCTGAAGAACTGACACCAGTTGATGGGAGCGCAATGAAACCTCTTTCAAAAGTGCTTCTTCTTCAATATGCTTATGAGTATATTTCTTCTCTTAAAAGTACTTTACAGGAAAGGGATTCAACGATAGAGAGTCTTCTGTCTGGTGAATTTGGAGCCAACAAAATCAGCGGCGGAGGAATCAAAAGAAGACAAGAAAACGAAGATGATAGTATGGGTGAAGATACAGATAATGATAATGTTACCAATGGTAGTTTCTGAAATTTTTCTTTACCCAACAATCTAAGCCGACATGATATTACTACCAGTTACGATTAATACCTTTGCCTACCCATTCATTCTCAAATTATGCTCAATTTATTTTGCACTATGCCACTATGCTTTATCTCAAATTCTAAACCTTAACGCCTTACTTTTTAGTATAACTGGTCTACAATCTACCTATCTACTTTTACACATTTTATCATAACATCATTTCTTTTTAATTACTCAGAAAAAATCTACATACACATATATACATTAACATACACTCTTGAATACCAAATATATACAGACCCCCACTTTTTTTGCCACGCTAATTTTTACTATTTACATATCACCACAGGCTATACAAATAAATTTGATATATACACACTATATATCCAGCCTATAATCTACTTGACATTTAATAGCAACCCAGCACTGAAACATAAGCCATTAACTGATCAAGATATTAATGTCTACTTCCAATCCACGCTCCCATCTGATCTTCCCGGATAACAATCTATTTCAATCCTTCCTTATAAAAAGGATCCCCTTTTCCATTTAATAAAAAGATATCTAGTTTTAGTCTCAAATAATTTAACCGTTTATTTCTTGGAATATTTCATTTTTTTATTTGAATTCTTATAAGTTATCTTTTTATTAATTTTTTTTTTATGTCTACAACCGACCCTACTGTTCTCACTACCTATTGTACCCCTGCTCTTGCTCCTGCTACTTCTCTGATAAACCCTGCCACCGGAAGGCTTCAAGACATATCTGACCAAGGCGATACGGAGATGAAAGACTGTACGTCTACAGCAATTGGTGCTAATGATTCCCAAAGCGCTTTGTATTGCTTGTACGATTCTGGTGCTCCTGAATCAGCTATCACTGCTCCTCACATGCAGGAACTTACACAACGTGCCATGCACATAAAAAATAATCAATTTGATGTTCATCAACATCCTTCCTCTCAACGTTCGCCTCCCAGGAGCCACATTGACGAAGCTCACACTCTTACGTCTCCTTTCGTCCAAGACGAGGACGTTTCATCTCCCCAATTAGTCCACAATAAGTCTAACATTACCATTAATGATGAGCCTGCTCCTCTCAACGATTCTACAAATTCTATCATTATTCCTGTCACTATTCAGGGCTATAAATGTTGGGCCTACGTCGACTCTGGTTCCAATTTCTCCTCTCTAAAGCCTTCTTTAGCTTCCAAATTGGGCATGACACCCTCCTTACCAAAACTTATTATACCACATACGACATCTTTGTCACAATCTAAAAGTCATACTATTTCTTTGGGCGATGCTAATAGCTCCATCGAGCGTATTGGTTTTATTGACAACGTTCATCTATTCTATAATAATCTTAACATCCATCATACCTTCGAAGTTTTTAATCTGAATAGTGAAGCTGATGTTTGCATTGGTACCGACCTTATGTCTAAAATGAACATTAACATCACTGGGCTCACTACTACATGGGACGAAAATAGTTTACCTACAATCGAGGACCCTATTGACCCATTACCCAACACACCTACATACGAATATTACGGTTCTATCACAGAACGATCCACATTCTTACAATCACTGGAGATCGTATTACATTCTAATGCTTCCATCGATCCTAAATCGGTTTGTACAGTACCTAACTCGGAAGTTACACTCCATTTCCCTGAGAACACAGTCATCTTCCGTAAACAATATCCATTACCCTTAGCCTATAAGTCTAAACTAAACGAACAAATTGAGGCTTGGCTCGAGGAAGAAACTATTACTTTAGCCGACGCTAACACACCTCATAATAATCCCATTCTTTTCGCAAAGAAGCGAGACATTGCAGGTAATTACGGCTCTGAAGTCAGAATCTGTGCCGACATGCGATTCCTCAATCAACATCTCATCGCCTCTAAATCTGATGCGTTCAGCTTACCTCGCATAGATGAGATCCATGAACAATTATCACATTGCTCCATTTTTACAGTTCTTGATTTAAAAAGCTGCTTTACTCGTTTTGCCATTGCTAAAGAATCCCAGCCATTCACAGCCTTCACCACACACACGGGACAATACGTCTTTCGAAAATGTTGTTTCGGCATAAAAACAGTACCATCATTTGTTCAGCGCATTATTTCCAATCTCTTTCGTGATTTGCCTACAGTCTTTGCCTACATTGATGATATCACAATCGGTACCCACACAACTGATCTAGTCGCACACGCCACTCTCGTCAAAGAGGTCATTACTCGACTGAATCAAGCAGGTCTAATTCTCCAATCCAAAAAATGCCATTTTCTCCTCACATCTTTAACCTTGCTGGGCTTCCGTCTCAGTTCCAAAGGTCTCCAGATCGACAGCAGTAAAATTTGTAACCTGGATCAACTTCCACCGATTACCAACAACAAAGCTCTTATGCGAGTACTTGGATTGTTTAATTTTTTCGACGACACATTCCTAATTACGCTTCCATATCCGCTCCATTGGATAAGCTTCGTAGCATTAGTGACAAACGGATCTTTGCACAGACATGGAACTCCACTCACGACTCAGCCTACACCGCTTTAAAATATGCTATCACGCATGCTCCGGTCATTTCAGTCATGGATACATCCTTACCCCTGCGTGTCAACACGGATGCTAGTAACTATGCTATTGGTGGCTTCGTATGGCAGCTTGATCGACAGAATATTGTTCGCTTCCTCGGTTTCGCTTCACGGTCCAAAACAGCTAGTGAACGTAACTACAGCGTCAATAAATCTGAATGCCTCGCCATCGCCTACATGTTTCAACGCTATCACTCATGGCTACATTTAACTCCCTTTCTCCTCTTCACGGACCATTACAGCCTCACGTTCCTTCATTCTCAACGATACTGTTCACCTCTACTTCAGAACTGGTACACCACCATCTACTCTAAGAATTTTGAAATCATCTACATTCGAGGTTCCGAAAATTATCTTGCTGACATGCTCAGTCGTCTATTCGCTTCCCCAGAAGTTGAACGTCAGATGGACAATCACGCTGAAGCTAAACAAGCTAAGTTATTTAACAAACAACAACACACAAAACAGAGGGGGGCGGTAGAGAAATCCACCCAATTTTCTTCTACGTCACACGACGACAACGAATCCAATCGCATTCTTGTACAACGCGCATCGGAACTAGCCGACCCTATGGTGCCTCCACCTGATCAACGTCGTGCTATCATCGAACGTCACCATCTCAAGGGACATTTTGGCATCAATGCTATCGAATCCGCCATACGCGACGAACATATTAACTGGGTGAACTTACGAAAAGACATCATCGAAGTTGTAGGTGAATGTCTAACTTGCCTTGCCTTCAATTGGTCGAAAACCGGATACCATCCTCCTAAACAGATCTTACCCACTGCACCAGGCCATCATGCGGTCTGTGATTTAGGTACACTTAATATCACATCCGACGCCGGCAATAACTTCATCATGGTCTATGTCGATCTCTTCACACGTTTCACAATCCTTCGTGCCTTGCCTGACAAGGAAGCATCTACCATCGCTAACGAACTCAAAAGCATCTTTGCCTTATTTGGTGTGGTCAAAGTTCTCCAGACAGATCGCGGCCTCGAGTTTACCAACCACTTAGTAGCTCAAATGACTCAACAATTGGGCATTGACCATCGTCTTAGTTTAGCATACACACCTAACTCCAACGGTACCAATGAAAGTTTCGTACATATCACTAAACGTACTTTAATCAAAAAGCTACAAGGCGCGAAACAGCAATGGGACACTCTCCTTGACGCCACACAGTTAGAGATGAACCTCAAGGTTTCTCGTTTACACCACTCTACACCCTTTGCGGTTATGTTCAATCGACGAGCTAATGATTTCGAAAATTACACTAACGTTGACCCTAACTGGGATAATTCAGTCATTACTCCTGAACTTGTTTCTGCTCAATATCACAAAGTTAACGAATTCCTTATTCCTGCTTTATCAAAACGTATACAATTGACACAGGAAAAAGATAATGCACGATTCCTCAAACATCATCATATCATTCACAAGAAATTTCCTATTGGTCGACAGGTCATGATACGAAATGTCATGAAAACAGGCAAAACCGATCCTAATTTCATCGGTCCTTTCACTATCCGTAACTACACCACCAATGGTTCCTACGTCCTAGTCGATCAAGCCAATAATCTCCTCTCTCGTGACGTCCCTACATCCCATATTAAACTTCTTAAAGTCAATAGTACCACAACGGATTTCGAAGAGGATGATACCGACTTCCAAGAGGTTCAAAGTATTATCAACCACAAAGGAACCAATCCTACTAATTATATGTACCTTGTACGATGGAAAGATCAATCCGACGAGGAAGATACATGGGAACCTGCACACCATTTTCCTGACAAATTACACATCGAACGCTACTGGGCACGTCGTCAGGCCATTACCTCTTCAGGAACTATTCGATTGCCTCAGACTGTAAATATGCGACATATTCCTAATCGTCAAGAACGCTACGATCATAAGCGAGCTCGCAATAATGCACATCACATTACCAAAGTTGACCATAGCACTTCAACACAAGCCATTCCAATCAATCACACAACTTCTCGCCAAGAAAGGTACAATTTACACAAATCTCGCCGTCATCAACGACGTGCAGCCAACAATAGTTAGACACTCAAAGTGATGTATCTTTTTCCCTTTTTTATTTTTTTCCCTCTTGGAGGTTTTTAAGGTTTTTCTGATACATCGTATACTTTGCCCCTTCCCCTTTCTTTTTACACTTTACCACAATTTTTTTTTCTTTTTCTATTTTTTTCAAGATTTGTTTCTTGATTTAAACGGAACTTTTTTTTTTCCCTTCTCTTCACTTCATGTTATCCCGGCTACAATCATATCTATCGAGTACAACCCTTCTGCATTTCAGGATTACAAAATCGGTTCTCACCATTTTTCTCTCATATCCTTTACAATCAAAAAATGCTGCTCCAATTTGGGGGGAGGTAATGATATATACACACTATATATCCAGCCTATAATCTACTTGACATTTAATAGCAACCCAGCACTGAAACATAAGCCATTAACTGATCAAGATATTAATGTCTACTTCCAATCCACGCTCCCATCTGATCTTCCCGGATAACAATCTATTTCAATCCTTCCTTATAAAAAGGATCCCCTTTTCCATTTAATAAAAAGATATCTAGTTTTAGTCTCAAATAATTTAACCGTTTATTTCTTGGAATATTTCAAAATTTTACCAATACCTTTTTCGTTAAATGCAACCTAATTTTGTCAAATAAAAAAAAAAAAAATAAGAGTCGGAGGAATAATCATAGAAAAATCTAACTTTTCGAGCTGTAGAAACTGGTAAATCCATATCTTCATTTTTTAAGGTTCTTAGATCGTAATCGCTACCTATGGTGTGTAATGCTCAAACCACTGGCATGTTGACATGACAAAGCATGTCAGGGATTTTTGAAGCTCAGGGCCGAAAAATTCAATTTTTTTTTTGTGACTTGCTGTAGTGACAAGCAACAAGAAGCACAGAAAAAAAAAAGTGTGAAGGGTTAATTTGTTTTCTTATAAGACCACCGAAAAAAAAAAAAAGTTTATTTTGGATAAAGCTTTCTTTTTTAAATAATTGAAATAAATAAGAAAAAGAAAGAAAGAGAATTCCGAAATAACTTACAACACTCGAGGACTACATATTGACACATATATAAAGGATGCAGGCATCCACTACTAAACTCAATGTCGAGAGTAATACACATGACATGTTCATAGAGCAACCTGAATTGGACAATGCACCAACCCCATCCACCGAACTTGGACCTAACGAGTCTTACTATCCATATATTCCTTACGTTCTCGACCCTCAACACGAAGACAATATTTCTATCGATATGATCAAATTATATCAAGTATGAAACATGAGACAAAAATACAGCTTTGTAGGGCCAAGACACTGATCGTATAATATAGGAACTTTTACCCAACAAGGAAAGTCACGATAGACGTATTAAATTCGTCAAACTGATGGACAAATTGATGAATAATGAATGGCCAGACCATGACATCAAAGCTCATGTTTTTGGGTTAGTTGGATTTTTTTATTTATTTTTTTGGAAACGCACCAAAAATAAGAAATTCTAAAACTGTTTAAAAATCTAGGTCTTCAGTCAATGAACTTGGAACAGTTTCTTCAGATATAGATCTATGCATCACAACACCTTGGAATGGTCTTCGCAACGTCAAAACACTAGCAAAATTATTTCGAAAATGTAAGGGAGGAACTTGATTTTTTTAAAGGGTTTCGCGGTTTAATCATGATTTATTTTTACAACTTAGGTGGTATGCAGCATGTTGTGTGTGTTCCTCGTGCAAAAGTCCCAATTGTTCGTTTATTTGATCCGGAACTGTAAGCTCAATTTTTTTTTTTTTTTTTAAATCGCAGATCTCACCCGTTCTTATACTTTTATTTGCTTATTAGCCAACTTTCGTGTGACATCAACGTAAACAACACATTAGCGCTTCAAAACACAAAGATGATTAAAACCTACGTCGCACTCGATTGTCGTGTTAGGCCGCTCATCATGATTGTAAAACATTGGACAAAACAAAGATCAATAAACGATGCTGGTAAGAGACATTTTTTGTGGGAGCATACATGAAAATCGTATCATTGAACATCTGCTTAAAACATATTATATAAACGAAAACCAGCTAATGGAGGTACACTATCATCTTATACCTGGACTTGTATGATTATCAACTTTTTACAACAACGTCAACCACCTATTTTACCAGTACTGCATGATATCGAAAGCGAGGATAAAGATGATGCCTATTTCTTTGACAATGTGGAAAAATTAAAAGGATTTAGTTCAGCCAATCAAGAAAGTTTAGGGGGTCTATTGTTTGCATTCTTTCGACGATTTTCTGTAGAGTTCGATTACGATCACCAGGTGGTATCCGTGCGACAAGGGCGCTATTTATCCAAAGTTGAAAAGGGCTGGGACACGGGCAGAAATAAGCAGAGTCTCTGTGTAGAGGAGCCATTTAATGTCGGTCGGAATTTGGGAAATTCAGCAGATATCGCATCCGTGCAAGGATTACGTTGTGAATTCCAAAGATTTTTAGAGATGTTAATAGCTGGAGAAGATTTAGAAACGATTTGTACACCCTATCAACCACTATCAATCAGTTCTATTATCAGTAACAATGAAATACCCGCTAATATAAACGGCAACAGTAATACACTGACATTGACCTTGCCAGCCGAAAATCGTACCTCCTCTTTCTTTTTACCAATCCATCCTTATTCTGACTATTCATCCTCCTCCTCTTCTTCTTCCAACACAGCACATCCCTACGATCGTCGAAGAAGTATGGTGGACGGCATATGTTCTTACCCTTCTCCGATCCTACTGGACGATTTAAATAATTCGCCTTATCCAACCCATTCCACATCTTACACGTATCGTGCTCCACCCATCTCCAAACCTCACACATCATCATTTAATACTTTCCATCCTCGATTCAGTTCGCCACAAGCGTTAGATACAATCCTGCGAGTTAGAAACACAAGACATGGCAGTCATCCATTACCCCCCGTACCCTCCACTTTACTATCCATGTTGAATATCAGTGCGAATCATGGGACAGACCAGTCTGTCGATAAAATCTTTGCTAGATATCACAGAAAGCAACAATCTAATCAGACCACTTCACCTCCTCAAAAATCCACTGACGGAAAGAGTGCGAAAAAGACATCAACAATGGGACCCAATAATAGAAGGAAACCAGTGAATAACAATCGCCATAATCATCATCATCACCATGACAACAGTAGGAGGTTACCCAGACGTCGATCGAGCGGAATGGATTGGCCTACCATTAGTACGAGTTCTTCTACACCAACAGCAAGAGAAAAGGGAAAATTGACCGAATCGTCTTCAGATGAACCTCAACGTTCGCGTCGTTGGTCTACTACGAAGAAACAACAGATGTTAAATCAGGAAGAACCGAAAAAGACATTAGCAGAGATTGTCAAAATTGCTACACCACCCATTCAACAAAAATCTTCGCCTATATCTTCCCCTGTGCCCAGTCCAAGTAGTACATCGAATAATAAAAACAACAGACATAGGAGACAAAGAAACAACAATAAATCTTTGTCCACTACCACTACCACCACCGCCAGTAATAGTAAACCAAAAAAGAAAAATAATAGTAGCAACAGTAAACCTCCTCGTGCCTAAGTAAAAAAAAAAAGAAGCTAATAGATTGTACATAAAAACCCTTTATATAACATGCAACAGATCACCTCATCCCCCCCTCCACCCTCTCCTCGAAAAGAAAAAATTAAACTCAATAGGAGCTGCTTATATTACGTGGCGATATCATAAATATATAAAACCAAAAAAAAAAAGTCTAGAGATCATTTGTAAAAAAATAAAATAAAAACCCAACAACTTATTTGATCAGTAAATACATATCCAGACTACATATAATACCCCATAATGCGAAATAAAGCTGTATATTCCTTTACGTCACCTTGAATCTTATATTGCATGAAAGAATTTTTATTTTTTTTAAAAAAAAAAAAAAACGTTCAGAGTTCATTGGTTTGACTATCATGCAATAGTGCATAAAACTTGTTATACGGTTGCTTTTGCAGGTGTTATTTAACCAACTTCAGGCGATCAATGAGTTATTATATTTAACTACATACTAACATCATGGTATATCATTTCAGTTTGACTGGTACGTTAAATCGGGATGCCATCTTTTTAAGGAACTTTCCGTGAAATAAACTTAAACCAAGAATACGGATAGACCCCCTAGCATGTTATGTAATATGCTAAATCCAAAAATAGTATTTTAAATCTAACAACTCTTAATATCTTATCATTACGTAAATGGTCATAATGGGACACATAAAAAACTTGATTTATAAACATAAAAAAAAAAAATCTTTTACATTCAATTTTTTCTTTCTCTCTTTGCTTTCTAACATGGATAATAAGATTATGCAGGCTCTTTCTTCAGAAAATAAACGAGCTATAACCGTAATTGGCTTTGCCATAGGGCTTTTATACACATCCTACACATTAGTCGAACTATCCAATAAGAAGAAAAGAATAAGATCATCAAGAGAAATCCCGGTCCCAAAATCTGGTTATCCTGTTGTTGGCCATATGTTTTCCTTGGGTGATCTTCCGTCAACAACTGTACATGCTTGGCATCAGGAACTTGGTCCCATTATTCAGCTCAATATGGGTGTCCAGACTTGGATCATGGTAGCCGATCCCGTATTGGCTCATAAAATTATGGTTGTCAATGGTACTAAATCGTCTTTTAGACCATATTCTCATTTTTCGTATTATATTCATGGAAAAGAAGGAAAGTAAGTGATAAATAATATAGCCCTCCCCCCTCCCCTACATGGGTTGTATGATATAACTGACGCAGTAAAATTATAGAGGTATCGGGTTTGCTCAACCTAATGAGGTGCTTAAAAGAACAAGATCTGAAGGTAAGACGCATTTACACCCAAAAAGGAAAAGGAGGGAACCAGTATTTCTAAGACTTTTATATCTAGTTCAAGCTGTTTTGGCACCCAAGCAAATTGAGACCTATATGGATAATATCAACAGGGAGTCCCATGAGTTAATTGATCAGTTGCTGAAGGAGACAACAAAAGAAGGCGGTGTTTACCCATTTGAACTACTAAAATGGTTTACCATGAATACCATTATGTTGGTTTGCTTTGGTAAACGATTTGAAACTGCTGAGCATCCTGAATTCCAAACCTTTTCGGAGATTGTGGAAAATTCAATCAAGAACCTGGCTACGGAGAGTGATTTAGCAAACTTCTTACCTTCTTTGTCCTTCTTGGATTACTTTAGTGGTACAAGATCAAAATACACAAAATACTTTGAAACTATCCGCGATCCTCTTTATCTCAAGACCGTTCATGAGGCTATTCATGCCAATGTGCCAAACTTGATCAAGTCGATCAAAGAAAACGGTGCCAATTGGACAGATGACGAGTACATAGCATTTTTGTGTAAATTGAATGTTTTTTTTTATGCATTACCTGAAACGGATTGACTAATTTTATCCTGTTTTACTCTTTTTGAAAAAAAAGCGGATGTACTTGTTGCAGGAACGGATACAGTGGCTGTCAGCTTATTATGGAACATGAACCTCATGTGTCACTATCCAGACTGTCAGAAAACTGCATCAGATGAAGTGGATAATTTCATACGTAATCATGGCAGACTTCCCCGTTTTAGTGAAAGAACCGAACTACCGTATATTATTTCTGTGATGAAGGAGTGTTTACGATTTAAACCAACTACACAATTTGGATTACCACATGCTGTTGTTGAAGACCGTAAGTTTAAGTGACAGTACATGGGTATTATGTTATGTGAACTCAGTCTCTTTTTTTTTTCTATTTTAAATATAGTTGAGGTAGATGGTTACGTTATTCCTAAGGGTGCCTCTATACGAGGAAGCATGCACAGTCTCCACAGATCTTCAAAATATGATAATCCCAATTTATTCTTTCCCGAACGCTACATGAACGATCTTAAAACAATGCATTCGCTTCAAAATAGTGGGCCCGAAGAGCGGGATCAATTTAACTTTGGATGGGGAAGGTATAAAGTTTGTCAAAATCAATTTAGCTTTTATTCAACTAATGTTTTTACCGTGTACATATATAGACGCAGTTGCCCTGGTTCTTATTTAGCTGAAGCAGAAATGTTTTCTGCCTTCGTTCGAATTCTTGCTGGATGTACCGTAGAGCCTCCATCTGAGGGAATGCCTGGTGTGGATGAAGCAGCAAATGCTGGTCTTCATTTCTTACCGGTTCCCTGTAAACTTCGATTTATCAAACGCAAAAATTCCCCTCTGTATGTAATATAGGCTTTGCTTAAATTAGCGACATATCAACCATATTGTTTTGTATTTCTCTCTTTTTTTTCTTTGTTTTGATGAGGAAGAAAAAAATATTAAACTATACAATTTGATATCAGAGCCTTTACTAAAGAGATTTCTCATTTCATTGTTACTCATTACAATCAAAAATCAATTTGCACTTGGTTTTTTTTTTTTTTTTTTTTTTTTTTTTTTTTTTTTTTTTTTTTTTTTTTTCGCTGAGGGAGATTCTTTGTTCTCACCCTTAATTTTGTGTATCCACTTCACCTGCAATGGTTAGCTATATTCCACTGATTTCTGTTTTCCTAAGAACCAATGTCTTGTATTTCTTCCAATAACATTAAATATGACGAGCTTATAGATATGTTCAGGTTATGACAATGGAGCGATATTCTCATTTTTACGGTATTTATACTAGTACTGTATACGGGTTAATTTTTTTTTGATCTGTTAGTGAAGCTTTGCAGATGATACAGATATAACACTATAATGTAAATTCCTTACATCCCACAAAGTACAACTCATATAAATACTTGAGAATACATCTATTCCAGTTGTTAAATGGCGCAAAGCTCTATCCCATCAACCAATTAAACTGAAGAAAAAGGTGTATTCCAACATTCATGCAAGTGAGTAGTAATTCTTTGGTAAATAAAAAATAATGACGCCCCGCACGTTTTAAATGAAGTGAGGCAGTTTATCATGTTGGACTGTATGACCAAAAACAAAGCAGTACTGCGCATGTATGTTAATTAACTAAGCAAACAATTTCGCACAAAGATACAAGTGTCATTTTGTTTTTGTTTTTTTAAAAAGAAGGGGTATAAATGTTTATTATTTCATTGTGAACGGCACTGGCATTGGTAATAAAAAGGGGCGTTTGACTTGAAATTGAACTTGGATGCCATCTGGGTGAGAACAATACACTTTCATATCACTCAATGATGTACCATAGAAAGCAAGACCTCCACCACCTACACATTCTCCAGAAAAGCCACTCTCTGCCACTCCGTCACCAAAATTAAATACAAGCTATATTTATCCACAAACTTCTTAGACGTGTGTGATTATTATTTTACACACTTATTTACCTTGAAGTTGACATGAGACTTTTTATTACCGCGTGGATTACACTCACTGTTATCGTAAGGACAACATTCTTTTCCACCATGTCCAATTGTTTTCTTAAAGGAGACGCTATGTGAAATAGATATTATTAGCACTCCATTTGAAAGAATTATAGCTATCATGACGAGTTACTCTGAGGGAGCTGATTCTTCTTCGACATAAACACTTGAATTTTCATTATCTAGGTAATTGTATACACAATAAGCTTGAACGAGTTGCAGCCAAACCAGTAGCACGGCCAATGATGTTACACACATGAATCTAAAAGTCATTTTTTATTTTTATTATTAAATGATTATGATGGGCAAAAAAAAAAAGAGAGACTTATTTATATGATATTTATACCACTCAAAAGGCAATTTATGATAGATTTCTTTGTCGCGACACTATTTCTTTATTATTTGATTGTGAGATCATGTTTTCAATTATTATTTATTTTTGCATTTCGGTTACAAAGAATTAGATTTAATAAAGGGGTTTGGCTCAATATATATGTGCTTATAAACGAAAATGCACGATCATTACAGCAGGGAATAGCTTTCATACGCATAATCTGTATTTTTTTTTTTATCAGAGCCACGTTTTGTATTTATATGAGTCTTTTGTTGTTTTTGGTTTATTTTTATTTTATGTAAGATATATGTATGGTATGTCTCGGTTGCTAGTCAAGGCAGTACTTTTTTTTATTTCTGTCATATATGTGTAAGTGTTGATTCTTGTCTCCGCAAGTTTATTCCAGATATTGGATGTTTCAAGTGATCTGTTTTGTAAATTGTGGTATAATGCTGGAAGAGGATAGCTGCTTTTTTTTCAATTCAATAGGTGTGTAGTGGTCATCGTGTAATACGAAGCTGACAGGTTTATTCTCGTTTAGAATGCAATTTGGAAGGATGGTGATGCACTCCTTCTTTAAAAAAAATAAACTGGGCGGCTGTACACATCAGCAATCAGATAACCTGTGCTTACATTAATAAGTATGATAGCAATAAAATTCGGTTATTTTAATCATAATTACTCGTGCTTCCCATTATCTTCCATTTGTCCTTGTTGCATTTGCCCATTACAGAGAGAATAACTGATTCCAAAAGCAGCTTATATTCCGAAACGGAACCAGCAAAGCAATGGAATAATCTATCAATCCAGTCTTTGCTCCATTGCATTGATGAATGGATAACCAAATATGTTTGTGCTTTATGCGGCATCAACAGTGAACACTTCGGGGCATTGACAAATGCTGTTCACTGCACTAACATGGGCAAAGAACAAATGGGTCAACCTTCCATTTTCCTCATACTTGTTTGACAAGGTATAGCCCTTCTCTTTCAAGTTTCGAATGAAGGGATTCATGTGGTACTGATTTTCACCTTCGTTAAAGGCCCGTCTCAACAGTACACGTTGGTTTGTGATGTCTTTTGCAATCACTTTCGTCTTTGAGCACTGGACGTTGTTTACGGCCGCAACAATGGCGGATGTTTTGGCGTTTGCAACGTGCATCTCTTCAATCGTACGTTGATGTTCATAATGAAGCTCACGGTTGTTGACAAGACATAATTTTTCTTCGCCTGCCAACATGTCATGATTATGGACTTTGTTGTGGCTTTTAACGATACAACGATCTCCATTCTTTTTAGGCAAAACTACTCTGATTAAAAATTCGCAAGTTCCGGTCACTGTAACCTTAACTCTTTTGTGAGAGTTCTTGGTACGAACAGCTCCACACTTGTAGCTAAATACACTGGCGTAACAAACAAACAAAAAAGGCTGACCTTTTAGCATGTCCAACGGGAGAACTGTCCCAGTTGAATAACTGAAAACTATAAACGGCTGCATCATCAGGTCAAGCCTCTTCAAATTCCCCGGCAGAGGCAGGCGTATCACCTACGGTGGGAAAAGGTGTAGTTTCGAAAGCAGCAATTAACGTTATAAAAGTTCTTTCCAAGGAAGAAAAAATTTATTTACTTTATTACGTAACCAAAGAGGCTTTAAAAGTTAAGTTTACACATACATCTGAAAATAAAAGAGTATTTCTACTCGCATAATTTATTTCAATTAGTTTTGAACATACGTGTAATCTTAACTGGATGATCGATTTGATTTTTTTCACAGAAACACGGACAAACCATTACCAAGTTCAGCATTACATTTATAAAGCTACAGGTAATTATATAAAGGAACCTGCTTGATTAAGAAGGCAATTACTTCAACCGCTTCAAAAGGCAAAAGTCAAGAAAAAAATGAGGGTTCATATTTAGCAGAGTCTCTCAAGCAAAACGTATGTAATTTGAAAGATGGAATGGGAGCTGAAAATTCGAGAAAGAGCTTTAATAACAGGAGGAATACAGAAGTCAGTTGTTTCTTTATTGGTAATATGACACTAGTTTCAATGACAAGACATGCTGTGTATTTGTTTACATACGTGTCATGTAAAAAGATACAGGGGGTTTGCAGTAAATAGGTCATGATTTGTTTATCATTCAATACAAAGTAAGGAGCATAATAAATTATCATCACAATTTAAAAAATCAATAACGCATGTATGTTTTGCTGAAAAAAACAATTACTTTTTTGGGCAAGGCTGGAGACAGACTTTTCGATATTACCTTTGTATGATGATCTATCAGTATTTACCGCTCTGGGTTTCTTCTCTTACTACAGTCAAGCATGCATGCGTTATGAATTAAATATAATATGATTTTTTTAAGGGCCTCCTGTCTGCTAGGTGCTATTCGTGTCTTGAAAATTCTATGATTTTCGGTACTGGAAAACTTTGTTATCATCCTTTTGCAGGACAGCTCTATAAGCACTTGTACTGAAATCTGTATCATTTCTTATCACTACTCATTATTGTAAACTTCATCATTATATCAATCCCTATAAATTGCGCATTATGCACTACTCAAATCACCTATATTCTTTTGTTATTAACCGAATACGACTCAAAACCAGTGAGTAATTTTTGGATATCATTAAGCGCGAAGAATAATGGCAAGTCTCCCAACAACCAGGGAAAGTGGACGTGGGCGATTTCCTTGAACGTGTATAAACCCTTTGCAAGTATTTGAGTGAGATAAAATGTCAGCCATTGAATCCTGTAAATATTATAACGCGTTGAGCTATTTTCTCTTCTTTCTCTTTTCAGACAACTTGCCATATATTTGAACAGCGATGGTACCTTTAATTTTGTGAACATCAATTGCATTTTTAGTAGATATCATCAAACGAAGAGTGTCCAACCATAGAAGCTTATTGCAGGAGCTTTGTTGGATTTTAATTTGACTCCACACGGGAAAACTTACCAGGTCCAGATATAATAAGGATTGACAGATTGTAAGTTCTTTCTAGATTCTATGGGCGGTAGTGCTTGGCCGTACTTTTAGTTCGTGGAGAGATTTTTCTGGTTAATTCCGAAAACAAACGAGATCTTATTCTACTAAATAGCAAGAACAATTTTTGGTTTCACCAAACCCTAAACTACTTCCAAAGGCTAATTCGGGGGAGGTTTCATTCATTACGGAGTCAGGTTGGGAATTGTCATTTTCATTCAGTTTTGCATCTGTCCAACGGAGATGAGTAAGTCGTTGGGATCACTAAGCAAATAAGAAAGCATTTGTGCTTTTCAATAATGTTGATAACGGGATTTTGGTATTTCTTGAATAGACGACTGTCGTTGATATCTTTAAAGATATATAATTCATTATTCATCTGTTCTTCGTCGATAAAGTTTTTCCTGATATTGGTCAAATAATTATGTATTCCCTGAAGTGTTAATTTGATAAGTCCTATCGGTTTACTTGGACCACAAGAGGCGGCAGAGACAGTAAAAGAGACAGCAGTGGCAGTAGGAGTAGCATCAGTAGAGCTTGAGGGACCCTCATCGTTACTAGGGCTGGATAATTCAGACGGCAGACTGTCGGCTGTCTGAGATATAGTCTTAAAAACATAAGATTGCATAGATTCAATTCGTTTATCGGTCACTTCATTAATCAACCTCGTAGAGCCCCAAGCCAATTTTGAGAAGAATGACAAAGTCCGTCCGTTTTTGCATATAGTCTGCGCTTGATGTCCATGTTTTATATTCGGTAATGAAGATTAGCCTTGGAATGGTAGTGATCGCCTAATATTTTTCCAAATTTTTGCTGTGTCATATTTCTATCAGGACAGTCCCAGTGTGCAATATACTCTTTAAACGTAAGAGAACCTCCATTATCAAGGCACCATTTGGCGTCGTTAGGAACCAGTCTCTCTTCTTTTTAGGAGGAGGCATTTATATTGATAATGAGGCTATTTCAAAGAGCAGAGGTACCATACCATGGTGCATATTAAAAAATTACCGCAATGAAGCGAAGGTATGTTTAAAAAAGACTCATTTATAATTGATAGAAAGAGCATCTCACGAATTTTTAAAGCTTGAAAAACCGTCACGTTAAATTCTGTATGAGGAAAGTTTCATTCCGGTAAAACAAAACAGGGTTACACCAATACCGAGACCCATAAATACGTGTGTATTTTTGGGATTTTATTTATAGAAACAAGAGAAAAAAATAAAATAGTCCAGACATTTATCTGCAGGGAGTTAAGAAGACAAAGAAGCGGATTTTTGGTGTAAGGATTCTTCTGTTCACTTTTTTTTTTTCTGATGATACATGTGAAACAGAAAAGTGGCATGGTTGTTTAGATAAACCGGGGAGAAAGCACTCTATTTGTGTCACTATTAAAATTTCTATTCGGGGAAGAAACACGCGATACCAGGCATGTCCTTTCTTATTTGATAACAAAAAACCCCTTGTTTTTATGAATGAGAGGGGGTCGATAGAGCATCACATAGCGTCTAAAACAAGGACACAAAAAAATAGTTCTCTTCTTTTTTTTTTTTTGTTGGGTCTGTTTGAGCCGAGGTGCTCGATTTGAATTTTTTTTTTTTTTTTTTTTTTTTTTTTATATAAATAGGTAGTGGAACAGGTTTTTGTTTTTTTATCTCTTTTATTCACTTACTCTTTATTTTATAAATATGGCTGACGACACTGCACCTAAATCCATTCCTCCTGCTGATGCCAAAGCAGCTGTTGTTGAAGCTGAAAAGAAATCCAAGAAGCCCATCCGTCAAGTATGTACAAATAAATGATTTTTAAAAATGGTTTAAAGTATATTAAAGTGGATGTTTAGGCTGTTGGAGCTATTGTTGTTGACACAACAACCAACAAAGTATTGATGCTTTCCAGTCGTAAGCAAGAGGGAGCCCATCGTCTCCCCCGTGGTAACTGTGACGAAAATGAAACCCCTGAACAAGCCGTGGTTCGTGTTCTTCACGATGAAGCTGGTGTTGAAGTGAAGGAAGTCACTGCCAGAGTAGGTACTTACACAGAAGCAAATAAGAAGGGTAAAATTGTGGGTCATCATTGGATTTTTGAAGTAAAGGATCCTGTTCTTCTTGATACTTGGCCTGCATTGGATCGTAAGCGTGTCTGGGTAAGTCTTTTTTATTTATTTATTTATTTGTTTTTATTAAAGAGAGAATCTGACATTCATTTTGTGTGTAGTTTACCATCGAGGAAGCCATTGCTGCATCTGCCGATCGTCATATCTCTCGCTTAGCACTCCATAACTGTTCTTTAAACCATTAATTCTCTTGTTATTCTTTTCTTTTGCATCTTTTTTTTTACTTTTAGCATCCCCCCCTCCTTTTTTATTCTATTCCCCTCAACCCCACATACAAATTGTTTTAAAAATGATAAAACTTAACAGCAATAATAATTTCGAATATGATAGTGTCATACATTTTCGAAATTAAAGTGGCGCTTGGCTTAAAAAAAAAAGAGATTGACGGTTTGTTATGATTGTCGTGATATGCTTCATCAAATTATCATTAATTAAAGGGGGGGGATCATGCCAATCCATGATAAATATTATACGGGAATGCATAAAAAAAAAAGTCATAAGCCCACAGAAAGGTTCCCTTATTATCATTGAATGCAACATGCAAATCCATTGCCAGATATTTCGTTTCTCGTTCGTATTCATGATATCAATAAGCGTCTTGTTCGAACATATTCTTTACCAATTCCAGATAAATCAATTCAAACGACATGCAAATATAGAACGTAAAGAAACCCACTGATGAACTTTATAAAAAAAAAATCTTTCCTATATGTCCTATGTATTGACCAAGGTTGTCATTTCAAATGATTGAGTAAGATACGGTTTATTCGCTACGATGGAAAGGGCTTCCTCCAATGTAAACTAATAAAAGATAGTTAATAACTTTTTCCCCACTCAATAAAAAAAAACTTATTTACCCATCTTCTGTCTCTCTTCTTTCTGGCAGGCCACTTTTTTATTAATTCATCGATTTGCAGCTCATAGATTTTGATGTGTGATTTAGGTCTTCCCTTCTTTGAACATTCATAAAATGATCCAACAAGTCCTACAATCTGTCCTCGTACTCCCACTATTTCCATGAATAATCTTTTCTTTATATCTTTTTTTTTTCCGTCTTTACCTTGTTCGTATGTTTCTCGATGGACGTCAGCCTCCTGGTTTATATAGCTATCCACATCACACTTTGCCTATACATACGTTAAGTTAAGAATGACTTGGTCTTGAAGTTGAACGAATACTTACTGGGACCCATTTCTTCTCTTCATCTTTTAGACTCGCTGTGAACATGACTCGTTTTGTACGAGGATCTGTGGGTAAAATATACACAATCTAAGTACATTTTATCACCTGTTAAATTTAGAAGGAAAAAAAAAAGGACAGAGAAGGGTGCATGTGGATCTTACTTGTCTCAAGTCATCTTCGTCAATATCGTCAAACGAAGGTCTTGGTTCATGTTGGTCTGGTTCATTAGACATCATTATTTAAAAGGTTGTATGGAGAGAAAAATGAGAGAGAAAAGAAAAAGAGTTCAGCACTTTATGTGTTACTTGAAAAGGGGGGGCGGTGGGACTGGCGTTCCTGCAATGCGAATTTGCCCGTTCCATGACCCGGTAACTTTCACTATTAAAAGATATCTAATTTCCATCATGGGGAGGTAATATTTCCTCTACTTGTGTAATGCACCATGCAAACATGAAGGTAAGGGGTGTTCGAGTAGCATTTTCTCTTTCCCCCCCCCCCATCCCAACTCCTGTTGTCTAGTGGTCATAACCCTTGATCATCACACTTCTGTGGTTCCTAACTGCATCTTTTTTCGTAAAATCCCGGCAATATAATATTTTTGGTAGTTCAGATCCATTGAATATCGACACTTCTCAACGGATGCATATTCACACACTCATAAATCAGAATGATGCTATTGTACTGTAAAGCATAGGCACAACCCAACAGGATGATTCATGAGAGCATCCATGTCTAATAAATAAGGTTTTCTTGGTATCCTTGCTCTCTGAATCGAGCATTTGCTTTTATTTGTTACTGGCATTTTAATATTAATAATAATGATTACGGAAGACATGCCAACCATTATAAATCTATCAATCATTTTAAGACCGCCTTTTTTTCAATTGCAACCATTATGTACACATCGACGTTGAAACCCCTCCCAATCTTTGTACTTTAGAGGGAAAACCCCAGGAGTAAATTAAATCATCAATTAGGTGCTGTAAATCAACAAGAAAGTGCTTATGCAAGCATGGAAACACCCCTCTTTTTAAGACGTCGTAAAATTTCAATTTGAAGACACACGCATTGTTCATAAAAATACCTCTTTCAAAGAAAACTGTGATATTAAATAGAGAACTCTTTTTATAGTATGTATATGGCTCTTTCAGTTAAGACGAACGTCTGTGTTAATATAGTATTACACACTCTATCAAGGATAAGAACAACACACACAAAAAAAAACCCTCGTGAGTAACTGTGTATGTATAAATAAAAGTGCGTCGTGTATCTTAAGCCATGTTGTATGAAGGCTCAAGCAAAAAAAAAAGACCGGAAAACAGAAAGCTCATATTCAAGTTATGATAAGGGGTAGTAATGAATGAATAGGGCCCTTCATTTTTACGGTGATCATCTTTAATATGTCCGTATGAAGGGTTTGTTTTGATTTATACCGATGTTGATGGAATATAAACAAATCATTCACAAAAATTTATTAGGGGCGTTTCCCAGACGACTATACGGTTAATCCCAAAAACATTTCTCATGTGAATTTCATAAGCCCTAAACTTACATGAAAATCGATACTGCACCCAGCAGATCCCGAGTTACTGGTTTGAGAAACGTTTCTTGTGTTGCCAACTCATTAAAGCCAAATATTCTACTAAAAATATTAATTTATTGTCATCCTTCCCTTCGCTTGCTCGTCCTTGTCAATTATTTCAAGAAGGAAAATAATATAAATGTCATACACACGCGATACTAAATGAGATACTCAACATTGTTGCTAAAAAAAACCCACGTTAACATGATAGAAGAAATACTGAAGCAACTGAAGAAAAAGTTACAAAACATTTTGCCTCTTTGGCTAAACATTTCTTTTCAGATAGTTTGGTAATACGTGTATGTATCTTTTGATAAATAATGCATTTCAGATCTTTTTTTTTCTCTGCATCGCTTTCAAAAGTTCATGGGCTGCAAGTTTGAGTTAATATCCAAAACCCTCGATTCTCAAAGTAATAGAGCCCAAAGCATGGCTAATTTTATGGTACATTTCTCCGTGATTGACCACAATCAAACCACTAAGTAATAATAACGACTACATCTATTTCATATCTACAACTTCAGACCCTTCCTTTCAACGAAAAAAAATTACTGACCAATCATAAATCTTCCACGTGGATATCACGTGACATACAATTTTGTGATATTATGGTACTTCTATGTTTTATACTTCAGAGATACCATCTGATGGGGGGTTGGCGCAATTGGCAGCGCGTTGGATTCCAAATCCAGAGGTCAGGAGTTCGACTCTCTTACTCCTCATCTTTTTTTGTTGATTTTTACTTCTAGTCGGAGTACGAACGTACAGATATATGTCGTGACTGCTTTTAGATAATTATAAATATGTCAGATCAATCCTTCAATAAAACAATAACTCTTTTACTACTCTACTTAAATATCTATAACTAAGCTTAACACTTATATCAGACCCGACATTTGGTAGCACCAGATTCTTTTTATTTTTATTTTATTGTATACCTTTGTATACAGGATTTATGGATAGACAGAAATTTTTAAATCAATTTGAAATCGAAGAACGAATTGAATCAGGACTAGATATTGACAAACGTGCTGGTTATAACAAGTTAAGAATCACTCACAAGAAAGACATCTTACCTGGAGAAAGACTCAAATCGACTACTGCAAGAGAATCACATTGGGATACATTAGCAAAACCTCTAATTGATAAATATAATTTGGAAATAAGAAGCTGCAATAAAATGAATGATATAGAAATGAACAACGATAACAACAATACAGATATGAACAACTTAGCTGCAGCATTAAAAGAAATCGTCAATTTGGTTCAGAGCAACAATAACAATAATAATAACCAGGACTTGGATCTCATTAACAAACCAACCAAGTACAATGGAACTAGGGACCCTTTCGTCATTGATAACTGGATTCGCTCTATCGAAGATTACAGAGATTACAAGGACTGGACTGGCTCCCAAACTTTCAAGTTTGCTAAAACCTTACTTACTGAGATGGCTTCCGTATGGTTCAGAAATTTAGAAGCCTCTGAGTCCGCTCCTGATAATTGGTTGTCCCTGAAATCCCGTATTCTGGTATGTTTCAAACCTCTCAACTCAGCTCAGATTTTTCGAGATAAACTGGAAGAATTGCAACAACGAACGAATATTTCCAATTATATTCAAGACTTTATGAATCTGAAACTGGGAATTCCTAGAATGACCGACGATGAAGCGGTTGCGAAATTTATCCGTGGACTTAAAAGTAAAGATGCCAGAATCCAACTGCGCAGTCTTTACCGTGGTGATCAATGTCCATCAATGGATGAGGTTATTCAAGCGGCGTACACTTTTGAGTCGGCTCGGAATGAACATGGAGTTTTACCGTCAATTCCGTCATTTGCATCCGATTCGTCTATGCCTGAACCGATGGATCTTTCGGTCACTATTGCCCGTGAAGTACTAAACTATATGAATAATAATGGTGGTCGTGGTGGTTCTCGTGGTTTTCGTGGTGGTTACCGAGGTTCCCGTGGTGGTTCGTATGGCTCTTCTCGTGGTGGTTCGTATGGTTCTTCTCGTGGTGGTTCTTTTGGCCCTCCTCGCGGTGGTTTTCGTGGTGGTTTTCGCGGTGGTTTCCGTGGTGGTATGCATGGTGGTGAAAGCCGTTCTTGCTATAATTGTGGTATGGTGGGTCATCTTCAGTACAATTGTCGACGAGGTAATGCTGAATTAAACTACATGAACGATTCAAATGACTACTATTATGACAACGATGGTTATTACCCTCACAATGGTTACCATCATCCTCAAGAACAACAACATCAGCAAGGTTCTAACCCAATGCAAGGCAACCCTCCCCCCAGTAATAGTTTAAATAGCCATAATAATAAAGATTCTTCTTCTGCCCAGTATTCGAATGATTCATTATTATTGTACTCTCTGTTACCGTCTTCTGCCTCGTTTGTTAAGCCATTGAATGTCAGTCAGGCGATTATACAAAAGGATATTGATTTCTTGCTTCATGCCGAAAATATTCAAAACAAATTGCCGTTATATCGAATTCTTGTCAATGGTCATCCATGTATTGTTTTGATTGATTCCGGTGCAAGTGCAAATTATGTCAACCCTAGATTATTGCCTTTTGTGTCGAATGTTAAACCAACTGTCCAAGGTCAAATTGTCGAAACAGCAAATGGTCAACAAACGGGAATCAATTCTATTGCCTCTTTTTCTATTGCTCTAGGTGGTTATACTGATAGAATCGAAGCATATGTTTTCGCTACAAAATTTGATGTCATCTTAGGTCGATCCTGGTTATCTCAAGTGCAACCCATTCCTGATTGGTTCTCTGGACAATGGAAAATCCGTGTAGGTAACAACCCTAATCAAGTCACTATAATCAATCCATTGCAATTGCATATGGTTCAATCAATAGCTGAAGTAGCTCAGGTTCCAGATATAACAAATGATACTGCTGCTCCTCTTGATATGGATTTTATGATTACTGCTAAACAATTGGATCGGTTACTTAAAAAGGGTAAAGTAGATGAATGTTATTTGATAGATCTGTCAAAAATGGATGAACAACATGATCTGTTGGTCATGGTAAATACTCCAGTTTCTGGTATGGTACAACAATCAGCCGAAGAAATTACAAACCAAGAATGGATTGATGAATTTGCTGCTGCTTACCCGACGGTGTTTAAAGGTGTTATTGATAGCCTACCGCCTATGCGTGATTCTGTCGAAGACATGATTGTTTTAGATCCTAACGTTAAAATTGATGCTAAACCTCCTTATAAAATGAGTCCTTTAGAACTGCGTGAACTGAAACGTCAATTGGACACTTTGCTTAAACAAGGTTTACTGGAGCCAACTTCATCACAATATGGTACCCCTGTGCTTTTTGTAAAAAGTCCAGCTGCCGTCGCGGGACAACCGCCCAAATTACGTATGGTGTGTGATTTTCGATCTGTCAACAAGGATACAATTTCTCAGCGGATACCTGTACCTCGAATCGATGAATGTCTTGAACAATTACATGGTGCTCAGTATTTTAGTTCGATTGATTTACAAAGTGGTTTCCATCAACAACGATTAACCGAGAGCGACTCCGAAAAAACAACCATTACTACCAGATATGGTCAATTTCGTTGGAAAGTTATCCCATTTGGTCTCAAGAATAGTGGTGCTCAGTTTATGAAAATGATGAATTCTGTGTTACATGAATACATTGATAAAATCTGCATAGTATATATTGATGATGTTTTAATCTTCACGAAGGAAAAAGATATAAATGTTCATAAACAACATGTACATATGGTAATGAAAAAGTTGGCAGATGCTGGTCTCGTGGTCAATCGAAACAAGTGCAAATTCAATCGCAAACAACTTACATTTCTCGGCTATGACATTATCGCTAATGCTGGTATCAGCCCTTCGAAACGAAAGGTGGAAGCTATTCTTTCTTGGCCTACTCCCAAAACGGTTCAGGATATTCGAAAGTTTATTGGTATGTGTCAGTATTATAAATGTTTCTTGCCTTCTTTTGCTGGTGTCGCTTCTCCCATTACTGACCTTACAAGAGGTGGTGGCCATAAGCAACGAGGTATTAACTGGACTATGGAATGTCAAGCTGCATTTGAACAAATTAAGAAAATGATTACATCTGCTCCGGTATTACTTACGCCTTGTATGACAAATCGATGGCGCATCGAATGTGATAGTTCGGATTATATGTGTGGTGGTGTTCTACTTCAAGAGGATCCCAATGATGACAACAAATGGAAGCCTGTAGCCTACGAGTCTCACAAATTTAGTACTCCGGAAAGAACATACCCAGCTCAGGAACGTGAATATTTGGCTATCTTACATTGTCTTCGTACATGGCGCTGCTTCATCGATGGTAATGATTATGAAGTTTACACTGACCATTTACCTCTGAAGTATTACAATGACTCTGCCAAAATTTCTCCTAGACTTGAACGATGGATGGCTGAACTAAGCCAGTACTCTCCGAAAATCATTTACAAAAAAGGTATCGAGCAAATAGTACCGGACAGCTTAAGTCGAAAAGAAGGCCCTGATTGCGTTCCCAATGATAAATCTTTTGAACCTCGCTATCTATACGACTCACCTGAAACTTGTGCTGCAATTATCTCTGAAAAGACCCGCCAGTTTGATGATCCACTGATTACAGATCCACTTCAAGATTGGCCGTTATTCTATTTTCATGATGAAGATTCTTGGCCTGCTAATCTCAAAAAGCATTTGACTCAACAACAAAGCAAGTTTGTCGCCAAAGATAGTCATATCTGGAAGAAGTTAATTAATTCCGTTGATTCTATTGAGAACATGGTCAAGTTTATTCCGTTCAAACGAAGAGCTGATTTAGTGGAAGACTTTCACAGAGGTTTTGGTCATCAAGGAAAACTCACTGTTACTCAATTGATGAAAACAAGATTTTGGTGGCCGAAAATGGCAGGTGATATATCTAACTGGTTGTCTCAATGTCCTGAATGTCAATTGCATTCTCGAAAAGAAAAAGATATCCATCATGCTCCTATGAAACCTTTGGAGGTGCCTCCACCATTTTCTCGCTGGCATTTGGATTTCATTGGTGAATTACCACTTACAAAGAATGGTAATAAATGGATAATTATGGCTGTCGATTACAATACAAATTGGCCTATTGCGAAAGCTCTTCCGTTTGCTACAGCTGCTGAAATAGTCAAGTTTATCTATGAAGAAATAGTCATGCGTTTTTCTTGTCCCGTGGAGATTATAACAGACCGTGGGGCTAATTTCATGTCCAAGATTTTGAAACAGTATATGCAGAAGCTTAAAACTCATCACATTTTTACCAGCGCATTTCATCCTCGTACAAACTCGAAATGTGAGCGCCTCAATCAAACTTTCAAACACATGTTAACAAAGTATGTTAAAGGTGAAGTTCACAGCTGGGACGAATTTATGGAAACTGCTCTCTTTGCTTGTCGAGTCCGTAAGCATGCTACTACTGGTCTTAGTCCTTTCTATATGACGTATGGCGTTGATCCAGTCCTACCAGGTGATCCACTCCGCCCATTTATGGACCCACTTACGGAAGAAGACCCAGAATTAATAGCTGAAGATGCTCTTACACATTTACGCTATCTTCGAGAAAATCGATTCCAAGCTGAAGATAGACTAAGAATCCAAGCTGACAAAGACAAACAAAAATGGGATAGTGCATTGAAAGGCAACAAGACACAAGAGTTCAAGATTGATGATTATGTGATGCTCAGACATGAAAGTAAGAAAGGACTTGAATTCAACTGGATGGGTCCATATCAAGTTTTAAAATGCAACATGGATTTCAACACGTATCAAATTAAAGAAGTTGATGGCAAAATATACTCCTCTTGGGTTCACACGGACCGGTTACATCCAGTTAAATACGACGGTTCCCCAATCGACAAATCTTGGTATATCCCTCGCACTGCTAGAGCAAAGGATAAAATTATGAATTCATAATTTTTTCCCGTACATGAAGCTCTTTTTGGGAAGGGGGTATTGTCGTGACTGCTTTTAGATAATTATAAATATGTCAGATCAATCCTTCAATAAAACAATAACTCTTTTACTACTCTACTTAAATATCTATAACTAAGCTTAACACTTATATCAGACCCGACATATATTTTTTATCGATTTTCTTGATTTGTGAGTTGACACTAGGTAAATGGGCATGAGATGCAGCTGCACTGCGTGACCAATATTATTTATTTATGCGAGAAAAGATATCTTTTATTATTAATATGCAAAGATCAAAAAATATAAAATATAGTTGAAATTACGATGCTCTCGCGCAGCATCCTTCTTCATACGCTTTGACCTTTTTTTGGGATTGTCGGCTTAAACCTTCTTGCTGGCTTGATTCATTTGTTCCACTTCTATATGAACAGTGGTATTGGCCCGATAGTTTATTAACTATACAAAAAATAAACAACATCTTTATTTTCTACCTTTTCTATATAGCACGTATTACTTATCAATAAATCAGACCACGATAAGTCTTTGAGACTTTCTGTCATTGTTATGATAGTTATTACGATATTTTAACCTATGAAATAAATGTAGAGTAGATAAAAGCTCCTTTGTTAAATCGAATTGTTGATTCTATATTGGCGTAATAAAAAATAATGATATAAAAATTAATAATGTATTAGGTATGGATGTGAACAATTCCGGGCACATAGTTGGTATATTGTATATCTAAATCTGGAAAAAAAAAAAAAAAAAAAAAAAAAAAAAAAAAAAAAAAAAAAAAAAAAAAAACAAAACGGAAATGCCGTATGCTAAAACTGTTCTAGAGAGAGCTGTATATATGTATAATTGGCTAAGCGTAATAAGACTGGAGCTCGTATATCTACCGTTACATTTTTTAACGAGTGGTCTTGGGACCTGTTAATTGTCACTGCGAAAAGATTTTTTTTTTTTTTTGCAGTAAACTGTTTCCTAGTCGGTGCAATAAGAGAACCTGACCTGCTAAGGTTGACAATAGGTAGATCTGGATATACGTTCTGTTTGGCCAGAACCGTTTAAAAGTTTGACTTTCACTATCCTTCTCAACGTCGGATAATCTCGTTGTGTGGAAGTTTTTCTATATAAACGATACAATAAAATTATTCTTGGAACAAATAAATAGAACCGTATTCAAACAGAAATAATCAAATTAGTTAAAATAGACACATAACATGGGGTGGTACATTGGGTTATTACAGAGCTTCTTTGAAAGTATATTGCGACAGAGATGTGCTTTTTTTCACTTACAAGTCAAATAAGACAGTGGCATACATGCTTAAAGCTGTATTAGACAAATTTTGGACTGCCAAGTTTTTGGCTCGATCATCTGATTTAATGGACTTGTATTACAAAAAGAGAGGTATTAGTGATAAAAGTAACATGAAGACATTACATAGGCAACGTCATTGACAAATTGGGCCTCATCTTTACTAGCTTTTTTTGAAAACCGCGTTGATTTTAAATAATTTTATCAGTGATCTTCCATTATAATAATAGAATCAAAGCAGTAATTGACAACATCATCAGATTGATTCAAGAGATATACACGATTTACAGCCATTTTTCTCGGTGACAATGAGTATTGTACTGTACAAAAACTTTTTTGTAGCATTGAGTTCGGAACTGAGAAATTTTTTTTTCTGGCCCAAGTTCACTTTCTCAACAATCCACTATAAATGCAGATGGTAAGAATCTGTTTCTAGAGAAAATTTTGGTTTGCTTTTGATGTACGTACTATGGGCAATTAAACTGTTATCATCGTTCTCTGATTCTTCAATCTACACGTAAAGATACGAAAAAAGTACTTGTAGACCTCGATATGGGATGTGCTTTCACTGTCTCAAACATGTATGGACAAAATTGTTTTCAATCCCATTATACAATTCAAGTCTTTTTACAAACATACCTGCTTGTCCTTTGTAAAATAAAATAAAATATCGTACTCAATTTAAGCAATAGTTGAGTAAAAAGCAAAAGCTGTCAAATCTAATTTAACAGAAAGACTTGCACACAAAAAAACTGACGGCTAAAATCATGTGAAAAAAAAAAGATGATAAAAATGGGTGTTTTCACTAATTGTCAATGCAACAGCTGAGTCTGCATAATAAAGTTAATGTAACCAGAATTCAATCTAATTAAAATCGAATATCACTTGCTTGATCACCTTTATTAGCGTACTTTTTTGATAAAGACTCTAAAAGAGTACTAAATGGTATCCCTTGCATCTAAAAATACACATCATCACAAACCCATTTAATCCATTCTTGTTTTTAACTGATTGAATAGTATTTTTTTTTAAAACACTTAAACATCCATTTATCGATTAAATATAATTCACATTGAATCAATTGACAATTTTGTTTTCGAAGTATTGCTAGACAGCAAGCTTCCTATAAATATGAATACATATTAAATGCTTCGAGTTACATACTGGGTTTAATCATTCCCGGATCTCTAAATTTAATGTTATGATTTTGATTAAACGCCCCCAAAAACCTGGGGAATCTGAAGTGTAGGTGGTCATGAGAATCCATCAGGGCAAAAAGTGTAATACATTTTATTTTGGGGGGAATCAAAGACATCTTTTTGTAGTCTCAGAAATTATTCTTGGTATGGCTACTACTCCTCCATTTGGCATCCAAAAATGTCCTTCAAAAAAAGGTAAAATAATAATAGAGCACCATCTCATCAATGTGATTACTGTACCCTCATCAATGATACGCTTCAAGATAACTGCAAGCCAACATAATCATTTTGCCTCATTCTAAAGTATAAGAACTTTAAAGTAGTATCATGAGTTTTGATATGAATAGATTTACCAACTATGTCTATCATAACAAATTCATCGGCTTTTTTTGATGAGCTCCCCCATTTTCTTTGACTCCTTTCTGATTCTATTTAAATTATCTTTTTGCATTAATCACTGGTGTAATTGAGACTATATTCACTCAATCCTGTGAATTGCACTTTATTAGTCATATTGCACATAGTTTTATTTTAGTTAAAAAAAAAAAAAGGCTGATTTAGCTCAGTTGATATATCTCTTATTGGTAAAAATACGTACAGTCTATGTAAATAGCTCTAGACCTCATGAACAAGGTTTTTTTTTTATGGTTGACCTTATGAATAGGTCAGTAAATCAATTGCATTATATAATGCATCCCATTGCTGTATTTAACAAGGTTACAATACCAATTCAATTCGGGAGTCTACACAAAGAATATCCCTCCCATGTCATATTATTGGTGTCTGATAAAATGTATTCTAATTAAATTTGTAATACAATCGTTATCAAACTTTTTTTTTTTTTTTTTTTTTTTTTCATTTAAATTTGAATGCAGCAAAAGTGTGTTGGTCGTGCGCTTATTCACCCGCGGTGGATATATATATTTATATCAGATGTCAAAGGTCACAAGACACCCTCTTAAAAAGTTGACATTTGAATTTAAATTAAAAATACCCAAAAAAAAAAAAAAAAAAGGCCCATCATTCTCAAATGAGTCAATTGAATGAGTTAACTCTGGGCAGTTTATGTTTTTTTTTTAAGAAAAAAGGCATTAAAAATGGAAGGGAGGAATTTTTTTTTTCCCCACATTGCCGCGGATATGCATCCCTTCAAAAACCTTAACACTACTGATTATCGATCAAACAAAGCGCGCGCCCCTTTTACGGAACAAAATAAAACCTTTTTTTTTTAATAGATAAAAGTGTAATGTCATTGATATAAGCAAATGTCACCAAAATGTTACAATCTACAAAATTCATATGTAAAAAATGACTTCCTCCATTACTTATCTAGATTCAAAAAAAAAAAAAAAAAAAAGTAAGCAGCTGATATCCATGCATTATGTGAGATTTTCCTTTGTACACGTGTCAATTCAATTTTATTTTTAATTTTTTGAGTATTTGACTACAATTTCTCCCTTTCCACTTGTCATAAAATGAATGCAAGAAGCAAAAAAAGTAATTTGTTTGAAAACCATGAACTGGGTAAAAAAGCGGTTTAGGATCATGGGTCTTAACCAGAAAAAAATTCCATTGAAAAAATTATATATACCAATTTTGGCAACCTTCAATGTTTTTAATTGGTTAAATACCAATTTTTTTTTTTTCCTTGGATTTATCATTGATTGTGACTATTTCAACATCATTTCTAATACTTTTTTCCCCTGAAAAATAAAAAGGATTTTTTTTATTTCCTTTCCTTTTCTTTCTCCATTTTTTTTTTTTTTTTTTTTTTTTTTATATATATACATACACATAAAAAATGACGAGAAATTCAGCTGCGTTAGAGGAGCATACCAGTGCATGGTCAAAAGCACGTCGTTCCAACATTGGCGTGGCCTCGGTGGTTGCCCTTACATTATTTACGTAAGCATGAAAAAAAAAAAACCCTTCACTTTTATATATATATTTTAACCTTTCCTGTGTAGTGACATGCTCGTCTATGGCGTTGTTATACCTTGTTTACCTATTCTTGTCATTGATCGATTAAAGGGAGATTCCACCATGGTTGGATTTTTATTTGGATGTTACGGTATGGATTTCCTTTTCTTTCTCCACCAATTACTGTTTATTTATATGTTTATGACTCTTTTTTTAGCGTTTGGTTTACTTTTAGCAACTCCTGTGTTTGCAATCTTATCAGACCGTTATCAAAATAGAAGATATCCGATGATGGGTGGCATGTTAGGATTAGTTGTTTCAACACTCGCCTTTGCCGTTGCAGATACCTATCCCTTATTAGTTTTAGCTCGTGTTGCTCAAGGTGTTGCGGGTGGTGCCTCTTGGTAAGAAAAAAACAAAAAAGAAAAGAAAGAAAATTTTTCATAGATTATACTTGGCTGATCTTGAAAAAAAAAACATTACATAATAGGACGATTGGTTTAGGATTGTTAGCAGATGTATTCCCCACAAAGAGTTTAGGCGTCGTTATGGGAACTGTGTTAACATCGCATACGGTGGGTTTCGCTATTGGTCCTGCAGTAGGAGGATTTCTTTATGAGTATGGAGGATTCGCTGCTCCCTTTCTCTTTTGTGCTGCCTTTGCCGTGCTCAACTTTTTCGCCATTGTTTGGTTGGCGGAGCCCAAACATGAACATATCGAGGAAACCTCAGATCACGTCTCGCGCGCTCAAGAAGACATCGAGGATGAAAGTACCCCTTTAATCAACTCTAAAAAACCCAAAGTAAAGCTCACCATGATCAGTCTTCTCAAAAATTGGCGTATCCTGTCCTGTGTCTTGTGTGTCACCGTCAGTGCTTCCGTTTTCGCTGGTATCGAGCCTGCCTTACCCATTCATTTACAAGATAATTTCAATGCATCCGCATCTACCATTGGTCGTAAGTTCGATGATACATCCCCCCCTTTTTTCTTTTAGTCTACTCGTCTCCCTTCATACTCACTTTTTTTTTTATTAGTGATTTTTGTTGCCATGGTCATTCCTGCTTTCCTTGCTCCTGTCATCGGTCACATTTCTGACAAGGTATTTGTTATCCCCCCCCCCCTTTTTTTTTCCGGCGGCAGTAGGAATAGAACACATGAACTCATATCTCTTTCTTTAGATTGGTAGACAAGCAATTATTGCTACAGGTATGGTCTTAATGGCTGTTGCTTCACCTTTAGTAGCCCTCAACTATTCATCCATCTACTACATTATTCCTCCTCTTATGGTATTCGGACTTTCCAGTCCTGTCACACTGACACCTATTCTTCCAGAAATGGGAGAAACTGTGCATGAAATGGTAAAAAAAAAAAAAAAAAAAAAAAGAGAGCCTCAGTTAAACATGAAAATCGGACTCACCTTCCCCTCCTCTTTTTTTCTTCTTCTGGGAATATAATAGGGTGGCGCTGCCTATGCTCAAGGTAAGATAAAATTGAAAAGGGAGGCATGGGATGGTTAATAATTTTTATTTTTTATTTTGTAGTGTATGCATTATACAATATGGCGTATTCGATTGGTATGTTTGTTGGTCCTGTTGTTGCAGGATTGATCATGTCTGCTTCTGGTTTTGAGACATTGATGATTGTATTTGCTACCGCTCTTCTTCTCTGTTCTCCCATCATGTTGAATTGGGCTGCCGTCTATAGAAAGGTCATTTCATTCTTTTCCAAGTAACCCATCTTTAAAAAACAGAAAAACCAAATAAATAAACAAATGTACATACTATTATTATTGGGGTGGTGGGTGGTGGGGGTATATATTAAAATGAAAAAGAAAAAGGGAGGAAGGGGGGGGGTTTCTACTGGTACAATGGTGACGATTTTTCAGCAGGCAAGAGATGAAAGCCAGATTCTTTTAATGCAGTAATGACATCTTTTGCCAATTCAAACATGAGGAAATACACAGCTCCTGATGGACCCGCTTTGAGTAAACCAGGTACAATCCCTTTATATAATGCCCACACGCCTTCGTTACGTACAATCTTCTTCATACACCCCATCACAGAATCATGATCCGCATAACTTGGAATTGTTGATACCACATACGCTTGTAAATGAGGTCCCTGCACTTGCAATCGTTTTCGAACCACATCTAACGGAAATACACCCGTTTTACTAATAATCCCTGCAAGTGATCCACATATCATATCGTCTGTCCTCTTGTGATTTTCTGAAATCACTTTTTTTACCTATCATTTTTTTTTTTAAATTACAGCTTTCAGATATAAGCAGCTAAAGTTTTTTTTTTTTTATACCTTGAGTGTTTGGAGCATGGAACATAGACCTTCATAACTGAAAAACATCAAGCCCATATACGGCATAATTTGTGTAATGGACGGACCCAAACCACGGTAAAAACCACGGATGCCTTCCTTTTCGTATATATCGGATACAGCATGAGCCATACTATTGTAAACCTAACTTTACCCTATCAGTTCGATGTGTTCGTCCCCGCCCCTAGCAACGAGAGGCATCCCCCTCTCCTCCCTCTTTTCTTTTATACCTTTGTCTCTCCCTGCATTGCAAACCGAGTCCGCAATAAATCAAACGGGTACGTTGTAGCCGTAGCAAAACTACCAGCCAACATACCGGAAATAAACGGCTTCACCGAAGGTACAATCCTGTCTTCCTATACAAAATTTACACCAAAAGACATTTTTTTTTTTTAGTTGATTTTTTAGCATAATTTTTTTTTTTTTTTTTTTATATTACGGTTTTGAGAAATGCATCCAAATAATAATACGCATAGAATTGAGATGCACCGTACGTCACGTACAGATATTCCGCTGCCACATTCCCTTTAAATAATCCCTGCCCCCCCAAAATAAGATTGCGGTTAACCACGATGTAGACTAGGATTCCCACATTTTTTTTTTTACCCTGATACCCTCTTCGGCTAAAATGGTCTTAAACGCTTGGGCAATGCCAGAATATTTCACTGTACTTTTCACAGCGTTTCCACCATTCATTGAAAATACTCGCTTTACGTTAGATTCGGGTTGCACTTGTAGTCTAATCTTGACAACGTCTAAAGGAGAGATGGCCATTCTGTTTTTCACAAAGAAAAAAAGAGTCAGATACAAGACTTGAAAAAAAGATTTCTTCTTATTACCTAGTTGTAAGACCCGCAAAACCACCACAGACTGCAGTTTCAGTGGCGTTGAGTTTTGAGGAGGTGACATGAGAAGACATGGTGTATATATGTATATGTAAAAAAAAAAAAAAAAAAAAAAAGATAGAAAAGAGAGGGAAACTGGGGGGAAAAAAAAAATATGAATTTCACCCCGCCTTTTTTTTTTTTTTTTTTGTGAGAGAAAAAAAGAACCAATGGAAACCTCAACATCAGCATTACTCTGCTTAAAAAAAAAAAAAAAAACGTCCCCATAACAACGATGGAATTGTATTTTTGTAACATGCATAAGACACAATCTCAAATGATCAAAATTAAAAAAGGAACAAACCCCACTCTAGTGACAGATGACAGATATCCTATATATAAATGGGTTGTTGAAGGAGGGGCGGTAAATGAAATTTTAAAGAAAAAATCATTCTCTCTGTTACAAACAGGGGCTGTTCCTAATACAACGCAAAAAAACTGCATGACATAGACACTGTCTCTACACAATAGCGTCATTCAACTCCTTCTTTAGTATGTATGCAACCTGTGTTGACAAGCTTAGAAAGTAGAAAAATATATACAGTGGCTTTTTTTTTTTTTTTTTTTTTTTTTTTTCTTGGGAAGCTGTGACTCTATTTTCCACCCAAAAAAAAAAAGAGGAGAGGGCCTTGTTCCACTTTCTACCCCCTACCTTGTTTTTGTGTATTTCCACTCTCCCTCACACGCATCTTTAAACAATGGCAACAGCATTCCGTCAGGGCCTTAGTACGTATTCATAAGCAAGAGAAAAACGACACACTACCTACAAGAAACTAACATTATTATTATTATTTTTAAAAAAAAAGACAAGGTGTATTTACCCAACATTGTTTTTAAAATGGTACGAGCACCCAATCTTCAACCTAACCAAGTGGCCTTCCGTGTCCCACCCAGCTGTAACAAGTTTGACATTCATTCGTACTTGACCAACATTTATGGTGTGGATGTCCAAGAAGTGCGTACCATGAATTATGCAACTGAACATAAAAAGGCACGTAACGGCAAGATGGAAGTGAAATCAGCTTCTTACAAGAAGGCTATTGTGACCCTGAACGAGACATTCCATTGGCCTAAGGACCCCGAGTGGTGCAAGTTGGACCAGGAACAAGGTAAACTTGGTTCCAAGGCAGCTGGTCGTAAATTAAAGGGATGGCGTTTCAGAGGTACCGAGGAGGAAAGATCCAAGTTGAAGAACGTCAATGATCAAATTCAAGCAAGAATGGAAGCTGAGCATAAGCAGAAATAAATCATCATCCCCCCGCCAGCCATTAAAAATTATCATGTAAATAAAATACTTTAGAAATGTGAAGCATCATCTATATATATATATATATCTATACACACTCACTATATAAGAAAGAAATTCCTACACCTTCCTATATTTATTTGTACTTTGTACCCTGTCAAAAAAAAAAATGCATTGCACTAGGAGTCAAAGATTCTCTTATCAATGTCACTTTTTTTTTTTCTTTTTTGGACGTAAACTGCAAAACAGTAATAACCCCTTATACCCCAAATGGGGAAATGATAGCTTGTATAAGCTTACTAAACTTGTGTGTCAAGTAGCACTTGAAGGGAGGGACAGTTAAACATAAGCGCTGATTCATGTTGTACTCTATCAAAGTACACTATAAAAAATAATGTTTTAGCATGTCACATAAGTGAAAAAAAAAAAGGCTAGTTTTAATCACCTTTATAAGCAGTGCTATCTATATACAAAGGGAAGCTATTAAGAAATATACAATAAAGAGGTTTTAAAGATCCAATTCTTTCAATAGATAACGACTAACGGAAAAAGAGTGAGTCAGATGATAGCATCTTATTGTCCCCCACTTCAATTTTTTTTTTTTTTTTTTTTTTTTTTTTTTACCGACTCTTACCGCTTTACAAGACACACACACCCTGTTTACATCCTTTTGTTTTGTCATTGTAGCTCTCTCCAGCAAATCGCAGGGAAATTGAAAACTCAGACAATGAATTTTTCCGATTGGGCGTATAGGGAGAGCAATTTTTACCAAGTTTACTAGACCACTAGAAAGTTAAAATATAGTTTAAAAAATATATATATATTTTTTTCCCGTCTATCCCCCTCTCATTCTACAGACACACAGACATGTGTGAGAGAAGAGTACATAAGCAGTATAATTCCCATGTGTGTAAATTACTTTACTAGAAATGTAACACTAGATCATTATATAATCCAGTTATATAATATATTTTCTTTATTGTATTTTTTTTTTATACCGGAAAAAAAGAAAAGGGGGGGCTACACGAAGATCCCCCCCCCCCCTCCTTCCCCGCAGAACCCATTTTCAGCTTCGCTGGGTCCCAGTGGAGTAGCTATAGTGTAACACGGTAATTTTATAGGGCGGGCTGTCTAAAATAATATGCCCCCCCATTGGTTTATTTTCCCTCTACACGGGTCTGTGCTGCAAAAAAAAAAAAAAAAAAAAAAAAAATGGTCCCTGAACTGTGGGGTAAGAATTTATTCAACTCCCAATTTTAGTTAAAAAAGAATGGGATATGTTCTAAACTGTGTAAAATAAAAAAATCATTCGATGAATACAAATAACAAAATGAGCTTTGTTTTTATTTTAATTTTTTTTTTTTTTTTTTGGAATCGTGAGTTATTTACATAGTGAAAGAGGGGGAAAAATATTTACGTGCAAATGTTTGTTTGTGAGGGGAAATGCTAATTAATTAGTGAATAATGTTTTAAAAGAAGGAAGTGTGAAATTATTTTGATTTGAATAATAATGGGATTCAAATAAAGAAGGCATGAATGCATCTTTAAAAGAAGGTAAAGAAATAGATTTTTCTGGTAAATGATGAGCGACGGTATACTGAGGTGTGGGGGATAGACATTCAGGCGAAGAATGAGAGGATGCATCGGATACGCGTCGTGTCAAATGGGGCACTTCACCTACAGTAATAACACTGGATGCATTGGAATCAAGGAGCTGTAGCATTCTCTCCTTGTCTGTCACTTCTTCTCTCGTCACTCGAATCCCATGATGTGTATCAATATGACGCACAAGCTGCCCCTTTCTCCAAAAGCTCTTGAAACATCCTGCTGCAAGACAATGGTGTAATTCAGATGAATTTAACGAGGAAGCTCTGTTCTCTCGTACGCGACGTTGCTGTGCCTGCATCTTTTTCATGAGCTCTATATCGGTATTGGAGGTACAGGAAAGACGCAAAACGGAACAATGTTGTTGTTGACGCATATAATCTTCTTCTTCCGATGGAACGTATTGTTTGCTTGACTTTCGTTTACGACGTACTGTCACTGCACATGATGAATTATGCACACGGATATGCCGTTGTAGTTCATCCGATCGAGCAAATCGTTTATCGCAGTGCTCGAATATGCATCCATGAGGTTTCTCTCCCGTGTGCGTTCTTACGTGTCGAACCTTGTGCTCTAACCGATAAAAAGATTTATCGCAAAAATCGCACTTGTAATGTCGAATTTCATTTAGTGTATTGATATAGTCATTCATATTTCTTCCTTTAAAAAAGTGTGTGTGTGTGTGTGTGAGAGAGAGAGAGAGAGAGAGAAAAAATCGTACCTTTTTTTTTTTGTCTCCCCCCACCCCTACTATTTATATTTATTTCAGCAATTAAAACCGGGACGAATCCAAGGCGGGAAATATTTTTTTTTTTATATATAATATATAATCCGGGATGCCTTATAAATTTACAATCATCTAATAAACAAATTGTTTCATAATCCCTTTTTTTCATCTTGACAGTAAACAAAAAAAAGTCAATTTTTTTTTAATCCTTATCATGCAAAAAAAATAAATTATAAGAGCAGTTCTTTTTTGTTTGCCCTTTCTTTATACTCATCCTTCTTTTTTTGCTTTGCGCGCGGCCATTTAACCCTGAGAAAAAAAAAAAAAAAAACTGGAAATGGAAAAAAGCGGGGAAAGGGTTTTTATTCCGTCTCTCTCCCCCCCCCCCTTTTTAAAGTATTTTAGGGTCCCAAACTACTGTGTGCGTCTAAAAAAGTTTTTCTCCCCTCCTCAATTGCCCATGTCATACATGACAAATGTGTTATCTAATAGAAACCTATTTCTATCCCGCTTCTTTCCAGTCCAATGACACACCCCTTCTATTGTTTATTTATTTTTTAAAAAATATAAAAAATACCCGATTAGGAAATACTTGTAAAAGCTTTTCATTGGAATTTCCCTGAAAAAAAAAAAGAGGGGGCGGGGACAAGGGGGGCTATTATGTAAGTTATGGGATTGAACAAGATAATGATACCTCTTTTTTATATAATGAGTCAAAAGAAACATAGAAAGTATAAATTAAATGTTTTTTTTTTATATATATATACAAAAAATTATAAATTAGTGAGCATGAATAAAGAAGTACTAAATTTAAAGGTAACCATAGACTTACAAACATAGAATTTCTATTGACCTTTTTCTTATTTAGATTATTATTCTCGGTAACAGTGGGTAACCCTTTTTTTTTTTTTTTTTTTTTTTTTTTTTTTACAAGAACACTCATTTTTTTTTAAAAAATATCTATAGTGTAGGAAAAACTGCCTTGATCAACAGATACACAAAGAACAAGTTTGTACCTCAAGCCAATGTCACTATCGGATCCGACTTTCTCTGTAAACTTCTAACAGTCAATGATCAACTACTCAATCTTCAGGTAGCTGCTTTCCCTTAAAAATTTCCTTTCTTTCCCCCCATTGACTTTTATTCTCTTTTAGATCTGGGACACATTTGGACAGGAAAAACACAATGCCCTCTCGGGTGCCTATTATCGTAATGCAGATTGTTGTATCCTCGTGTGTGATTTAAATGATAAATCAAGCAGTGATATGTTGGATCAATGGTACGCTACGTTGATCGGAAGCACGTGTGAGAAGAGTGCAGGTCCCATCCCTATTGTTGTTGTCGGTAACAAGATCGATGTTGATCTAAAAAAGAGAAGGGTACCCTCATACTGACTGAAAAAAAAAAAAGACTTTCTAAAAAAACTAAAACTAAAACTTAGGTCACCATGGATCATATAATGAAATCCTTTGATGACAATACACCGTAAACGTTTTTTTTTTTTTTTGTAGGAAAAAAAAAAAAAAGATAAATTAACACCCGTCCTTCTCATTTTTTTTAGATGCTATGAAACATCTGCAAAAGATTCAATTAATGTGGACGAATTATTCTTTACTGTCGCAAAGAAAGCATTAGAGCAACACAGAAATGATGAAGCCTTTTCATCAAGGTAAAAATCAATGAATGTGACATGATTTGCCTCACTTCTTATCCTAATAACCTTTTAATTTTTTTGTTTCAGTACAATAGATAACCTCATAAAAATTATGGAAACAGATGAAAAACTATTTAGCCAAAAGGGAAAAAACAAGAGTAATTGTACTTGTTAAAGTTTCATTTCTATATACTTGATTAAAAGAGAAAAAAAAAATTATTGACAGAAAAAAAAAATTATGCAGACTTATTCATTTAGGTGCTCCTCCATGATTTACACCCTGTCATTTTTTACACTTGTTCCAGTAATTAGGCTTCAATCGCCTGTCAAATAATGTATGACAGTGAACACTTTCTTTTCTTTTTGTAGGGAGGTCTTATTACCAGATAATTCTTTCTTTCAGTTTTTGCAGACTGTGTATATAAAAAGGAGAAAAAAAAAGTTATCTAGTAGAATTTAGACAATGCATTGAAATGGTCATGTTAGAGCATTCCCAACCGTGGATTAGATTAATGGATTATATCAGATCTAATACAATTTTTAATTAAAAGCATTCCCAACCGTGCATTAATTTTTTATTAGATTTAATTATTTTTCTACTTTTCATTACATATTGCTTAAATCTGAACAATAAATAATCCAAAAAAAAAAAATCATTATTTTTCTTTCCACACATAAATTTTTCAAATTTTACAAGTAAAAATGCCAACTGATCCTCTCAAGCGCAAGTCATCACCAAACTGGACTACCAAAGAAGATATGCAGCTGTGTCTATCATGGATTGCCATATCTAAAGATGGAATCGTTGGAAATGGACAAAAAATGGCCACCCTTTGGGCTGGTATCAGGAACAACTTTCGTGAGAACTTTGCAACGAATCAAGCCGCTGTATTGGTAGATCGTGACGACGATAGCTTTTATACCAGATGGAAAACCATCCAAAAACTGGTTTTAAAGTACACTTCTTTCTTTGACCAGGTTCAAAACGGTCCTTCTCCCAGTGGCTCTGGGCCCAACGAAATGGTAAGTAATATTTATTATGATTGTTTATAATGTAAATTTATCGATTACTTACCAACCAATCAATCAAAATAGATTGACAGAGCAGACGTGCTCTTCGAAAAAGACGTTGGTAAGCGATTTAATTTGCGGCACTGCTGGAAAATTCTTCGGGCAGAACCAAAGTTCAAGTCGATGCTTGAGGTTTCTGCCATCAAAGCCAAAGGAAAGCGAAAGGCAACAAATTCTTCAGCTGTGGAAGATGACGTTGACGAGGTCCGACCTATTGGTCGCAAGAAAGAGAAACGTTTGGCAAGCGGCGAAGGCTCAAAAGCCGCAAGTGAAAGTAGAAGTGCCAAGAACATCGAGCTTTTGCTTGAATGCAACAGGGAAAGGATAAGATTGTTACAGATGACAAGAGAAGACGAAATTATGAAAAAGGACATATACAGCGTAGATGATCTTGACTATCGTGAATTACTGATCGTACAGAAGAAGAGAATTTTGGCTCGGATGTGGGAAGAAGAACGTCGTCTTCAAAAGGAAAGTGAATCATCTTTGCTGAGAGAAGCCGAAAAAGACGAAGATGGGAGTAACGTGGAGGTACCAGAAGAAGTAAGCGAAGAAGTAAGAGAAGAAGTAGAAGTAGGGGGAGAAGAAGTTGGGGAAGAAGAAGAGGTAGACGAAGAGGTAGATTAAGAGTTACAAAATTCGGTATAAGATCTATAAAATAAAAATTAGTTTATATTTAAAGAAAGAAAATACATTTTGAAGTGGATTAAAAAATCGATTGAACTTTGGAAATAGCTACAACTATTGTCCAAGATCGAAGGAATGATTGTTCATCCATCGCTTCGCTGATTATTGATTGGTATAAATACTTAATACTTTTACCAGTGTTTTCAAAATTAGATAAAAGTTTCAACTTTGTTCTTTGTTTATTTTCTTTCATATATGTTTGTATGTATGTATTAAGTTTTTATTAATTTACGGCATATGTAACTACATGTTACCTTTCCTTTGCCATAAATGTTCAATTAAATCTTTTTGTAATTGGCTGTGGGTATGGGGATCTCTAATCGAGAAGTACTGTTCAACGAATTCATCAAATGTTAACTCCTCCCGAGATGATGAAGGTGTGGCAGAATGAGGAGTATAAATCAATTCAAGACCTTGCCCGCGTTCATTTTCCACTATTTTGTTGTGCAGAATGATGCAAGAGTTCATCACAGTTTCTATATCCCTCTTTTTAAACATCCGAGCTGGTCTTTGAACCATGGCGAATCTTGCTTGGAGAACACCAAACGCACGCTCTACATCTTTTCGTGTTGCCTCTTGCCCTGTTGCAAAATACTACGTTAAAGTCTTGTGTTAATATCAAAATAACCAAGTTTAGCTTCAGATAATATATGTGTACCTTCGATTTGGCTGTTTGCGGGTTAGGGATGGTTTTTACCAAAGTTGCGTACTTTGGGTAAATACCATCCGCCAGGTAATACCCCTTCGTGTAGGTATTGCCATTCACCTCAAACCTGACATCGGGGGTTACACCTTTTGCCAGGTCTGCAAACACAGGAGACCGATTGATGACATTAATGTCATTAAGTGACCCAGGGAGTCCGAAGAACGCATGCCAGATCCAGAGGTCATGTGAGGCTACGGCCTCCAGAATTACAGAGGGCCTCTTGCTCTTGCCGGTATACTGGCCATGTAAAGCTGTCGGGCAATTCTTCCACTCCCAGTGCATACAGTCAATTGATCCAAGCATGCCGGGGAATCCTCTCTCTTCTCCAACACGCAACAAACGGTCAACATCTTCCTGGTTGGGTGAACGGAGGTATTCCTCACCGAATACCTCGACAGTCGCCTTGCAGAACCGCTTCAGACATACCATGGCTGTAGAGTCGGCCATACGAAGGTATTCATCAACTGTATCTGCTGCTGATCCATACGCCAACTGTCTTATCGCAGCTGTTACTTTCTGCAAAGTGGACAACCCCAAATGGTTCGCTGCATCCACCTTTTGTTCAAAATAGCTATCATGGTTTTTTATAGCTTCAGCAATTTCCAAGAAGAGGTCGCGCTTCATTCGAAATCTTCTACGGAACATTTCATCGGAATAGACCGGAGTCTCGGAAAAGTAATCTCTCATAAGAGTATCGTGGCCTTCAATGTGTCCACGATCGATATAAGTGCGTCCCATAACGGAACCTTTTTGGGGTTGTACTTCCTCTTCTACTTCGACAGTATTCAACTCTTCGAACAAAACGTCTTCCATCATAGCATCCAATAATTCATCTTCTAAATATTCTGAGCAGTTGTACATTTTAAATAATAAGTTTGTAGTAAATAAGATAAATGTAAAAAAAATTCAGACAAGTTACAGAAAATAATAAAATATAATCATTTTTTTGGTTAATTAAACGTTTATGTGGGATTTATTAAAAATAATCCTTTTTTTTAATCCACGGTTGGGTGTAAAAAAATTACGCACATCTAAACCTTAAAAATTGAGCCAGATTTAATTAAAAAAATAATCCACGGTTGGGAATGCTCTTATGGGATCAGTCTATTCTCTACTTATTATTATCTATTAGTCACGTTTAAACAATGAGTGACTGATATCTTCAATCAGTTAATTCATTGCCCCCTTTCTTTGGGTCCATTATCTGCATTTATATTAATTTTTTTCTTTCTTTTTGTACAGGACAGATCCTCCACAGGTAACAATGACAATCAAAGGACTTCATGTCATCTGAAAAATGCGAATTTATCACTGATTGATGAGGAGATTGTCTTCACTGGTCGAGAGAAGCGCCATTGCAGACAATTCAGTTTGTATTTATTTCTCACTAACAATAAGGAGGCATACAAGATGATAACTTGCTACTTATTAAATACTTGAGTATTTATGCAGCGCCTTTTTTTTTTAAAGGGATGTTGACTTTTAAATATGGTTTAGAAGGGGAACATTCAAAAAACTCTCATCATGGAAAAGAAATAACCAGAAGGCACTCTTTTACCTGACGTTCAAGCGTTTGTTGCGGAAAAAAGAAAGTCACTTTTTTTTTTTTTTTTGTATAAAAGGAGGGTACTTTCCCCGCCCTTTTTTTTTTTCTCTCTTTTATCTCTTTGGCCTTCGTGGCCACATTTTTTTTTTTCGGTAAGTCTTCGTTACTTGAATACATCGGGACAGTGTTTCAAAAACCGTAGTATGCTTTAATCGGTAACGTGAGTGGAGTCTGCTGGTTGTTAAAAATCGCTAGGCAGTCAAGGGTTTTGCTGTGCATCGCGTGAGTGGGATCATTACTTTTTGCTTGAATCGGTTCATTCGGATTTGCCATCTGACTTGGGGTTTTCTAATCCTTTGTTCCAGTTACTTTTTACTAAACTAGTATCACACTACTCCCTTTTGATAGCCTTCCACCGGACGGCGGGTGGATTCAGGAGCGAGTTAAAAGACGGTGGATGGTCGTATACGTTTGAAAACCACAGTCTACACGCACTTTGGTCATTCTAAATGACAGTTTTAGTTACCCGAATGGCATCTTGTACGTTGCTTTTTTTTTGGGCCTTGTTTTACTTCCGCGCTAGAATTATTGCAATTCGATAGGCAGCCAAAAAGTATGGGCATCCTTTTGGACAGCCTCTGGTGTTAGGGGGGAGTATTCTTTAAAAATGCTTGCATAATAATTGCAAGTACACTTTATCACTTCTAAAGCGTCTCTCAAAAAGATTTTTTGTTTGTTTGTTTTGAGGCTTGTGATTATATCAGACTCCTTTTTAAAGGACTCTCTCATAATTGACACTATTGACAAACAGTATACTCAAAAGGGATAGAAAGTCAGTCTCTACTGTATTCTTTTGCAACACTGATGGAGTCTCAGTCAAAAATCGTCCATGACAACGTCTTTTTTTTCCCCAGGATTTTTCCTCTGGTTATACTGTGACATTTTGAAGTTATCCTTCATTTCAACACCATGAGTGAATCCGGAAAAAAAGTATTTGGATGGACAGTTCCTTATCGTTCATGTCTTGTTTAGTCAATGTATATATAAAACTGTGTTCTCATAAAAAAAAGCAGTCTTGACGTTTTTTTTTCTGGGACAAACGCGGTTTTCACGCGCTCTTTCTCTCCCCTCTTTTCTAGAAAAAAAAAAAAAGCTCTCTTTCACACCTTTTATATATTGATTACCCAACATGAGTACTGCCATGGATATCGATGCACCCAATGTGAGTGAATCCAATTCAGAAACCTCGGACTTTTACGCCCCTTGGTAAATAACCTACGCTTCACTATTTAACACACAAGACATTAACCTCCCCCCCTTTTTTTTCATTGAAACAGGCTCGAAAAGTACAGACCAAGAGTATTGGACGATATTGTTGGTAACGAAGATATCGTTTCTCGCTTAAAAGTTATTTCAAGAGACGGTAATGTGCCAAACATTCTCCTCGTTGTAAGTCTCATGTCACTCTATATATATATATAAACCTGACATCTTATTTCTTCTCATATGAAAGGGTATGTCTGGTATCGGTAAAACCACCAGTATTCTGTGTTTAGCTGCTGAATTACTCGGTCCTTCCTATAAAGACGCCGTACTTGAATTAAATGCATCCGACGACAGGTAAACAACTCAAAGTGGCCCCCCCTTTTTTTTTATGTACTAAATACGGCAGATAAATAACGTCTTATAAAGATCGATCGACACAGTCAGAGACAATATTAAGAAATTCGCACAAAAGAAAGTGACGTTACCACCTGGAAAGCACAAGATCATTATTTTAGATGAAGCCGATAGTATGACGGGAGGTGCACAACAAGCTCTCCGTCGAACCATGGAACTTTACACAAATACCACACGATTTGCTTTAGCCTGTAACGAATCCAGTAAAATCATTGAACCACTTCAATCGCGTTGTGCCGTCTTACGATATGAAAAGTTGACAGATGAGCAGGTCTTGCATCGTTTATTACAAATCTGTGAGAAAGAGAACGTGAGTGTTCCCGTACTTTTTTCTTTTATGACAGCTGAAAAGACTTAAAAACATTTCAATTATTATTATTTTTAGGTCCAATATAACGATGAAGGCTTAGAGGCTATTATCTTTACAGCGGATGGCGATATGCGACAAGCCATCAACAATTTACAGGCCACCCATTTTGGCTCTGATTTTGTCAATGAAGAAAACGTCTTCAAGATCTGTGACCAACCTCATCCTGCCATTGTCAAGGAAATTCTCGATAGTTGCTCTCGTTGTGAGATTGATAAAGCCGTTGGTCTGATGAAGAAGCTGTTTTATTCGGGTTATGCAGCCGTGGATATCGTCACTACCTTTTTCCGGGTTGCTAAATCCTATGTTGATATGGACGAACAGTTTCGTTTGGATTGTATGAAACCCATTGGTGAAACAAACTTGAAGGTGAATAAGGGGTATATTTCTTTATTACAACTTGAGGGTATGTTGGCCGATATTTGTATGGTCTCTCCAGCCTTTGCCACCTTGTAATTTAATAATCATAATAATAATAATAATAATAAAAAAAAAAAAAAATGATTTTTTATTGTTTCAATCAATCGGAATGAAGGTCATGTTTAGACCATTTGGGAAGTACTTTTGTTGTCATCGACTTGCCTCTTTCACCCCTAAATGATTATACACATGAAAGTTTCAGTTAAAAATCTTTTTCTGTTATAAAACAAGTTCTCTATTATTTACTTGATTAATCGCTTGGTAATATCCTCCAAATTTAAACCCAAGTAATCCACAATGAAATCACCAATCTCTGTATTCTCATGGTTTCCTCTTAGGGTCTCTGTTTGATGACCATACGCATACAAGTTGACATCCACCGCCGTGTGACCCATCGTTGTCCACTAAATAATAATAATAAAGTTTTTAGTTTCAACCTATTTTTGTCCCGCAGTGTAATAGCATTTATTATTACCCCAATTTGAGCGCGTTTGCTGACCAAATCGGAAAGAATCACAATGAAAAACTCTACACCTGTACCACTACTTTTCCATGCCCATAAATGAGCTAATTCTTCCTCTGTGGTATCCTTAATTCCCAGTCCTTGTTCAATAATCGTATACAGCAGGTATTCTTTTGTATCGGTCTTTTCTCGTACCGCTTTCGCCCACATGAAACCCAACACCTCTGACGAATTACGAACCTGGTCTAATACTTGAGGATTCCTGAAGAAGAAGAGGACAACCCCCATTAGCCCCTTCTCAAAAAATAAAATAAAAATAAAACACAATTTTTTTTTTTTTTTTTTTTTTTTTTGTTACCATTCGTATTCAGGATACGTGTCAGTGGTTTGTCTTCCCACCGTAAGTCCACCTGTTTCATGATCACTGGTTGAGATGACGACCGTACCAGGATTCTCCGCTGCAAACTTTAATACAGCCTTTACAGTTTCTTGGTATTCCCAAATCTCGTGAAAATGCGCTGCAGGATCATTACTGATAAAATAGATGTCTTTTAGATAAAACACTCTTTTCAAAAAAAATTTTTTTTTGTTAGAGGTCACCTACTTGTGACCAGCCATGTCAATTCGACTTCCTTCCACCATCAAGAAAAACCCATGCTTCTTGCTCGATTTCTTGAGAATGGCTAGCGCCTTTTGTGTCATTTCTGGGAGAGATGGCTGGATCGATGGATCATTATCAATGGCATAATCCATATGCTTTTAATTGTACGTGTGAGAAAAAGAGAGAGAAAGAGAGAGAGAGGGGAAGAAACTTACATCGTTGGCAAATAAACCCAACAAGGGTAACTTGGCATGTTCATCTAAATCATCAAACGCTTCACGACTTGACTTGACCTGCCATCCAAAATCCTCCTTAGCCTTTGTCAGCAAATCCAGTTCATCCGTTCGACAACTCCCTTCTGTCGCGTTGCTCAAAAAATGACAGAGACCTCCACCAAACATCAGATCTACTGTCCTTCCTAGTGTCGTATAACCCACCTGTTGCTCTGCAATCGTGTTCTCCCAATCGCGCCAATTCACATGCGCCGAAAATGACGCGGGCGTAGCATGCGTGATACGAGATTTGACGACCAAGCCTGTCTTCATATGACGATGAAGCTTTGCAGATTCTAAAACGGTACCACAAGGAACTTTCTGCGGATCCACTATTTATATATATATAAACAAACAAAATGAGTCATTCTTTCCTGATTCATAAGTTTCCCATCGCCTTTTTTTTTTTTTACCTCCAATTGCTCCGTTGTAGGATTTGAGGGCGCAAGCAAAGGCAGTGGCTCCAGCAGCACTATCGGTAATTAAACTCGAACTGCTCTGGGTACGACTTTGTCCCACCATGATCTTGTCCAGTGGAAAGACCGCTTTGACAGGTAAATCTTCTTTCCAACTGTAATACTGTCGTGCAAATGTTTCTGAAGCAGGACCAAACCCATCACTCACCATCATGATCACGTTCCGTCTAGGCTCTACCTTCTCTATCAGTCTCTCTTTTTTTTTTGATATACTAAAAAAGATGGATCTTTTTTTACCTTTCTTGAAGCTCTGCACAGACACCAAAATTATTCCCGCAACGCAAAAAAGCGAATACAACAAGAACCGTCCATATTGACGTTGTTTCTAGCAATGGAAAATTAAGGTACAACACACTCACTTTTTTTTCTTTTTTTTTTTTTTTACCTTGGGTAAAAGTGTCTCTTCATCCTCGTTCTTTTCAAAAAACTTGCTTCTCATTTTTTATTTTTTTTAGGAAGAATAAAAAAAGATAGATACAAAAAAAAAAAAAACGTAAACTCTATTTATGCCGTTTTTTTAAAAGTCAACTGTCAATCTTTTTTTAAACGGGGTCACAAGACGTCAAATTTAGGATGAAATCATACCCTTAAAAGAAAATACATGAGAAAACTCCTTAAATCACTCAATTTACACCTACAAACCCCCTTTCATCATTAGTTTTTTTTAAATAAATAAAAAAATAAATTACAATTCTTCTTTTTTTTTATCTGCTTTTTTTTTTCTTTTCTTTATAAAAAAAAAATGAATAACGCTTGGGACAACGATCCTACTTGGGAAAGTAACAAACAAGAGGTTCCATCACATGATCTTCATGCATCCGGTGCAAGTATCGATATCCCTCCAATAACACCACCACCAGCAGCAGCAGTCACTGTAGAAGAAGAACAGCAGCAGCATCGTAACCCAAGTCTGTCTCGATGTCTCATTCGATCCTGGCAGTGTTTGGCTTCCATTGCTGCATTAGGGTTTCAAGTTGGTGCAACATCGGTACAATCACACACACACTTTCCCCGCTCTTATCATTTTTTTATTCACTTTTTCTCTTATTATAGTTCTCTGGTGAGGAAATACCGTTTGGTAAAGCAGGTCTATTATACTATGGTCACGTCATCTGTTGTCTGTCCATCCTCTGGAGCGCATTCAATATCTTTGTCTATCTCACCAGACGTTTCGGTACAGGCCATAAAATCAAACGCTTTCTTTCCACCTTGTTTGATCTGACCTTGACAGCCTTATTTGGTGTCTGTGTCTTTTATGAAATCGCAACCTATCGTTGTAAACCAGGCATGCACAACGGATGGTAAAAAAAAAAAAAAAAAAAAAAAAAAACCCTTTTTTGTTGTTGTTGTTGTTGTAGTAGTAGACACTCACTCTACTTTTAGGTGTGATTTTTATAACACTGGCATCTTTTTTCTTATGTCGCTGTTCCTGACATACACTGTACATGCATTATGGGACTTGTTTGGAGCCATGGATTGCCTTCGACGCTAATTTTTTCCAGTGGGATAAAAAAAACAGACTTTATAATATGTAAAAAAGAAGAAAAAAAAAATGTATTCGAATATATGAAATAAAGAAAATAATAATAATAATAATAATAGTATGAACAAAAAGAAAGGGGGGGGGGGGAGGGGGATGAGGGAGGAAAAGGGTTTCTTTTTTTTTTATAGGGAGGTTTTTTCTTATATATTAATGACCATACATTTCTTCAAAATAAGGTGCTAAACGACCTCGATCCACTGTGGCAATATAATAATGACCTCCATTATTCGTCCAACTCACAGCCTCTGAGTAATATTCAAACTCTTCCACTCGTAAAATAGATTCGGGCATATTCAGAGTACGCTGGTTGATCTTGTGGTGTTTGGGCACAAATGACTTTAATGAAATAATCCGTGTACCTTCCTTCAAATCCAAAAACAGTTGCGCTAAAGCTTGATTTGTAGCCGCATCAAACGCATAATTGTTCACTAAAAGTACATCCGATCGTTTCAGTGTCGCATACAAATCGTTAGCCGCCACATCTAAGAAATCTCCGTGCCTGAAATGGATTTTACCCGTAGGAAGACGCCAAGCCCTAATCATATTTAGTGTATGTGTGATTAGTTTACCTCTGACACATTTTTTTTTCATATATATATAAAAACTCACTTCATGCGCGCCGCATATTCCTTCAACTGTCGCTTGGCAAATTTACACGGTGTCTCCATAATTTCAATACCATACGCCTCACATCCTGTCTGTGCTGCTACTTGAAGTACCACGTTGCCTATACCACACCCCAAATCCATAAACACACTTTTTGAATTCACACCAGTTTTCGAAATAAAGTCTTTTACTAAAATAGGGTTGATCTCTCCATACACGTTATTCGAAAAGGCTATTGAAAAAAAAAAAAAAATTCCATTTGTTAGTTTACCTTCCTCTTTCTATCATCCTTTTTCCTCTCTCTCTCTTTCTTTACCTTGGTAATTGTTCAGGGCATCCGATTGACGAGCCACCGTACGACTATAGACCTGAAAAAGAATATGACAAGCTAAATCATAATTGGGATGACACATGGCCTTGGCATTCTTGCTAATGACCCCTTCCGCTTTCAAACGTCGCATCACCTTGTTGAAATCTTTGACGGCTTGTGAGAACCCGGCACTGCTACGTCGATTACGGTATTTGGTCAGATTGCGCATAATCCCATGCGACTGATTGCCAAGCAGTTTTTGTTGTTCACCCGGTAAAAGATAACAATCGTAAATAAATTCACAGGTACGCATTAGGTCCGTAATGGGGTTGTATTCATCCTTGTCTTCTTCTTCCTCTTCGTTGCTTTTACCCGTGGTATTTTTTAATACTGGCTTTAATAAAAGAAAGCTTTTTTTTTTTTTTTTATAAAAAAGGAAAGGAGGGTTATTAGTCTATGAAAGGTACTTAAACAGAAAAAAAAAAAAGATACCTACTTTTCAGGCTCAATAGAACCAGGATACTCCAACACAACACGCAAATTCTTTTCTTTGGTGGTAGGAGCGGTTTGACCAGGACTATCGGCATCGGTTTCTGTAAAATCTAACAACAACAACAACAAAAAAGTTAGCCATCGCTTCTTCTTTCTTTTTTTAACATGTCTTTCTTTTGTTTTTTTTTACCAAGAGGGACTTACATGGCCTATATTGACTTATCTCTGCTTGTACAATGCGATCGGAATGCGTAATGGATTTACCAGGTTTCACTATGGGTGCCTTTTCTCTACTAATTTTCTTATCTCGAGGATTCTCAACCGAACTAGACAGTCTTCTTTTTGTACTGTTAACATCGGCTTTCGTCGATTCTCCACTCTTTTTCTCTGTCTCCACCACTGGCTGTGATTGAGCTTGGGCTGCCTGTGCTGCTTCCGCTTCCGCTGCTGTTGCTGCTGCTGCTGCTGCTGCTGCTTGGGCGGCTTTGGCAGCAGCGGCCGCAGCAGCTAGTTTGCTAGCCATAACTTTCTTGGGTGGTAACGTCACCGTTTGTTTATTCTGGTCCTTTTCAACAAGAAGGTGACTTCTGTCTTCCGTCTTTGAAGAGTCTATGGTTGTCATTTTGGCTTTGTTATTTTTTTTTTGCTGTATTCAAATTTTTTTAAAAAAGAAAACAAAAAAAAGGGAGAGAAAAAAAGTGAGTGTTTGCAACCCCCCTCAATTGGGCATAGGCGGACATTGAACATGCGGTCTGGGACGTCGTTTTTTTTTTTGTAAACCAATTGATGTAGAGATAGATTTTTGACATGAATAGGGGAGTTACTGAAAGACCACTTTTGTTAAATCAACAGGTTAAAAAAAAAAAAAAATCTGGCAGCTTTTATCCCGTAGTAACATGTTTTCCTTAATGAATGGTTATTTTATGAAAAAAAAAAAAAAAAAAAATCAAAAATAACGAAAAAAAAAGAAAATGATTATAAAGACATCATGTTATTGTAGTTAGGACCATTTGGACGCGCTTGTTGCTGCATTTGCATTTGCATTTGCAATTGATATTGTTGTTGTTGTAATTGTAATTGCTGTAATGCTTGAGGTGATTGATGTTGCTGTTGCATTTGTTGTTGTTGTAGTTGTTGATGCTGATGTTGTTGTGGATGCTGATGACGTTGATTGCCGTTTAAAAACATGGCAGGATGACCCCCACCTGCCAACTGCTGTTGAAGTTGAGCTGGTGTAATAATACTAGCAATTGCATTTGCTTTACTGATACGTTTCGCCATCTCTTGTCGAATGAATAATACTTTTCTCTTGAAAGCTCCCTGATCTTGTTCCAATTGACGTTTTTCTTTTTCCAACTGAATCTTTTGTTCCTCCACCATACTTTCTAAACCCCCATAATGACTCGCTTGTTGTTGATATTGAGTCAGTTTATGTCGGATCAATGTATTGGTCAATTCACATAAATCTGATTCTTCTGTTTCACTCTTTACAGATTTCATCATCTCCATCTCTTCCTTTGACTCTTCCGATCCTTCCTCCCTTTTGATACCCGTTCCATGCACAGCAGGCACAATTTGGAATGTCTGGATATCTCCAGCCGCTGCTGCCACTTGTGGCTCCACCGAGGATGCCAAAAATGCCACCGCTGCCATAATCGGATTCTCACGATGCGGCTGTGCATCATACTGAAGCAAACCCAATTTCTCTACCTCCACATCATGAAATGGATCGTTCATCGGCAGTTGAAGGTAATGCAGGATACATTCATCATGTGTACGCGTTCCTACATGATTTGACACCTTTTCCCAATCATCACCAAATAGACCCAATCCTTCCTTCAACAATGACTCCTCTTCCTCTTCCCATACATCATCCACTTTGACCTCATTCAATCGTTCCACACGGAATCGTCCATTCCCGCATTCACGTGGATATTTGCCTGCCATAAAACACGGCTTGCAAATGTAAAAATCAGGTACCGTTGTACTACAGTATTGCTCTCCTTCACATTTTGTGCCACAACTAGAACATGTTTGTGCTCGCTTCTCTTTCTTGTCATCGTAATCAATCTCCACTCGCGTCTCCTTCTCTTCTTCCTCCTCCTCTTCCTTTTGTTTGTACTCGGCTTCCTCTGAAGGTTGATCAATCACCACTTTATATTGACTATCAAAAGGTGGGCTTAGCGATGACAATTTTGCCTCTGGATCAACCTATAGGTGATATATATATATATATATAAAAACTTATGAGCAAACATTCCAACCTCCCCCTGGGTGTCTGTTAAGAAACATTTACCTGATAGTTAATCAATCCCCACTGTTCCAAAAACGAATGCACGCGAAGAATAGCACACACATCACCCGTTAAATTGCGTCTACAAGCTGTAATGGTGAGATACTCAATAGGGTTCATACGATAGGTATTGATCATGAAATCACGGTATTCCTTGTACACTGTAGGTGTCTTGGATTTATTGCGATCATTAAAGAACTCGGGTAACGCTTTTGACTCAATACGATTCACCGTCGTGATATCAAACCATGCAGCGTACGAAGGAATGATAATATCATGCGTCTGTAATGACACATAACGTTGTGGGTCTTCCTCCGGTAAAGGAATCGATGCAAGATCTACCGGTAAAAGATTGGCGGCAAGATCCACCGCTGTTGTTGTTGTTGTTGTTGTTGTTGTTGCTGTGGGTGGTTCCACTTTGATAGCTTCCTCTGTCATTTCCTCCCCTTTTCCATGTTGTTTGGCCTTCTTGGTCATGTTCTCCACCACAGTCATATCTTGCACAGGAACAGATCGCTTCTTCATACGCACTCCCTGTGGGTAGTGGTAATCCGAGGGTAACATCCATTCATTGTATTTATAACTGTCGATCACCCAAGTGGCTTTCACATGCCATGGACCCAATGCATCCTCATGAGGCTTCTGTTGTTGTTGTTGTTGGCCTTGGGGTAATTCGTCTACCATGCGGTTGTAAGATTCAGGTAAGCCAATATAGTGAATCAATGACCTTCCATTCTTTTGTTCTTGGATATAATAGAGAGGGTGCTCTGTGTTAAATACTGGGTCTTCGTCATGATACACAATATGAGTTGCATCCGACGTATCCTCCACTACACGACCTAAGAGAATAAGATGTTCAGTGTCCCGCACCCCTCCTTTTTTTTTTTCAACTCGTTTTATTATTTATTTATTTTAGTTACCACCCAACGATTGAACCATGTGAGCCCATGAGTTCATTTTCACTGTCGGAATATGTTCATCAAATGCAACGACGGGAGGTAGATAATAACCGTCCTGTTGTAATTGGAGTGCAATGACGTTGACGAGTTGAAGGTATATGTCTTTTTCTTCTGGTGCGTCGAATTGCCAGTCGCTCATGTCCTTGTCGGATTGAAAGATGTAGGCAGTTTTGAGGATGGTGTAGAGTGGGGAAGGTTTAGCGAGAAGTTCGACTTGAAAGAAACGAGTCGGTATACGTGTGGGGACATGGCGCGTGGCGGTCAAGGCATCCTGTTGAAATTGAAGAAACCTGGCTGTAAAATAAGCTAATTCGGGTGCGGTGAAGGTGGCATCCACTCCCACTGCACTTAGCTCTTGTCGCAAATCAGGTAGTATCGCATCAAAATAGGAAATCGTGCTGGGTTGTTCATAGAAATTAAAATCAATCTGTGGTGCTTGTATAGTCATCATTAAAAAAAAATAATATAAAAAAAACGCGCTTTTCTTCTTTCTTTCTTTTTCTTTTTTTTTTTTTTAAAAAACAAAAAGAAAAAAATTTAAAAAGAAATAAACAGGCCCTTGTTCTCTCTCTAATTTTTTTTTTTTTTTTATTTTTTTTTTTTTTTTTTTTTTTCTGCTTTTCCCTTTTATTCGTCACCCACCAGAAAAAAAAAAAAAAAAAAACTTGCTCGTTACACGTGATTCGGACAACGAATAAGTACGTTTTTTTTTTTTTACAAGCCAAGCAAGTAAATGGTGCCTTGTCAAAGATAGAGTGCTTCTGGTGAGCAAATGAACCAACTCAATAAGGAAACATGTTTACAGATATTCATATCTAGAGGATAGCAACACGTTACCAAAAATCTCATTTGTTTCAATTTCCGTAACAATCTATCTACTAGATCCGCTACTGCCCCTTTATATTTAAAGTTTTTCTTTACATCATACCAATCGAGAGGAATAGAAAAACGCCTCTAGAATTTTATGCTGTAGAATATATGAGCAAAACAATGTCATATAGCATGATGCTGAACCTAGCAGAAATAAAGTGTCCATCATGAGTATAAGAAATGATAAAAACTCCATCCCCTTTTTCTTTTTTTTTTTTCATGTCTGGTCATGCTGCTATAGCAACGGCCAGTTGTTTACAACAGATGAACTCTCTTGGGATTCCAGTTAATAAAAATACTTGTAAATTAAAGCAAATGACTGTTTTTTTTTCAAAGAAAAAAATAGGGCGTTGCGTAATCCAAGTCTTGGGATATGTTTCGTTCATGACAGATCACCAATAATTTAATACCGCAAATAAAAAAAAAAAAAAAAAAAAGGGAAGGAATATACAATATAAGTGTGACAGAGAAAAGTGCAAAAGAAAAAACCAGATTTGAAATCTACATAATGTCCCAAAGATCCTCAAAAGCACAACATACTTTACCACATGCAACAGAAGCTGATAACGCGAAACTTGAAATACCTGCGATTTTTTTTTTTTGGTTGGTTGGTTGGTCAGGATCATAGCCTCTCCCCCCCCCCCTTCCCTTACACCCCCTTTTTCACTCTATTTACCTATTTTTTCGTCTACATATTCATCCGCAAAAGTATCAGGTCCTTTGGCCATAGCACCAACAGATACCACCACGGGTTTCCCCTCAGGAACATCCTTGAAATATTTGTATAAACGGACTTGAGGTGCATTCCACGAAAGAGCTGCCAAAAAAAAAAAAGGGATAGTGTTAATCAAACAATACAAAAAAAAAAAAAAATCTGACAAGACAAACACACGTACCAATCTTTTTAGCATCTTTGGGTAAATACTGAGAGACAGGAGGTGGCACGATTTCTAAAAGCTTTGTATTGCCTTCAATATCACCCGAAATACTACCTCTTTCTAATAATTGAACTATAAAGGTGGGGAATACGTTAAATAAACAAAGGTTTCTTGACACAGTCTATCCCTTTTTTTACCCATTAATCCTGAAAAACGCTTGATCGTTCTTGGTATACGGCATGCAGGATTGATACGAATCACTACACCTTTAGCAGTGTGAATATATACCTAAATAGTTTGGGTCAATCATCACGTCTTCCCCCCCTCTATCGAAAAAAAAAAAAAGGATGGACTTACTTCTAAATGACCTGATTTGTTCAAGGGACTATCCAACAAGGTCAAAAGACACTTATAGAGGTGAACTAACGGTTTTAGTCATAACAAAACAATGACATCTTTGCGTGTCTCTATCCTACCTGGTGAACAATATCTGGTCTGGCATCGGCAATATCTCTACCCAGTCTTTTTAAAATAGATTGATGTTCATCACAATTTAATAACTGCATTTTACTTTCTGGACGGTATTGGTGTAAGCGGGCGGCTTCCAAAGAGGCGTTTTCAAGCACAACAACTACTTTACGACTTTGAGGTTGAACAGGTTGTCCTTGTGTAGGGGCTTCATGCCATGAGGAATCTTCTGACATTGTATATGGTTGAAAGGGAAGTTTTTCAAAAAAAAAAAAAAAAGTTTTTTGTGTTGTGTTTGGGCCACTATTTAGAAAGAAAAAAAAAAAAAAAAAAGATGCGAGATGTTCAAATTGGAAATAACAGTCCCTTTACCTTTCAAGGGAGATCATCTGTACCCTCCCCTCAACACTTGATTATTGGTGTAGTATTGTGTGATCTCCCCCATCTTTTATTTTGATGATGCCCGCTTTCAACACCAGACGCCACTCTCTCTTTTTTTTTTATAGTATATTTTTTTCTTTTTGAATAAAAAGCTGCAAGTGTGTGTTTTGTTTACATTTATCCTGCTGTGTTTTAAACAGAGTGTTATACATCGTTGCAAAATAATCGTGGTCGTTTTTAGTGCTGTTTTTGCTTTTCTTTTTTTTTTTTTTTTTTTTTTTTTTAATTTACATCGCCGCTGTTTGTTGATCTTGTTTTGAGCCTCAGTGGTAGAAATAAAAAAAAAAAGTAGAAAAGTAGATTGCACCCCTATTTTACAATTATGCAGTACCTTATGATATGAAACAAATCATAAAAAAAGAACAGGTACAATCTACATTTCTACTTTTGAATATTTGTTTCAAAACTGACTATTCTTCGTGTGTGTACAAAAAAAAAAAAAAGATGGTGCGACTCTTCTGTTAAAAATTGATCATAAAAATTAAGAACGTTTTGCTAGATTGTAAAGAAGGAAGTATTTTTATATATATATAAAAAAAAAAAGAAATTGTATTTTATATTCATATCTAATTTATTAGCATTTTTCTTTTGACTTTTTTTAACCCCCAAAACAAGAGACGAGTTCTAAAAAATGCATTTTTGTAGGCCAATAAGATGAGTGAAATCTTTGCCATCCATCTCTTTTTTTTTTTAATAGATGATTTGTACTCAACCGTCTTCTTCTAACATGCTGTCATTTTAAAGCCTATCAATTGGGCCATCATTCTTCCTCTTTACGTATTTACATCTCCTATCTCAAAATAGCTTGTAACATGCTGAGTGACATTGGATTGAAATGGGTTAAGAGGATCCCTCCTAGATACCCGATTCCATATTGGATACTTTTCCTGCATAAGGCATACGAATCATATTCTGTTCTTATTTACGAACACTTGAATCCGAATCAGGTTTATAATATCGATGGCACTGTTAAGCAATCATATCCACAGCGAGAGGAGGTTTTCATTCGTTTTGTACAATGAAACCTAGACAGCAAATAAATAAAAAAAAAAATGGAGAGCAAGTATAATCCCGACGCATTTTATTTCATATAATCTACAGCTATATAACTTTTATTTAAATATACAGGAGTTAGCACTATAATTAGATACTGTGGCATGTATTAGTAGTAATGTTGAGGATACAGTAGAAAACAAGAGATTGGCACTTGACAATAGGTGCTCTCAAGGTAAAATTCGAAAAGCCGGTGGACCCCTTTTTTGGGTGTGAACGGATTTTTTTAAATTGAACAAAAAAATAATTTCATCGATCAGGTGATGCCGTGACGGTTCTTCACTTTCAAATTTACTAAAAGACCTAACGTGATTTTATTAATAAAAAAACGGAATATTCCTTTTCGCTTATCTTTATTTTTTTTTAAAGTACCTATTTACCATGAACCCAATTGACGAAACTTTTTTCGATATAATGCAAGAGCAACTTTGGATGGGAAATGGTGCTGACCGTTTTGAAGACGAAGATCAATACTTCGATGCCGTGATGGAAGAAATCATTAGAATTGACGAAGAGTTCGATTTAGAAGAGGAAATGCTTGAACAAGAGGTTGCCATTGCCGAAGAGAACATTATTGCCGACTATGCTCGTCTTGAAGGCAACTATGACGTTTATTCCTTGTTCCAACTTTGGGTCAGAGAAACAATTTTGCATGCAACCACTTTAATCAACTATGACATCTTTTATTACATCTTCATAAGCAACCCTGGGATGATGACCCGAGAATCGCACAGAAGGGTTGTTAGAACCGAGCGTATGGACACGTACGAAACATACTGGACGATAAAACATCCCAACTTGAACGACGATCGTAACAGCCGCCATAGCTATAGAGCTCATTATCGAGTCAACAAGTCGACCTTCGAGTGGCTCGTCAATCGTTTGAGTAGATGTGCTGCTTATCTTGGGTCAATTCTGCGAGGTGGTTACTCTGTAGAAGTGCAAGTTGCGTGCGTGCTTTGGAGATTTGCTAACACGCATTTTGGTTATCGAATTGCCGAAACTCATCTTGGAGTAACTGCCGGATCATTCAATAATTTCACTAACCGATTTATTGATGCCATGTTGGAGATTACTCCCGAACTTATAACATGGCCCATCGAAGATAGACAGAGAGCTTTGAACAATGCTCGTGAGTTTGCAGAACTTGGTGAACCTGGTGCTACGAGACTTTCTGGTGTACTCGGTGCAATTGATGGCAAGCTGGTTGTGATCCAAAAACCAGCAATAAATGGAAACGCTTATGTCGATAGAAAGAGTCATGCATCCATGAATTTGATGGCAATTTGTGATGCCCGTACTCGGTTTATGTACGTAAAAACTGGGCATTCCGGTAAGTTCATGTGGAAGGATAAAAAAATGATACAGCAGCTTACCGTTTGTTATTATATTAAGGCAGAAACCATGATGCCAGAGTATTCACAAGCAGCGTGATTTATCACAAAATTTTGTTGGATGCGGCCAGATGGTGTCCTGCAAACACTTATATTTTGGGAGGTAAGTTCATTAATTATTTTAAGGTATACAAAGCATTAACGATGAGACCTAGATTCGGCTTACCCTTTGCTGCCAAATCTCATTGTTCCATTCCATGGCCGACGTGAAAGCACTGCGGAAGAAAAAATTTTCAATGCAACCTTTTCTAGTTCTCGAATTAAAATTGAACATGCATTTGGTGGGCTCACGTCCAGGTGGAGATTCCTTTGGAAGCACTTGTATATGCTCAGCGTTGATAGAATGGCTAAAACCATCATATCTTGCTGTGGTTTGCACAACGTTTGTGTAAACCAAAATGATATCGAAGAGGCAATTTTGGATGGAAACTTGGATTTTGAGGGATTTGTTGAGGCAGACCGTAGAAACCAATTTGAAAATGAAGTGAACTTCGAACCTCCGCTTCCTTTCCTCGGTACCGATACTACCATTGATGCTGCAGGTATGCGCCGTATTAAGGCAATGTCTATCTTAAGAAGAAACAACATCATGAGGGGAACAGATAGACTTGCTTAGTTTTCAAAAGGTTTTATTATATTAAATATATTTTTTATTTAATTATTGTTGTCAGTAGAAGATGAACCAAGATTGGTATCACTATCGCCTCTTCGAATTGCTGCAAATCTATTCATAATAGTCTCCATATCAGAGATACGTTTACGTCTATCCTCTTCCAAATCGGCCTCTCGTCTACTTCTTGATTCTTCTAGCAGTCGATATCTCTCTCTGGACTCTTGTCGTCTTCTTGTTTGCATATCTTCCAATGCAGTCTGTCGATTACGACTGACCCTTTGCAACATACTGTCAAGGTCACGAATTCTTTGCTCCCTTTCTTCCCGTTGTACCGCTGCCATTCGATCCATCATCTCTACACCGAGTTGGCGGGCATGTGCCATATGCTCCTCTGACAACTGACGAGCAGCCTCGATGGGATCAAAAGTTGACGAAGACTGCTCACCAGAAGTTCGATTATTTCTCGAAGTGCGGGTTGATCTTGGTGGAGGTGGTGCGGATGTAGGTGGAGGTGGAGGTGGTGCGGATGTAGGTGGAGGTGGAGATGGTGCGGATGTTTGTTGAGGTGGAGGTGCGGATGTTTGATGAGGTGGAGGTGATGCGGATGAATATGGAGGTGGAGGTGGTGCGGATGTATATCGAGGTGGGGGCGTTGCGCCTGTCGATGCTGGTGGTACTGCGGATGCTGATGTTGGTGTTGGTGTTGGTGGTTCGGTTGCTGGTGTTGAGGTTGGTGTTGGTGGTTCGGTTGCTGGTGTTGAGGTTGGTGGTGGTGCGGATGTAGGTGGAGGTGGTGGTGCGGATGAGGGTGTTGATGGTGGTGCAGGTGCAGGTGCTGTTGATGATGATGGTACTGAAGATCCTTCAGTGGGGTATCGATCGGCCAAAGCTTTTTGGATCACAAGTTGATCGACTTCCGTAGGTGTCAAGTACGTAGTTTCGGGACCATCGGATCCAATGGCATCCATTAAATCAACGTCGTTTGATCTTCTATATGATCGAATGCCATTCTCCTCCATGTTGACGCTTTCGTAAATTACCTCAGGTTGGATGCTAGGATCATCCTGAGTGATCTTGGCAATTTCTTCATAGTATGGTATGTCTGGGACAGTTCCACCAACTCCTGTTTCTCTTGCTGCATTTCTGGCTCTGGTGAATCTGGCTTTCATGTCTTTCCACTTGCGTTGCATACTGAGATGCGTGACATTTGCTATAAAAGCCCTGACTGCATCGGTGTTTGCATATTCAGCCATCTTTTCTTTCAAGAGAGCTGCCGAATGAACCCAGATAAACTGTTTCAAGGCAGTATCTCCTCTTCTCAACAAGTGATTGTAGGTGCCTGCCATGATCTCAAGAAGGATACAAATTGCAACCTCAGGCCATACGTTGTATGGACGTGAAGGCCCATTGTCATCTTCGACATTAGCGTTGTTGTTCTCAGCTTGGGCATTGCTGTTGTTGACAGGAGTGGTATTGTGCTGAACAGTAGGTTCAACAAACACAAAGGTGCCAGCGTGTCTGCCACGTCCGCGTCTACCTCCACGTCCATTTCCACGACCACGTCCGCGACCACGTACGTTGTTGGGTGTGTTGTTATTTGCTTCAGTGTTGTTCATAGTAAGGTAAGTGATAAAAAGTAGTAATAAAGTAAAAGGGAGGAAAAAAATAAAAATAAAAAAATGTGGATTTAAAAACTTTTGTTATTTTATCATTTCCTTTTCAAGCGAATAATTTTGAATGTACCATGACTTTGATCAGATTTTTATTTCCACCCATATATGTATGTGTGTTATTTTGCCCATTTTTAGATCGCTTTTTCAAGCACTTCTTTTACTATTTTTGTAGAAAAACTGGGCAATTTATTTTCGGTTTCCGATCTTGAGAGCACCTAATTTAGAAATGTTGCTTAAAGATATCCACATCGAAAGCAGAAATTTATAGCCAGCCATCAATGCACAATTGGAATCCCAAGCTGCTGCAAAAAATAGCCCGAGGCTCAAAATTCTTTGATGGACCATGGTAGCTTAAAACCTCTTTAAATCTTTTACAAAATGACAACAAGTCTCTTTTGACAAATTTCCCCCTATACTGAAAAAAGATCGTATTCTTGTACAATAGCCTAGTCATTGATGATGAGGATTTAGTCAAGGTGTTTGCTAAGAATGGTACGTTGGATGACTTGATGTATGTCTTGAATAAGTTCATAAAGGAAAAAAGAGGATGGAATATGGTGGAAGAGGCTTTGAGTACTATTCATACCATGCTTACCGGATCAAATACGCCCGCTTTCCATGTATTAAAGCAAAGTGTTCAACAAGCTAAACAGATATAAGGTGCTGAGAATCTAATTTTAGTTGATTTCAAACGGAAAGCCCCCTTTTTTTTGTTGTTTTTACTATCATCTTTTATTTCTCAACAACTTTTTCTCAACATCTTCTTTTTCTCAACATCTTTTATTTCTCAACAACTTTTTCTCAACATCTTCTTTTTCTCAACATCTTTTATTTCTCAACATCTTTGTAAGACTAAACTTGACCGCAAGGTGACCATGCCTACATTTGGTGTAATACTGGATGTACAGCTAGTTTAGCTTGGTGGTTAATGACTTGGGTGCTATCCTTGCACCGACAAAAACCCCCCCATTGCGGTTGTTTTTTATCGAACAGTTTCTTTGGCCTTTTGGTTGTCATTTCTGCCAATATTGCTTACAGCCCTAAAGATGTTAAGATGGATTGAACTTGACCGAAAGGTGACCATGCCCCGCTTGTTGAAGGACTTAGAAAGACAAGCCCTCTGCTAGTTCAACTTGATAGAGAATGATCCTTAGCTGACCCCCCTCTTTGCAGTAGTTTCAAACGCTTCTTAGAGCCCATTGTGTCGTCATTCCTATCAATATTGCCATCTTTTTTTTTTAAAAAACAACTTCATTATGTCTTTTGTACGATTAAAAAACTTTGCTTTCTGGGACTCGATCGATAAGTTTTTTTTTATTGTAGCCTGATTGTGTAAATATACTAACATATAGTTTTAGGCCAGCAACAGCGTCGTGTGTCTTACTAGTATAGACATTTCACTGAATTATAGATGGTTTTAAGAACAAGAAACTAGTCATCTAATAGTAACACTGACAACAATGATTTAACAGTCTCCAGCAGGCCATCTACAAACGCCTTAAGGTCCCTCGTGCTCTTTATCAATTTACCCTTGTTTTGAATTAAAACGTGATTAATAAAATAATTTTTAATAAAACAATCAAAGTATGTGGAATTATAAAGTTTAGCAGCCATCTTAGAGTCAGTATCCTAGATTTAACAAGCTCGTTTAGCCTGAAGCAGTTTTACAGCATTTTTAAGTTATATTGGTCATTTTCTTGGAATATGACTGTATCACTTTCTGGAATCAGCGGTTCTCACTTGTCAGTAGTTTACATTGAGGTATTAAACTGCAACACATACCGAGTAAGAGCCTATGCTTATTTAGTAAAGAAAGAGGGTGCACTTCAGATACCTTTTCCAATTATCTTATTGTGACAGTATTTATAGAGTGCAATCGTAAATAGATAGAGGATATTCCTGCTCTGTCTTCAGAAGCGAGCCATCATGATAACTAAATACAATAGCTACACGGCCAATTGAACAGGTGCCAAGACAATAAGGGAAACATATGTACCATCCCAAAGAGTATTTCTGTGCTATTACTAAAAGGTTGAGGAACTTCTTTTTATACAACTGGTATTATATGCTTGGTACAGGAACGATGTGATAATTTCATAAAAGGTATTTATAGTAGGGATGAATAGAACATAGAGTACTGTAATAAAAAATTATGAATATAATGAATATTAATAGTGAAATACTATGAATACGGTGGACAATAATACTAAAAAAAAGTGTGGCTACAATGGATAATAATAATAAAAAGATTTGGATGCGATGGGTGGTAAAAATAATAACAATAACTCGTTATAAAAACAGTATGAACAATAGCTGAAATAAAGAAGGTATACGTGCTATTAATGGCTCAGGACAACAGGGCATTTTCTCTTTCTGTCTTTTGATATACATACGATTTTTTTTGCATCAATGATAGTATCCATATGACTCTCTGATATCAAGTTATTGATCAGTTCAAAGCTATTTTCATAGTATTGTAAAACCGGCATCATATCACTGACGTTTGCAAAGTATGACATAATTTCTGTGAGGTCCTTTGGTAAAGTAATTGAACAAATCTCCATCATTACATAGAAACTTTTGGATAATAAAGTAGAAATAGAGAAGGTAACCTGCATACCAATTACTTGTATTCCTATAAAACCTTTATACTTATTATGGTTGATAGATTCCATAGATAAGGAGCCAATTCGGAAAAGGTCCATCAAGCACATGTAAACATCATCCTTTCTATCCTCGCCTTTGACTTCTCCTACCAACACTGGTCCAACCCAATTCGAATGTTCAAGAACATTTCCACCAAAGTCAGGTTGTTTGCTATTTGATTCTAACACTTCTGCCATGACTTCAAATGGGAAGCATCTATTAAAGTAATTCACCTTACTTTTTTAGAATGGCGTGTACTACAAGTTTACATAAGCTTTAGTTTCGGTACGGTAGCACTGCATAGCATCGGAAAAGCCCGGTTGTTACAAATTTAACCTATAATTTACACATAAACATGAGCAAAAAAAAAAAAGAAACTTTCGTAACGTGCATATGAATGCTAATTTACCAATGCAAGTGACTTCTTTTGTCAGGATTATTAAATATAGGTGAAAGAACGGGATTAGCATAGGAACATCCAGCTTGATTTTCGTTAATAAGACCGTTAAACTTGTACTTGGGGAGGATTTCAAGAAGATTACGGATGCCTATTACAATCATGTCATCATAATTCTTGCAATCATCATCTGAAAGTACGTCGTTCAGTTTTTTGGCAGCTTTTGTCATTGTGATTGTCTATGATTTTGTATCCTACCAGACGATAAGCTAATTGATACACGAATTGTTTAAATATACCTACCTTCAGAATTTTTTCAATTCTTACTTTGACATCAGTGTGAATATCTGCTGAATCTATTGTACCAAAGATTTGCTTGATCTCATGCCGAATCGATAGAATACATGCTTCATTGAATATACTTGAAACTAATAGACTTGCTTGACCAGGTTTGATAAGTAAAATGTTATTTATAGCCAATAATTCTTGAATATCAGACTCAAGGAAACAACCTTTTTCTTCGATCTGCTTGGCTGCTTTCAATTGATATTTCTTGAATAATTCACCAACATTGACGTTGTCAATTTTATATTTGTTCTCATCAGCATACGTATAATTATCCAAGCTGATATTAGCATGGTTATCATTATCCTGTAATTTCAAAAATATATACATTGGTTAGACTGATACTGTATTTCTAGTGTTTACAAAAGTGGTACTTGCATCAGGTGTATCTCTATGACTATCCTCGGCTGCAGCTCCTGGTGTAGGCAATATTACGTTTTCATCAGCTAGTTGTTAAATAAATATTGAGAATAATCATGTATCGATACATTTTTTAAGCTTACATTGTTTCACCTATGAAAGAATAAAATTTGTTAAGATCAAGCAGACTAGGAAAGAAATAAAAGATCATACCAATAGGCGTAACTTTTTAACATTTGCTATACTTGTTATTGTACTATTATTGCTGTTTTCTACATTGACATGTAGGTTTGGTGATGGTGCACTATTGTTTTGTCGACAAAACTCTTGGAAATTTAAGTTCTTTTTGCTCGAGTCAGTACAAGAGTGTAAAACGTTATTTGTTACGAGTAAAATTCAATAACTTCAATTTTTTGTTTTGACGACCAAGCTTCTTTTGAATCTTGCGAGGTGTTCTTGAATCTTTACGTATTGATCGAATGGATTTTCGGTAACAAGTGTTAGCCTCAACAAACTGCTTTTTTGACAACGGATCCCTTGAGTTTTTTATTAGCTCATCAACAAACAAAGTGAAAGACCACGCGTTGGATCCTCGTGTTTTAAAGAATTCATGCCACCAACACACCAAAAGTCTTCTCAATTGCCATTCTTGTAGCAGAGTGTACGTGATTAAACGTACATTTACGTTCATCCACCAGACATTGACTCTCCGGGTAAGGAGTGATTAGATTCACACCTAAAGGGTAGGCCGAGTCAGCAACCAAGAAGGTACGGCCAGGGAAGTCAGTTGCGGGATCTTCCAGAAAATCCGAATAAACCTTACTCGATTTAAATGCTGCAGCATCATGAGTACGACCTTAACAAAATATTAACGTGTATTAGACCTCTTTGATTTTAATCACATATTCTATTGATAGATTACCTGAGTCACCTACACGAATGTAGGTGAATCGCAAGTCAGAGTCACATACAGCAGTAAGATTGATCAAGTTTCTTGCGATCCAAAAAAAATGCACCGAATTCCTTGGGAGAAGGCATGTGAATCTTGAAATTCTTGCCATCCATAGCACCGATGACATTGTTCAACCTATCCCCAGTTTCACTCCCAAAACCAAAGGCTTCATCAGGGTTGGTAGGCCAGGCCACAAAATGAACCAACGCTCCCTTGATTGCTTCGAGTGTTCTTACGGTAAAGTTTCTAAAACTACCAGCAGAAATACCCAAATGCATATACGCGAGGCGATATCCGATATGGCAATTAGCCAAGCAAAGTAACGTCGATGCGATCTGAATATAGATGGGAATGGTATTGGGGGCGGTCAGATCAAAGGCCGGACGGTTCGAGAGCTGGTTGACCAGATGAACAAAGGCACGCTTGCTCATGCGGTAATTCGCCCGATAACTCTTCGTCTGGTTTTCATCGTCGTCCGTAAGGTGTGGGTGCTCCACTTTCCAGAAATGATATCGTCGGGTTCTTCTTTCACCGTTGACTATAATTACAGTTCGCGTTCGGTGAACGCGTTCGCCAAAAAAAAAAAAAAAAAAAAAAAAGGGCAAGCTGGTGATTTCCATACCATACTGACTGTGGTAATCGCTTGTAATAAAATTGTATTGAAGACGTTCGGCCATGTAAAGTTCTTCAGGAGAATGAAGAAGGTCGTCGAATTCATCAATAGAACGGTGAAACTCTTTGATTTCTTCTTCAAGTTTCCAATATTCACAGGTAAGTTGATCAAAGTGTTATTGCCATCTAGACATGTCACTAGCGAGTTGGAGTTGGAGTTGGTTCATTTTAAGATAAATTTATGGGGAAGAAGCGGAAGGAATAAAATTAAAAACAAAAGTTACGGACAGACACTTTAGCGGAAATGTCTAGACCTCCGTATTTTTTTTTATACTACTTACAGAAATTCTGGCCAGAAGACCAGCAGGCCAGTATGTTTGCACCTATTTAAAATGCATCCCTGCTATTCACAGTTCGTGAGTTCCAAAAACTCAAGAACTCTGCCTAGGAGGTCGCCCTCCTATAGCAAAGACTAGTCACAGCCGCAATATCCCAATATATCTTTTTCAATTTAGCTTCTTTTCAAAGAAACAAGAGTCGCTACTAAACAAACCTTTTTACGTGATCAATTACTTTCATACGATAAAAGAAGTATGTTAAGGGAAAAGAAAAGGAGAAGAATAAAGTGTGTGAACCAGCTTTATGTATAGATAAACAAGCTTATGTCAGGATGATTTTATTTGTCTATTTTATCATCCATAATGTTTGAGCCTTTACTTAAAATAGAAACATTGGCAAAATTTCCCAAGCAAGTCAGAGCTTGGTAATTGTCTATCTGCGTTCCAATAGTAGCTTGTAATGACAGTGAAGCAGATTTTATGGAAAACAGAAATCGATCATCCCATGAAGTTTAGATGATATGGCATGTCAATCGACGTGTAGACCATCGCGTGATTCTAAAAAATACGTTTGAAAAAAATACGGAGCTCTAGACATTGCCCACTTTAGCACTTTTTGGAAAAAATCTTAATAATCATCCAAAATGGGCTATTAAACAGGGGTATTCTTGGCGCACCTGCTGGCGCACCCAAATCGGGCTTTAAAGTATAATTCTTACGTAATATATTCATTTTGGGTGCGCGAAAGCAGTGTACCGAGCTATTACATAATATTTTTATTTTATGTGCGCGGAATGAGTGCGTCAAGAAAGGGACAACGTATTTGTACTATATTTTATAAGCAACAGTACTTTGCTCAAGGAGGTCCCTTCTTTTAATTTTAGTCCTATTTACATCTACCAAAAAAATGGACATTTTTGAAGTAACAGAATAAAGTAATCGCGAATGGTCGAAACCTTTGGAATCGTAAGTACTTTTACTATTATTGTGCATTCGCGTTCCATTGCCGATGAGTATGAAAGAAAGCATAACATGGTATTCGTTACTGTTGGATTAAAGCTAAAAAGCAATGACATCTTTTTAGTTTAAAAGCAGTTTGGTGAAAACAAAGTAGCCGAACAGTAAAATATGTATTGCTAATTGTTAATCTTTATCATAAGCATGCTATGAAGGAATAACTTGATCTATGTGAAACTGATTATATGCGTCAATCTTATAAGATTTCAAATAAATATAATGGTGGGACCTGTGATTTTTAAAGAAGGCCTTATTGTATTTAAGTAAGACATAAATACCATCTGCCATAGCGCATGCTTCGTTAGACGCACCCATTCCGCGCACATAAAATAAAAATATTATGTAATAGCTCGGTACACTGCTTTCGCGCACCCAAAATGAATATATTACGTAAGAATTATACTTTAAAGCCCGATTTGGGTGCGCCAGCAGGTGCGCCAAGAATACCCCTAATTATACGCGCACCATACTTTTTGCTTGAAAAAAAAATCTCGCGCACCATACTTTTCTGTGCCGGTCAATTAATAAAGTCCGGATCGGACCAAAAATAATTTTTGCACATAGGATTTTTTTCTAGCGCACCATGTTGTTTTTTTCGCTGGCGCACTATGTTTTTTTTTCGCTGGCTTCCCTGGCGCACCATACTTTTTTTTCGCTGGCGCCAGCAAAAATTATTTTTGGTCCGACCCGGAATTTATTAATTGACCGGCACAGAAAAGTATGGTGCGCGCGTATAATTAGCCAAAAAAAATGTCCCAAATTTGGACGATTAAAATTTTTTTTGTGTGCTTGAGAGGGGCCTTACCTGAGAATTCAAAATGGTTCCAAAAAGGTGTTATTTGTGTCCCCAATATTTTTAGCCAGATCAAGAGTATTTACTCTAATGATGGGCCAAAATCTAAAACCCATGCAGTACGATACAGCAATTTTCTCCAGGAAGCCATAAACATCTTACAAGATATTCAGCGTGATTGAATACAAGAAAAAAAAAAAGGCTCAGATATGGATTTTTATTACGCAATTGTCATCCCTACGGATTGGGAGTATGAAACAAGAGAGGAATTATTTCGGCCTCTCTTAATAAGAGCTGGTCCCATTCGTGGGAATGATAATTTATTCGCCCTTTCTTGGGCATTGAAGTATTGGCTTGAAGCATGGTCGTTTCGTCATTAAGCTCAAGACAAAAATCAATTATTGTTCATGATGTGCTACTCGCTGCATTCTTCTTCTTCTTCAGCAGCCCTAAAATATGTGTCCACTTCTACATCACTAAAAAGAACACGAATGATACTTTATATCCTTTTTTCGGCCTCATTTTCTTCTCCATACTCTGTTTCTTGTCATGAACGACAAACACACCAGATATATCATCATTGTCGTTTATCGACTCCTCTTTTTCTTTCCTCAATCTGAGATGTATCACCATCCCATCGGATTCCCTCTTCGTCATTTGACAGTTGTATATATCCTTCATCTTCCGTCTGTATCCTCTTATTCTCCCTTTTCCTCTACAGTTGCATCATCTTTATTTGTAACCGTGACTTTTCGCCTTTTTCGCTAAATTCCTAGCGGATTTACATCTGGCATAGGGCTCATAAAATCGATGGTGTTTATCCATCATGGCCATGATGGATACATGTTTCAATCACTCGCCTGCAATAATGCGTTTACTAGACTATGCAAGCGTCACTTTCATCAACGATTTAGTGGTAGTTCTCTTTTTGAAGTTATCAACTGTATGTGCAAATATATTATGCTGTTCGAGACAGAAAAAAACTAAAGATGTAAAAGTTATTTCAGTGGCCGTGAATGCTACAGACAAAAATGCCTTGTCTGAATAAGCCGCTGCTATTCGCCGAGGCGTTGTTCAGATTGATCCCGAACTTTACGACATTAAAGTACAAGAAACCATTTTGGGTAAAGACGATGCTGCCCGTAGATATGAAACGTAGTAATAAAAATAAAAAAAGACAAATCGTTTGTAGATACATAAAAGATCTACTAATGCGATATATTGTTAAATACTGTGGTACGTATTAATAATCCAAAGGATACAGTAAAGAACAAAGACATCACGCTTGAAAACTTAAAAATGCTGATTGAAGGTATCGATAACGCCCTTAACGTTCAAACCATGGAGTAATGACCTGCCATTATCGCAGATAATGGGAGTCTCCAGCTACTGTAAAAAATAACCCCGAGAATCAGAAGGCCATGATGAACAATAGTGAGTTAAAACCTCTTTTAAACCTTTTACAAGATGACTACAAGTTTGTCCGTAACAACATTCAATACACCATCTCGAGTTTTCTCAAGCATCTTTAAGAGAGCGTGAAAGCCTTCAAGTCCGTGGATAACTTTGTTACTTTGCATATTATTTCTCAAGTCTTTCCTGACAGTAATCCCCCATGTTAATAAAGGTCGCGTTCTTGTACATTTGTACGGTCATTGATGATGAGGAGTTGGCCAAGGCGTTTTCTAAGGATGGTACGTTAGATGACATGATATATAATGTCTTGAATAAGTTCACAAAGGATGGAGAGGATGAGGATATGGTAGAAAAGGCCTTGAGTACTATTCATACCATACCAGATCAAATACTCCCGCTTCCGGTGTATTAAAGCAAAGAGTATGACAAGCTAAACAGAAATAAGGTGCTGAGAATATAACTTTAGTTGATTCCGAATGAAATGGTTGTAATAATAAAAAGCCCCCTTTTTTGTATATATATCCACTAAAACCTTTGAAAACAAAAGTATGCAGAAGGAAATATAAGTGTATACTGTTTCGGCCAAATGTTTTCCTTGAAAGGTGTAATCAAATGAGCCCCTTATTAAAAGGACTTTTATGTGTCACATAATGCTATTGTGTTACAAAAACAGAAAGACGAGTGTTCTCGTTATATTTATCTTTTGTAAGATTTCATTTTCGTGTTAAGGGAGAATAACCAAAATGGAAGATCTATATGACTATTCTCTACATAAATACTGTATTTATTTAGGTAAGTAACATGTATTTTGCATTTCGAGTATGCTTACTCCATGTAGATTTTGATTATGAAAACATCGTGTCTGACATTACGCCCATTAACAAGGAAGGCAGTAAAAAGATTAAAGGGTAAGTCAACATCGAAACACCGTATTGTACTTTTTTTTTAAACAGAGACCATGCTTTTCATCTATAACAAAAGAAGTGGCGAGGTGACACACAGGGCTTCGCTTTTGTACGATACTGACACCGAAACCGTTATAGCCAGAGGTGACTTAGTTGAGAATTCAGAAGAGCTCCAAGAAGGTGTTATTTTTGTTTCCAATATTTTTAGCGAGCTCAAGAGTAGCTATTCTGGGTTTAATCCAAAATCTGACACTCATGCGGTACGATACAAGAATTTTCTTCAGGAAGCCATAAACATGTTACAAGAAATTCAGCACCACTGGAAACAAGAAGAGGAGGGTTCAGACATGGACTTTTATTATGCGATTATTATGCCTACGAATTGGGAGTATGTAACAAGAGAAGAATTATTTCGGCCTCTCTTGATAAAAGCTGGTCTCATTCATGGGAATGATGGTCAGGGAAGATTGATTTTTTTCTCAAAACTAGAATCAACTTTTCAATCTATGCAGGAAAATCCTGATATTTTGCGTGGTGTAGATATAAAACATGGTGATCAGTACGTTATATGCACACTAGATTATAGAGGTGAATTTTTTGTCACCCTTGACTTGGTTTCAGCTCAATATCCTGTTTTTTCAGTAGCAGGAGGCAAGTGGGTCCCACAATTATTGAGACAGGTCATATTTACAATACCATTTGGACTGAAGGAATGGCGAGTGTCACTAATCGCATGTCTGAAAACCCGTTGTGGTAATACAGTATCATTAGAAATTATTGACATATTGCTTGAGGAATTCAATGTATATTTCGATCATGTTAAATTGGCAGTAAGGGACGGATTGAATCTGTTAGGAAAAGTGTTAATTTTTTTAGGATCCAAATTCTATGCCTCGACTCATTTTTCCAGACCACCCATTTCAAAAAGTTAAAGCCCTCTACGATAATCGATACGGTTTAAAAGCAGAGGAAATCCATACTATTCAATTAATTACATTAGATCATATATATGAAAGCTTCTTGGGTGGTCCTGTCGAAAAAGAATTTCAAATTCAAATGAAAATGTTTTATAACACGAGCATTTTAAAAGTCAAATACATGTGCATTTTTGTCACAGACCACATCACAACCAGAGGTATTTTAGGATGGCCATTATTATTCATCAGAAATTGGTGTTGGACGTTTAGCAAAGAGCAAAAAAACTTTTTCAAATTAATCGCGGTTTACAATAAAAAATCTCTGAGTCTCCCTCTCGATACACTACTGAGACCTAGCCAAGCAAGCGGAATAAAGAGTCTGATAGCAAATCAAATGCAAGTATTTAACATGCGCAGAGACCCGATTATACTATCTAAGGATACAACAATTGAACATCTCGAAAGCTGTTCAAATCCTATAATTTTTATCAATATAGGTAAATAGACTCCATTTTATTATCTGATGCGTGCTTACCTGGTTTTGTTATTAAACAGATATGTCTCCTACACAAACCAGGACTGATGTTACATGCTTGGATGAAAATAGACAGGCTAAGCAAACAAAAACTTTTGACTGGTAATTGTCATAAGGCACAGTATAACTTTTATGAAAGAATCCAATCTCAGTTTTGTTTAAATGTATAATTTAGCGATATGAAACCGTTAGATAGCTTCATCACCTACTCAGAAGTATACCAAAGGCCAATGCTTCACATTGACCAGAGGTAAAAAGTGGTTCAGGAGGGGGTTTTTCAAGTATCGATTCTAAATTGTTTATTATTTAGATTGAAGCTTTATTTAGAAAAGATTTTTGGTGATTACATTAAATTATTCTCAACTTCTAACACACAAAGCATGACGAGAAGAATACTATTAAAGCTGGCATCCAAACTACTTGACCTAATTTCAGATGAAATGCAAAAGAGGTTGAAATCAAGTAAAAATCCCCTGAAGGAGATCAGAAACTTATTTATTCATTCAAATCCAAACTTATTCCAAAACCTTGTGGAAAACTTTAAAATGGATGATCTTTTTACGTCGAATGATGAATTTTGTGCTGTGGATAACGATTTATTCACTACCTATCATCCAGGCTATATATTTTTTTTTACAATTACATACCTATACAATTTCAACAAGACGTTAGAAGAGAAACTAGAAAATATGGTAGGAAGTAATTGGCAAAGCAACAATATCTGGTATGGTGTCTCTATTGATAAGAATTTATTGGATACGGTATTCGGCTCAATAAAAAAATTGGAAAAGTCATTCTTTGCTTGTGGAATCCTCCAAAAGGACGACAATCGTCGAAGAGCAAAATTTTGTACTCGTGGCGAGGAGATTTTACCAGCTATTCAACGAATGCTAGTGGATTTGGAGTTTAAAATTAAGTCTTACTTTGTAGTTGCACAGGTATTTTCAAAGCATATTCAACTCACTCTCCATCAAGTTGTTATATTGGCATCCTCTGAAAAAGATGCAGCTTCCATTATTGTTCAGGATGAAATTTTGTACATCGATGATGTATATGATAACCTGTGTAAGATACTTTGGAGTTGCATGCAAACACATTGCCAAGTTAATTCTTGCGCCACACACAAGAACATGCACAGTGTGCAGTATGACTTATGTGATTTCCAAGCATATAGTGATGTTACTCAAAATTTGAGGCGATCTGTTGTTGAACTTGTAAGCCAGAATCAATTAATCATATTTATTTAGTAACCCATAATGTTAATAGTTAGAAATGAACAAAACCAGCATGGACATGAATTCCAAAATACAGCTGAACATTAACAGCAAATGTGCTTGCAGTATCAGTATTTTTCTTCGTGACATTATTGAGGTGGCTCTTATGTCAGTTATAGAAAATGTAGCAACAATTATAGCAGCTTCTTTGACCAACAAAAGATTATTTGGAAACTATGTGGCGAACTATATTTTTGTGTCTGGAGATCCGTTCAATCTATCCTATGGTTCAAAGACCCACACCACATATACCATGTTATTACAGAAATCAATTGATAACGCTGTACAGTTTAAAGAAAAAGATACAATATCATTCGCATTGGGAGTATCACTTTACCAATTGCTTCAGCTAGTGAAACACACCAAGCCATATATGTTCGAACATTTCATTTTCGGAAGGTTGTGTCAAGTATCAAGTGAAACATATGCTCTGCGGATTAAACAACGTTACTTAGAGAGGTATCTTCCTTTCATTGCAATTAGCCGTGATGATGATATCAAAAATACTATGAGGGGGGATAGCAGTTACGTAGTATTTATTCAAAAAGGGAAGCCAGTTTCAACAAAGAGCTTTATAATTCAGTATCAGTTGATGGTCTCATCTCCACGTCTGGGTAACGTCATTACTGTTATTATTATTCATCCTTTGTACTGATATATTATTCCTCAATTTGGATATCGATAAATGTTTTAGATATTATTCAACTAGATAGCTCCAAAAATGCTGTTCCAAAAAAGTATTCGGTAATAGATGGTAACGCTACTGGTACAACGTATGTAATGTACACCAATCTGGTAAATACAGGGAGTTCAAACATGGTGGTGGAATGTAAGCAAATTAAGTATAATTTATCGCTCAAAGTATCAAGTGTGTGTAAGGGCTTATATTATATGAACTATGATTTTCCTTACCGTTTCCTGAATATTATCGAGCCACTAACACTCGTCTACATGTAAACATATAACAAAATAAACTGCTACAATAGATAATATCATAAATATACTATGCAAATATACAGCTCTCTTTTTTTTTACGAAGAGAAAAATATAAGGCATGTTGTATTAAAGCTTCATGAAAAGGGGTAGGATTTAATTTGAAGGGATCTGACCAATAAATTACAAGTTCAACTGAGAAGAAGGATAGTAGTAAAATCATATTCCCAAAAGGATGGTGTAATCTGCCACACAGGAGGTTATGCAAAAATGATAGAAGAACGCAAATTTAACCTGGCTATTTGGCTATGGCTCCTCTTAGGGCCCTGATTGTGATCCTACTATCAAACACCTTTGGGTCAGCGCTCGACGATATGGAAGGTATTATCTAAGATTTGCCGTTGTCAATATGCTATGGATACCAAAGATGGAACTACAGTTTTATTTTTTCTGATCTGTAATAAAATGTTTTCTAAACTGCGGTCCAACATAACTACTTGGGCGTCAACATGACATATTAAACGAATTACAATGTTCGACATCAAAAACTAAAATGTTGTAAAGCTGTATAAGCTTTATTTGTAATATTTGATTGCTGCTATACATAAAAGAGAGGTGGAATATCAAAACGCTGAAATTCGTAAGCAGCATGCATTTTTATGGTTTGACGAGCTTTGAATCAACTGCTAAACTTTTGGCCCTTCTCTTTATTTGAAAGTTGGAAGTAAAGGTTAAAGTTTAGACTAAATTACGCCCATAAATAAAACAAGCTTTCAAAGTGTTGTATTAAAATAACCAGGCTTCTAAAAAATTTATACGATGCCACCTTGTTATCACGCAGAGTATACCATAGCCCCAGTTATTTTAGACTCTAAATGGCTTGCCTTAATCCTTGATTGTCCGAGACATTAAACGTTCGCTATCACATTCCACAAATTCAACATTTTATCCTTTAAAAGACACGGTCTTTTCGTACCAAATTAAAGAATTCGGATACTCCTCAGTCTAAAAATAGATAGATCAACCTAATAAACTCAGTAAAATGCTACTCTCATACTAGTTTGAAACTTGTTTTTTATTATTATTATGATTATTGTTTTTTTTTGGGCTGAATTCATTAACAAACAGAATTTAGAAGAACGCAAATGTAATGAATTTTAAAAGCAAGATAGGGTGAGAATTATTCCAAGGATAAAAATTGCATGGCCATAAACATGTTTAATAAATCCACACCTAGGATGTGCTCTGCAGCAATCTCGGATCCATTCATGAGAGCTTCTCTTTGCAATCTTTTCGCGTATTCAACATCTCGTCTGACAAAGGTACCTCTCAGATAATACAAGCTAAGTAAAAACTGACCGTCACCATATCCGTATTTGGCAGACTTTTGAAACCATTCGAACGCCTTTCTGTCATCACGTCTTATGTGTTTGTGTCCTACCATGTAATAGACTCCCAGTATGCAAGCCGCCAACCCATCTTTTTTCTCCGCTGCTTTCGTATACATGTTAAAGGCTCGTTTACAGTCCTGTTTGATGCCATAACCTCCAGAGTCGTAAATACATCCCATAATAAGGTACATGCCCGCCGATTGATTCATTTCCAATGAACGTTCTGCGTAGTTTAAGGCCTTCTTAAAGTTCTTATCCACCAAGACTCCATCCCTAAAAATAACTGCCAACATCGCCAAGGCATCCGGGTGTCCAGCATTGGCTGCTTTTTCAAAGCATTGCATTGCGACATAGTAATCTTGATCATCTGAAAAGTGCATCAAACCGATAAGGTAACATCCATGGCGACGACACGATTCCTTGGCCGCCGTAAACCAGAAGATAGCTTTCTTGGGGTCCTCATCTTCTCCTAGCCAACAGATTTTTCCTTGAGTCACACCGTAAAACTTAATTGTGGTAAATTTACAATTTAGACCGGGACCGGAGGTTGCGGTCCAATTTTAGCTAATTACCTCTACCAGAGGTCCAAGTAACATTTAGACTTGGACCGCAAAATCAAAAAAACGCAAATCTCATAAAAATTGTAAAAAATTGTTATATAAAGATAATATGTTATATTGGAAGTTGTGTTATGAAAAAAAAATGATAAATATGTTCCTTGGTGATGGCAAAGATGATGTTTGAAGAAAATACTGTTATTTTGTGTGACACAATGAAGCGATAATTTTTTTTTTCGGATGTTGAAAAGCCTTTACTACATTCAAAAAAAAAAAGAAAAAAAAATAGCTCTTTACTCCAGAGTCCCAATCTTTCCGGCAGAACTTGACATGTCTTTCGCAAACGCATCACCAGTTTTGATGACATACTTGTATGCTGAATTGTCTGAGGAATTCAGCAATCCAACAGAAGATACAATATCCCTGGCGTCAAATACAACGAATTTTTGCTCGCTATCACCAAAGAGCTGAATCCGTGGGATAGACTTTGAGATAGGAGACACGCCATGTGTTTTTGCCAATTCACCATACACATAATGGGACCCTGATTCATTGGCGGAGAATTGGAAACGGAAAAAGAACAGAATCTTACAAACGAACCAGTTTTTAACTGGCACGAATAGACTAAATTTGAAGAGTGTCAATAAATGCAATACGGCGATAGCAAAAACATATACTTACTTGTTCTTATGTATCGCTTCGAACATGACGAATTCACCACCACGAGAGCACGATGTATTCTTCTTCTTGTACAACTCCGAAATGTAGACTTGATTTTCATGGAATAACCTTGTCGAAATTCGAAGGTGTTGTTGTTGATGAAACGGCAATACAACTCGTTGCCTCATGCCAGTCAGCCTTGTCATACAACCCATCAACGCACGACACCAAGAGATTGTGCGATACAGACCACAAATGAGGACATCCGAAGAACTCTGCAAGAGCACACCAACCTTAGTAAAAGAATCATCAAAAGGGGACCAGAGTTGAGGATAGGTGGCATCTTGAGGATGCTGCTCGAAGTTCTTCTCGTTGCTGTCAGGGGATGCCGTTAACGCAGAGAAGTCAAAAATACCGGATGCATTGAAGAATTTAAATATTTCCTTGGTTTCCATAATGTTGCCAGCATTAATACCAGGATGAAGAGAAGACCGGATACGTTTTTTGTATGTACCAATCGACCGTTCAAGGGACCTAGCAGAATAACACCGCAATGGACTATAGAAGTTGGTTAGTATATGATCGAATAAGGATTAAGTAATTAGTAGCTTACCCCATTCTTCGGATCATGTAAGGTATGTGGTGAAGCTGATGGAGAGTTTCTCTGTGCCTGGTACGGATTCTGTCCAATCTCCCCACCCCTCTCCCTCTCCATCTCCATCTCCTCGCCTGTCTGCATCTGTCTGCTTGTCACCTGCTTCTTCACCTCCACCCCCTGAGCCATCTACTTCGTCTTCAAAGATTGACCAAAGAGCTGAAAAAAGGGCCGCAAAAAAGGCAGCAACCAAACGGGCAAGGGATGAGTTGATAATAGAAGGACGCTCTCGTAGCAAAACTAAGCCTTAATCCGCATTGGGTTTTAATTTTTTTGTTAAATAATCTAGTTTTTTTTTTTTTTTTTTTTTTCTTTCCTTTCTTTTTCTAAAACTTTTTTTTTTTTTCAAAAATTATAGTAAGTACCTCAAAACATCACATCCTCATATAACTAACTGAAAAGCTATTAGATATATTGTTATATATCGTACTGGCTTTTATGGCTTAACTTACCACTGCATTCTTTCGCGTACATGGTTGCTGTCCACTCTAAATACATGATTGTCACCTAAAGCGAGTAAGCCTTTTTTAAAATACTGAAAACCGTGTTTATATATTTTAACTCTATTTTATAGTTCTTCACAGCTCAGCTAAGGGTACTTCATGTGATTGTCAACTACAATGTGAGTATCAAAGGTAAGTCATATATCTAGCTTGTTATCACTTCTGCATCTGGTAGTCTCCGTATGCAACCAGGACAACCAACACTATATTATGTATGGTATCTGTTTGTTGTCATCCTCACACTACACAGTATCCATTTAAACAGGCGTTTCGTAGTTTTTATACGTGTATAAACCATTCATAAATTATTTCGTTATAAAATAAAAACCAATATAAACATTATTTTTGCCCCTCATATTCTATTATTTCCAATGTTATTTTTTGTAAAACCCATTTAATATTGCAAGGGTCAATAGCCCTAGTTTAATATACATTTAAAGAATATCCTCCAATACCATCTCGTTAAATAATAAGGTTATGATGTTTTCATTCGTTAGAAACTGGAAGTAGCGGTCGGTTTTCATGCGTACATGGACCGCGACCGCTAGTTCAGGTACAAATTAATTACCGCGACCGCTGGTCGAGGTACAAAATAATTACCGCGACCGCTGGTTCAGGTACAAAATTATGTACCTCGACCTCTGGTCTAATTTTTTCGCGGTCCAAATTATACTTCGACCGGAAAAAAAATTTGCGGTGTCAATTGGCAGACGCCCTTGAGATAGGGAGCACCTGTCATGGAATACCAAAACATGGCCTCGATACGGCTTTTATTTTGAGTGTCTGTGGATGCCTCTTGATACAAGTTAAAACCAGAAACATCACCATCTTCAACATCGGGGGAAACATCATACTCATCCAACAATTGTTTGGCTTTCAGATCAACTTTGAGGCGGAATCTTTTGTTGTTAAAGAGGTAAACGACCAAATCTTCAGACTCATACGTCTCATTGTCACATCCATTTAATTTGTTATCAGCCTGAACCGCTTTATTAAACCAAGTGGTGGCCTTCTTATAATCCTTTTCAACGCCTAGACCTCCATAATAGACAAGACCGACAGCCGCTTGAGCAGAGTTCCATCCTCCTTCAGCCGCAAGAGTTAGCCATTCGATTGCTTCCTCCTTCTTTTGCTCAGATCCAGCTTCGCCCGTTAATAGCATCACACCGACATAGTACTGTCCGATCGGGTTCTTCCATTTAGTGGCAACCTTCTTGAAGTAATCAAATGCCTTTCTTGTATTTCTTGTCACTCCGTTAAACCCCATATAATAAATAGAGGCACTGAGTAAAAGAGCACACTCATTATCTCCCTTGGCTGATTTCTCAAAGCATTTGAGCGCATTGATATACCCATTGTGATTGAAATGATTGATTCCTTTCAGCATTTGTTTGCTCCCTTGCTCAGGAAGCTCTAGTTTTTTTTTTGGGGGCACATTTTCGTTAGTCAATTGTATCCATCACAAAAACATTCACTATTTTACCTCCTTTCTCGTACTCTATTTGCATTCTTTGGAAATAGATGCCTTGTATGAGGGAAAAAAAAAAAAGAAAAAAAAAACAGAAAAATTTATCTGATGAAAGGCGTTATACCTTATGACGTGAGATTTTTGCATGATTTGTCACAGATTAATTAACCACCAGTTTCAAAAGGGAGGGCGTTTTTTTCTTTTGTATAACAGACGTCCTCGATGAAAAAAGTAAACGATCTCAGTGAGCACAACCTTTAATAAAAAGTACAAGTGTAAATGTTCTCTCTTTGACATCGTACTCCTAAACAAATCAATTGAATTTAAGGCTTTTAAAAGAACCTTGAAGGCAAGATCTTGACTGAGTTACCCCACCCGAAAAGTTAAAACACATAAATTAGCATAAATCAAAACATTTACATAAGCTATATTCTAACAGATTTAATCAATATCTCTCCAATCAACTGCTGGGTCTCAAAACAAACATCTAGCAGCCAATGCAACAAAACATCGGGCTAAAACATCAAACATTGGAGAGAGATCAGCAAATAGCATGAAAAGACTCTATCCCCCAGAGCAAGAACGTGTTTTTTTAAGAGTGACACTGAGTAACCCTTGTGTCAATAAAACATTTCCGTCTACGCATCGCTCTTTTACGCGACCTGAACAAGAAGGTAAAAATTTTAAAAAAAACACATCCCTTCTCTATCCCTTAATCCACGTAAATCTATCTCTCTCTATTTTTTTTTTTTTTTCAAATCGAATCCAGGTACCCTATTCGTTTATTATTTCTTTCTTTTTTAGCATATTTTCTATCGTTTCGAATTGGGGGGGAATAAAAATCTAAGCAGTAGGCTTCTCCTTTTCGAACTTGGCACCAGGAATATTGGCAGGATGGAAAATACGCTATAATGGAACATGATGAGATACTTCTTCTCATTAACATTCTTATTTAAAGGCACTTTACCTGAGCATCAGCATAAGCAACACCGAAACCCCAACCAGTGGCAATGGCAATGGGCCAAGTACGCTCTACACAAAATAAAAAAAAAGCATCAATCAATCCATTCCTGCTTTCCTTTTTTCATTCAACACTTACTCTTAAACAATAAAGCAGATGCGACAATGCCCACACTTAAACCAAGTCCGGTCTTGACAACAAAGTTGGAGATGGTACGATCCCACTAATACAACAAGTTCAGTTTTCTCAACCAATCTCTCTTTTCTTTCACACGATCAAACCTTTTGTGCTAAAATATCTTCACTGGGAATCTTGTTTTCGATGGACATGGTTTCAATGACTGGATTAAAAAAGATAAAAAAAGAAGAGACTTCAAAAACCACACACACACAATCGAGGTGTAAAAAAAAACCATAGTACCCCCCGCACCTCCCCCACGACTCTTTTCAATCTCCGGCAGAAACACTGATTGTGACGTCTCATTAAACCCTTTGTTTTTTCTTTTTTTTTATTCTTTTTCCTTTTCTCTTCTACTCTCTCTACTCTTTCTCTATTTGCATACATATGAGTCATCAAAAACTAACAAAGAAACAAATAAAACTAGGTAAGTGTATGAAAGAAGGGAGGAAAAAAAAAAAAAGGGAAATACATTGATTTAATGTATCTTACAGCGTTCAAAGATCATGATATCAACGAGACGGGACATTTGAACAGCGATTATCTATTTAAGGCATTATTATCATTGAACTTACCCGTGGAACCATCCGACATGACAGATTTATTTGAATGCGTAGGCCGGGAAAAGGAAAAAAGAGTAGCTATCGACGATTTTCTCGATATCGTGACTGAACTCAAGGTAAATCTCATTTGATACTAAAATCATAGATATCACACTAAAAAGCAAAAGCGAACCCCCCAAACAATGTAGGGTGGAGAAGAGATGCTAGCCGAGGATTACCTTATGGAAGATACGCAATCATCTGATCTTGCATTCAGCATGCTGCGTGATCCTGCAGTCAATGGCATCACCTTGGAAAGCTTACTTAGAGTATGTTCAACACAGGAGGACGCTTGGACAACGCAACAAATCATCGAAATGATGAATGAAGCTGACCTCAACCACGACGGCATGATCGATTCCAATGAGTTTAAAATCATTTGCAAGAAAGCAGGCTTATAAAATCTCCCTTTTCTCTCTCTATTTATAAAAAATTATACCCTAGCAACAATATCAATAATAATAATAAAAAAAACGCTTTATCATTTATTCAACTTAATAATGATGGACTTCACTAGCGATACGACCACGAACGATGGGAGGCTCGGATCCAGGCACATAAATATCGGACCAGAACTCATCCAGTTTAGGCTCAGGAGATGCCTCTGCTTCCTTTTGCGCAGCATCCACTTCCTTCTTCGTTTGCTTATCCATCTCCTTCAATTCGGCTTCCGTAGCCACCCCATGGTCCACAATGCGTTTCTTCAACAGCGTAATCGGGTCAGATGTCGCTCTTACATTCTGTACTTCTTCTCGTGTACGATAAGTCGTTCCAGGATCAGACATCGAATGTCCGCCGTAACGATACGTAGCCACTTCCATTACCAACGGTCCTTTACCAGACACCGTGTAATCCTTGGCCCATTGTACAGCTTGCTTTACCGCGAAAACATCCATACCATTCACCTATATATATATATCCATAAAAGATGAGTTAAGTCTTCAAACAAACAAAACAAAAAAATGACAAAAAATTCAAACTTTACACGAATACCAGGAATATAATCACCACGCTTGTAATACTCAGTGGAGGCAGACGAACGTTCAGCTGAGGTACCCATACCGTACTTATTGTTCTCACAGACAAAGATGATGGGGAGATCCCATAGCTTGGCCATATTGTATGCCTCAAACACCTGTCCTTGGTTAGACGCACCATCGCCATACATGGCCAACGTCGTGAAGGGATGATCCAGGTATTTTTGAGCAAATGCAACACCCGCACCTAACGGAACTTGGGCTCCCACAATACCATTACCACCATAAAAGTTCTTTGCGTACATGTGCATCGAGCCTCCTTTACCCTTGGAAATACCATCCGCACGTCCTACCAGTTCAGCCAAAATCGATTTGGCACTACCGCCACGCTCAAGTACAATACCGTGACAACGGTAGGCCGTGATGATGTGGTCGTCTGGTGTAATACCAGCTTCCATACCAGTAGCCACTGCTTCCTATACTAGATGCATTAGACAAAAAAAGAATCTTTTTTCATATATAAATATTTATGCAATGTGTTCACATACTCCGCCGTTCGATAAATGGCAAAAACCACGAATCTTTTTAGCCTTATAAAGACCATCAGCCGCCATCTCAAGACGACGAATGAGGTTCATGTTCTTGTAAAGTTTGAGCATCTCCTCCTTGTTCGTCTCCACTTCTAAACTGGGGGCTTCCACGTTATACGTTTGGAAGGAGGTCTCTGGTAAAGTAAGGTGGATCGATTGGGACCCACCACCGGATGAATTGGCCATACCAACTTTAGCACTGCTAGAAAGAGCACGCTACCATAAAAAAAAAAATTAATATCAAGAGGAGGGTTAACGCGCCTTTTTTTCTATACACTTTACCACAGCAGTGAATGATGTGTTTGCTTTAACAAACAAACGAGTAGAAAGCATCTTTTAATGAAAGGCAGAAAAGATGAAAAAAAAAAAAAGATAAACGGATAAGAAGAAAAAAAAATTAGCGTCATTCTTTTTGTTTTAATCAACAAAATCGGAGGGAAAACCGTGCATTTGGATTGGATGTGCTACTCCCTAATCAAGCACGATCTAAGACACTATTTAGGCTTGTGCTTCTTTTTTTTTTTTATTATTATTATTGTTGTCATCTTATTATGTATTCATTTTTCTCTCTCTCTCTTTTTAAAAATGATTTTGTTGTACCTCCTCCCACCCCAAAAAAAGAAATATGGAGCATTGGTAACAAAAAAGAAGCATTATTTTTGATGTGTGCAACCTTGTGTAGCCTGAGACTTTTTTTAATCTAAAAAAAAAAAAAAAAACTGCTATCAATTTTTAAACCGCGTTCATCTGCAAAAGAATTTATTCTATTTTTTATATATGCGTGAACTACGATTTGATAGTCGACTTTGACTTGGATTTTAACACATTCTCTTCAAACGGACAAAGCAGATCACTAGGATCAAATGTTCCCACCGTTCTCGGACACACCGACACCTTCTCATGCCAATCCGCCCCTACTTGATCTAAATCCCCCATGGTGCTCATACGTCCCCATAGATCCAGGATAGGCAACTGTCTAAACATCGGTAAATGGTGGTCCGGCAACTGCTCCAGTATCAAATCCTGTTGCATCAACGGTACCAGAAACTCCATCACTTTACTCTGCGTACGACCATTCCCTTTTACATGCGTACCATACTCCAAATGGTTGGTCGAAAAGGACTGGAATCCTTCAAAATTGGGATACACCATCACATACCCTCGCAGATACACCAATTCAATAAAGTACTTCTTCCACGACTTTTTCCATCGCGTGGATCGACTGTTCGGTACTGTCACATTATGATATCCGGGCCATTCTTCCTTGGCAATACGTTCCGTTAAATAAGTATGAAACTCTCGCCAATGCTCTGGAAAATAAACTGCTCCCCAGCTACAAGGCACTGGCGTCGCATAAGGCGATCTTCGTGCATATCCACCTTCCTCCAACACTTTTTCCGGCCCAAACGGTCTTCTTCCTTCCGGTAAAAGCTCCAGGTTACGTGGCGAATATAAACTCACCCCATAGATATGCTGATGTGCTTCTTTCTCTTTTGGACTGTATCGGTACTTGAGAATATTATATTTGGTCCAAGCGTAGAACAAGGGAGATAATTCAATATCGTCTTCCAAAAGAACCCCGTAATGGTCATTGTCACTAGGGTACCAAGATTCTACAATAGCAGGCATCAACCCGCCTTTACGAATACGATGACGTACTTTCTTTTCACCGTGTTGCCACATAAAGTCCTGCACAAGTCCACGTGTCACATTGTCAGACGATTGCTCTAAATGAATCACAAGCTCCACTGTCTCGTCACCAAGATAAAACGCCCCATTGGTTGATTCCAATAACCGTGTCAGTGACACCGGACGTCGATCGGTGATCACAACCAGTTCCATCTTCATCGTATTCCAATCTATAAACGTGTACAAAAAAAAAATGATGTTAGAAACATGATATTCTAAAATGACAAGTGTTTATAAAAAATAAAAAAAAAAAAAACTTTACGTTTCAAGGCTTCGATAGGGAGATCCGATATCCACAGTGAATGCTCCACCTGAGCAGGAGGTAAATTAATTGTGGTGATCCCCTGTACACCACTCACAGTCTGCACACTTCGATAAAAATAGGAATCTTCATTCTGCTTCAGTTGGATCAAAACGTGTGCTCCCAAATATTCCAGTAACCGTGTCACGGGGTTCACAAACTTGAACGAATCAAACTCCTTATCCACCCCATTGTTATAGGCTGTAGTCAAATCATGCACCATCCATGTTTCCAACTTCTTTGCACAATTGGACATCATTTCGCTAAACCGATATCGTGTCAACCCGTTTGTCAAAATGACGTGCACTTGTATGCCGCTTTCTTCTTCTCCTCCTCCACGCATCCATTGACACGTGAGTGAAAACATGGCCTCCGCATCTTCTTCACCGTTCAACAATAACACCAGTCGGTTTGTATTTTCCGCCATCTTTTGCTCATCCACCACGTGTGGCAATACCGAATGAAAGGAAGAAGCACGAAGTGTCTGCACCCAGCTTGAACAAAACGACGGTGTCGTCATTGTTTTCCATCGTGAAGGGATCGCCATCGATGAGATATTAGCACGATACAAAAGCGAGCTACTGATAAAATACCCAAGCGGTAAATCCAACACATGTGCATCCACTTCCTGACGTAATAGTTGCACCCACGATGTACGCAACATCCACGACCCATGAATCATATCCACTTTACGCACGCGTTCAATCGTATTCGAATGAAAACATTCAAGTTGGTTACGGTTCGCTTGCAATAGACCTGCTTGATATCCTACCACCGTCGACCCGTATTCATTCGTCTTTAATAACCCATAAGTGTAATAGAGATATTCCTTGGCAGGTATCACATTGGGTTCCATCACCCACGTATATTCTGTATTCACGTACGAACTCGTCTGTGTCAACCAAGCTGCATCTCGTACATAATAAAACTCTCGCTTGTACACCGTCGTCGATTGAATCAACGTGATCGGAATCGCACTCGATCTTATCACTGGCTCCAATACATTGACCATACTGTTCTCACTAAACAAGATATAGATACATTTAGGCTGGATCGTTTGAGATAAAATTGCACGGATCTGTCGAAGCACCGTCTCTTCCGTCGCCTGTATCACTACCGTCACATCTACCACCACCATCGCTGCTGCCGCTGTCGCTGCTGCTTGGTTTGACACCTTGCCAGCTTGAAATGCCTGTACCGTCTGATTCATGGGCCACAATAAGCGCTCGATCTCTTTACCGTTATGACCACCATGTTGTTGCTGGATGCTTGTGAAAGCTGTAGCAGATAAGGTATCGCTGCTAATGATCGTTTGTTGTTGCGTAAATGCAATAGGGGTATATTTTCCACTTTTATTGTTAGAGGAAAGGCTACTGGAGTTTTCATTGGTATAACTATAAAGAAAATACGTCCAGAAACATAGAAAGACGGTGGCTATAAATGACCAGCATAGACGTGTCACCTTTCTTTGAGAAAATAGGCTTTTCAATAAAACGCCTGTCATTTTTATACACACACAAAAGAAGAAATAGAAAAAAAAAAAGAGAGAAAAGGAGGGCTTTTGTTAAAGAAAAAAAAAAAAAAAAAAAGAAATAGATTTTACGGAGAAGAGATTATATTTATACAAATTGACGTGCATATATTTTCTTTAATAATAAACACTCTCGGTTATGCACCATCATAATTATTAAGGGGAGAAAATAAGGGGAGATAGAAAAAAGGGAGTGTAAGTCGTTTTACTATTTTTATATGTACATTGTTGTTTAAAAAAGTATTAAGGGGAGGACGGGGGGGGGGGTATTACTGAGTGGTAGGTACTCTAGATAAGGTATGGGTTACTTCATGTTTCGTGCTATTTCTATAATACATGAATTGTCCAAAGATAATTGCGTCTAAAAATAAAGTCCCAAAACTACCCGCCACGTACGGAAGTGACTCGAACAAGCTCTTACGAGTATGTCCAGGATGAAGTAGGATACTGATGGCATACGTCATATTCCCTGAAACTGCAAAGCTAAACAACCATAAAGAAAGTCCTTGCGTAGAGTGTCGCTTATGATTTTTATGGATCTGCGGTATACGAGACACTAAATAAAACGTAGTACACATCCAAGCCAATAACCAACCCGCCGTCACGGGGGATTCCAATCCCAGTGCATCCCCTCCCTTTTGGGTAGTCATAGTCGTCGTCAAGGTCGATCCCAAGCCTAATTTACATCCGAATAATAATAATCCCATCAAAGCTGTTGTCGTCTTATTTTTATCTGTTGATCCATACTGACTCACGGTCAAGATATCCTCTCTCGTCTTTGTCATCACAAGTGATGTCTCCTCATCGTGATTCTCAACCATAGTCATCAAGGCTTCCTTCACAACTTGATCCCCTTTTCCGAAATAGAAATATTGATAAAGTAGAATCAGATCCGTGGCCACAAAATACATGGCTAAATAGGTTTGAAATGGCAACTGGTGATTCAATACACAGCTAAACATATTTCCAAGATCACCTAATAATCCCTTTCTTTATCAGTCTACTTTTTCTGGAATTTTTTTTTTTTTTTTTTAAAAACATCTATTTACCAGCTAACCAAAAGTACAGTAAATACAATGATAAACCATCGGCAGAACCGGATTTGTAATTATCCATCATTTGACTACCATGAATAATAATTGTTATAAAAAAAAAAGAAAAAACTATACACATGAAAGAATGAATGAATTCAACTTACGGTACTTGGGCATTTAGCCAACAGAAGATAGATAACAGACCAAAAAACATACTGAAAGCATCTTGATATCCGTAAACACATGAACCAAAGATAGACTGTATATATAAGGGGAGGGGGGGATGTTGATTAGTTTTTCTCCTTGACAGATTAGGTGTTTTTCAACCCCCGTTCAATTTAAACAAAATACTTGCATAGATCCACGGTATATAAGGCACCTGATTTTCCCCAACAACACACTCCATATAAAAATATATATATAAAAAAAAATTAGCAGAAAAAAAAAAGATGAGAAAAGAAAGAAAAAAAAATAAAAAATATTCTGTATTGGGATCATGAAGAAGAAAGAAAAAAAAAAAATATTTTACATACAAATCCAATCAGCAATCACTTTTTAAAAATTTCCTTTTCAAGAGCAAAGGGGACACTTTTTTCGTTTTAGAAAAAGAAAAAACAGTAATGTAAAACCCTCGCGTCGTTCATATTTTTGTTTATGTGTGTAAACAACTACATCATTCTATTTATGTAAATATTTAGACATAAATGATATCTTTATTCATCACGAACTGTATCAAACATTTCATTTATCGGCTACACCAAATTTTTCTTTCTATGTGTAACTCCAAACAGAAAATCTCTCTCTTTTCTGTACCACCCCTTCTCTCTTTTTGACTTAATTTGCTCAAAAACCTATTCTTTTGGCCTTTTCCATGGATACTTAACCCCCACCCGTATCTCACTTAAAAAAAAAAGGGGGATTGGAATCTCGGTGTAGTAAAGTGTACGGTTATGCACCCGAACGTCGCACTATCACCCAATTATAATGATATTCTCTCTCTCTCTCTCTTCAAAAAAAAAAAAAAAAAAAAAAAAAGTGATGAGATTTGTGTGCGACTGCTGCCCTTCTTTTTTACTGAAAGAGTAACGTAATACTTGTGTTACCCGTTGCATATCTCTTTTTAAATAAAATCATCAGCTTCCTGTATAGATGATCTCCAACTACCCCTGAATTAAGAAAACTCACTCTTAAAAAGGGACATCTTTGTTCAATAGATAGATACTTGGTTTTCTTTTCTCCAGCGATATAAACACCTATCGTATGCATGGATACATAAGCTACTGCAAAATGATAAAGCACTCTTCAAGAATATGCTACAAGGAGAGAACGCATTCTACTACAGCCCTTTTTATCCCCTAAGTCCCCGCCGCCCAATTTTTTTTTTTTTTTGTTTGTTAACTATTCAAATTGGGTTAAATAGAAAACCAAAAAAAAAAAAGCAGGTTTTACCCTAAAAGAAGTTTCAACCTATCCTGAAATTAATTTGAAACGCTACCTATTGGATGGATGCGATCATAACGGAACCACCCCACGCAGGATTAAAAAAAAACAAAAGGATTCTGAAACACGCATAAAGCTCCGTTTTTTTTTTTTTTTTTTTTTTTTGTCGTTCCGCAACATGTTAGGCTGCTTTCTCATTGAACGGTTCCTTTCTCCGTTTCGTTGTCAAGATGCTATAAATGGCAGTCCACTGATCTTAGGCGTTGAGATCACTTCATGCAAAACAATACAGTGCCTCTGAACAAAAAAAAAAAGTAACAGAGCTATCATTATCGGCTGATATATCTTGATCAATAATACACACACACACACACACACACACAAATTATTTCCATTCATAACTCAGGTAGTAGCCACATTTCATATTTCAACATGATTTTCACACTATTCAAATCACAAGATAAACAATTAAAATTTAGGCAGTGTCAATGCATTGCACTGTACTTGGACACAAATTTTTTCCGTCTCTTCTTTTTATCCTGTCAGGTTGAAGGGGGACAGAGGTTTTACCTTATGCATTCTAATAAATGATTAGGCTTGCCTTTTTTTTGTTGTTATTGATGTTGTTGGAACTGTCAGATTTCGGCAGTTCTCTACATAGTCCCTTAAATGATCAATTACTTATTTCTGGTTCAACATGAAAAAGGCTCTATGGCCTTTTACATTATTATTATTCCGGTTGGTATGCAATTAAAAAAAGACCACACCCCGAATGCAGTAATCTTTCACACTTTTGCTATACAAAAAAAAAAAAAAAAAAAAAAAAAAAAAAACTCTTAAAAACTCTTAAATAATGGCAATAAGGGTGTCTTAATAACGACGAGCACACCAGCAGCAGCAACCATTTACATTTACATAAACCGTTCCCATTGTACCTAGTTTCTTCAAGCTGGATGACAGAATGCATCCGATCACTCACATCCCTGTGGCTAAAACATAAGGACCACTTGGGTGAAAAGCTTTTTTTTTGGGGGGGTGATACTAGACAGCCACAGAGCAATCTATAGAACTGCAAAGCATCCTCATCTACAAAAGACGAATTATACAGTGTAAACAGTCCCCACCACTACATATTCAAGGTGATTTGGCTGATATCTTGACGGAAAATTTATTTTTCACTGTGTAGACAAAAGGTCGCTCTCAAATGGGCTCCCATTTATTTCAAAAGCTTTCAAATTCATTATGTCAAATTTTTATTTTGATAATCATGATTTAAATAAGAAGTCATCGTAGTGATTGTCCATAGAGTGAAAATGTTTTTAGCCCCCCCCCCTCCCTTCTTTACAAGGATGATATGTATTGTCGTGTTGAATAATACGACTAAATGACGTGCCCTGTTATTTCCTTTGCTTAAGATGTAAGTGCCTCATACAATCCTTCTCACTGTCAAACAACGATTTAAAATCTACTTATTTTTACTAACAGCATCAACTCCCTTTCAGGAGGCTTTCATCTGACACCGTCTAACAGGTGAGTAGTTGCTTTTGAAGGATTTCTTCATCGTTCCATAGCGTCTTGCAAAGTGGGGAAGATATCATCTGGCTTTTGCATGCATTTCCACTAGAGAGTTGTTGAAGCCCCCCTCATCAATCAATTTCTAAAAAAAAAGGTGTATCCTTATTTCGTCCCTTTTTTTGATTACATAATAAATCCTCTTGAAAAAAAGAAGGGGGGACGCGCCTTTTTTTTTTGGGAGGAGGGGGGATGGGATCCACTCATATTTCTTCAAAATTTGTTCACCCAGCAACCGAGTCCGTAGCGGTCGAAAATAAACTACATTGATTTTTTCATGTCTTCAGCCTTAGAGGTTTTTTTTTTTTGACTCTTTAACAGGTACTCCGGGACGTTTTCGTGATGAAAATCATTATAAATTTCCTTGTTCATTGCAGTTGGGATGGGTTTACGGTTGTAAATGACAGTTTAGGTGTTCATTTGGTTTTAAAAAGTTTAGAAGAAGAAACGAAAAATAAAAGAACGAAAAAGAAATTTTTATACTACTTCTAGTGATTTTCCGACATTTAATCTGGTATCAATTATTTCAGTGGGAGTTTTCGTGCAACCGCTGCTGATGCTCTTATGTCTCTTACCTTTTCTTTCTGTCCCTTCAGAATATCTTTGAAGATGAAGCGAGTGGAGATGCTTTGCGTTGAATGTCATCCCTTTTTCACAGTTGTAATTTAGAATTTCAATCATTGTATTAAATACTATGCCCATAGTCGCTTTTATCAATCCCAAAAAAAAAAGCAACTCTAAATCCAAAAAAAAAAAGTCTGGAAGGATATGCCCAATCGTCTAAGCATAATAGCCAATGCAAAGGGTGGCGGTTCCAACGAAAAAAAAAAAAAAATTTCTGGTGTGTGTTGCCGTCTAAACGAGACTTTCTCCGGAAAAAACCTAAAGCTCTAGATACTATTTTAAGCTTCTCTGAAAATAAATCTAAACAAAGATTTACATACTTGGTTGCTCAACATAGAAATATCTAGTGTTTGTCGATTATGTAACGCGTAATTCGTTTCGTTATGCTCCAAACGAGCTAATAATTCGTCCTCTTTGTTGAGTTTTTCTTCAAGTGTATTAATATAGTTCTCGTAAGTACGTATAGTAGCGTATAATTAAAGATTTTGGGACATTTTATGTTAAAAAGTGTATAACAAAAGAGAAAAAGGCAAATAAAGTAGGAAAATGGTGATAAAGTGCGTTTACAAAAGCGGCAGTGTGTGATTACACATATGACGTGATATTCATACTCCGAATGTGTAAATTGGGAAAAAGTAATGCCCATACCTCTCTCTAATAATAACTCGGGATTACTAATAGAGTGATAAATGATTGGATCAAACCTTTTATCTTAAATTTTTTTTTTTTTTTATATGCTAAGACTGAGTCATAAAAAAGTGACTCTTTTTTGCATGACGGGGATTAATTGTTAAAAAAAAAAGTTCAGGGCACGCCCAACCCTGTCACAAAAAAAAAATAAATAAAAACAATATAAATACAAAAAATAAAATTACTAAATAAAAATTTTTTTTTACAGAGTGGAACCATATAAACTACTTTTTTTTACAGAGTGGAACCTCTTATAGTAATCCTCAAACAAAATGTCAAGAACCTTACTTTCCCGTCGCCTATTTTCAACCACAGTGTCAAGACATAACTATGCAGCTAACTTGGTCTCTCCCCATAACAACATCCTCAAGTCTGTTGACCCTTCCCACAAGTTCTATGACTTTAGAAGTGATACCGTCACTGCCCCTACAGATGAAATGTTTGACCTCATGAAGTCTGCTTCTCGTTCCGATGATGTCTTTCAAGTAAGTTTTTTGTTTAATAAACAAGTACAACTTTTTTAATATTAATCACCTGAGTAGGAAGACAAGTCTGTCAACGACCTCCAAGACTATATGGCCGAAGTCACCGGTCATGAAGCCGCTCTTTTCTGTGCCAGTGGTACCATGACCAACCAGTTGGCTCTGAACACTCATTTAATTACCCCTCCTCATACCGTCGCTTGCGACTCTCGTGCTCATGTCTTTCTGTGGGAAGCCGGTGGTATTGCTGTTCATTCTCGTGCCTCTGTCTCTCCCATCATTGCCTCCAACGGTATCCATATCACCTCAGACGAAATCGAGTCTAACTTGATCGGAAGAGATATCTATTCTGCTCCCACTCGTGTAGTCTCACTCGAAAACACTTTAAACGGTATGATCTTTCCTCTCGAGGAGATGGCCAAGGTCTCCACCATGGCTCGTAACCGTGGTTTAGCGATGCATTTAGATGGTGCCCGTCTCTGGAATGCTTCTGAAGAAACCGGTGTCTCTCTTAAAGAATACGGAAAACTCTTTGATTCCATGTCCCTTTGTCTCTCCAAGGGTGTTGGTGCTCCCATCGGTTCTATCGTCGTCGGTAGTGCGGATTTTATTGACCGTGTTCGTTACAACCGTAAACTCTTTGGTGGTGGTTGGAGACAAGCTGGTTTCATGGCCGTCGCTGCTCAATACGGTATTGATCACATCGTCCCCACCATGAAGGAAACCCACAAACTTGCCAAGTATTTGGCTGATCAACTCGTCGCTATGGGTATCGACCTCCAAATCCCTTGTCACACCAGCATGGTCTTCATCGATACCACACGCGCTGGTCTTCAAGTCGAACGTGATCTCATTCCCGCTTTGGCTGAACGTAACATCAAGTTGGGTGGTATGGGAAATAAGGCTCGTATCGTCTTGCATCATCAAATCGATCGTCAAGGTGTAGACTCTCTTTTAGAGGTCGTACGTAACGCAATTACTTTACGTCAACAACAAGATGAGGATACTTTACGGCTTGCTTCAAGCGTCTCTGCCTAGAAAAAAAAAGTATACCCCCCCCTCTCATCTTCATTAAGTATCATTTAAAATCATCTCATGTACTTTACATATTCAGTACTTCTCACGCATCCTCACCCCACCTTCTTAATATTATCTCTTAAATAAATATAAACTTTCCTATCAATGCACATAAGTAATTCTTAATTTACGGGTATTTAATAACTGTCTGCATTGGAACCAATAAATATAAGCCTCACAAGATGTCACATTCCCCCCACATCGATAACTACGCGTAAAAGTATTACATTGTTTAGGGTTATGCATCACGATGACAACATGACACACATGCAATTCATATCTCTTGCAGACGAAAATCCAAACTCTTATTATAAGCCACATCTAATAGATTTTAAATCTGCATGTATCAAAAAAGAGACAATGTGAGGCCATATTATAATAATAAACCTAGTAAGGATTTTATGCCTCCTCCCCCCCCCCCCTTTTTTTTTATTTATTACATAGATGGGTCAATGGACACCCATGATGAAAGCCATTTTTAGGTCTCTTTCTTTTCAATAGGCATAAATACCTTTTTTGTTTTACATTTCTTTTTTCTTTACCACGAACCGATATGAATGACAAATGTATTTCATTGTAGTAATAGATCATCCTAGTGACACAAAGTCCACCCTTCCTCTTTTTTTTTCACGTGTATTACACCCTACAATTAATGCAAACCAAAAAAAAAAAAAAGAACTTTTTTAACTTCTTTACAACATGATTCCCAATGCTTTGAAATGGTTGGGCATCGGTCTTATTACTTCCTATGTTATGGGAAGTTTCAGAACTCCCTTAACTTTGGACTCTCTCTCCGTTAAACCTTTCCATCTCTATTCTCCTGATTTCTACCCTAACGGTAGTTATTTGGAATTACCTCAAGGTACTATGCGTTATTGGAAATTTGGTAATGAAGATGGCAATCGTGTTGTCTTGGTGCATGGCATTACCACAGGTTCCTCTGTGTACGATCGTTTAGCCCGAGATTTAGTACGCATAAAAAATAAAAGAACTGGTTTCCTTTCTTTAAAAAAAAAAGGGGGGGGGGAGGAGCAGGATGACTAAATAAAAACATGATATAATAGGCAAATGATGGTCACCATGTCCTAGTGTATGACCTTTGGGGAAGAGGTTATTCTCAAGCTCCTCCTACCGTCTACAACGAAGCCCTGTATACTTCTCAATTAGCCATGTTGTTGCAAAAGGTTGGATGGGATAACGCTGATATCATTGGTGTTTCTCTAGGCGGTAACGATTAAACAAAAAAAAAAAAAAAAAAAAAAAAACCAACAAACGGCTTTTTGTGTCTGACATTTGTTCTATTAGGGGCCATTGCTACATCTTTTACTTCCTTTTATCCAGAAATGGTCAATAAATTAGTCTTAATCGCCCCTGCAGGTTTACAAACACGCGATGACATGCCTCTCATTGCTAAATTTTTGGCTTTACCTTTTGTCCACCAGTTCTTGATGAACCAACCTTACATTCGTCCTATCCTCGTACACGCCGTAGAAAAATACAGTCGTTCCACGCGTGTCGTCGAAAATGGTCTGGATCCCGAAACAGAAGCCATCATCCAAAAAATCACTAAAATCGCTACTTACCAGTTTGTCAATCATCCTGGTTTCTTTAGAGCTTTCATCGGTACGGCCGTTGAATACCCTTTCACTGGTCTGTCCCCCAGATACAAGACCGTGGGTAAGCTAACTGATCTATCCGTTTTAATCATCTGGGGTGACCAAGATACGGTAAAAAAAAAAAAAAAACCAGCAACAACAATTAAAATTGTCATTAACATTTTTTTTTTTCATGACGCATATAGACTGTCCCTTTCAAGCGTCATAAAGAAGCACAAGCGTTCATTCCCAACTCCAAATTAATCGTCTATAAAGGAAGAGGTCATGATGTCTTGATCACGCGTTGGAGATCTGTCAATAAAGATATCGAGACCTTTCTTCAAGCATCATAATAATAAAACTTCTCTCTCTCTCCTCTTTTTTTTTACATTTTGTAATCTAAAAGAAAAGATGCCAACCTTTTTATTATTGACTGCAAGGTTTACTAAGTAACTCATAATCGAATAAACGTGCCTTAGAACGTGGCAAACAAGCACCAGGAGAGATCTCATCCAATTCAAATCTAAATAACCCCAACATAGATGAATAAAACCCTCCCACACAGACAAACCCCACCCCTCCCTTTTTTATTTTTACCCTAATTTCTTTGTATAGAACCGAAACGCACCTTCATTGGCTATATATACATACGCACATTCATCCGCACATATCAGTCTCTCTTCCTCCTGTAGAATCCTTCCCCACTTACATTTAAACACCGTCAACATCACCTTATCCATCTTCCAATGACATCCAACACGATCCAACAGATGCATTAAAAACTCACCTAGTCCTCGACCTCTTGCTGAAGCCATCAATTGAATCTCATAACAATAAGCACAATTTGCCATTACATCATCGTCCATGGTTTCCTCCTGTACCATTTGAAACATGAGAAATCCTTTACGATCGTTCACATCCGTAGCTGACCGTGCTACCAAGTACCTCGCTTGAGGTGCCAACATCTCTTGTCGCTTTTCCGCTTCGTTCCATCCTCCTTGAGATGATTCGTACATGGACAACATGTTCTTTTTGACGAGATCCATAGTCCATGCAAGCACATCCGAAGGTAGATCCGTTACTGAATAATAATCGATGACTACGTCTATATCTTGACTACAATAGGGAGGGTATATTTTAACAACAAGAGGCGATGGGTTGTTAACGGTAAGGTTTTTTTTTTTTTTTTTTTACTTTTGATATCGAATCGGTGTCTCTAGAAATTGAACCAAACAGGGTTCCTTATTCACTCTATCAAGAAGGCTATCCGGTACAGTCTATTCACAAAAAAGAGAGAGAAAGAGAGAAAGAGAGCTAAACATATTAACCCCAACTGTCACTCTTTTTCACTTCTTACCTCTCCAAAAGGCATAATGTCAAAAAAAAAAAAAAAAGGATACAAGAAACAAAAAAGCCCTATTTTAAAAAAATGAAGGGACGTTTTTATATGTATTTTAAAAAAAAAGAGTTCCCCCCGGTCACAACTAGCTTTATTAGCAATCATAATACGGTCTAGTTTCTTTTATGATTCAATATCTCGAGTGTCTATTCACATAAAATGAATTCCTTTATGAGTCTCGTTCTACTATGATATACAAATTAGGAAACTGGGTTTTCTAAAGTAATGTTTGCTGGAGCCAGTGGGATATGTGTTATTTTTAAAACCCACAACTTAAATGCGTTTCATTCCCAAGTAAAAGAATATCCCCTTCTTCCACCTCGAACCAGAACTGTCAAGATCATGAGTTCATAAAGCAGCATAACTCGTGCTCACAAAAAAAAAAAAAAAAAAAAAAAAAAAAAACGTGACTGAGTTTTTACACCCGCACTTTATATACGCTCGCGCTTGTTAGTGGGCCAATTCACAACAACAAAAAAGTAACACCAACCTACTTTTTTTTTTTTTTTTATTTCCCATCATCTGTATTAAAAAAAAAGGATGGCCACCATGTATTTACAACCTGAAGTGACCACTTCTAACGACGGTGACCGTATTCTATGTAAAGAGCATAGTCAAGAACAATGCGGTCCATGTCAAGTAGACTGGACAGAACATAACTTATTAGCTGCCACTTTAAAGCACGTCAAGGACCTTCCTCCTCCTAACGCTCCTAACCCAACACGCAATGCTCAAGTCACACGTCTCAAGGACGAAGGCAACAAGTATTTTAAACAAGCCAATTATCCCGAAGCCATCCGTTTTTATACCATGGCCGTCGACCTCTCTTGGTCTCGTCCTCTTTGGGAACCATTGGCTTTCCAATACGTACGAGAAGAACTCGCTCCCGTCCTCTCCAATCGTTCCGCCGCTTATCTCGCTCAAAAGCAATATGTCGAAGCTTACGTTGACGCTGATACCGTCACTCGTCTCAAGCGTGAATGGAGTAAAGGTTGGTTCAGAAAGGGAAAAGCTTTGGTCGGTCTCGCTCGTCCCGCTGAAGCCGCTGAGGCCTTTCAAACAGGTTTACGTTTCGATCATGAAAGTGAGGAACTTGTCAAGGCTTTAGCTGAAATTGGACAATAAAAAAAGAAAAAAAAAAAAAAAAAACGGAAATAATTTTTTATTTTTTGTGTGATATAAAAATGCTATACAAAGGGGTGTTGTTGTTGTTGTTGTTATGTGTTGTTGTTGTTGTTATGTGAGAGAGAGAGATTTTTCTTTTTCTTAATATATATATAAAAAAAAAAAAAACCTTATCTGCGCAAAGGTTCTTGATTTCTAACAACCTCGCTTTGCAACTTGGACACTTCCTGAATTTTGTTCTGTAAATCAATCGAATGCGTATCAATCCATTGTAAAGAAGACAAATGAGAGTTGAGGATCTGTACAATTTGACCTACAACATCATCATCGTTCTCATCCGTCGTTGAGAGCTGTTGAGAACTACCCATCTTGTTAATCTCTTCCACCATCACATTCAAATTACGGTTCACATCATCCAACTGAGCATTCAAACTCTCAGCCATACCATACGCTCTCTCTCTTTGAACATCCGCAGGTTGCATCGGTTGTTGCAAGTTACTCTCATCAAACACTTCCATGATTTGTTTCTCATACGTGTCAAGAATCGCGTTTAATTCTTCCTGTTGCGTGTTGATGTATTCCAGGTTTTGATCAATCTCGCGTTGAGTTACCTCCACCTTGGTCACATTCTCATGCAAGCTAGTAATCTTTTTTTTAAAAAATCCTATCATTAGTCTCTTTCTCTCATTTCTTTTTTAAAAAAAAGTGCGCTCGCTCTACCTTGTTTCCGTTCTCAATCAATTGTTGATCCCATTTGGCCACTTGGTTCGCTTGCTTATGGAAATCCTTTGTTTGTTTCTCCAATTCCTTTGTCCATAAATTAAGAATATCTTCCATACTCTTGTTTTTTAATGTAGAAGGTGTAGGCACAGAAACTGTCTTGCCAGCTGTCCCAGCAGCAGCAGCACCAGCAGTAGCAGCACCAGTACCAGTACCAGTAGTAGTACCAGTGGCAGCACCTGTACTAGCAGCAGTAGTACCAGCAGCTTGGGTTGTATTAGCTACTCATAATAAATGTCAGTTTTTTTTTTTTTCTTTTCTCTCTCTTTCTCTTCCTTTTTATATCTGTCTATATCTATCTGTACCATCGGTCTTTTGTCCAAATCCTCCAAATCCTCCAATGGTAGGTGCACTTGTCGTACTAGAGGCAGGTGTAGCGCCAAATGAAAGTGTAGGCTTAGCAGTAGTTGTAGCTCCAAATCCTGTACTAGGAGCAGCGGTAGGAGCAGGCGTACCAAATCCTGTAGCAGGTGTACTCGTCGTACTCGTTCCAAATCCTCCAAATCCTCCCGTTGTAGCCGCAGCAGCAGGAGTACTAGCAGGTGTAGACGTAGCAGCAGCAGCTCCACCAAATCCTCCGAATCCACCCGTTGTAGTAGTAGTAGCAGCAGCAGGTGTAGCAGGCTTAGCTCCAAATCCTCCAAATCCACCTGTGGTAGCGGGAGCAGCACTAGCAGCGGGTGTAGCAGCAGCAGCTCCAAATCCTCCAAATCCACCTGTAGTAGCGGCGGGAGCGGCACTAGCAGCGGGTGCAGCAGCAGCAGCTCCAAATCCACCGAAACCACCTGTAGTAGCGGCGGGAGCAGCACTAGCAGCGGGAGCACCAAATCCACCAAATCCACCTGTTGCAGGAGCAGCACTGGCAGCGGGAGCAGCAGCACCAAATCCACCGAAACCACCTGTGGTAGCGGCGGGAGTAGCACTAGCAGCGGGAGCACCAAATCCACCAAATCCACCTGTTGCAGGAGCAGCACTGGCAGCAGGAGCAGCAGCGCCAAATCCTCCAAAACCACCTGTGGTAGCAGCGGGAGCAGCAGCAGGTTGACCAAATCCTCCAAATCCACCTGTTGCAGGAGCAGCACTGGCAGCAGGAGCAGCAGCGCCAAAGCCTCCAAATCCACCTGTGGTAGCAGCAGGAGCCGCACTAGCTCCACCACCAAAACCACCAAAACCACCTGTAGTGGCAGCAGGAGCACCAAAAGCGCCGGTTGCAGCAGGTTGACCGAATCCACCTGTAGCAGCAGGAGCGGGTGCTAGTAAGAATGGATGAATGTTAAAAAGGTTGTCATGCTCAATCATTTATATATATATATAAAAAAAAGACGTACTGGGTGTGCCAAAACCACCGAATCCACCCGTAGCGGGTTTGTTCGCATTAGTGTTACCGAAATTGAAAGCTATTTAAAGAATTAAAAAAAAAAGGGGGGAAGGAAATATTAACTCTCTCTAGTTGTGGCGTAGTGGTGGTAGTGGATGCTATCATTACCCATTGGTTATTTTTCAATGATTCAAAAAAAATAAAATGAGAGAAAAAAGAAGAAAAAAAAAAAAAAAACGCGTTTATTCAAAAAATAATAAATAGATTAATTTTTTTGTGACGTCGTCACGATATTTTATTTCAGTGGAGAAGAATGCAAGAGTGTAGTTTTGGATAGGAGAGAATCAATGGACATGAGATGACGTGTGGTAATGCGAAAAGAGGGTTTATCATAGGCTTTGCAGACACATTTTTGATGGATTTGACGTTTGATACGTTGTTCTCGACATGCATCGCATTGACTGATCGGTCGCCCTTTCCTTCGCACCATCATTAAATTTCGTTCTGTGTGATCACACCGTGAGGATCGATGGCCCTACACTTTGGGTATTAGTTTTTTTTTTTTTTTTTGAGCTATTTAATTTTTTTGTGTATTTGTTACCTTTATACATTCTATGTTTAAATAATGTTAGTTTCTACTTTCTTTTTTTGTTTCTCATTAAGGCCCTGTAATACATTACTTTGACAAGCATACTTTATATTATCAATCACAATCATTTTATATATATATATCTAAAGAAGGGAACAACGAAAAAAAAAAGAGAGGGGGGGGAAGTGTTTGTGGTAAGGCGTTTTTATAATGATTAAAAAAAAAAAAAAAAAGAGCTCAGATCATAAAAATAGCGCAATTAAATAATAATAATAATAATAAAAAAGCCGCTCTTTTTTTTTTTTTTCTGTAATTGTAAAAAAACGAGGCAGTTTTGCGATATGATTTACCCCTCATGACATTTCATTTCGTCACCGGAAATTGCTTTTATGGTAAAAAACAACTTTTTTTTTTTTGTCAGCTCATGGTGTGTGTCTCTCTTTCTCCTGCATGAATCAAGATTTCCCTCTCTCTCTTTTCCCCCCTTTATTCAATGACCGTTTTTTCTGTTTATCAATAATTTTTTTCTTTTTCGTTCTTCCAATAAAAACTTCAATATGGACTCGCCTCAACACCAGGCACCTTTTAAAAAATCAGACTTTACGTTTGACCATGACTTTAACCAAATCATTGATCTCTTATTGCATGGTCATAATCAAGACGCCGTTGGGAAAGCAGTGGCTCATCTCCAAGACAAATTCACGCATGCTAAACAAGTCCTTCAATCTTTACCAGGACTTCAATATTCTCAACAAGAACAAGAACGTATCCTTGCTCAAGAAATACACGTACTCGAACGAAAAAAACAACAACTCGCTGCATTTAAACATCTCTTACCCTCTGCAAAATAAAATTATATGTTACACACCAAAAAAGGCATTTTTGCGGCCTATACTATATATTTTTGTTTGTTTGTTAGATTATTAAATTACCTCGGATGTTGTACGTGTGTACAACACTTGTCAATTCGGACATGCTACATCACCCATGTGTTGAGATATATTTCCATCCCAAGCGTGAGTTTTTTTTTTTTTTACTTGTTGAGCCATTTTATCTTTGTGTGGGTATTGTTATGAGAGATTTTAATTATTCACTCAATAAGAGGGAGGGTATACTATCTATGTACAAAATAATTTATCGGTAATCAGGGTCGTAAGCCCGCTTGAAACAACAAGTCCATCATACGTTTACTCAATGTCATGTGTTTACATACACGTTGGACGCCAGGTCGATTGGGATCTGCATGATACTGGTTCAAAAGGACTTGTAACACATCCATCGAACCATACTTTAAGCACATTTGTAAGGCCAAACCATCCTTACTATTCACATCATCTACCCCTTTCAACCACACCTCTACCGCCTCTACATATCCATAGCGACAACCTTCTTTCAATAACCAATCTCCATTCCATGTCACATCGACACCCGCCTTTACCAACATGTTCATACTCTCCACATCTCGATTAAAAAACGCCGCTTGCATGCATGCATTGTTATTCACTTGTGCATTCGCACCTGCATTCAACAACAGTCCAACCATACCCGTATATCCTTTATACACCGCATTGAGTAAAGCTGCCTCTCCATACGCATGGACATTGCCTCCATGACTCAATATAAATTTCACCATCTCGTCTTGACCAGCATGACTCGCATTTCTTAATAACCGTTCTTCATCATGATGGACATCACACCCTTTGGCCATCAAGTATTTCACCGTCGTCAACTGTCCTTCTCCCTGCGCCACAGACAACAAACTGTTTCCTAGAGCCACTAGATCCACATACCTTGCCAACAGATCCAACACACCCGTTGCCCCCTTCATCGCTGCGATATGCGCATAATGAATCAATAAACGATCCTCTTCCTCCATCACCCCTTCCACAATCCAACTCGCTAGCTCGAGAACGTTCCCTTCACAAGCGTACGTAAACAACCAATCATCCACGACGGGTACCTTTCTGTACCGTAATAAATGTTCCACTACGCTCAGTGTCACCATCTTACGTTTCATGGCTCGTTTACTCAATACATTGGATCGTCCGTATCGGTACAATAGATATTGTGCTCGTACTGTCACGGACTGTCCCAACTCCCAGAATTGTTTGCATACCGTCACAAGGGACGCATTCTGTGCCAGTATAAATATTCGCATTTGTAATTCTACGGGTAATTGGAGTAACCGATTCTTTCCTTTTTCTTGCCATCGCTCCCCATGCATCGGGGGGTTGTCTCTCTGTGTGTGTAAAAATAAGAAAGAAGGGAATTCAATTTCTTTTTTTTTTGGGTGTGCAAAAAAAAAAAAAAGTGTGACTTGAGATGGGTAACGCATTAACTGGCATTGAATCACACCATCCCTTTGTCTAAAAAAAAAAGGCCATTGTCTTCTTTTAATTTGTCACACACGTGTGACTTTTTTAAAAAAAAAGGGCCAAGCAAACAGTAAATTCTCTCTCTCTTTTTTTTTAACTATTATTTCAAAAAGATGGCATTATTTTCACAATCAAGGAACTGTTGTTTCATGGTCCCTATTAAAACAGGTAAAAATATAGTCCACCGCTCTTTTTCACTGTGAACACTTTCTTACAACTAAAAAAAAACCTTCAACTTATTAGGTATTTACCTTATCACAATTATCGGTCTTGTACGTTTTATTTATCAGATATAACACCTTTCCCCCCTCAGCAGCCACTCTCACACTTCTTCTATTAATTATTAGATCAATAAACTATCTGGATTCTACGGCCTCATCTCTCTCGATTACAGTCAACCTCTCATCGTTTGCATTCATGTCTATTCCGTATTGGCTTTAGCCTCATTTTCTGCTGGCCTTTACGCCATTCACAACGTAAAACATAAAAGACCCCCCCCCCTCCAAGGAGTCATATAAATATATATATATACTTACAGTACATTATAGGACAAGTACAGTTGGATCCGTTCTTTTACCTTCTTTTACTGGGCAGACTTTCTCGTCAGTACAACCACCACCATCTATCTCGCTTTGCAATGGTTCCTTTACACAGACCATAGTTTACCCGAATTAGCCGATAAACCCGACGAGACCCAACAACACGACGATACCTTTCGTGCAGAGAGTATTGTCAGCATCGTCATTCTCTGCCTTTTACGTCTCACCCATGTAAGCCTTACATAAACTTAACACACACACACAAACAAAACTTAACCTGTTGTCTTTTTTTTTTTAGTTCTATTTCGCCTTTGTTCTGACAAACTACTACTTTTCTTTGGGCCAATCACATTACTCCAAAGTCACGGCCGCCGTGGATGAAGAGTTACATTTCGCTGGTTATGATGAATTGGATGAGGATGATGATGATACAAGTCCATTAGCCGGCAAAAGACAATAATATCCCCCACTTCCCTACTTCCTCTCTCTCTTTTTTATTAATATCAATCTAAAACATGTACACACACATCATTTGTTTATTTCTTTTTTTCTTTTTTTACATTTGGTTCAATTGTCTAGAAAGAAAAAGAGTCAATTAAAAAAAAATGGTACAAGACAACAACGGGGGTGATTTCAAACCTTTTATAAAGACTCATGACATTAGCAACGAAAGCTTCTAAATGGAAAATATCTTTACTACCCAAACGCAAACGATGCTCCTAAAAAGAAAGAATAACAGTGAATACGGGATTGTAAATTGCATCCCCCTTTGTTAAAGAAAAACGTACGTGGAAAGCGGCCTTCTCGATAATCTTTAGCTTCATAGGTTCATCCACCTTTTGGATCAAGAAAAAGGCCAATCGTTTCAAAATCACGGTTGATTGAATACACTTGGTAATGATATCATAAAAATGGCTTCGCACCAACAATAATCGAGCAGGTGATTGTTCTGCTAAAATTAAATCGGCCACTCTCGAAATCGCCATTTCCCAGTCCAAATTCTCGGGTCGTGTAATGGATGTCAAATCCGGGCTTTTGGGGCGGGAACATTTGTTAAATACCCCCCTTTTTTTTTCTAATAATGATAAAAAAACCACTTACTGTCTCACGGCTGTGCTTTCCAAGGATAACAAGGCGGCACGCATATTTCTTTCGGCATGCTCAGCAATATTCATTGCCAACTCACGGGGAAGTTCAAATCCTTCCTTCTTGGCCACTTCTCCCAATACGCGTACCACCTCATTCACTTCGGGTCTTCCTACACGCATTAACAAACATCGTGATCGCACAGGTGCAATGATCTTACTCAAACTGTTGCAACAAAGAATCAATCGCATCGTCGACGTGTATTTCTCCATCGTACGACGAAGGGCCGCTTGCGCTTCTCGTGTCAATTCATCCGCTTGGTCAATAATCACGACTACATCCATAACAACGGGTTCTTTTAGTTTCTCCTTCCTTTCTTTCTGCCTTTTTTTTTTTTTTTTTTTTTTTTTTTTTTTTTTTTTTTTTTTTTTACTATTTTACCCTTGAATTGATGCTTAGCATTCGAATCAATTTGTTGAGATTGCGCAATACTCTTGATAACATCTTGAACAATGACGCGATCATACATGCCTAAATCACTGCATTCCCCCAACGTTAGCATCCACAGAAAGAAAGGAGGGTCCCTTTTCTTTTTCTTTTTCTTATTTTACCTTGGGTTCAACTCCAAGTGAAAATTACTAGATACAACAGTAAACAACATTTTACGATTCGAACTAGACACAAATTGACGCTGATCCACTTTAAGCTAGAAACATTGAGAGGGGGTTAGGACTTTATGTTTAAAACAGTAAAGTTTTTTTTTTTTTTTTTTTTTTTTTTTTGTACTTTATCCACAGAAGGTCCATAAATCTCTCTCAAGATGGCTGTAATACGTGTCTTTTTACCAGCTCCAGAAGGTCCATAAAACAACATGTGAGGAAAGTTGTCTGAATTAGCCTATATTGACATGAGTATCTACTTTTTTTTTTTTCCTTCTTTTTAAAAATACCCACCAGCTTCTTTAAATGGTGAGATAAATCCTCATGGTATGAAAGTTGATCCAATGTCTTGGGTTTGTATTTATCTGCCCAAAGACTCATTAGGTGTATATTTGCTTTAGAGACGTTTATTAGTGTGTATATATAAAAAAAAAAAGAAAAACAAAAAAAACAAGAATAATAATAAAAAAAAAAAAAAAAAATTCGCGTTCATAATTAAGGGCGCGTTTTTTTGAGTTTTAGACCTCCCCCCAGTCACGCTAAATGCCACTCTCCCTTATTATTATTTTTTTTTTCTTTATGGACGAAAGTCTATATTTTTTTCATAAAAAAGAATAAGCTACATAGAAAAAGAAAAAAGAACTCTTATTTTTTAGCATCCACTTTTTCAAGATAAATCTTTTTTTTTTTTTTCAGTTTTATACCTTTAATGGATTAAATCGACGTACAATTCTCGTTGGAATATAAGAGACAGCCCCAGGTCTCGTCCATTTCACTTCTGCAAAATATGTACTAGATCCACAATGAAAAACATTTTCAATCACCTCAATATCTTGCCATGTCATTCCCACTGGAGGTTCCGCTGTCAATTGTGCAGCTTGAATATCCTCCAATTTACGTCGTTTCTCCATATCCAACATGGCCGCAGATGGCGTAGGTCGTTTCTTGGGCGTCACTTGTGCATGTGTCCCTTTTCCTTTGCCTCCTCCTCCTCCCCCTCCTCCCACCGTCTTCCCTGTCGTTGTCTTTGCTGTTGTTGTTGACGATGTGGTTGTTGTTGACGATGTGGTTGCTGTTGACGATGTGGTTGCTTTGTTATTGGTTGCCCATGATACCAAAGAACCTTGTGTATTAGGTTTTTTATCATGTGTCCCATTTCGAAAAGAGCTTAACGTGAAAGGTTGTTTATTCCAATACTCTAGAACAAGTCCTTTTGAAAAACTAAAAAGGATACGTCAACTCACAAAAAAAAAAAAAATCACCAAACTCTCATGGATACTTACATGTTGTGTTCTTTTTCCCAGGAATTAGACTCATGACCATAGTCTTTCCACTTGATTAAATATTCCACTTGATTCTTTTAATGGTGTTAATATCCCCCCATGGTCCACCTTTCCCCCCAAATTCCTTTTTTTTTTTTTGTACCTTGTTGTGGGCAGAACGTCGATGACCCATGAGTTTTTCTACTTCATATACTTCGTCTTCCTCAATGGGTATAACTTCTTTCTTACTTCCCATTATATAAAAAAAAAAATACTATGGATGGGGGAAACCTGCAAACCACAAAAAAAAAAAAAAAAATCACAAAAAAAATAATTATGAAATCGAGTCACGACCCAAATTAAAAAATCTGTTCTATGAACCTTCCTTTTCATAGTTTTACTCCTCCCTTCTATACGTCCTACCACAGCCCATTAAAAAAAAAAAAAGCAAGAACCATCATGTACCCGACATTAACAGCAGCTGGTAACATGCGACGTGTTTACAACAAGAAGAATTCCCCGCAAGACACACTTGATTACATTACACGACAGGAGGAACTTAGAAGAACCACCATCCAAAAAGCAAAACATGTCGGCATTACCATCCTAATTCGAGGAACCGATCCCACTCATACCTCTCCCATTACAAAGGAAGAAACAATGGCTGGTAGACCAGAACCCTCACTTGAACAACCACTTTCCCCAGACACCATGTTTGATACTGAACCCATCGCTTCTCCAGACCACGACGAAATCGATGAATTTTTCAATACCGTGTCAGAAGAAGCCTATTCTCAATACAGTCAGTACGGTTATTCAAGTGGTCCTTCCTAATTTTTTTTTTTTTTTTTTTTTTTGCATGAAAATAAAAAAAACTGTGGAAAAAAAGGATGACGTAGTCTTCCCGCGGTGGGGCAACGCTTTTTTTTTTTTCAAGCGCCTTGCTTGCGGGAGACAGGGTAGGAGATTTAAAAAAAATTGTTGTTTTTATGTTTTGATTTTTTTTTTTTTTTTTGGCTTTTTTACTCCAAAACTTTTAATAAAACAAACCCCTCTCTCTTTTTATTAAAAAAAATGTCCTCTCTTGCAGCTGCTCATCGTTTGCAAGTTCAATCACTTTACAAGCGTTCTTTAAAGCTTTCTCTTGATTGGTACATTCAACGTGACTTATGGCGTCAAAAAGCTTTAGCCATCAGAGCTCAATTCGAACAAAATAAACATGTCACCAACCCCAAGGATATTCAAGTCCTCCTTCAAAACACAGAGAAAGAACTTCAAGAATGGGCTCACCCCGATCCCTATAAATGTAACAACATATCCTCATTCCTCTTTTCTTATTTACTAACTCTTTTTTTTTTCTTTTTCTGCAGTCCCCATGGGTCCCGAAGGTACCAAATGGGAACGTAACCTTCCTCCTATCGTTGTAAGTTTCACTCTACCCACTTGTCAATAGGAATCTTTATTTTTTATATTCATCCTCTTTTTTTTTTTATCTAGGCTGACTCTTCTGCTCACCACCACTAAATTTTTTGTTATCAAATTTAAAAAAAATAAAAAGATTTTATACACAACACATGCAACCCTCGAGATATTATATACTACTTCAAAAAAAAAAGAATCAGAATTCGTCCTGTGAATACATGTAGCACTTATTTTTTTTTGCATATATATTATCTAGCTTGGCTTGATAAACACTCTCTTTGTGTTCAAAAGGGGCAAATGACAGAAAGTCCGGTCCGGCCGCCACACACACACACACACACATCTTCATTTTCACAATGATAAGCGTTTATCTCTTTTTTTTCTTTTTTTTCCCCCAGCATGTCTTTTGCTTCTTCTCGACTCGATACCGTGAAACAACATTTAAAGGTAAAACGCTTCTTTCTTTCTTTCTCCTTCTCAGTCTAAAATATATATCCACTAGCCAAACATGTCTTATAAAAGCCCTATTACTTGTCACGTACTGATCGCTTCTCTCGGTACACCTGGACAACATATTGACGTCAAGATTGAAAAATTAGATACCACAGGATTCACCACGCTTTCAACCTCGTAACGTATTCTGTCCTTATATATTTATAGATCACCCTCTCATCCTCTACCCCCTACCCCTTTTACAGTCAAACAAATAGTGATGGTCGTTGTCCTACTTTACTACCTGAAGGTTACCAACCTGAAAAAGGCATCTATCGCGTTACTTTCCAAACAAAAGAGTATTTCTCTAAAATAGGTCAAGATTGTTTCTACCCTTATGTTCAGGTTCGTCCTTATTCACTACACATACTGTCACCTATAGACTCATCCCCCTTTTTTTCTAATAGATTGTATTTGAACTCGCAAATCCAGATCAACATTATCATATCCCCTTATTAATCAGTCCTTATTCTTATACTACTTATCGTGGAAGTTAAAAAAATAAACTATGTTTCCACACCCGGGGGGGGGAAGGGTATATTTTCATGTGTGTAACATGTCTAGAAAATATACCCCCCCTTTTTATTTTTTGCAATCAAGATGGTATAGAATCACCAAGGGGACTTTTTTTTTTGTGGGAGATGAGACAATTTAATAGAGAGAGAGAGAGAGAGGCAGATCCTCACGAAATGAAATAGAGCTTATGAACAAGGATTTGTCTTACCATAGGGCTACAGTACTTTGTGGATTTATGATGGACTTTTCTTTCTTCTAAACACAAAAAAAGAAAAGAGTAAATATCCTACTTACTCCATTAGACTTTAGTATACTCTATTCATGGCTATCACATCTCATTTACTTTGGTTTGTTTCGAAAGCTGTTTGACTTTTGAATGTTCAACTACTAGTTACATTCTCTAACATCTTACCAAAAAAAAACCATGGAGCCTACGTCGTGATTTCTATACATTTTATCCATCAAACATTTCCGCACGCTCTTTTTTTTTTTTTTGATCTTTTTGTTACATGTTTTATATTTCGCAACGTGTTCTTTGAAGATACAATGTTTTAAACTACTCTTTTTCACTCTTTATTTTATATGACAACATGTCAGTCTAAACATTTAAATTCCATTAAAGGCAGTATGTGATTAGCTAAGATAATTCACTCAACCCCATTCAAATGAGCAAAGGGGTTTCTTCTTCCTTTACCGACTTTTCATCAGTTAACGGCTTAGTCACTCACATTGGAACAACGGGGCATTCAGTCACTTACCATTATCCCACTGGCATAATTTTCACCAAAAACACAGGCGCTGCCCCCCCCCCCAATATCTATTATTTTCATTCTCCGCTGTACATTTTTATTTTTCGTTTTCCTGAAACGATTTGATCAAAAATGAGATTTTATAGTTTTCCTGTCAAAGTAAAGTCCGTGGATATTAAAATTTGTATAAGGTGGTCTTATACACAAAATGCGTAGAAAACTTAGGTGTATCTTTTGGTATACTTTGCAGACCAATTCTTTAAGTAAAAACAATACTTTGTCTAACAAAAACTGTTTTTTTAATTATGCGCTGAATATAATTTTTCCAATAATAAAACTGCTCTAAAAACAAAACCAGCGTAAAAGGCATTCAATTTGGTTTATAGTTACTTAAGAACACTTTTTATCAAACTTGCAGGAAGGGTATGCAAATGGTGCATTTGTAAAATTTGTGATTTTCCTCGAGGTATACTCTTTGTGTTTTGGCCGATTTTAGGTGTTTTGAAAAAAATTATAAAATCAAAATCTAATAATCGGATATGATATTTTTGATAATTCTGAGCATTTTTTGGCTTGGAAGGATGTACGGAAACGATACTTTACTATATGAAAAATTCAATTCAAAACAGCCTGTTAGGCGGAAAAGGGCCAAGAAAGAATAAATAATCAATATTGGGAATAACATCTACTGGTTTTTTAATGATGGGAACATGCAATCATATTGGGCGCATCTTTTTCATTACTTAATACCTTAATTGATGTTTTGTATTTCAGAACTTTTACTTAGCGGGTGACGTTTTCACTAAAATCGTTTATGTCTCGGAAAAGAAACGGAATTGGGACACCAAATTGATTGCCGGGAGTGAAAACAGTGATATAAATTGCAAAAATGGTGACTCGTGAACTGTATTCATCTATTTTTCAAGAAGATGTCGTATTTGACACCTGATTCCACGGATATAATTACTTCTTAACTTGTCACCCAATAATAATACATATATCTTACATATTAAAAGCACCTTACTGCGAATACATTCCTATTGGTTCGCAGCGGTGAGACGCACAGCATAAACAACAGTCTATTTATTACTTTAAGTTATATGACAAAGAGACTATTATTCAAGCTAGTAACTCAATGAACAAGAAAAGACGAATCGAATGGTTTTTTTTAATATAGTAATAATAATATACCTTCTTTTTTTTTATTTAAAAAAAAAGAGAGAACTGCAAATTCACAAAGCTTATGTATGAAATTGCTAAAGCTGTTTTTGTTGTTATTGGTTTAAATATAAGCGAGTGTTAATGGCTCAATGATATTCAGGGAACGATTAAAAGGAAAATCATGATTGTTATAATCATGGCCCATACACCCTCTTGATACTTTGATAGATAAATTATGGCTGATCTGTCTACATTCTACCACCATTCCTGTGACTTTATTATGATCCAATTCGGTACATATACGATATTCTGTACCAGCAACCAACTCGTCTAACATGTCATATTGTTTCGGAACAGCATGTTTGGAGCTATCTAATTGAATAAATTCTTAAAATTTATCGAATAATAGTCTGTTAGTACAAAAGACAAAGAATAAGCACGGCAATAAGCTTACCGAAATCTGGATTCATAAAATATTCTTGCTGTTGAATCAGAAATGCTTTGGTTGAAACTGGCTTTCCTTTTTGAATAAATACAAAGTAACTACCATCTCCTTTTAAGATATTTTTGATATCGCCATAACGGTCTATTCGGAAGAAAGGAAAATACGAAAACGTATTTAATTCTTTAACTCGCAGCGCATATGACTCGCTTGATACTTGACACAACGTCCCGTTGATGAAATTTCCATACATAAATGGTTTGGTGTGTGTTACAAGCTCTAGCAATTGCCAAAGTGATTCTCCCAATACGAATGTCATTGTATCTTTTTCTTTGAAACATACAGCATCGTCAATCGCTTTCTGCAATAACATGCTATATGTGGTGTGGATCTTTGAACCATAGGATAGATTGAACGGATCTCCAGTTACAAAAATATGATTGGCCACATAGTTTCCAAATAAATTTTTGTTGGTTAAAGAAGCCGCTATAATTGTTGCCATATTTTCTATGACTGGTATGAAGGCTACTTCTACAATGTCACGTAGAAATATACTGATACTACAATCACATTTGCTGTCAATATCTAACCGTATGCTCGAATTCATGTCCACGCTTGCTTTATTCATCTCCAACTACCAACATATTGGGTTACTAAATAAACATGATTAATTAATTCTGGCTTACAAGTTTAGCAACACATGGTTTCAGATTTCGAAAAAATTTGCAACATTCTTCCAAAGAGCATAAATCATATTGTACGTCGTTTATGTCCTTGTGTGTGGCGCAATATTTAACTTCCCAATTTGATTGCATGCTCCTATGCAGCGCCTTACATAGGTTATAATATACATCTTCCAAATAAATTATTTTATCTTGAATAACAATAGAAGCAGCATCTTCTTTAGAGGATGGCAGTAAAACAACTTGATGAAGAGCGAGTTGAATATGTTTTGGAAAAACTTGTGCAACTACAAAGTAAGACTTGATCTTAAACTCCAAATCCACTAGCTTATGTTGAATAGCAGGTAGAATCTCCTCACCACGAGTACAGAATTTAGCTCTTCGAAGATTGTTGCCCTTTTGGAGTATTCCACTTGCAAAGAATAACTTTTCCAATTTTTTTATGGAGCCGAATACAGTATCCAATAAATTCTTATCAATAGAGACACCATACCAGATATTGTTGCTTCGCCAATTACTTCCTACTATATTTTCTAGTTCATCCTCTAACAGCTTGTTGAGACTATGCAGGTATGCGATCTTAAAAAAAAAGATATAACCAGGATGACAGGTAGTGAATAAATCGTAGTCGTGTTCAAAGTATTCATAACGCGAAATAAAAAAATCATCCATTTGAACATTTTCCGTAAGTTTTTTAAATAGGTCTGGTTTTGATGAGACAAATAGCTTTCTAATCTCTTTCAGCGGATTTTTACTTGTTGCTATCCTACAGTAATTTCTTGAAAGACTCGTTTGAACTTTTCGTGGAACTTGATCAAGTAATTCTGATACTGATTCTGGTTTTGATTCCGATTCGCGTATTGTATTTCTCGTCATGCTTTCTTCACTACGATGTGATAATAATCTAAGATAGCCACCGAAAATCCTTTCTAAACATAGCTTTAGACTAAATAATGAACAATTTAGAATAGGTACTTAAAAAAACCTTCTTGAACCATCTTTCACCTGTTTTCAATGCGGATTGTTGGTCTTTCGTATAAATCTGCATATTTGATAAAGCTATCTAATGACTTCATGTTTCTAAATTATACAACGAAACAAAATTTAGACTGGATTCTTTCATAAAAGTTATATTATGCCCTATGTCATTTACAAATCAAAAGTCTGTGTCTGTCTAAACCGTCCATTTCTATTCCAGTATGTAAGAATAGTCTTTGTTTGTGTTAGAGATATGTCTGGTCAGTTATGAATAAAGGTGAGTAAGCATCAGACAATAAAATGATGTCCACTTACCAATATTGATAAAAACAATAGGCTTAGAATAGTTTTCAGACTGTCCAATTGCTGTATCCATCGGTAGTATAACTGGGTTTCTGCGCACGTTAAAGACTTGTATTTGGTGTGTTATTAGTTCCAAAATTCCAGAACATTGAAATGAGGTATATTTGAAGGCTTTACTGTCTAGGATTAATGCGTAGGACTGTTTTTGTTCGCGATATGTTCCTGACCATCTTTGAATTGATTTAAGCAGTGTTCTCGAATAATTACGTTTCTCGGCTTGTTCTGTGTAAAATATGACCATCGACCTGGTTTTTATATTGGTTGCTCCCTCGAGCAATGTATCCATTTGATTATTTAATATTTCATCAGCAAGACCAAAAAAGTTTTCAAATATATCCCTATAAGTGATTGATTGTATAGCATTGATTTCTCTATCTTTCAAGTCATATTTCTTATCAAAAAGAAGTTGTAATTCATGAAAAGGTTTAAGTGTTAAACTTAATTGATATGGGCTCTACAAAATAAAATATTTTTTAAGAACATTTTTCTTGACAGATTTCAATTTGTCTATTTCTTACGTCAGGTATCGGCTCCTTAGACAGTTTAGTGACTTTAACAAGTATTGCGTCTATAATTTCCAATGGTATTATATTACCGCAAAGCTTTTCCAAATACGTTATTAGTGACGATTGTAACTCCTTTGCTTCAAATGATATCGTAAATTGAGCCTGTTTCAATGATTGTAGAACCCACTTGCTTTCTGTCACTATGAAAGCAGGGTATTGTACCTTTACCAATTCCAAATTCACACAAAATGTGTCTTGATAATCCAGTGTGCACATAATGTACTGATCACCAGGCTTTATTTCCACATCGCGCAAGAGATCGGGACTTTCCTGCATATGGCGAAAAATTGGTTCTATTTTTGAAAAGAAAATTAATCTACCCTGACCATCCTTCCCATGAATAAGGCCAGCTTTTACGAAGAGAGGCCGAAAGAATTCTTCTCCTGTTTCATGCTCCCAATTTGTAGGGATAATGACTGCGTAATAAAAATCCAAATCTGAGCTTGTTTTGTCTTGTTTCCAATGGTGCCGAATTTTTTGTAACATGTTTATGGCTTCCTGGAGAAAATTTTCAAATCGCACCGCAGGAGGAAAATATTCCTGTCCGTTTTTAGAATAACTACTCTTGAGATAGCTGAAAATATTGGGGACGTAAACTACGTTTTCTGGGAGCTCTTCATTCCAGCCAACTTTGTCTTTCACAGTTTCGGTGTCAGTATTGTATAAAAGTGAGGCCTTGTATTTCACTCCGTCACTCCTTTTTTTTTTAAAAAAAAAAAAATACAATCTCTGTCAAAAAAAAAGTTTATTGTGTTTCGATATTGACTTACTCTTGAGCCTCATTACTTTCACCCTTGTAAATGGCCACAATGTTAGACCTGATGGTGTCATAGCCAAAGTCTATGCGAAGTAAGTATCCCCAAATATAAAGTATTTGCTACATACCTATGGTAATACAATATTTATGTCGAGAGTAGTCATATAGTTCTTCCATTTTCTTTATTCCCCTCCGACACGAAAGTGAAAGCTGCCAAAGGATAAATATGACGGGAGCACGCGTCTTTCCTCCAGGAAATCTTGTTGTAACACAGCGGTTTATGTGACAATTAAAAGTCGGGTAGACTTTATAAAAAGGGGTGAGTTCTGAAGGCGTATTCAACTACACCCTCCCGGGAAAATATTTCACCGAAAAGCATACTCACTTCTATTTCCTTCTATATTTGATTTCAAAAGTTTTAATTAGATATGTTTCCAAAGAGGCTTTTCTATTATTACAAGTAGCCTTTTCATTCGGAATCAGCTTAAGTTAATTTTTTAGTACCCTATTTCTGTTTAGCTTACCGAACATTTTGCTTTGATACATCGAAAGCGGGTGTTTATATTTGATCTGGTAATCACGGTTGAATCGTACGCAAAGCTTTTTCTACTATATCCTCATCCTCTTCCTCCTTTGTAAACTTATTTAAGACATACATCAAGTCATCTAACGTACCATCCTTAGCAAACGCCATGGACAACTCATCATCATCAATGATAATAATATTGTACAAAAACACGAACTCTTTTAGCATGGTGGTATCTGTTAAGGGAGACTTGAGAATGGTATGCAAAATGGCAAAGCCATCCAAGGCCTCGAAGGCTTCCGCACCTTCTTAAGGATAAAGCATGAGATAGGGTATCGAGTCTTTTTACGGACGGACTTGTCATCATCTTACAAAAGACTTAAAAGACGTTTTAACTCACCATTGTCCGTCAAGACCTTTTAATCCTCGGGGTTATTTTGTAGAGCTGAGCCACAGACCATTCTTTAAGCTATTCATTCAATGAACAAGAAGAGGCGAATCAAATAGTTTTTTTTTTCATGTTTCGTAATAATAACTCTACTCTTCATTTTATTTTTTTGAAGTAGGTTAATTCAGTTTTATTAAAGGGAAGTCATATGTGTTTAGCTATGTATCAGTTCTAGATCTGGTTTACTTTCACATACTATCAGAACAGCCAGACTGATTATGTACACGTTGCTTGGTTGTAGTGATGTTGTTTTGTCAGCCGTCTATCACGCGTTGTATGCTGATAAAAGCGTCATTTTATAGTTCTCATATGTGTATAGATTACTTATGGATTACCTGAGGACTGTAAAATTTAAGTTAAGACATAGTTATGGAATAGGGTCTCAAAATCTGCAATTTGATTAACATGGTTATTATGGGCAAATTTCGATGGGCAAAAGGAGAAAATATATTTATATTTATATGTGAATAAAAGCAGTGAATGTACGAACGCCAAATTAATAATTGTGGAATTCAAGTTAAGGGGCGTTTTGTCATTTGTGCTATAAACATTATTCCGTTCAGCTGAACATTCGAACATTCAATCATTTAGCGCAAATTACTGTAGCTACAGGAAAAGGTTATGTAAGAAAAAAAAAAAGACTCATTTGAAGATGAATGTCTTTATATAAGCTCTCGTAAGCTGAGTAAATGAAATTAATCTTTCGATATTTCTGCGTGTAATGTAGAAAAGCTGTACACTAGACCATTAAAGTAACCCAGACTATTTGTTGTTTCTGTTTCACATGTGTTCCAGTTACTAATTCAAAAAAAAAAAAATCCTACTTTTCGGTACTCTTGTGTAAGGATTTTAGCAGTAACATTGTTCTTTAAATCCCATGATATATCGTGTCTTCTGCTACTAATGTCACAATAATCATAATAATAATAATAACAATAATAATGAAGAATGTACTATGTATTCGGTACGTTTTTATGAATAGAACTTGTTCAGGAGACTGTTTCTTTAGTATAAAAAGAAAGCTGTGAACAATAACAATGTGTGATGTCGCGGGATGGAAGGTAATGTGCGTTATTGTACAACGATAGATTAGGTGTTTATGATGAAAAATGACCTACCGTAGGTAAGATGATGAATATAAACAAGCCTTTATGTACAGCCTGTAGTTTTTAAGGAAAAATAGTTTGACGCGTTTTATTTGACCTATTTTTGCTAGAGCCATACTATCTGTGAGGGAGATCTTTGGTCATACCATCGATAATGCAGGCAAAGTTAATCATACTAAGTAAAAAACCGCAAATGCATAGTAGTGGGATATAAACAAATGCGAAATAACAAGTAGATCTGGGAATGACTTAAATAGCTTCCCAGATGGGATTCTGTTGTAAGAGAATGACAGGTTTGTTTTCTAACTCGATGATTAAAGAAGCCTAACAAGGGTAAGTCTATAATTAAAGTATTGACAGCGATATGTTTAAACCCAGACGAACGTGTGCCTCATGTGCAGGCTGTAACAAACAAGTTACCATACCCTATCAGGTGGCAAGAAGACAAAATAAAATAGAGTTACCACCAAATAATCGATCATCCAACCCTATGGTGTATTCTATAAATCTCTTTGTTCTTGATCACTGTGACACAAGAGATTTGTATTAAACACAAAGTATACCATTTTCTATATTATTGGTTGGACATATTTTTTTATATCATCCGACTGTAAATAGTGCACAAGAAAAAAAAAAAAACTTATTTATTAATGTCCCTTCTTTTTTTTTTATTCCCCTTTTTTCTTCTTCTTTCTATTAATTTCTTTATTATTATTTTTATACTACCCCTGACTACCTTTCTTTTTATTTGTTAATCATAATAAAAATGTCTGATAGTCCAGCACCCAGTGTAAAAAGTAGAATGTCTTCGTTAGCAGCAGCTGGTCTCGCTGGTGCAGCCGGAGCTCCTCCACCTATTAAAAGAGCTACCTCTACTGCCTCTAAGACGCCCATTACGAAATCTACTGCTCCATCGACCAAAGCAGCTACGGCATCGACCAAACCCACTGTTCGTACTAGTGTGGGTTCTACTGCTACCAAGCCCAGCAGCCCAATTCGGGCTTCCAAAACGCCTGGTATTACACCGGCTACGAGAACACCTTCTACACGAGGAACAGTAACTCCAGGCGTGGCCAGAAGAGCTTCTGTCACCTCGACTACTTCTACCACACCTAGTTTAACAAGAAAGTCGACTGTTCCCTCCACAACAAGTCGTGCCCCCTCGACATCCACCGTTCCTGTAAATGGCAGAAAAGCAACCTCACCTACCGCTTCCACCACTCGCACCAGATCCGTGATTGGCTCTTCACCCAATACAGCTACGCCACCTACGGTTCGTAGAACTGGATCAGTTGCCTCTGCTACTTCTGCGAGATCAAGCACTGCATCTACCACCACAAGAAGTCCTGTCAACGGCTCCACCGCAACCACTAAATCAGCTGAGCTTTTGGCGGAGTTAAAGACTTTGAAGGAAAAGGTAATATAGTCAATTTAAACCGCTTTTTTTATAGGGTTTGTACTGAAAAGGTTATATTTACAGAATGAGGAAATGGAAAATTTATTATCTGAGAAGCAAGCGTTAATTGATTCAAAGGAATCTGATTTAATTGAATTAAAGGCAAGATTGGAAAAGGTTGAGACCGGACTTGCAACCCCTGAGGAATCATTACCGCTCGAGGTGATTAGTGAAGAAAAGGCAAGCGAAAAAGACAGCGCTGAAGATGAAGAGAAGGAGGAGGGGGAGCAAGTGGATCCTGTCGAAGAAGATAAGAAGGATGAGGAAATTGAATTATTAAAGGAACAAATTCAAGCCGCCGAAAAAGCTCGCGACGAAGCTATTGAAAAGTCAAAGGAAACCATCACTTTAATGGAGGAAGAACGAGTGAGCTTAACAAGACAGCAAGAAGAGGCTGAAATGGTTTTGAGAGATAATATGGAGAATTTGAGAGAAAAGTTGGAGGCTGAAAAGCAAGAGCTTTCGAGTCGTATTTTGGAAAAGGAGAATGAAATGTTCAGATTGAGAAAGGACATGGATGAGCTTCGTGACAACATTCAGGTAACATAGAAACAAAGATTACAGTACGAAGAATCAGGAACTAAAAAAAATGTCATGTAGGACATGCACAAGTCTCATCAAACCAGATTAACAGGATTGAACAATCAACTCAATGAACAACATAGCACTCAAATTAGCGTTCTGAAGGAAGATTACGAGACCCAGCTTAAAGGATTGCAAGAAACCTTAACCAAGTTACAGGAGCCTAATCTCGAAGCTGAAAAAATCGTTCAAGAACAAAAAGAAGAACTATTATCTAAAATACAAGAATTAGAATCTCTTTCTTTAGAATCCAAGACCGGATTCGAACAAGAAATTTCCGAGTTAAAATCACAAGCCAGTGCTCAAATCGAAGAACTTGTTGCCACTCATCAAAATCAATTGCGTGACATTGAGGCCTCTTTAAAGGTATATCATATATAAAACGTGTGCTGTTATCAATCATACTCATGTTTATAAATATGTAGGAAGAAATTGCTTCTCTCAAGCTTGCTCACGAAACCGAGCTTGAAAACTTAAAGGCGATCCATAAAACGGAAGTGGAACAGGTTCAAGCCGTCATCAATGAAACTGAGATTAAAAAGATTCGTCAAGAAGCAGAGGTAAAAAAAAAAATCAGTGTATAGTAAAAGAAAAATCAAAGACTGACGACAACATAGGATCTTTACCGTGATCAATTTGAGAAGGATTTGGCTGAAGCTAAAACGGGACACGAAGCCCTTATTGTTGCTGCTAAAGAAGAACAGGATCGTATAAAGCAGGAGATTGAAGCTTTGTCTACAAATCATCAAGAGGAAAAGGACGCTTTAAAGTTACAACACGAGAAACTTATTGAGGAGATGAAGGAGAGTGAGAAGGTGAGTAACGACATATTTTGGTTGCAAATAAGTTGTCTAATGCGACTTTCTAGATTCGTATCGAGGAGGAATACAAGTTGAAATTGTCTCAGCTTGAAGAATCACACTCAACAATTTTGGAGCAACATAGTTCTCAATCTAAGAGTGATATTGAGTCAAGCATTGCAGCTTTGAAGGAAGAGCACGAACAAGCGCTTGCTGATCTTGCCGAAACTCATGCTGTCAATATTAAGGAAGTAAAGAACACCACTGTTGCGAATGCACGTTCTGAGACTGAACGTCAATTACGTGAAGAGTTCGAGTTACAGATCGAACAATTATCGTCAAGCCATAATCAGGCTATCGATCAACTTCAGACACATCATTCTAGCCGCATGGAACAACTCGAATCTGAATTGAAGTCTGAAATCGATAAACAAGCTGCTATTGCACTTGAGCATCAAACGAAATTGGATGGTCTCTTATCCGAGCGTGATGGTCATTTAACAAGCATTCAAAAGGATATGGAAGACGCGCTCAAAAATGTGCACCAAGCCGAGGTTGCCCGTATCATTACTGAAAATGAGTCTAAAATGAACGAATTGAAGCGTGAACATATTCTTCAACGTGACCAGGAAAAGGAAGCTGCCGAGGAGAAACATAAGTTAGTTCTTGCAGAACTGGCAACGACTCATGCTACTTTGCTTGCCACCTTAGAGGGAAAGCATCAAGCTGATTTGGTACAAGCTCGTGTACAGTTACAAGGTGACTTGACTGGACAAACAAGCCAAGAAATTCAAAGTTTAAATGAAAAGTTTGCCCTCCAATTAAAGGATGTCCAGGAGAAGCATGAGGCTGAAATTGCTGCTCTTCAAGCTGCTAACGAAAAACTTGAAGCTGAACATGCTGACGCTTTTGTTGAATTAAAGACAGCTCACCAAAGTCAATTAGAGAAGGCTGAGGAGCAATTGAAGGCCAGTACCTCGAACACTGAATTGATCGATACTTTTGAAAAGAAAATCCAAGATTTGAAAGAAGCACACGCAAAAGAGTTGGCCCAGCTTACACAAGATCATGATAAACAATGCCAAGAATGGCAGGCTACTAACACCTCAATCATGGATATTGAAAAGTCTCATGCTGACGCCCTCGATAAGCTTGGAAAAGAACACATTACTGAACTGCAAGAGCATAAAGACTTGAGTGAAAAAACTCTGCAGGAAGCCCTTGAAAAATTGGAGAATGCACATAAGGCTATCCTTAGCGAGGAGTTGTCCAATTTGAATGCCAAACACCAAGAAGAACTCAAGGTACTAGGCGAAGAACAGACCAACAAAATTGCAGAGATTGAAAAGGCGCATGTTTTGGCACTTGGTTTACTCCAAACTGAATTAGCTCTTAAGACGGAAGCTCTTGAATCAGCTCAGGATCTTTCCAAGAAGAGCATTGAAAAGCAAACCCAAGATCATCAGTTGGCTTTGGAAAAATTGGAAGAAGCCCACAAGGAAAAACTTGATAACTTTTTGCAGCAAATTGAGACTTTGAAGAATTCTGGCAATGGAGAAATCACCGACATTGTTAACAAGTATGAAAAAGAAATGACTGAACTGAAAGAAAAGCATGGACAAGAAATTTCCAAACTTCAAGTCACGCATGAGCAAATGACACAGGACCACGACTTATTACGTGAAGAAACCATCGAAAAGTTAACAGAGGCACACAAGATTGCGATTGAGACATTGGAAAATGAACACAAAAAGGTTGCACAGGATCAGGAACATAATTCCCACAACGAGTTCAAGTTACGAACTGAAACTTTGACTGAAACACATGCGCAGGAAAAGAAAACATGGGAGGAAAAGCAACAGAAGGAAGTCTCCGATTTGAAGACTGAACATGCCGTAGCATTGGCCGCTTTAATGCAATCTTTAGAACTTGCAAAGAAGGAGCATGAAAGTGACATTCAAAACTTAAAGGACGAACACGAGCTTATCCTTAATCAGTTGGCCTCCACTCATACAAGCTCCGTTGAAGCCATCCAAAGTAGCCATATTGAAACTATGAAAGAGATTGAATCCAGAACAATCGGTGACACTGAAAAAATAAAGGTAACTAGCTGTGTAACCCAATACCAAGAAATAACTCATGATCTAAAAAAATTTCTGTAACTTTTTTTTTCTTTAAATAGGGTGATATTAAATCAAATTATGATTCTCTTTTGGAAGATTTGAAGCGCACACATGATGCTACTATCCAAGACTTAAAGAAGGAGTTTGAAGAGAGTAACCAAAAGCTGATCAGTAAAATGGGACTTCAATCTGAAAATATTAGATCCCAAGTTGAGGTAAAAAAAAGCATATTCTATATTTATCATTTGTGTCCGACCAATGGCGTGGGGGATTGTGTCATTGTGTGTAACTATTACTAAAGAAACCATCTTACTATTTATAGGCCGAATTAGCTGAAGATTATGAATCACAAATTAACCAATTGTTATCTGAACATACTAAAGCTAAACAAGCATTGGAAGCAGAGATCAAAGAAGCCATTGCCTTGGGTGAGTCGCAAAAGGCACAAGCGGACAGTGAAAAGGCTACCTTGGAAGCCCAGTATCGGGAAAAGCTTGTCGCCATGGAAACTGAGCACCAGGCTGTTATCAATAACCATGCCAAGAGTAACGACGACGCCACTGAGAGAATGCAGAAAGAAATCGATACAGTGCAATTAAGCTGGCAACAAGCTCAACAGCAGCTGATTTCAAAATTGCAGAATGAGCATGAAGTAGCTATCCAAACACTCCAGAGCCAACATCAAGCTGCCATCGAATTGTTAGAATCGAAATTGACAGCTGCAATAGATGAATCGACTGCATTGAAGTTAAAAGCTGAGGTATTTTACAGAAAATTATAATCATGTGAAAAGAAATTAACTTAAAATTTTTCATTAGGCCGAAAGCGAAAAGGAACAAAGTTACCATAATGAGCAGAAATCCGTGCGTGAGCAGGCAAAATCAGCACATGAGGAAGCATTGAAAAATAAAGAAAAGGAACTTGAACAGATGACCGAACAATTTAATCAGCTCAAGAATGACTTAAAGAAAAACTCGGATGTTGATGCTGCCACCGCTGAGGAATTACGTACTCTCCAAATTGCGTATGAGAAAATGATTACCGCTAAAGATAAAGAAATCAAGGAGGTCGAAGAACGTCTTGAAGAAATGGTTGGCTCTGATAATAGCCGTATCAAAAATGAGGTAAGATATATTTCAAACTTTTTTGATTTCTTGCTATGATTTTTGACACCCTTAGGAAGACAGAGGATGAAAACCGGGTCCAAGCCATTGTATCTCAGCATCAAAAGGAAATTAAAGTACTTCAAACTCAATTCCAGCAAATGCTTGACTTAAAAGACAAGGAGCTTGAAGGCTTCTCATATCGTTTAAAGACTGTTACAACCTCACAGCAAAAAGATCTCGAAAGGTTAAGTGATGATTACCGACAAAAGTTCTCAAGCTTAGATTTGGAATGTCAAAAGAAGGAAGAAAGCTTGAAGTCAAAAGCGCTTGAAATGCGATGGATGGCTGCTGAATTTGAAAGCTCTGAGGTAAGTTTTTTTCAGATAAAGTTTGTTTCTTTTTTTTTCTTTCGCTTTCGCGCTTTTATTTGTGTTGGTTACTGTTTAGTAACATTTATGGTTTTTTATAGGCTAAATTGAAAGACCAGGGCACAAAACTCCAGAATTTGGAAAATGACAATGCTAAACTCCGACAGGAAGCTGAACAATACAAGGAAGAAAATGACCAAATGCTTAGGCAAGTATATTACCTACAAATGCTATAAGAAATATACCCTTATTTTATTATATTAAAAAATATATAACTGCATAATGGCGTCTAATTTTTCTTTACTTGTACTCAATAGATTAATTCACCAACTTCAATCTGAAATGCATCATATTCGTTAAACAATATTGGAGACAGAATAATAATACCGCACGTGTCTGAATCTATTTATAATCCAATCAAAAATACCAATTTACAAAAATATAAACCTTGAATCCATTTTTACTTTTTTATATTTTTTTCTTTTTTTTTTTTTTCTTACTCCTTTCTTTTTTTTTTTTTTTTTTTTTTTTTTTTTACGTCTGTTTTTAAAAAAATTGAAATGAACACCCATAAAAAGCCTTCTACACCAAATGATATACCTCTAAAACGTACACGAGCAAAAAGAAGTTGTGACTTCTGCCGAAAACGCAAAGCAAGATGTGATGCAGACCACACAATACCTTGTACGAACTGCAAAGCAGTAAAGTATTAGTGATATCACCTTTTATATAATTTTCGCACTAACTTTTTATTTTGACGTTAAATAGTGGGGATTCAATTGCGAATTTTTAACAGTTCGGAAAAAAAGAGGACCCCCCAGTGTGTGAGAATTACCGCTTACAAAACGATTACGAGTACAAAAGAACTGATTATCCTTTTAGTTATGTAGAAAACCTAGAAACAAGATGTAAAAAGATGGAATCGTTGCTAACTACTTTAACGAAATCATCAATGAAAGAAATTGAACGAAACGACTTTCGGGCAGAGTCTTATTTATCAAGAAACAAAATCGATTACCAGCAAGAGGATATGGATGACGATGTTTCATCAATCGAAGACGACGATGATTCGATCTACAGTAACCAGCATAGTCATAACGATGTGGATGACGACGTCGACACTATATCGAATAATATGGAAGAAACGTTAGCTAATCTTAATCTGGAAGATTACGATTCCATAAAATATACTGGACATTCAGCCGGTCTCCAGTTACTCGACGAAAATTTATTTAAATCCAAATCATATGTCCAATTACCCGGAAGAGAAGATGTTGCACTACGTCTTATGTCACAGAATGAACTATTAGTTGTACGCTCAGACCGTTCTTCTTCAGGAAAAAATACCAGAATGGATGTTGGCTTTTCATTATCAAGTACCATTTTCGATGAAAAAAAAACGACTAATTCTTGGAATTTGGGCCCTATTTCGAAAGACCTGCCTATAAATTCAGTCATCGAAAAAGCGATCAAATTGTAAGTAAATATGTTATTAAAATATGCAATACCATGCAGCCATCTAACCCTGTTCTTCTTCATGTATGCAACCTGTTTTCGCTTTCTGTTTTATTTATTTGTACAAATATAGATATTTTAGCCATATCCATACATTTTTACCAATAGTCAATAGAACAAGATTCGAAGCACATGATATGAAATCGCCAAATGTACTTGTACAAGCTGTATTAGCTGTTGCTTTCAAATTTGCATCACGCCATTTTCCAAAGCTTTTTAGTAAGAAGGCAGCCTTGTTCGCTGACGTTTATTTCAAGAAAGTAATGCTTCGTTTACAAGATTCAACTTGCGCTAGATTAAGGCATGTCCAAGCTGCTCTACTCATGACTCTTTATCTGGATATGGAGGAAATGGATGTCGAATCAATGCAATGGTATACTCTGGGGAAAGCAATCCGAATGGCTCAAGATATTGGTTTGCATCGTTCCTGTTCTAACTGGAATTTACCTCCCTCGGAAATTGAGACTAGGCATCGTGTTTTCTATGCCTGTTATATACTAGATCGTCTTATGGGGGCAAGAGCCGGTAAACCACTTACTATTTTAGATCGTGATTTTGACACCGATTTACCTGTTCCGTATGAAGTTTATGATGATATTTCCATCAAACAAGGCCCGTCGATATATCACTCTTTTATCAGTCTAATTAAATTATCTGAAATTCTCGGCCGTGTCCTGAAGGCTCTTTATGCTCCCAAATCAAAACATTCCAATTCGAATGCAGGTTTGGATGACCCTACTATTCTTGCAGTCTTTGACCGCCGACTGAAAAACTGGAAAGCTTCGTTAGACCAGTCTGAAGACGGAACACAAATATCCCAAGCCCAAAAAGGTAAATATACACATTTATAGAAAACAAATATTGATTGGACAGTACTAATGTCACCTTTTTTTTTTTTTTTTTAAAAAAACAATAGTTAATTTACTATTATTATACTACACTGTTATGCTGCTATTGCATAGACCTTTTATTGAATTTTCTGCACTTTCCGATACAACAAGTAATGCTAATGTGATACATGGGTCGGTAGACTTGGATACCTTAGCCAAAGATTCTCGGCAAGCCTGTGAAAATGCAGCGTCCAATATATCCGTGATTGTTCGACAAAAACAATCACTTATGGCAGATCCAGATTCCTATGCACCCTTCTGTTTACCGACTTGTTTTGTTTATTCCATGTTTCAATCATCATTAATCCATCTTGCGATCGTGATAAAAAACAGAGACTCGCTGAGAAGACTTCGATTGCTCCAAAGATCAATAGGATTGTTAAAACAACACGAAGAATTGAGTTCTGGAAAACGTGCACACAATATATTGATCATGCTGGTTACTATCAATGGAATCAATCTTGACAATTTACTTGAGAATGATACAACAAAGGAAGAAGATATGGCTTCTATCTTTGAGGATGGCCTGGCTCGTAGTCCACCGTCGCCCATTCCCGCAAAAAACCACAATGAGTTACAATTCTCAACAAGGCTATCCAACACACAACAAATGCAAGCTCCTCAACAAATACAAACAATGAATCGCAACGCAATGATTCCAGGCTGTGAAGATAATATGCCCAAATCATCCTGGTACCAGCGCATGATGAATACGAGCATTATTGGTGGTATAACACCTGATTTACATGAAGAAGCGAATTCGTCTTCTCAAACGCTGGAACAATTATTACCCTATGCTCCCGATATAAATCCCCCTCATCATCAACACACCCGCACCAATTCTAATACTAACGTATATCAACATACTCGTAGCGACTCCAATAATACTCTGTATAATCAACAGCAAAACGATATACCAAATTATCATAACAATCCAGCTTATTATGACCTAGCCGCGCCTTCCCTGCAACAACCTAATCATGTACGAAAACATACTAAGAGGATAGAAAGTTATGACAGGCCAAACATATTTGGCGATGCTGGAGAGGATATGCATGTTATTCAAGCTGAAAACGGCAATCCGACTTACCAGAATGGTCCTACATTGTTATCTCATTCACATACCACTCATTTTCAAAGGAATGGTGTAACACCTCTCCATCAGACACCGTTACCGTTTACAGCCTCCTATGGGAATATGAATCCCACGTTGAATAATGGTCATAATGATACTTCTGCAGCCAACTCTTACCCTATCAGCTACCTGCCTCCATCCAGCCTGAATTGGAGCGATTGGGGTGTGTATTTAGGCCAACAAAATCCATCAATACCAACGACATCACCTGAAAATAATCACCACTAAAATATATGTGTATGTATAGAAACAAAATAATCTTATAACCAACACCATCCTATTTCCTTTTTATGCCTATGAAAAAATTATCCCACCCACCACCATGTAAAAAATAATCCTCCTCTTTACTGTAATTAAAAATTTATATATCTACTTATCAATTAGTTTTTTTGGACTGGAAAAGTATCCTGATTTGTTTGTTTTTCATTTTTTTTAAGGTTAGGTATAAGGTACGATGGTTGTTTTGTTTTTAATACTCGCTCAAAAAAATAGCAGAATGCATCATGAACTCATTGCGTCAAATAAATTGTACAGCTCAAGTGACTTGTGATGGGTTTTGGAAAATAGTCACTGTGATTGAGCTAATCCTAATTATTAAGTATCTTGTTGTCGTTCTGTCGTTGGTGCTGGCATTGAAGGGCGGAAAATAAATATTGATGACGAAGTGATATCATCATGTTTGGAGTGGTTTAGTCCAGGCACAAAAAAAGGGGCAAAAAAAAGGTACCGGCGTAAATTTGGGGTCAATCTTTTCTTCCAAAAATATTGCACAAACATTTTTCAGATGTCCTGTAACTTCATAAGAACAGTGGATACTGAAGGAGTGTGTTTTCCTAAGATGATTTGAAAATTACCTTGTTGGGTTACACTTGGAACGTTAGAAGGTGACAAGTGTAATATGTCTCTTAAGACAACCAGTGCAGAGAAAAGAATTAAGCCAACATTAATAGCCTCCTTATTATTACGATTGATTTTATTGACATCAGTTCTGTGCCTTCTTAGACGGTTGAGTTTATAACAAACGAATGATTCTTGCTAAAGGCCTCTGTTGTAACATTTTGGCATTTAATGATTGTCTTTAAATTTGTGTTTTGTACTATAAGTAATCTTATTGACAACATTGGGAATGACATAGAGAGTCTTTAGTGACATAAACATCATCGCCCTGATAGTTCAAAATGGTAAACCTAATGATTGATTTAAAAAAGTGTGATGCTAAGTCTATAAGAAAAACGACGGATTATACTGATGTTAAGAATCAGATAATCCTGCAAACATTATGTAAGGTATGAGCTGAGCAGTAATCTTTCAATCTATTATCAAATAAATATTAGTCAGGGGGATCAGCTACATCAAGTGACAAGAGAACGGCTATGTTCGGAATATATAATTCCGGCCTGTCAGATTTTGCTACTTTATAAAGAAACAAGCGAGCTAACGTGCGTGTTTTAAGTATAAGTCGTATGATCATTCATGCTAACGTGTTGTGGTAATTATTTTATTATTAATGATCTATGATATTCTTAGATTTTCGAATCCTGCTCGTCTATATAAAACGCCATCCTTAAAGTGGTCACTTAAAAGCCAGCTACACACGGTGCTCGGTCAAAGCTTAAAAACCGGGCCATACCCGAGTACAGGAATTGTGTAATTTTTAACGACATGAAGAACACACTTGATTTTAATAGACTATGATAACCTATGGTTTATAGATATAAATGAAATGGGATGTTCTATATACACCTTTAATAAAGTTAGAATATTCTTGGTAAAACATGCGATGGTGTCTAAATAACTAAACAATACGTCTCAAAACAAAGTATTACGGTTATTCAATATGATCACATGAGGCTGTACCTTTTTCTTGATTGGTCAATGTTTTTATGCGATTTTCTGTTTTTTTTTTGATGGATGTCACAAGACGCGATACAAAGCTTTTTTATTATTATTTATTGGTAAACTGAACATTAAGTGTGAATGGAAGATCTAGCACAATCGGTACCAAACATGCGGCTTACTGATCAGAAACAAATTACAAAAAACACCGAGTCAAAGGGCAGCGTAGAACGCGTAACAAGTGTCACTCAAAAATCTAATAGTTTGCTTCCTTCACCTTCAAATTACAGCGTCGAGGTGAAAGAGATAGAAGAAAAGCTTAAAAAGCTCACTATTTTAAGCAGTAGTAAAAAGAAACACTTACTTACTGAAGAGAGACAACATGTCAAAACTGCTTTAGACACATTACCTGCTCAGTCAAATACGGAATTTAACGTCTTTGTTGAATGTTCATTAGGTATTGTTATTCTTTTTTTATATTTTTTTTTACTACCTAGCGTTAATATATATGTATATATATGAAAATTAGCTCTGGAACCACTCAGTTTGTCAGATAGTGAATCGTCGGAAACACCTCTTTCGGATTCATACGATAAGTCCTCGGGCTTTGAAGATCAGAGTCACGTCAGATTGGAGACTACTGAAGGTATAAATATTGATGTTATCCCATCTCACACTTGAAAATTGACAGCGCAGTACTATATTTAGAGAAGAACGAAACTGGATGTATTCAAGAGCTGCCTAATATTATAATCACGGATCCATACACATCCCAGACGACAGATATAGCTAAAGATAAAAATACCATTCAAGCAACATTTATATATGAGGATCAGTCTTACGGTCAGCAAAAAGAAACATACGCTTCCGCTTCAAGTAATACATATACCATAGAGGATTGTCACACAAATATTACAGAGATAACGGGAGATGACATTCAAATGGACAATTATGCGAAAAGTATAGGCAGTGATCTTATTCAAGAGACTCGTAAAAACCGAGAATACTACTGTGATATTTGCAAGACAACTACCCCCACCGAGGATATTTATAAAAAACATCTTGTGAATGAGCACGAAATAATTCCAGAACCGTTTATAGTTTCGGGGAAGGCCCAAATGGACAATTCTATTGTAAATAGAAGTAGAGTGGAAAAATCAAGAGAAAATGGGGCCGGAGATAGAAGTTCCGTTGGCGATATTTACTGTGCCTTATGTCAGCGACATTATATGGACAAAAATTATCTTAGAATACATGCACAAGCCGTTCACCCCAAAGAATTCATCGAGTGGACACAAATGAACTTCCAGAAGCCAACTTATCGCGGTAATTCAAATACAATTTACAAATGTGTCAAATGTGATAGCAAATTAGAAGGGATCACATCTTTACAGCGTCACTATCTCGATGTCCATGAAACACCATTAAAAGTAGTCTATCCAACAGATAAATTGTATGTTGAAGACACTGAAAAAGAGATGAATTTACTGAGTGCTCTTTACGACATTTATGGTCCTATCTTTGGGTCAGAAACTACTCATCAGCCTGTCCTTGACGATTTACAAATTCATTGCCGTGTTTGCTCGAAAAAATTTGAGAATCCTGGAGATTATGTTGATCATAACTTGACACCCCATGATGACGCTCCGGCTTCTCCTATAAAGCATACTCTGGATGTGCTCAGATTTACGGACTCCCTTAAAACAGACATCGATTTGGACAATGTGGTATATGACGACAAGGATCCGGATTTTTACTGTAGCTTATGTGATATAAAATGTGACAAATCAGCGGCTTTCGCAGATCACAAGCGCTCTAACATACATCTGCACAATTCGAGCTATAAAATATCAGAACCACCTAATTTTAATCCATTATTTTACTATTGCAACATTTGTAATCGAGGCTATGATACCGAAAATAGTATACTTAATCATGTCAAATACAATCATGCAAATGCACAGATGTTATCAAAAAATCAAACGCATATTAATCCAGTATTCATTCTTCCAAAAGTTGAATCAAAAACTATCGAAAACGAACTGGATCATAGATCAGTAGTGATACGTAATACCATAAAAGCCATTATGAATAAGCCAATGAAGGAATGCAATGCAATTTCAGAAATTACCTGTGGTGTGTGTGACACATTACAGACAACTACGTCTCGTCTACGATCGCACATGGAAAAAAAGCACAACTTCGAACAATGTACAGAAATGTTGTTCTATTGTTATATTTGTCTCATTGATTGTAGAAAAGAGTCTATATTCAGTGTTCATATTGCAACACGGAAACACATGAAAGCAGCATTAAGACCAGAGAATCGGTTGATCAATGTGCATCAAGTTTCAATCGACTATACCGACAATGAAAGGGATTATTGCGAGGTATGTAGGACAGCCTTTCAAAATCCTCGCCTTTACATGAATCATAAAGCAACTATAAATCACCAAATTAATTATCTGATATCTACATCGCAACATGCACCCTCTTCTGAACCAACCCAGGATGCTTTAGTCTTATGGAATCGGTATATGAATATTGTAAGAACGCATCGTACTAGACTTGCTACTCCAGGTCAGCTAGAATTTAATTGTAATATTTGCCGTATATCATTTACATCTTCAATGCATTCCCTGCTTCACTTAGCCACTCGCCTTCACAAAACGAATTGCATGACAGAAATCATAGAAACTAGTAACTCCGATGAAGAAACGGATACAGATACTTGTAATACCGAAGAAGAAACTGGTCAAGAAGCTTGTGATCTTGAAGAAGTAACGAATAAAGAAGTTTGTAATACCGAAGAAGTAACGAATAAAGCTTGTTATACCGAGGAAGAAAATGGTCAAGAAGCCCGTAATCTTCAAGAATTAATGGATAAAGAAGCACAAACCCAAGACATTAATAGCAAGCAATCACAGTCGAAGGATATCACGTATTCAAAATCAAATGTCCGTGAAGTTCTTCCGAATTTTTACTGCAAAGCATGTGACAAACCGTTTAAATTCCTGAGTCAATTCCAAAGTCATTCTATCACACGAGGACACAGACAGGCATTGCGTAATAATACTTTGCCAGATAATACAAAAGTTTCAAACGATACAGAAGTTTTCAATGATACGGAAAATTTTGACGACGATGGATCTGACTATTGTAATGAATTTGATTCCAACAGTGTTTTGTCACAATATGAAGAGATTCTCCCTGAAAACAGTTTTGATAATAGCTATGATTGCAAACTATGCAATGTCTCGTATAGTGAACCCTACTTATTGGCAGATCATTTATCAACTCCAAATCACAAGCGATTTTTGGAAAGCACCATTTATCGTGATGAAGTTCGCAAAGCAGAACGGGATATTGCTGATAACACGCACTGCGGTCCAAGCATTTTTAGCCCAGGTGGATTTAAAGATTTGGCCATTGGTCGGCAGGAATATCAAACTTCAACACATACATCAGCTGAAAAATTAAATAATGTTTTTCAACTTACATTCAACATGGAAAAAGAGAAAGCAATGCCAATCAGCTCTGTAGCCAATTATCATTGTGAATTGTGTGATGTGTCATTCTATTCAGCCAATGTTTTAACTAATCATCTGTTAACAAAGGACCACAAAGAGAAAATGAATTCCACAACGTCGGTTGAAGAGAGTACAGTCTTCCCGTTAACAAGAATGGCTGAACCTCAAAACATACCAGAGAATTTCAGTACTGTTGAACCCTTGGCGAAATGTAAAGTAATTAGGGAGAATAAGAATACAGAGCCAAAGATCAAAAATACGACCATACCATTTGATTTGGATTTACACTGTGATTCTTGTGACAAGACATTCACCACTAAACACAGCTCACTTATGCATTTTTTCAAGATGCATAAGTCCTATTATCCAGACTTATCACCCAAAAATCAGCCTCAACGCAAACTCAATGCTGTCGCGCTACACAAACACAATATCATGCCGGACCAAAATAACCCGAAACTTTTTTGCAGAGCATGTAGAAAAATATTTAACAATAAAGGTAATTTTAGATTACACCTCATGTCAAAACACAAGATGAATCTGAACGAAGACAATCTTCCTGGAAACAACCTTAATATTGTGCTAAACGCACATACAATAAAAATCATCGGTAATCCAAAATTATATAAATTGTCCAAATTTGGAACTCTGACACATTGAATACAATGGAAGAGCCGATAGAAAATATTATTAGAAATCATTGAAGCAATCTGTCGGCGACAAGCGTACCCTTGAATTCATGTAGAATTCAACAGTCAAATAAAGTAACAAGGACTTATAATCGTACCTATCGTACCATTGTTTTTTTTATATACTTTATATTTTTTTATCAAATCAGAAGTAATTGATTTGTAACATTTTTTACGATTATCCTGAATTTTTTTGAAGATGACTCTTGAAGAAAAAGGAAAATCCAGAGCAGAGGGGACAGACAAGTCGGCCGAAATGAACACGGGAGATCCCATGGAAGGGATTGAAGTAGTCAATGAAATCACGTCTGCTGTCAAGGAAGTACAAATTTACAACACTCCACCTAAAACAACAAAGGGAAAGGAGGTAACAATTAAACAACGTATGCAGAGCTACAAGGAGTACCAAGTAAAGATTCGTGATCGTATGATGAACTTAATGGACATCCAGCCAGCATCTTCTTTAATCGAAAAGGAAATCAACGAACATCGGTTAAAACTTGAGGAGGTGACAAATCGGATTTTAACTTTGGAGAGGAGTATGAACCTAGTAGAAACACCAAAAGGAACAAGTGAATCTAAGTGGGCCAGACAGGACAAACAACGCATCAGATCCAGCGAAATCCCAAAATTACAATTAACAACATTAAATGAGCATCCATATCCTACAAAAGAGAAGTACAACTCAATCGACCACTTTATCCACGAGTTTGAAACAACCATCGGAATTTACGCGAAGATAGAAGAAATGTGGAAAGATTCAATTCAAGTAGCAGTACCATTCCTATATAAGACGTGGCTCAAGGAATCAGTATTAACATGCGAATCTTGGGAGAAAGCTAGAGAAGTTATTATGAAGAAGTTTGGGGACTTCCAGTCCAAGGATATGAACAGCTTACGCTTATTTGACTTACACATGAAGCCGCACCAATCCATCGTACAGTACACCAATGAATTCATCAACCTTGCTGCTGCCGCTGACATCCAGAAAGATGACAAGATGATAGTGCTCCTATTTAGATCACACTTGTATGAGCCATGTAAACCATTGATATTTTCGTCCATGGAGGGTAAGCGTCTGGTGGACGAGGAGTATGAGTTCACTATTGACAAGATATGTGACATCGGCCGGGAGATCTTTGGGGATGAACCAGTTGGGGAAAGTGCTCGTTTGGTGACAAATAAGGTAAATTCACCGGTAAAACGTCGACGTGATAGTGCATCAGTAGAATGGCAACAGTATGGGGCGAAGAAAACTAAAGGATGTCCGAAACATGGGGGTGAAAAGGCTAACCACACTGTCGAAGAATGTCGAAGTCAAGACGTAAAGAAGAATAAATTTTTGGGCAGTAAGAACATTCCATTCAAGGCCACGGGTAACAACATGAAGGGACAACCCTGCCGGTACTGTAAAAAGGAATGGCACCATGGTCACACCTGTAAAGAATATTACGAACACAAGAATAACCGTACTGTTTTGGCTCTTCGTCGGGAGGACGATGAAGATGATCAAGGGCCAAAGACCTCAAATATCAAAGAGGCTATGGAAATAGATGCGTATGAATGTAAGTATAATATGCAAAGGAAAGAAAGAAATCCATTAAAATTGACATTGACTCCTATCATTATTAGAGAGCAAAAAGTAATAGCAAGAATAGACACGGGATCGGATATCTCATGCATAAATAAATCAATTTTAGACAGTAAATTCAATAAAGAAATAAAAATTTCCAAAATAAATGGGTCTCTTAATTATCTTTCACTTGACAATAATAAGGAAAATATTAAAGTAAAACGAATTGGAATAACAGAACCTTTAAGAGTTCGTTATATTAATGATTTAAATTTCGATTTTGCTTTTGAAGTAGTAGAGTTTAGCAGTGTAATGGAATCCCAATTTGATGTATTATTAGGTCTCGATATCTTGAGTAAATTACGGATATCATTGTCGGGAGTTGCCTATTGTTACCCCGATGAGGAAAGAACAGAAGCACAATTTCGGAATGTAAACTTTGACACGCAGAACAAATATGATCCGGAAAATGCTAATTATGGTACGGACAAGGAGCGAAAGATATTTTTAGAAGAAATACATGGGGCCACCGAGGCAAATAAAAATATACCAAAAGGATCGTTTTGCACGATGCCTGAGGCACTCATTCGCATCCCTCTAAAAACACAAACAGATAACATGTATATCAAGCAGTATCCGTTAGTGTACCATCAAATACCAGAAATACAAAGACAGATTAATGAATGGGTAAATGAGGGGATAGTATACGAAAGCATGCCCAGCTCGAAGTATAACACACCATTGTTAGCTGTAGGAAAAAAGGATGACCAAACTGGGCAATTAACCAAAATAAGAGTGTGTATGGACCTTCGAAGAATCAATTCCAATATTGATGACTCTAAAACGGACAAATATGTGATCCCGGATATGGAACAAATGTTTGCCGAAGTAAGTGCACCGGGAAGAGTCTACACGAAAATTGATTTAAAGAATGCGTATTTTTCATTTCCAGTTGACAGTGAATCACAAGAAATCTTAAGCTTTACATTCAAAAATAAGACTTACAGATGGAAAGGATGCTGCTTTGGATTATCATTCATATCACAACAATACTCACGAGTAATTGCGCAACTTTTCCAAGGGATGGAAGGCGTACGAAATTACATCGATGATCTGTGCATATATTCGGCGCCAGAAGATCACGCGGAAATTGTTAAGGCTGTAATTGAGAAATTAACCTCGGTTAATCTTCGCATCAACTTTGACAAGTGCTCGTTTCTTCAAACTTCGATATATTTGCTAGGATTTATTGTTGGCCCCGGAATCAAAAAAATTGATACGAGGCGATTGTGCAATATTGACGACTGGAAAACACCCAGAAATAGTCGTGACGTTAGACATATTATGGGCATTGTATCACATCTGAGAGAGTTCGTTCCCTTAATGGGAAGAATATCCTATTCAATCAACGCACTCCGGAACTGTAGTGAAAAGAATAAGCCATTTATATGGACTACACAACAAGACGAGGCATTGAAATCGCTGAAAACATGGCTTACATCCAGTACGATTTTGCACACCATCGACATGACCAAGCGTATATATATAGAAACTGATGCATCACATTATGCGTATGGAGTGTTAATCTCGCAACGCGATGAGCTCGGCAGATCTCTATACATTACATTTGCCAGTAAAACGTTTGGCAAACATGAAATGGCATGGTCCGTAAATCGAAAGGAAACATATGCAATTGTATATGCCTTTCAGAAATACAGGTCCATTCTTTGGGGACACCCTGACATCGTTGTATTAACTGATCACAGAAGTCTGGTATTCATGAACACAGCTACGCACTTGTGCCGAACGCTGCAAAATTACATGGACATTCTCAGTGAATTCAAATATCGAGTCGAGTATATCCCAGGATTTTCCAACACATTTCCTGATATATTAAGTCGCTTATACCCCCCAGAAGTCGAGGATCAAATTTTGAGGGAGGATGAAGAGAAGAAAATTATGAAGTTAGAACGTATGATCTTGCAAAGAAGACTACCGACTGATAAGATCAATCAAAAGATTGCAAAAGATCAATTCATTCATAAAAAAGAAATATACAGTAAAGATAAAAATTTGAACGTATTAGCTGTAAGACTAAACAGTAAAGAATACAAAGAAACAACAACTGAATACATAGCTCCACCCATAAATGAAAGAAGTAAATTATTAAGTGAAACTCATGCAATGGGACACTTTGGATCAGAAAGTATGGTACAACAATTACATGCTCAAGGTATACACTGGAATGGTATATTTAAAGACAGTAAAGAATACGTACAAACATGCATCGATTGTGCACGAAACAACATCGCAAAGAAAGGTTATCATCCATTGAGACCTGTGGTCAGTGCAGATCCATTTACATTCTTAGCTCTTGATTTAGCAGGTCCATTTTCCGTTACAGAGAATAATAACATATATATCCTGGTAATGGTCGACTTATGCACCAAGTACATAATTGCAAGACCACTGAAAAATAAACAAAGTAACACAGTGGCAAAGGCGATAATGAATGTACTAGGAGACTATGGCATACCAATAAATCTTATGTGGGTAACAGACAACGGCCGCGATTTCTCGAATGCTTTGATGAACTCGATCACAAATGCATTAGGTATTGAACATCGTTTTTCGACACCATATCATCCAAGGGGAAATGGTGCAGCAGAAAATGCCGTAAAGGTGATCGTTTCCACACTCCGCAAATTATTAGGCAATGACACGAATAAATGGGATGAAATGTTACCCATCGCACAATTATGCTGCAATTATAAAATACGTAATCGAACCGCTAGTAGCCCATTTTCATTGATGTATGCGAGACAGTTGATAACTCCCAAAGATTACACTGATCCGTCCAGAACAATCCCAAGAAAATTGGCGACAGAAGAGGATTTGATCAAACGAGCTGAAATAATGGCATCGGTTGTATTTCCCGCTATTGAAGAAAGAACACGGAAAATAGTTGAGGAACAAAGTAAGAAGTTTAACAAAAAGCATTACCTCATTGACATTCCTAACGACACAACCGTTATGGTAAAGTTACCAAATAGAGCAACCAAGTTATCACCGCTATACGAGGGACCATTTACAGTTGTACGAAAGACAATGGGTGGCACTTATGTATTGAAGGATGAAATGAACGAGTTGTTACATCGTGATTATGTTCCGTCAGAGTTGAAAATTGTAAATATTGACGAGTCAGGAATAGAAGACGAGTTATTCGAAGTTGACGAGATTCGTGATCACAGAGAAGACAAAGAAGGCAATCGCGAATATTTAGTAAAGTGGAAAGGTTACGGAGAGCGAGAGAACTCATGGTTACAAGCATCAGCATTCTCATCGCCAGACACGATCCGCAAATATTGGGTAAAAGTACGTGAGCTTGAAAGACTAGAACAAGAAAGAAAGAATGAGTTAGTTCAACGCTCAGAGAAAGTTAGCAAACGACAAGAAAAGCATACAAAGATTATAACTGATAACAAAAGAAATACAAGATCTAATAAGGAGACAATACATAAAGAACTTCCCGCTAAGAAAAGACGTAGCAATCGAGATAGATAAATTTTTAAAAAAAAAAAAAAAAAATATGTAAATAGATATACCCACAGGAACAAGTCACAAAAATATGCATACAAAAAAAAAAAAAAAAAAAAAAAAAATCATGTAGCTAGGATGAGGACATACTATGAAAAATGCTGAAATAGGAAGCATACCTATCATCGATCAACTAACGTTGAATCTAGAGGGAGGACATGTGCTAAACGCACATACAATAAAAATCATCGGTAATCCAAAATTATATAAATTGTCCAAATTTGGAACTCTGACACATTGAATACAATGGAAGAGCCGATAGAAAATATTATTAGAAATCATTGAAGCAATCTGTCGGCGACAAGCGTACCCTTGAATTCATGTAGAATTCAACAGTCAAATAAAGTAACAAGGACTTATAATCGTACCTATCGTACCATTGTTTTTTTTATATACTTTATATTTTTTTATCAAATCAGAAGTAATTGATTTGTAACAAATATGACGGAATACCAGGCTCACACCATCTCTCAAGACGTAAGGAAATTTTATTGTGTTGAATGTGATAAATCATACCTTACAAGAGGAAGATATCTTTTACACTTGGGAAACATACACAATTGTGATGAAAACGGTAAACAACTTAACGGAATCCGAGTTAGATTTAGATTACGTACCATCGAAGCAGAGAAAAATTCTGCAACCGTTAACGATCGAATACACTTAGAATCAAATAACATGGCTATAAATGGGGATAGCAATGCGGGAAATTGTAATACTGTACCGGATAAAGTGGATAGATTTGAGCAAGATACCCAAACCTCGTATTGTACTAAATGCGACAGGCGATATCAACTTATATCTTCTTATAAACGGCATTGTAAAATGAAGCATTCTGACAGAAAGATACAGTCTAAAACCACCGATGGAGACAAATATTGCGCCATATGCGCCAAGCAATTCAAGCATCACTCTGCGTATATGAAGCACTGTATGGTTAAACATAGTTCGTATCAGAGGCCGTTGACTCGTGGGCGTCTTTTAAAGAAAGGTAGAAGTCTAGAAACCTCGGAACAGCACACTGTCATTCACAAAGACCTTACAGGTTTATACTGCGATAAATGTGACACAAAGTACATATCTCAAAGATTGTACACCAAGCATGTCAGTATCAGGCATTCTGAGGTAAATATCAATACCGAGATTGACAGATATTTATACTGTATCAAATGCGACAAGGAGTACAGTTCCATATTTTGGTACAATCAGCACCTTAATAGAAAGCATGCAAGCAAAAATGGAACACTTGATAATGGCAAAGTTGTTCGAGACCAATCCGCTACTATTATTGATAAATCTGTCGATGCAAAATTAAACTATTGCGAGACGTGCAACATACAATTTTCAAGTCCTTACACATATTATTATCACCGTAATACCAAACACGCAAATGAAATTAAACGTCGTGTATACATCCAGAAGTATTGCGAAGAATGCAACAAACAATTTTCAACTCAATTGCGTTATCATAATCACTGTAATAGAAAACACAAAGATAAGATCAAACTTATGCTTCGTACCAAAGCTCCCGTTGCGAAATCAACATATTGCAAGAAATGTAACATACACTTTGCAAATCCACGTAGGCTCTATTACCACCGTAGAACCATACACCTAAATGAAGCCAAACCTTTTTCAAATAACAAACGTACACCGGATCATTCTGCTACAAGTACTCCAGTTGCTACGGGATCAAATCACTGCAATAAATGCAATAAGAACTTCAGAAATAAAAGGCTGTACGTGGTCCATTGTAATAACCTACATCCTGCTATAGTAGCTGCAAACTCCAGTAAAAACCGTAATGTACATAATCAGCCAGTTACCAACAAAGCTCCAGCCAGCGTCGAATTTGATAATCAATCAAATGAAGCTGTTACTTCGACGCAGATATCAGATGTCAAGCTTAGCAACTCCAAATCCTTTATTTCCTGCTGTATTTGTAACTGTCAGTACATAAGCTCAAGACTTTACGAAAATCACCCATGCTTTACAAAACCTTTGGGTCCAACTAAAAGAAAGCGCGGACGCCCAGTTAAAAATACGATATTAAAAACATATTGCTCCATCTGCGAAGTTGACTACGAAGATCATCATAAATACAACGCACACCTGTTTTTGCTTCATGAGAAGACATTAAAAGATGGATCAATTTTGCTAAGCAATTTAGTGGTGGGGGATAAAGAATCTATCTTGACATGTCAGTCATGCAATCATACATATGGAACGACTTTTCATTATAATAGCCATATCGTTAAATTCCACAACCAATTATATCAAAACCAAACCATATCGCATGAAAAAAACAACCACAAACACCCTTTATATTGCTTCAGCTGCAAGCATGATTACGATAGCTATGCCAGCTTTAACACCCATTTATACGATATGCATCATGTTTCAAAACCCAAATTAATAGAGATGTCACGGAAGGCGAGTGAAAGAGTGCGAAATGACGATACGGATTGTAACGCTAGAACTATGGCTGGAGAAAAGGTATTATCTTTGCCAGTTACAATTACTCAACCCGGTTATACACCAGCTCATGATGGCAGAACTCTTAGAAAACGTACGAGAATGAATTATGTTAGTTGTGTGCAAGATTTGGATGTCGAGTTGTAATGTAAGCTACAGTATGTCAATATTTTTACGTTCCAAAAAATGTCAATTGACACAATTTACTGATTATACCTGGGACTTGCAGTGTTAACTATGCAAACTTTTTTATAGATGAAAGGCTCACAGTTACTAAAATATTTTTTTAAAGTCCTGCAATAAAATGACAATTTGCAGAATTATCTTTTTATCGGACATTTCTTTTTCTGTGATCCCTTCATTGTTGTACCATATGCTTTTTTATACGAGCATTGTTACGCACACTTAATTGTTACATGGAAGGGTACCATAGAAGGAGATTTATTTTCTTAATGAAAAATACCTGTTGTAAGACGCATATACATATATCACATATATAGAAGAAGCGTAGTGCAAAGTATAAAATTAATTCCAGAATGTAAATATTGATTGACCGGTATAGATGGTATCAAAAATATATTTTGCTACCTGCAAGGTTTTAAAAGCGCCTGGTTCTTGGTATTTTCCGCACTGTAAGAAGCTCCAACAGTGCATATTGTCCCGAAATGAATTTTTGTGTTGCGTGACTTTTTTTTTTCTTCAGCAAAGTTTATCGTGCGTCACTTTAAAATGAACGATGAGGCAGATAAACACACTTTTTTTTTTCTACAATACCAATTTATATACTGTCATGTCGATTTTCCAAAACATCCTAACTGCCCTTACAGAACCAATTAATGTGAGGAAAAGAGGACGACCAAGGAAGAATACCAGACGTAGACAAAGTATGAACAATAAAAAACTTAATGAACCAATTAGTTCTCCTGCTGCGCAAAGTCCAGCAGACATTGGAGAAACAATTGTCGAGCCACCAGATCACGAAGAAAACGAGGCTGCACCACCTCCTAGTAATACACCAGATCAGAACAACTCAACCACAATCAGAGAAGAATCCGTTCCAATCAAAATTGAACCTGTCAGTGATGACTACTTCTTAAGTCATTCAAGAATTGTTAACAACAATCCTTATCTTTATAAAGGTAATGGCGAGTGCACATACAACTATTTTATTATGAAAAGCGTGTTTTAAATATATATTTTTTTTTTTTTTTTTTTTTTTTTGATAATATTATTATTTAGATTATAACAACGTCTACCAAATCATCAATTCAGACGAGGGTTTGTGCTGTAGCGCATGTATGAAGCCTTGCTCGATTGTAGATTTCTACAACCATATCGCTAAAGACCATAAAATGCCACCAACGGAAATAGCCTGGGGTAGTTTCTTTACACCTGTATTATTACCAGTAAACCACAAAGAGTTTCCAACAAAACCAGCGGAACCTCTTTATAACTATACCCCTTATCCTGAACTCGAAGAAGGTAAAGATAAACCCAACCCATGTGCCGTGGCAGCCAAACTGGATGCCTTAAAGGAGAATTCAACAGAGGCCATGGAGGACAATACAATGGAGGCCATGGAGGACAATACAATGGAGGCCATGGAGGACAATACAATGGATGCCTTGGAAAATTCAATGGAACCAGCAGCTGAATTGCCTGCATTAATTGAAATTGAAACACCAATACCTGCCAGAATCCAAACACCAATGCCTACCGAAATCGAGGCACCTACCGGAATCGAAACACCAATGGCTACTGAAATCGAAACACCAATGCCTATGGAAATCGAAAACCCAGTCGTTGCCGAAGTCGTAACACCAGTCGTTGCCGGTATCGAAACACCAGTGATTATGGAGGTCGAAACACCAGTGGTCGCTGAAGTCGAAACACCAATGAATACCCAAACTAAGCCATCAAGATATTATTGTCAAATCTGTAATATGTCCTATGTAAGGTTAGGATATCTGAAGCGACATCTCTTCGACAAGCATAATATCGCACATTCGCCAATCAGACAGACTGACACACGACGACGACATTCTTTGAATCGTCCCGATAAGGTCAAGGAAGCCAATTTGACATCAACCTCCCAAACCGCACCCTCTTCCTCCCAAACCGCACCCTCTTCCTCCCAAACCGCACCCTCTTCCTCCCAAACCGCACCCTCTTCCTCCCAAACCGCACCCTCTTCCTCACAACCCAACTTGGATCTACCGAATGAAGATGACCCTGATTTCTACTGTCGTGTTTGCGATCGAAAATGTATCACCGGCCAAGCTTTTCGTATCCATATCCGCAGGGTCCACAATGTTAAACTTCGACATGATTCAATCAGAACATATCGAAATCCAGGCATAACTCCTGATCCGCATGATCCGAATTTAGAATGTGGTGCCTGTGAGAGACAATTCGCAAACGGCAGGACGTACTTTACTCACCTAAAATTCGTACACGACATGAGCTTCAGTGTGGAGGAGGCAAGACAGATAAAAGCCATCGAGTTACACCCCACCAAGAGAAGGATCGCAATTTATAACCCTCGTAGGCAGTGCGTGGAAAATATTATTCCTGACCAGACTGATCCGCTCAACTATTGTGGAGCCTGTGACCGAAAGTATTCAATAAGCACACCTCGGCATTATATAGACATTCATGGTTTTGTGTCTCAGCATGGCCCCGGATACAGATGTGTATTATGCGCAGAACAATTGGAGACCAGGGAGGATTACGGCAATCATCTTAAACGTACCCACCGAAAGAAGTTGGCGGATAGGGCAACCGTCGATGATTTCAAATGTCGATTATGTGCCACAGAATTCACAAGAAAAGTTGATCTATCAAACCATCTGGTGGCTATTCACGGATTAAATCCAACTTTTAAGCACACATTTACATCCGACAAAGTTCGTTCTGCATGCATGTATTGTAATGAGGTAGAATTAAATGCATGCGCCTTAGGAATACATATTATATCCAAGCATGGCGTTCCATTCGTATACGATCAAGTTAATTACTGTTGTAACTTGTGTGGTGAAAAAAGCCGTTCTGAAATCAAGTACAGGGAACATTTAGTTCTTACTCATAGAATCGGTAGATTCCCAGATGAAGAAGGTATCGATATTCACAACAGAGCGAAACCCTACGGTAAAAATGTTATGATTGGTTTTCACGATGAGACGGAAAAATCTATGGGAAGAAAGTTAAACAAAAGAAAACTATCGGATGAAGATCAATCTTACAGGCCATCAAAACGACCAGATATTAAGGGACTCGATCCAATTAATTTGAGAAGGAAGGCAACCTCAAGTCGTCATTCAAAAACAACAAATAACACCATTGATCTCTCAGCAACCCATTGTCAGATTTGCGATCTCACCTTCAACACAAATGTTCACTATCGATTGCATTGTTACAAATACCATTAGGAATAAACAATTTATTATATTGTATTACTTTTTTCGTATTCTTCAATTATGGCCTTAAGGCCAAAACTTTCTTCACAAACAAAGTGCGCGTCTTTCTTTTTTAAAAAATACTTCGGAGTTGCAAATAAAAAGCTGTCTGAAAGTGTTCAAACTTCAGACGAATCAAAATTTACTTTACCTTTTTCAGACGGTAATTCAGATTTAGTGTTGGACTTTTTTTTTTTCTTACCTGTAGGCATCTTTAAGCCATCGCCGGTGAGGGCGTGGCAACCACATTGGAGGTGGTGCTTTGTCTTTTAAAGACATCGGGTCGGCCATCGCCTCTCCAAATTGAAGTGGCAATGATGTACATGTTTTTTGTAGCCATAACGTCACGATTCCAACGAATATTGCATTTTTTGCAGAAGAATATTTGATGAATTGGTCGGCTGCCCATTCCACTTTTATGCTTTAAGTTTTCTAGACTGCTTTCTAGGCAGTTATTGCAGATCTAAGAAAGAAATGATATCTTATTAGTAATTACATGTATAGACGCGTATATTTTTCACCTTCGATGTTTTATATTCATTTATGTCAAGTAGCAATAATTCTCCGTAGTAACTGTCTGTTTATCATCTCAGAGACACCATGCCTATTCCTACAGATCTTTACGTGATTTTTATTCTTAAGACCGTCCTCAAAAATTATCAATGGCGTCTTACTTTTGCCACCCTCCTCAAATTTCTCTGTGGTTTTAAAGAAAGAATAAATTAGAAGAGGAACAATATCCATGCGTATGTGAGTAACGCCTAGAAGCGCTCTTTCCTTGTCTTGAGCTGGCTTGAGGGGTGTTGCTTTGATACTTTGCAGCCGTTTTACTTCTTTTTCTCTTGTTTTTTCTTGTCTTCTTCCGTCGTCCCTTACTGTACTTCTTTGATCCGTTAATTAGGATATTAACAGCATCCTAGAGGGCACGCTGTTTTCCAATGTAATTACACCATTTGACTCTTGCTGTCTGAAAATTGTAAAAACCAAATAGTGTGTCCTTATGTTGCATCATGTATTTCACATGCGTAATATATTTATCAGTAACTGCTGACTTTACAGAAGGTATATTTGTCTCGATTGTTTGCACACCTTGTTCTTTCTTCCTGTCTTGCTCCAACTTCAGATGATTAGTACTTCCATTCGTGTTGTAATATTCGGCAGATGATAGCCGCCTAACATCCGTGTTACCATGAAATGACACAAAAACATCTTTCCTGTTGGGATCAACTGTGCAAGGTCTAAAATAACGATCTATTTCTTCAATATTGGAAATCATGTAGCTTCAAAGAAGTTTCATTTACAAGAGACTCTGCGTATCTCTTTCGGCAAAAGCAAATCCTACAAGTGTACCCGTCTGTGTACAGGCTATTAATAAACATCTTTCCTTTTCGTTAAGGTAAATTTTATAATTTTTCAAAGCTATACAAGTTGAAAATTAGCATGTTTATTTGTTGCTAAAAATGTATGTACCTGCGTATTTATGTTTAATTTAGCAAAATTAACACGGGCAAAAAAAGATCTTTGGGTGAATTCAAAAACCGTTTTTTCCTCTAACCGTTCCATTGAAACCGTCGGAAACACACCAATCAAATTTTGGCTATCTATTTTGGATTCGGGAATAGACTGAAGAGACGAGGCGGCTGGAAATTTCCTTTTACGCCGTTGTTGTCGTTGTTGTTTTTTTCTTACTTTCTTCTTTTTTCTTGGGTCTTTTATTCACTTGATCAGTCTTGTCTGATTATTCTTGCGGGATGATTTGAATTTGGGAGACAGGAACAGGTAGTGTAGCTTCCACAAGCAGGGATTCATATTTCTCCAGAATGTGCTTAAATACTGGCATAATGCTGAATGGAGCATTACTTAGAGTTGCATTTATCGCAGGAAATGCTGGTATACAATTCTTCATCTCCAATGTCAATGGGTTTAAAAACGTATGAATTTTTTCTTGCTATTCACTGTTAAAAGAAGCGGAAATATTGTCAGCATTGATGGCTCCTGCTCCTGGAGAAACCACTACATTGAGCACATGATCATATACTATAAGCTTTACTACGGGCATTTTTATGTCTTTTTACAAAGTTAATAATTGATGTCAAGTTTTTAATATATATTTAACAAGATTTTACACTTACATGAAATGCTTGACAGATCATGTATATAAATAGTTTGCAATGATATTTTTCGAAGCTCTCTATATAATAGTTGTTATAAAAAGTAGCTATAGATTCACAAGCGGATGAAACTACTTGGTTGTGAAGAGTTAAACTGTCTTTATCAACTGTCAAGTTGATGCCTTCAACACCGTTAAGCTCATCCCATACTTCTGTAAGGTGGGGAATAAGTGGATATTGTGACTGGAATTTTTGGACTGATAAATTTTGGTAAATCACTCTACACACTGTATACTAAAAGTTTTGTTTTAATAGATTAGGTAAACTGTTTGGATGTTTTAAAACATAAAAGTCAACAAAAAGCTGAGCATTGTAGGCGACTTTTCGCAAAAACATAAATTTTTTTCAACCGCCGTCTTATTCGTATTGTCGTCTACTGAAGACATAAAATGACTTAAAAGGTGTGGAAACAGTATATCTTTGATTTTGAGAATCCAGATTTTGTTGAATCAATCCTTTCACTGTATAGCCATAATTTATGCTTTCTCTGGACCTAGCAGATGCATGACCATTTTGACCGCAGGACTTACGTACTAGATTCGATGTACTTGGAACAATAAATTTCTAAATTCTTTTGCATCACTTTTTGCCTTTTTCTCTTCTGGAGTATCTTTTCTTTTTACGCCTTTGAGAAGATTTAGTTATTAAAACACATTACAGAAGGCTTTTATATTACCTTTCTTTCTTTTACTTGGTTTGTTAATGGTTTTACTAGCAGTTTCCTGTTGTTGGCTTTCATATTTTTTCAACTTTTTCGTTTGCCAAAAAGCTTCAATTTCTGGATAAATTGGTGTACGCCTCCCGTTTTGAATATAAGATAGAGAAGGACATAATTGCTGTTTAAGTCGATTTTCCACTTCCACTTTTTATACCGTTTCGTACTTCCCTTTCAACGAAAAACAGGAAGATCTCCATAAAGAATGGTTGGTTAATAAATGCGAAGAGCTCAAAATTATTGTCGTCTTCAAGTTCCTTGAGAAATATGTATTTCAGAATGAATATGTATGGGCAGTGATATTGTTTACAGTATCTAGTATTTGACTGTCGCTTGAATATATTTTGGTTTGACATCTATATCTAGAGGTAGCTTAACAGACATAATTTGTGCAGTTGGCTAGAATACAATTAGAAAAGTTAAACCACATAGATAAAACCGTTTAAATTTCATTAATGCATATTAAGTTTGCATCCTTAGTAGACATTCTTTAAGCAATTACAATCGAAAGACAAACAGAAGAAAGAGTTTATCATGTCAAAAATAGATCAAAATTATCAAGACATTCACGTGTTGTTTAAGGCAAACTTTAAAAACCGACAATGTTTACTTCTATATATATTAGGGGTATTCAATCATGAAAATAAAATAAAATAAAAAATTAAATAAAAAATAAAGGTCCAATAAGATTTTAATTTTAAGAGGATGCAAAAACGTCCTGCTAAAAATTCTATAAAAATAAAAATTCATGGACTTTCTATTGGCTTATTTTAATTTTATTTTTTACTTTTATTTTATTGGTATGATTGAATACCCCTATTATTGTAAAAGCATTTTTTCGCGGTAATTCTAAAGTTATATCGAAACCTGACTTACCATTTAGAAGATACTTCAGCATCTACTCAAATTATTATAACTCGGCATCTAAATTAAACTAAAAAAATGTCTGAACTTGTCTATTTTTCATTCTTGTTTCGTCTAAAAAAGATAAATTGAACATCTAGAAATTAATTCTGATTTGTCCAAAACAATACTATGATTGCCTGATTTTCGAGTATAAAAACAGTAGTTAATCGAGGACTCTAAAGTAGAGGATATAGAAAACATGATACGACTATTGGTGACAGCTGGCTCAGCAATTACGAGCATTCACAAAGCAATAAGCCTGAAAAAATAATGTAGAGTGGATAATAATAATGAGGTCGATAACATTGAGAATGACATACCAATAAGAGGTAATAAGACTTTGTTTTAGGGGGATGCGATACCTTATATCAGTGACAAATGTGATTTGAAGATGGAACCAGGAGAAAATCCTACTGCTGCATCCTTATTGATGGGTAAAGACACATTATTTTTAGCATTCCCACAAATATCTGGAGGCCAAATATTGACACTCATGCATAATAATAAATTATTGTCTTATGCCTGCCCAACTACGTCTTCGGTAAGAAGTGTGGATCGTCGTGCAGTATGAACGGACTACCTGTTTTACATGCATAAGAAAAGACTTTTACTGAGTTTAGTTGGTGGTGCTTTTGCTTTTCACTACGGCTGGGTTAAAAATATATGTAAATTTATCTATAGATACTTATTGTAGTATGTGGATTTTCGAAAATTTTATTGTTCCTTCAAATTTGGGCTTTTTAAAGTTTGCTATTAAAATCCCAATTGCGTGTTCAGATGAAATAAAAAAGTTGCGAGGCTAACCAGAGTATATTTTAAAAAATAAATAAGGGTTTCTAGGTAGACCATGAAATAAAAATGTGCCTCATATAACAATAATGGTTTTCAATCAACGAAATAAGCCTCTCCAATGAAGAAGGTGAAATAATGCATCCCGATTTGCCTGTATGTTTTAACGTGGTACAATATTTTAAGTAATCGATATAAAAAAATGAAACTAGAAAAGGGTATTTAGCGTCATACGAAATTAAATATACTCGTGGTGATACATTGTTTAGAGAACAATGGTAACATTTTTGTTGGACACGATAATTCAGGTATCACAACACATTTTTTTTTTGTTTGTCCAACATGGAATCGTTCTTCAAAAAAAAAAAAAAAAAAAAAAAAAAAAAAAAAAAAAAAAAAAAAAAAAAAAAAAAAAAAAAAGTGCGCTGACTTTTCGTATTTATTTAAATCGTGACTTTGTAGGATGTCAATACAATAGACTGTGTGTCAAACCCGGTATCGATGGTTTGTGTGGTATATAGACACAAAATGTCACGCGGATCAGTCACTGGCCCATATAATATAGGTATGTCTCTTCGTTTTTTATTTTTTTAAAGAGCCCGTAAAATCGGCTATTGTACTGTCATGTCCGAGCAGTTTCTAGTTTGATCCCAATTATGGGAATCATCCTTAGCTAGCAGCATTTGAGCTTTAATTTTGTATTGTTTTATTATTTATAGAATGTTATGTAACAATTGTGTTTGATCACTTAAGCAATTGATAGATTTTGAATTTCCCATTCAATTACATGCTAAAACCACTTTTCTGATTATATTGGTTGACAGCAGAAGATCTAAAAAGTCGATCATATCATCAAGGAGATGGAGGCATATGTACGCTTTTGGCATATTATTATCTCATACTACAAAGAAAAAAAACCGACTTGAAGCACCGATATTAATTGTTTACAGATAACTACTGTAAACTGTCCATTAAATATCGCATTCCATAAGAATCCATATTATAAATACCATACAATTAAACATAAATATTGACAGCTTGAAAGATAGCGATTTACAAACTGGGTATCTCTTCTTAAAAAGAAACGTTATAAATTGACAATATTAATTAAAACGTCGCTCCGGTGAAATTATTGTCCTTCAAACAAAACAAAAAAAAAATCACGGAAATGAATTGAGTAACCGGATAAATGTAATTATATAATAAGTATTGGCAAAATATATCTCGCAACAATAATGACAAGCCACTTTTTTACTTTGAAATACGTATGATAGATCTTTTAAGAAAGAATTGTGTTAGTCCAAGCATAATGGGATGTTTTATGAAACTCAAAATATTGAATTGTTCGATATGAGTTATTTAGTTTACGTGTTGCAAGATGTTAAACCATTACTGTTAATTTACTAGTAACGGCAACTGCTGATCAGCAGTCAGCTGTTGTTGGTAGACAACATAATCGTAAAGTAAGATAACAATGGTCATTTATCAAAGTGATATGACAGTTGATCTAGGTAAAAAAGCATATTCGGAAGGACTGATACTATTTCTTTTGATTTTTTATTAAAAAAATATGTTATCTTTATTTTTATATGTATCTATACATGATCGATACCTCCCCCACTTGAACGATGTTCTTGGTCTATCTGAATTCATTGATATTACATGTTGGATCATATGATGATCACCCGCACTTAGGAAATATTGCGGACAAAGCAAAGCAAAAAATAACTGATCATTTGACACCGACGAAAAGCTACAATACAATAGATATCGTTCTTTACACGAAAGCATATTAGTATCATTTTTTTTTATATAAAAAAACTTTTAAAATAGACCGCATGGTAACAAGAAGGGCGCTTGGATCAAGTATATAAAGATCATATTACCTGTTTTGGAATCCATCTATCTATATTGAAAATGTTTTATCCTTCTGCAAATAGCGAATTAAATCCAGTTGAAGTCAACACGTAATGGGCGCGCACGTTCAAATTAAAAAACCCTGTATGACAAACTGTTTTTTTTCAAAAGGAGGTATGACAAACTGTTACTTAAAATGACACGCATAAATTTGAATACAGCTCATTAGCAATATTGGTTGAGTTTAATTGGATGAGGCGGAAATTTAAAAAAAGGATCTGATAAAACATTATAGATCTAAAATCAAAGAATACACAAACAAGCCTAAAAATCCTGCATTAAAAAAAGATAAGATGAAGATCGGCATAGGAAGATATATAAAAAAGAGCAATAGAAAGTGTGATATATCATGCCACACATTTGTTTTTTTTTTCTCTGTGTATTTTGATCAAACCACAAAAATCACTGGATTTGCTCTTGTACTACTTTGCTCTTCCAGAATATGAGAAAAGAACAATGAGAAACCGTACTGAATGTTACTTTCACATTTTACTTGAACCTCAGCAAAATGAACACCACTGAATCTGTATCCTGGTATGAAAGCTAGCTTGAAATGATTTATACTTTTTTATATTAAAATCTACTACTGATCTATTGATCCTCTTCGTCTTAACTTCTCTCGCTAATTTAATACCACCATGTTATAAAATCCTTTTGAACTCGGATAAAAGCGGGGAGAAAAAAAAAAGAAAGAACATGACGATAATATAGAGGCGGAGATACACTTATAAAGTATTAAGTTTATACCACAGGGGGGGGGGGCCTCATGATAAGTACTTGGAACTTATCAGATTCGCTGTCACAACTTAAAAACTATAAATAAAACAATCTGATAAAACCCCACTTCCTCTTTTTTTTACACCTATTTTTTTTTTGTGTTTTTTTTCATTTCCCATAATCATGAGTGCCAACCAAACCTCCACCCCTGTAAAGAAGGGAGATGCTTGCCCTTTTATCTTGTCTGATAATGAACCCAAGGAAACTCTCATCAGGTAAAGAATACCACAATAAAATAAAGAAGACCATTCATTAATTTTTTTTTTTTTTGTTAACTAGTGAAAATGACTCAAAAAATGGTTGGTTTCCCTTACCCCTCCCCCCCCCAAAATTTTTTTTTGGGACACTTGACTAACATTTGTCATCATAAATAGCTACCTGTCCTTTTGATAAGGCAAAGGAGGATGCCAAAGACATGATGCACCAAAACGGCGAGCTCAAGACAGGTATGTGTGAAATTAATTCTATGAACCCTTTCAAGTGTTAATTGAATTGTGATTTAGAATACGAAGTCAAGATCAACTCTTTAAACCGTCTCTTACCCGAAACTCAACAAAAGAAGGGCCAAGAGTTCCTTTCTGATCCCCAACTTGCTTTTGCCATGAAGGAAGGCACTAAAGTTGTTCATACTGCTGCTGAAGACAGCATCTTTACCAAGTAATTATTTTTATTTTTTTGAAAAAAAAAACCATTAAAAGTCCTGTTACTAACTACATTACTGCTAGGCGTTTCCTCAGTGGTGCTATCACCAAGGATGAGTATGGTAGATACATCAACTCTTTGTACTTTGTTTACAAGTAAGTTTAGAGTACTTTCTTTCCTGGTACTTCTCTGGCCTTTGACTAATCATCTGCTTATTTTCTAGGACCATGGAAAGATTGTTAACTCAGTACAAGGACCATCCAACTATCCAAATGGTATACTTCCCTTACGAACTTAACCGTGAAAAGGCTTTGCTCAAAGGTAAATTTCTAGATACAACGACAGCTAAATAATAAAATAGAACAATTCACTAACCTACAATAGATATTGAGTACTATTATGGTAAAGACCGTGTTGCCGAGTTAACTAGTGATAGCAACATTACACCTGCTGTTCAATCCTACATTAAGACCTTGCAAGATGCTGCTGACAAGAACCCATCTCTTTTGATTGCCCACAGTTACTCCCGCTATCTTGGTGATCTCAGTGGTAATATATATGAAAAAGAAACAACTTGTATTTCTATTATACTAATCTATAAATTATTTGCAATCAGGTGGTCAAATCTTAGCCAAGCGTTTAAAGAAATATGTTCTTAAAATCGACGTTACTGATGCTGCCTGGGATTCTTATCATGGTCTTGAGTTCTACAACTTTGATCACATTGCAAACAATAACGAGTTCAAGAACCTTTATCGTCAGCGTTTGGATGGTGCCCGCGTTACACAATACACCAAAGGTATCTATTTGTTCAATTCGCTCTTTTTATTAATAATTGTACGCGTAATACACATACTAAATTGCTCCATAAAAAAATAGATTTGATCATCGCTGAAGCCATTTATTCTTTTGAATTAAACATTGCTTTGTTCGATGAAATCCAAGCCCTTTCTGAAGCCAAGAAGTTGCATGCTACCTTAAACGACAATGACACTTACACCGTTGCTTCTGAACGTAGTGTAAGCAAGTATGCTCCCTCTGCTGATTGGTTTGTAGGTTTTGCTACTGGCGCCTTGACTCTCGCCGTAGGTTTATCTGTCTACAACCGTATCTCTGAAAGATTGTAATCTTTTACCTATACAACAACCAAAAAAACACCCTTATTTATTCGTCAAACCCCCCTTATTTATTGCTTTCAATTTTATTTCTAAACTAATAAATATTTTAAGCCGAACATCATAACACAAAAAAAATAAGACTTTGTATTTTCGAAGTGTCGCCATAAAGCTTAAATATTCGATTTCTAGTTCACCATGACGGGGGATGGGGACAATATAGATAATATACCTTGTACAATTAAAAATGTGTCATCTTTATTTAAACGAATCTCCATAGATTCGAGCTACGCAAGGACAACCAATCATGCAATGCCATTGAAATATTATTAGCCGTAGGGCCATAAACACCTAAAGAAAATGGCAATTCTGACATGGACGATACATTATATATTTCCAATATCAAGGCACCAATTGGACTCAAAGTTTGTCCCATACGTGGTAACGATCTATCCCAAGCGACATCTTCCGAAAGCATTTGGAAAAGTTGGTCGATACGACGACCCAAGATATGGGGATTGACAAGCCTTTTGACAAATTCCCCAAGATAAAATTCAAACTGCTGTTTAAATCTTGGCACTTGCATCAAACGAGGCATAAGCGCACGAGTTTGGAAACCCGGAAATAGGGTGTAGTCTTTACCCATCGTCAAGCTGATATTATAGCCACCAACACCCATGGTGGTATCGAAATCTTGTTCGCTGAAAACCATGCGATTGTGTTGAATATCTTGAAAGAGTATAAAATTGTTGGCCATACCAAAGTACCCATCAGAACTAGAAATCACAATTTCAAGTGCTAGCCCACGTAGAAAACTATCCACATCCATTTTATCTGTCCAAAGCGGCACTACTGAATTATCTACAGGCTTGCTTGGTTGGCTTTGAATAAACTTTGTCAAATCCATGATACAGGCAAAGTTGGCCTTGTTTCCATCCGATGGCTTGACTTTCACAGAGTATTGACCAGCGCTGTAAGCGCTCAGATCACTTCCTAGATAGGACAAAGAAGAAGTAGCGTCTTCATGCTTGGCCTTATTGAGAATATTCAACAACTGAGTTTGATTTTTCAAGGCGTGAGGAGGCTTTTCTTGAATTGTGTTTCGTTGACCAGTATTGATATCAGCGATGTATAAGGCGCCGTGTTTGTAATCCTTAGATCCATGACCAAAAACATTTTTGACCCAATCTCCCTTTATATGTTCTGTAAGACCAAAGAGTCCAATGGCTTTGTCATTGATGTAAACACGGACATAACTGTGACCTGAACTAGGGAGTCCAACGGCTTCAGTTATGGCGTAACCCAAACTATCTCTCATGTAGGACAGATCATATGCCATTGCTTTTAGCTTTATTCTACGGTACCCATAAAGATCTTGTGTTTTAGCAAGCTTTAATTTGTAAGAGAGCTTATCCATATTACGAGTGGACATACCAGAAACCGATAGTGTGATTTCCTTAAATACTCTGATGTCTCTTGAACTGGTATAATTGCAATAATTAGAAATTGTTCAGCAATAAAAAAAAAGAATGATCGTAGAAAAAGAAATTGCAACAGTGAGGAGTTTTACCTGATATAGGCCATATTTAACTTGACATGCACTGTTTTGTCATCCTGGTGATGATGCATGTAATCAATTCCAGTTTGATTACCGTATAAATGAATCGTAGGAATCTCGTTCTCTATATGCAAATTAGATTGAATACGATCCATAATATTGAGGGGTGGTAAGAGTGTAGGTAATCTGGTCAAGTTGTGATAGCTGTTCCAGGATCGACCATAATAATCGTTTGTTATGATATTGGCAGAAGGACAAGGCCGAGTGAAGTTCTCAATGTCTAATACTTGGTGACTGGAAATAATTGCATACCTGTATCCGGTATTAGATATGGGAGCTTGACCACGATGGAGTAAAGGGGTGGCTTCATTATTATTGCTTAAAGGATACACTTGATCATCCACAATGACGCCGAGGTTTTGATTTTTAGAGATAAGAGAGATTACACTGTATTGGATACTACTACTATAGACAGATGTTACAAAACCAAGTACTAGAAAAGGAAAGACTGTTTACAAAAGAAGTAAGTGCGATTAAAATATATATTATTGATTTAGACTTATTAAGTTTACCAGTTGAAATCTTCATCCGGATCTGAAAAATAAAGAAAGAGTGAGCGCGAATCGGGGCGCTTTTGTCGATTTTATAGCATTTATTTTCGTCACTTTATAAAAAAAATCAGGTATTAGAGACCTGCATAATGACAATGCATACCTGATAACATTGACGAGCATTGGCCGATTGTAGGCGAATCTTCCCTCTTTCAAAAAAAAAAAAAAAAAAAAAAAAAAAAAAAAAGAACAGAAAAATAAATCCTAAGTTGCGTTGGATGATGTACGCTTGGTAACGGGATGATTCCAGAAACATTGTTTTAATGTAAAAGTTGGATTAAACGTTTTTCTAAAGCTCACCCATAGTTGTTAAAATCAAATATGCAAGGATACTACACCACATGCTCGTTCTTATATTTTGTATACAGCAATTGATAAATTCATATTAATCTTAAGGGGGTTGTTTTCATACTGTCATAAATCAGTTAAGAATAGTTGGAGGATTTCGAGATACAGTCTTACAATAGCATTGGATATTTGAAGAAACAGTTACTACATGTATTTATATTCACCACACAGCAAACTAAAAAGACGTTTTATATTTATATTTAAACGACGCTATCCATATTTAAAAAGGGTTGTACCATCTATGCAGGGATAACCCACTTATTCAGTGTTATAAAAAAAACTTTGTTGTAAACAGTTTGTCAACAAACTGCAATAACAAACAGAATATTTATCATGGATAACGCAATGGTGCTGACTCTACGCTGAATTATCCAAATTAAATTTCGCTCCCATACATGTCTACGCGGTAACAAAATAACTTGAACAACTTTTTTTCCACAAAGTGAGCTGGTTTGATACGACGGTGCGGGTTAACAAGCTTATTGACAAATTTACAAAACTTAGAACTGGAGAGACAGCCTGATGCACATTTGAAAACTTGGGAAAATGAGGGGGGGGGGTTCTTAATTAAATATCATATCATGCGTTTTCTTTTTAGACAAACGTCTACATAAGTGGGAAGCATATAACCTGCAAATTCAATATTAGTTCTTATGAGCAGATGAATACTTTTTTTTTAACATTTGTATATGCTATAACCTGTTAGACTCCAGTCTTAGAACAAATATAATCCATTGTCTCATAAAGCTAAAATATTCCATTCTGGATTAATCATAGCAGAAATATATAAGTAATATACCGTGTATAATTTAAAATGAATCATGTTTTATTTAACAGATTTGAGCTACGCAAGGATAACCAATCATATAATGCCATCAAGATATTGTCAGTCATGGGCCCGTAAACACCTAAAGAAAATGTCACTTCGGAGATGGACGACACATTATACTTTTTTTCCATCAAAGCACCCACTGGACCCAAAGATTGTCCCATACGCGGCAACGACTTATCCCAAGCAACATCTTCCGAGAGCATTTGGAAAAGCTGGTCAATACGACGACCCAAGATTTGAGGATTGACAAGCTCCTTGACAAATTTGTTGACATACATTTCAAACTGCTGTTTGAATCTTGGGACTTGCATCAAACGGGGGATAAGAACACGGGTCTGGAATCCCGGAAATTGCGTATAGTCTTGATCTACCATCAAACTGATATTATATGTACCGCTACCCATGATTGAATCAAAATCTTGTTCACTAAAAACCATGCGATTGTGTTGTATATCTTGGAAGAGTATAAAATTGTTGGCCATACCAAGGTACCCATCAAAACTTGAAACTACAATTTCAAATGCTAATCCACGTAGTAAGCTATCCACATCCATTTTATCATTCCAAAGCGGTACAACTGAATTATTTGCAGGCTTGTTTGGTTGGCTCTGAATAAATTTGATCAGGTCCATAATACAGGTAAAGTCGGCCTTGTCTCCATCCGATGGTTTGACTTTCACAGAGTATTGTCCTGCGCTGTAAGCGCTCAGTTCACTTCCAAGATAGGACAAGGAAGAAGTGGAGTTTTTGTACCTGACTTCATTAATGTCAACAAACGACTGAGACGGCTTTGTTTGAGTTGTGTTTCCTTTATAAGCTTGTATATTGGCAATGAATAAAGCGCCGTGTTTGTAATTTTTAGATCCATGGCCAAAAACTTTCTTGACCCAATCTCCCTTTATATGTTCGGTGAGACCAAAGAGCCCAATGGCTTGGTCATTGATGTAAACACGGACATAACTGTGACCTGAACTAGGTAGTCCAATTGATTCAGTAATAGCGTAACCCAAATTCTCTCTCATGTAGGACATATCTAAAGCCATTGCCTTTAACTTTATTCTACGATATCCATAGAGATCTTGGTTTTTTGCAAGTTTTACTTTGTAAGAGAGCTTATTCATATTACGAGTAAACATACCAGAAATTGATAAAGTGATGTTCTTAAATACTTTAACGTCTTTTGGACTGATATATGTTTAAACAGGTTAGAAAAAATAAAAATAAAAAAAGACTGATTTTACCTGATATAAGCCATATTCAATTCAACACGCATCGCTCTGTCAGTCTGTTGATGATGCATATTATCAATTTCGGTTTTGTTACCGTATAAATGAATTGTCGGAATCTCGTTATCTATATGCAAACTGGATTGGATGCGATCCATGATATCGAGGGGTGGTAAGAGTGTAGGTAGTTTGGTCAAGTTGTGATAGCTGTTCCAAGATCGACCATAATAATCATTTTTTTGGATATTGTCAGAAGAGCAATGTCGAGTGAAATTCTCGACGTCTAACACTTGGTGTCTGGAAAGAATTGCATACCTGTATCCGGTACTAGATATGGGAGCTTGACCACGATGGAGTAAAGGGGTGGCTTCATTATTATTGCTTAAAGGATACATCTGATCATCCACAATGACGCCGAGGTTTTGATTTTTAGAGATGAGAGATATAACACTGTATTGGATACCACTGCTATAGGCAGAGGTTACCAAACCAAGTATCAGAAAAGGTAAGACTGTTTAAAAAAGAGGTAAGTGCGATTGAAATACACATTTGATTTAGACTTATCAAATCTACCTGTTAAAATCTTCATCCGGATCTGAAAAAAAAAGAAAGAGTGAGTGTGAATTGGGTCGCTTTTGTTGATTTATAGCAGTTATTCTCGTCACTTTATAAAAAAAAAGTATATATCAGCGACCCGCATAATGACAATGTATACCTGATAACATTGACTAGTATCCGGCTTATATTTAGTGATTTACACTCTTTCAAGAAAAGGAGCAGAAATAGTCTTTAAGTTGTTCGCTTGATAATGGGGATGATCGCTAGATACATTGTTTCGAGGTAAAAAACGAATTATAAGTTGCTCCAAAATCCAACAAAAGCTGTTCCAAAGTTGCTCCAAAGTTCAAGCTTAATTTTTACAAAGTTGTCGCCTGAGAAATATACCTCGTATGCATTTGTGTAAGTACAAGTATATTTACCATTGGAGTCACAGTAATTGATAAATTCATATTGATTGAAAAGAGTTTTTTTGTTTTTGTTTTTTTTTCACGCTGGTTTGTAGCAGAATATTGGGATGTAGTCCGACAAATAACATGACATTGCATCTTCGAGAAGAAAAAAGAAAACGCTTTTATTACATGCATGCATATCACCTCTCACCAGACTGAAAGATGCGTTATATATTTTAATCAACGTAATCGATATTTATTATGTGTCACCACCCCCTTTTATTATTATTGAAAGAGTTGAGCTATCTACGCAAGAACAACCCAATTATCCAGTGCTGTTTAAAAACTGTATGTCAATAAACTGCTATAGCAAAGGGAGTATTTGTCATGGATGGCAAATAGAAGTTGGCCCTCCACCAAATCATCTAAATTAGATTTAACATTTGTCCCTTTACATATCTACCTGCTGACGAAGCTGACTAAAATAACGTTTTTATAAAGTGAGCTACTCTGATACTGACAAGCTTATTGACAAATTTTATAAGACAGAGAATTTAAAATCGTAGCGAAGTCCGATGCATATTGTGAAAGCTAGGGAAATGTGGGGGTGTAATATTCTTCATTCCATAGCATATAACTTGTTTTTTTGGTGAACTAAAAATGGTAAACGTAAAACCTGTCAATTCAATGCTAGTTTTAATGAACAGATGAATTTTCATTTCTTTTTCACTTTTGTAAATGTGAAAATACGTATGTTAGCAATATACGTAACCAGTTTTTTTTAGCTCAATTGGTGTATCTAATAAGTCGCATATTTTAAACAGAAAGTAAACAGTGCTACAAACCTGTTAAATTCCGACCCGAGAACAAACATGATCGACCCTGTTACCGAACAACATAACTCAAAAAACAGGACTTTGTATTTTTAATTATCCTATCAGGCTCAAACATCCGATTATGGGTTAATCATAACATAACAATATGGGCAATATACAGTGTACAATAAAAACAGTGTCATACTTTATTTAACGGATTCGAGCTACGCAAGGACAACCAATCCTGCAATGCCATTGAAATGTTATTAACCGTGGGGCCATAAACGCCTAAAGAAAGTGGCAATTCTGACATGGACGATACATTATATATTTCCAATTTCACGGCATCGATCGGACTCAAAAACTGTCTCACACGCGGTAAAGACTTATCCCAAACGACATCTTCCGAAAGCATTTGAAAAAGTTGGTCGATACGACGACCCAAGATATGGGGATTGACAAGCTTTTTGACAAATTCCCCAAGATAAAATTCAAACTGCTGTTTAAATCTTGGGACTTGCATTAAGCGAGGCATGAGAGCACGAGTTTGGAAACCCGGAAATTGGGTGTAGTCTTCACCTACCGCCAAGCTGATATTATATCCACCGATACCCATGATTGTATCGAAATCTTGTTCACTGAAAACCATGCGATTGTGCTGCGTATCCTGAAAGAGTATAAAATTGTTGGCCATGCCAAAGTACCCGTCCGAATTTGAAATCACGATTTCAAGTGCTAATCCACGTAGAAAACTATCTACATTCATTTTATGGGTCCAAAGCGGCACAACGGTATTATTCACAGGTGTGGTTGGTTGGCTTTGAATAAATTTGGTCAAGTCCATAATACAGGTAAAGTCGGCCTTGTTTCCATCCGATGGTTTGACTCTCACAGAATATTCTCCAGCACTGTAAGCGCTTAAATCACTTCCAAGATAGGACAAGGAAGAAGTGGCGTTTTCATGATTGACTTTATTGAGGATTTTAGACAGCTGAGTTTTTAAAACCTGAAAAGGCTGCTCTTCAGTAGTAGCGTTTCCTTGACCAGTTCTGATATTTGCAGTGTATAAAGCGCCGTGTTTGTAATCTTTAGAACCATGGCCAAAAACATTCTTGACCCAATCTCCCTTTATATGTTCGGTTAAACCAAAGAGTCCAATGGCTCGGTCATTGATGTAAACACGAACATAACTGTGACCTGAACTAGGCAATCCAATGGATTCAGTAATGGTGTAACCCAAACTGTCTCTCATGTAGGACAGATCGAAAGCCATTGCTTTTAGCTTTATTCTACGGTACCCATAAAGATCTTGTGTCTTGGCAAGCTTTACTTTGTAGGAGAGCTTATCTGTCTTACGAGTGGACATACCAGAAACCGATAGTGTGATGTTCTTAAATACTTTAATGTCTTTTGAACTGATATATATTTAAACAGGTTAGCAAAAAAAAAAAAAAGAAAAAAAAAAGGGAGCCCGGCTCAAAATAGTATTTTACCTGATATAAACCATATGCAATTCAATACGCACCGTTCTTTCAAGCTGATGATGATGCATATAATCAATTTCGGTTTGGTTGCCGTATAAGTGAATAGTAGGAATCTCGTTCTCTATATGCAAATCCGATTGAATACGATCCATGATATCGAGGGGTGGTAAGAGCGTAGGTAATCTGGTCAAGTTGTGATAGCTGTTCCAAGATCGACCATAATAATCATTTGTTTGGATGTTGCTGGAAGGACAAGGTCGAGTGAAGTTCTCGATGTCTAACACTTGGTGACTAGAAAGAATTGTATACCTGTATCCTGTATTAGATATGGGAGCTTTACCACGATGAAGTAAAGGTGTCGCTTCATTGCTATTACTTAAATAATACACTTGATCATCCACAATAACGCCGAGGTTTTGATTTTTAGGGATGAGAGAGATAACACTGTATTGGATACTACTGCTATAGGCAGAAGATACCAAACCAAGTATTAGAAAAGGAAAGACTGCTTACAAAAGAAGTAAGTGCTATTGAAATGTACATTTGATTTAGACTTATCAAATCTACCTATTAAAATCTTCATCCAGATCTGAAAAATAAAGAAAGAGTGAGTGTGAATCGGGTCGCTTTTGCTAATTTTATAGCAGTTATTTTTGTCACTTTATAAAAAAACAGCATATATTAGAGGTTTGCATAATGACAATGCATACTTGATAACATTGACGAATATTGGTCGATTGTAAGTGAGTCTATCCTCATTCAAAAAAAAAGAAAAAAAAAAGAAAAAATTAAGTTGCATCGGATGATGTACGCTTGGTAATGGGGATAATGTCAGAAACATTGTTTTAAGATAAAAGACGAATTAAACATTTTTTCTAAAGGTCAACCGTAGTTGTTAAAATTAAATACGCAAGAATACTACATCACATGTTCGGTCTTATTTTTTTATACAGCAGTTGATAAATTCATATTAACCGCAAGGGGACTGATTTCATAATGTCATGAATCAGTTAAGAATAACCGCAGAATATCCAGATACAGCCTTACAGTAACATTGGATGTTCGAAAAAAAAATTATAACATGTATTTATATTCAAAAGACGTAATACACATTTAAAATGGGTTGTGCTATCTATGCAGGGATAACCCACTCATTTAGTGCTATCTAAAAACTTTTTTTTGTAAACAGTCTGTCAGCAAACTGCAATAATCAACGGCATACTAGTCTTGGATAACACAATGGTGTTGACCCTCCGCTGAATCATCTAATTTAAATTTCGCTCCCATACATGTCTACGTGGTAACAAATTATCTTAAACAACTTTTTTCCCCTAAAGTGAGCTGTGGATTGATGCGACCATGTGGAATAACTAATTTAGAGAACTTAGAACTGCAGAGAGACCCTGATGCACATTTGAAAACTTGGGGGGTTCTTAATTAAATATCATATAATGTGTTTTTTTGAAAGATTTAAGAAGTGGGAAGCTTATAAACTGTCAACTCAATGCCAGTCTCATTTTAAAGCTTAAAATTTCGATTTTGGATTAATCATAACAAAACAATAGAGGTACTACACCATGTAACTATCAAAACTATATCATGTTTTATTTAAACAGATTTGAGCTACGCAAGGACAACCAATCATGCAATGCCATTATATTATTATTAGCCGTGGGACCATACACGCCTAAAGAAAGTGGCAATTCCGACATGGACGATACATTATATACTTTCAATATCATCCCACCAATTGGACTCAAGCTTTGTCCCATACGTGGTAAAGACCTATCCCAAGCCACATCTTCCGAAAGCATTTGAAAAAGTTGGTCAATACGACGGCCCAAGATACGGGAATTTACAAGTTCCTTGACAAATGTGTTGACATATATTTCAAACTGTTGTTTAAATCTTGGCACTTGCATCAAACGAGGCATAAGCGCACGGGTTTGGAAACCCGGAAATTGGGTATAATCTTTACCCACTCTCATACTGATATTATAACCACCCACACCCATGGTCATATCGAAATCTTGTGCACTAAAAACCATGCGATTGTGTTGCATGTCTTTAAAAAGCATAAAATTGTTGGCCAAGCCAAAGTACCCATCACAATTCGAAATGACAATTTCAAGTGCTAACCCACGCAGAAAGCTATCCACATCCATCTTATCTGTCCAAAGCGGTACTACTGAATTATCTACAGGTGTAGTTGGTTGGCTTTGTATAAACTTTGTCAAGTCCATAATACAAGTGAAGTCAGCCTTGTCTCCATCCGATGGCTTGACTTTCATAGAATATTGTCCTGCACTGTAAGCCCTCACATCACTCCCAAGATAGAACAAGGAAGAAGTAGCATTTTCATTCTTGACTTTATTAATAGCATTCAAGGACCGGGTTTGATTTTTTAAAGGGACGGGCGGAGGCCTTTTTTGTGTTGCGTTTCCTTGACCAGCATTGATATTCCCAATGTAGAGGGCACCGTGTTTGTAATCCTTGGATCCATGGCCAAAAACATTCTTGACCCAATCTCCCTTTATATGTTCGGTTAAACCAAAAAGTCCAATGGCTCGTTCATTGATGTAAGCACGAACATAACTGTGACCTGAACTAGGCAATCCAATGGATTCAGTAATGGAGTAGCCCAAACTGTCTCTCATGTAGGACATATCTAAATTCATTGCTTTTAGCTTGATCCTACGGTACCCGTAAAGATCTTGGCTTTTAGCAAGCTTTACTTTGTAAGAGAGCTTATCTATTTTCCGAGTAGATATACCAGAAACCGATAATGTGATGTCCTTAAATATTTTGACGTCTTTTGGACTGATACATATTTTAAACAAGTTAGAAAAAAAAAAAAGTACACAAAACAGTATTTTTACCTGATATAAGCCATATTCAATTTAATACGTACTGTTTTGTTAACCTGATTATGATGCATATAATCAATTTCATTTTGGTTACCGTATAAATGAATTGTTGGAATTTCGTTCTCGATATGCAAATCGGATTGAATACGATCCATGATATCGAGGGGTGGTAAGAGCGTAGGTAATCTGGTCAAATTGTGATAGCTGTTCCAAGATCGACCATAATAATCGTTTGCTTGGATGTTGTCAGAAGAGCAAGGCCGAGTGAAGTTTTCGGTGTCCAACACTTGGTGGCTGGAAAGAATCGCATACTTGTATCCGGTACTACATATGGGAGCTTTACCACGATGGAGTAAAGGTGTCGCTTCATTGGTATTGCTTAAAGGATACACTTGATCATCGACAATGACGCCGAGGTTTTGATTTTTAGAGATGAGAGAGATAACACTGTATTGAATACTACTGCCAGAAACAAAGGTTGCGAAACCAAGTGTTAGAAAAGAAAAGACTTTTTTTTTACAAAAGAAGTTAGTTCGATTAAAAATATACATTTGATTTAGACTTATCAAGTTTTGTACCTGTTGAAATCTTCATCCAGATCTGAAAAAATAGAGAAAAGAGAGTGTGAATTAGGAGCTCGTCTTTCTTAATTTTATAGCAATTGTTTTCGTCACTTTATAATATAAAATACGAGATCAGAGGTACGCATGATGAAAATCCATACCTGAAAATATCGACCGATAATTTCAGTAAATCCCCCCCTCTTTCAGGAAAAAGGAATTGAATGGCGTAAGCTTGGTGATAAAATACAGCTTTCGAGAAGTTAAAAAACGAATGGCTTATATTACATGCATGCATATTACATCTTTAAAGACCAAAAAAAAAAAAAAAAAAAAAGAAGACGCTTTATGTATTTTAATCGATGTCGAAAATGTGCCACCCATTGTTTTTAGTGAAAAGAATAAAGCTATCAATTCCGAGACAACACACTCATTCAATGCTATCTAAATACTTTGTTATAAACTGTTTTTCAACAAACTGCACAATAAAAAGCCTGCCATATTCGTGATTGTTGACACATTGTACAGACCCTCCACCGAACCATTATTTTGTTCATCTATATGTCTACTTGGTAACATATTAGCTGGAGCAACCCCCCCCTAAATGAGCTAGTTCAATACAACGATGCTGACTGGCAAGCTTATTGACAAATTTGTTTAAGCAGAAAACTTCAAACTGCAGGGGAAGAGTTCGATGCACATTTGTAAAAAATATTATAAAAAAAAAAGGAGAGAGAGAGAGAGAGTCTTCAATAACATTTAAATCATGCGTCGTCCTTTTTAGTTGAATAAATGGGAAACTTATAACCTGTCACTTCCAACGCTGAGTGCGTATCGACAGCTGCATTTATCTTTTCTTATTTTTTTTTTTTTTGACATGTACATTGTAATGTAAAAATCAACTTAAATAGTGGATGCTTGGTGATCTCAGGAGGCAGGAGTGAAAGGTGATTTTTATTTACATAACTCATAATGTGGCATCAGAGTGTCACAGAATAGATCTACATTTTATTTCATTCTTATTTAGCTCATGTCAATCCCTTCTTCAATTCATTTTATTTTTGATGTTCTATCTGAATAAACTACAAAAAGTTTCACTTGAGTCATCACGCTTCCAAGCACACGACGTCTGTATAAATGCGTCCCGCCACTAGTTAAGCATCCCAAATAATTTTTTTAGGTAATCAGTCAAAAAAAAAAAAAAAAAAAAAAAAAGGAATATGTATAGTATGCATTTACACATGTATAAAAAGCAATTTATATGGCATTTTTTAGTACAAGATAGTGTTGAGCAAATCATCAGAGGTATTGTATCAGCTAAATGGGGAAGGATATATTTGAATTTTAGATTAAATTTCGCAAACATTCCAATTTCTGACGAAAAAAGGAATTACGGTCTTGAAAGTGTGCATCCTGTCTATGAATAAAGTCCATCAGATCTCGCTTTGCGCTCTCTACATTTCTTTTTTTTTTCAAAAAGTAGGTTAGCTTCTCTCTCTCTCTCTCTCTCTCCTCTTCACATTGTACCGTTTAAATTCTGTAACATCATTGACATATCTTTCAAATTCAGTTCTAAGCTCTTTAGTCCCACACGTCAGCTTCTATAATGAAAAAGAAAGGGGGAGCGGAAAAAAAACACAAACAAACCTTCGATAGCATGATCGAATGTGGGTTCTTCTCCTTGGGTCTTATTGGATGGATCCATCACATGTTCTTCATCAATAATTTCAAAGGACGGAGGAGGAGGAGGAGGAGCAGGTTGACTGGATTTATGATACAATGCATCCTGACTATTTTCTTGAGACGCATGATCTCTTGTCGTTTCTTGTACAGAAGACATGTCGTCACTACAGGGTAAAGGTAAGTTTTTTTTTTAAAAAAAAAAGGATAACTCCCTGTGTATATTTGGACCCTACTCTTCCATTAGAAACCTTTCGAAATCGTCACTGAATATGCCATTGGCATTGTTCTCTGGCAAGTTAATAGGTGGTGTACGAGGCATTTTCTTGACAGGATAGAAAGAAGAAAAAAAAAGGAAGAGAATTGATCACATTTTATCTAAATGATTGACTTTTTTTTTTTGTGACAGACAGACAGACAGATGAAAAGTTTTGCGTCATAAAATATATTTTACAGTGTACTTATGTGCATTAACACAGGCGCATAGATTTTAAATAAACTACGAATACGTATTCCACTTTTTATCATTATTATATTTTTGTAGAGTTTCAAAACTTTCTTCTTTGTAAGCGGTTAAAGAACTATGTGTGTATACATTTCTCCCGCCTTTATAGATATATAATATTTATTTTGTCCTAGAGAAGGAATCTCCAAAGAATCATACCTACAAAGGTAAAAAGCAGTACAAGTTGAGTACATCTTTCTGCTTCAGCCAGGACACCGCCTAGTACATGCAACTGATTTTCTCTCAACGCCAAAGTTCTTTTTGAAATAAATAAATAAATGGTGTTATTGACACATCCATTCCATTTACACATTAGACTTACTTTTTAACTTGCTGCAAGTGTTCTTTTACCAGTATGAGTGATACATCCTCACTAAGTAAAAAAAAACCCCCATCACACTTTAGTTTAAAATAAATCTCCTCACTCAGCAACCCTCTTTTTTTTTTATATATATATATATACCTTTTTTCTGATTTATGATTCGATGGATCCTCTGGAGGACGGTTTGAAAGTTGTAATTGTAAATATTTATTCGCCAATCGTGATTCTAGTAAAGCTTCCTTGATCCCTCGTTCATGGTTTGCAGCAGAAGCGTCAATCAAATCATCCAGAGGACGCGTGACAGTAGATAACATGATATCGAGAGTTTCCGTTGTATCTTCTATCGGGAACTGACATTGAGAGCATTGACGAGATAAAGGGATCCATTTGATTGAGCTAACAACGACTTTTTATGTGAGTAGTTATAAAAATCACGAATGATTGAATAGAAGGGGGTACCATGATTTGTGAAAGACATGTCCACAGGGAAAAGAAACAAGAGCATCATGACTGAGATACAAGGATTCATTACACAATGTACATACATAATCCATTGGGGTTGGGGGGCGTAAAAAAAAAAAAAAAAGAAAGAGAAAAAAAAAAACAAGGAGAGGGGAAGGGGATGTTTTATATATAAGCTGTAAGATTATGTCAAGTCTTTTTATTTGTAACACAATCCAAGTTCTTCCAGAACGGTAGGAGACAAGATATCTTGTATCTCCACTGCCACCATCTCCTTTTGAAAGGTCTGACCAAAACTCTGTACAAAATCAGGTATCACCTCCTCTACCGTCACATGGCGACCCGTTTCCTGTGACAAGGAAGTCACTTTTTTATCCACAAGACCACAGGCCACAATCTGTTCAAACCACTTCAAATCCACATCACAATTCAACGCTAAACCATGACTACTCACATATCTCTGCAAGTGGACACCCAAAGCCGCTATCTTTTTCTCTTGACCTACCCACACCCCCGTATGTTCCGTCGTGTTGGTCTCCACATCGTATTTTTTACACGTCTCTATCACACTCTTCTCCAGTCGAGACACAAAACATTTCACACTAAGTCCGTAATCACGAATGTCAAGTATCGGGTAAGCCATCATTTGTCCAGGTCCATGAAACGTCAATTCGCCTCCTCGCATCGTCTCGAAATAATCAGCTCCCAAGGCTTTTAAACGTTCCGCATCTTGATGATCTCGTATACGACGTCCAGCCGTAAACGTCGGTGGGTGTTGTAACAAGCAAAGAATATCGGACGGCGCATCCGTCTTCCATGTCCCTTGCGTAATACCATGGCGTCTAGCCACTAAATGGGCTTGTAATTGCGAGGCTACCTTGTACTTGAGTACAGGTAATTTTAAATACCCCATGGGTTTTCCATTGCTAACCACCGATCCACACACTTTGTTCATTTGTATATATATATATATATATAAAAAGGGGAGGGGGGGGTTTATTTCAATTTTTTTTTTTCGTTCTTTTTTTATATCTTATAAAGGGAGGGAGTTATGGTTTAGGTTTTTTATTGGCCAATCTTTCTGGCTCTTCATAATTGCGTTTCTTGTCCCTACGTTAAAAAAAAAGGTTAAAAAAAAAAAAAAAAGAAAAAGGTCAAATAAAAAAAAAAAAAAAAAGGACTTACAATTCAGGTTTGAGAGGGGATGGCCTGTAGTCGCGTGGACCTGACTGTGTATTGGTAGTGTTCGTGGTGGTGGTATTGGAAGGAAGAGGCCAATGAAATGCATGGGTCGGTCCATTAGGATGATGAGTGACGGGTGTATTTGAAAAATTTAAAGGACTAGGGATTTCATTCTGTTGATAAAATTCGGGATAAAAACTAGACGGTGAAGGTAAACTTTGTGCAAATTGGGAAGGTAAAGCAGAAGGTGGACCTGCCTCCACCACCGCCGCTGTCGATGTCGGTCGATAAAATGGCTGTTGCTGTTGCTGCGGCTGTTGTTGTTGTTGTTGTAGAGGTGGTGGAGGTGGTAAAGGTGGAGGTGGTAATGACTCTTCCTTTATACTACTCGTGGTAGACGAAACAGACGATTGATGTCGATGTTGACGTATAGGTTGTTCAGGTGTATCGGGAATTTGAACACGTAATTTAGGTTTCTTACCGTTGCTTATATTACTATGCGTTGACATGGCAGGACTCGTTGCCATATTGGGCGATGACACCTGGCTCGTATATTGTAGTGAGGTTTGTCGACTGTGAGCAGATGGTTGAGGAGACACCGAGGGTACAGGATAACTAGGCTGCTGTTGCTGTTGTGGTTGTTGTGGCGGCAGCTGTATGGGTTGATATTGTGGATGATGATGATATTGATGTTGCTGTATATTATATTGGGGTGATGGATGTGGTTGTTGTTGTTGCGGGTGGTGCGGGTGGTGTTGAGACGACGGTGGTGGTTGTCCCTATTTAAAACAAAAAAGTGTGAAATGAACGCCCTCTATGTAAAAATTAAACTATTTATTTATTTACTTACCATCATGTACATGGGCTGTGGCGTTTGTTGTTGTTGTTGTTGTTGTTGTTGTGGTGGCATGCCATACATTTCATAAGCACCTCCGTTCATCTGTTGTCCGTACCTCATTTGTTGTTGTTGTTGTGGATAATACATGACGCCTTGTTGTTGTTGCTGATGATGTTGTTGCTGTTGTTGTTGTGAAGAAGGCGGAGGAGGGGGAGGTATGTAAGACATGACGGGTGCTTTATGATTGACTTGAGTAGGTACAGTGACTGTAGGCATATTTTTCTTCATCATGAGCATGTGTTGTTCTATCTCTTCTTCTTCCTCCTCCTCTTCTTCCTTGACTGATTCATCACCATCAGCGGCGGCGTTACTATGACTGATGAACTACATAAAAAAAAAAAAAAAGGGAAATCGAATTTAATCACTGTATAAAAGAGTGAGATGTGTGCGTGTGGGGGGTTTTTTTGCTTACGTCCCCGTTGGACTTGCTCTCGTGAGGTTCGTTGTATTCGGTGTATTTCATCAAAATCTTATCAATATCTGTACTTGCGTATTGAACGAGTTTCCCGTTATTATTAAAGATAATCAAGGCGATTTCACAATCACATAACACGGATAATTCGTACGCCTTCTTCATTAATCCATGTTTTCTCTTTAAAAACGTAACCTATCTTACCCCCTTTTAGACTCTTTTTTTTCCTTGTTTTTTTTACTATTTTTTTATATACCTGTCGGTTGCGATCATCTTTAATGCCTTGAATCTTGATCTTTTTACGTCCCATGGTGGTTTCAACAACAACAAAAAAAAAACTACACTGTCTATGCTTTTTTTTTAAAGCTTTTTATTCAAATACGACTGTAACTTGGGTCTTTCTTTTTTTTTCAAAAAAACTGACCGAGAAAAAAAAAAGTGTAGAAATAAAAAAAGTAAAGAGAAAAAAGAGAGAGAGAGAGAGACAAATAAAAAGGAGGGGGGGGGGGGAGTTTGGGGGGTGTTCAAAAAAGAAAAGGGGGGCAACCACAAAAAAAAAAAAAAAAAAAGATGGGAAAAATAAAGCGGAGTTTGTATCTAAAAAAAGACACACCTTTCCCCCCCTCTTTTTAATATGAAAATATGGGGATTCTAACCCAGGGTGGAGCGTTTACCAACACCTTTTTCTCCTTCCCCTGATGGTAATTCACCCGTACGACCTGTGACAAATTCATTATAAATGAGACCTAAACGATGTGATTCTTCTGCTGTAATAGAAGGTCGTGTAGAACGTAATGATTTATCCAAAAAGGCTCGTGTAATTTCAGCTTCCTCTTGTTGTTGTTGGGGATGTTCATCCATCAAACTGGTTGTATTTTCATCTTTCTTTTGCCCCTTCTTTTTAATCATTGCCAACTACATCATTCCATGTGAGTCTTACTGTAAAATAACAAAAAAAAAAAATACACATTTACCCGCTGTGCGATCTGACTCTTTTCAGCCGATGTCAAGGGAACACCCGATGACACTTGGTTACTGACAAACGTGGACTGTTGGGTCTTACCATCTTGTTCTTTTTCTTTAAAACTCGACATATCAATCGTACCATGAATAGCACTCAGATGCGCATTATAAAGAAATCCTTGTAAATCGGCTCCCGAAAACCCTTCCGTCTTTTCGGCATAATCCTTTAAATCCACATTCGACGCCAATTTCATTTTTAACCCCAGTGCCTGCAAAATCTAATCTCTCATATACTTCATCAGTCCCCTCTCTCTGTTTCCTTTGTAGGATGCGTCATAAACCTTACCTCCAGACGCTCGTTTACATTGGGTAATCCACATAGTAACGCTTTATCAAGTCGACCAGGACGAAGTAAAGCAGGATCAATAAGATCAGGGCGACTGCAGAGCAAAAAAAAAAAAAAACTTAGTATTTTCCTCCCTTTCTCTCTCTCTCTCATTTTTTTTTACCTGGTGGCTGCAAGTACATAGACTCCATCTAACCCTTCCGCACCGTCCATTTGTGTCAACATTTGATTCACTACACGATCCGTGACACCCGTACTATCATGACCTCTATTTAAACAGTTCGACATTAAATTCCTTTTTTCCTCTTGTGTGTACAGTAAGAGCCTTTTTTTTCTTTTTACCTGCGTGGGGCAATAGAATCAAATTCATCAAAAAATAAAACACAGGGTTTAGCAGCTTGAGCACGTTCAAAGAGATCACGCACAGACTTTTCACTTGCTCCAATGTACTTGTTTAAAATCTCTGGACCCTTCACACTAATGAAATTCAATCCACATTCCTTGGCCACCGCTGAAGCTAATAAAGTTTTGCCACATCCTGGGTATCCATACAGCAGCAATCTACCATCCCATTTTATAAGTTCATCCTATTTCTCACTTTTTCATATACTCTTCCACAGCACTTACCCAGATCGCAGTCGTAAGGGACATTGTGCAAATACTGCAGCATATTTCGTAGGCCATTCCAAGGTTTCTAATAACGCTTTTCGTGTCTCATTCAAACCTATAAGACAAAAAAAAAAAAAAAAATTAAAAAAAAACCATCCCCCCGCATACAAAAAAAAATAGTTACCGCCAATGTCCGACCAATGCACACCCGAACTTTGTAACTTGATACCACGTAAAGAAGAAGGAACAAACCCTTGTCTAGCCATAGAAAAATCTTCTTGCTTCAATAGTAACTGACTCGTATTACATTTGATACTTCGTACCGCTCCTTCATGTACCGTACGTTCCAAAAACGCCTTGATATCCGCCGCCAAAAATCCTTCAGTTTCAGAAGCAACCGAGACAAGATCGATCAGGGGTAGACTCTTTTTTAACACATCTGGTCCACTACTCATCACAGCCTCCATGATCTACTTTATCCGTGCTTAGTTTTTTAGAAATATCATCTATAAATCTTTTTTTTTACCAGTTTGCGTTCGTCTCGATTAGGCGGTTGTAAATGATGCAAGTCACTAAACAAATGATGTGTGATCAAGGCAGGATGAATGGATTGTTGTTGTTGAGCTGTTGCCACCAAAAGAATGGCATGTCTTTGACAAGCCAAGGAAGCCATACGTACAAATAATTCAGCTACATGTCGGCTCTTACTTGAATCTGCATGTTCTACTTCTGCTGGCATCAAACGATCTAGGTCGTTAAAGAACACCACGGTGGGTCCATGCCAAGCCGCTTCGTCCAATTTTTGTGAAATCATCTCCTTTAACACAGGAACACGTTCATCCGCATATTCAGCACATTGAATCTCTATCGTGTAAATCGCATGTTTGTCCATCTCAGACAAGATGTTGTGAATAAGCGCTGTTTTACCAGCACCATGAGCACCGGTCAAAAGAATGCCACCAGACCGTGGGACGCAAAGTGTACCCTTGAGTTCACGTTGAGAGAGGTTAGCCAAGGTATACTGTTGGATTTTCTTCAACAAGGTATCCACCCCACCCATCGTGACGGGTTGGATACGTGGTGTAGGTGTAGGGAACGAACGCGTGGAGACCGGCTCACCGAATTCAATGGTGGGTTTCTCACCTCGTGTCAATACAGTCCATCCATCATTATTTGTTTCCGTCTTTATTGAACTACCACCTGAAAATAAACCCTTTTTCGCACCAAGCGATAATTGGAAATGCTCCTCCTTTTTTTCGCCTACCGTCAACGTTATTAATAATCCTTCACTCAATACCATGTCTTCCTTTCCATGTTGATCCAACCAGTCTATTTTATACATTTTAGTCCTATTTCTTCTTCCATTTCTCTTTCGAAAAAAAAAATCCCTCCCTTCCATTACCTCTCATAGCTGTAGTGCAATCTGCCTCAAATGTCAATTTCTGCTGACTTTTTTTTATATATATACGAGGGGTTAATTTCACATGTCAACCCTTCCCAGTAAACCTTTTTTTTTTTTTTTGTGGTTACCTTTCTAAACCTAATTTAATTGTCTGCGTTGAATTGATAAATCTCTTTAAAATAATAGATCCCACTGGACTTTTCTTGATGGCCGAAGTAGACAACCTAACATATAAAAACCATCAGTCATCACTTTTCCTCCATCTACCTTTTTTTCTCTCTCTCTCTTTACTTGACAATATCAAAATCCTTTAATCCCAGCGTCATTTTTAAAACAGCGCCCACCATGACATGACCCAAAGGCACAGACTCATGCACAACCAATGTAGCAAACACAGCACTTGTTTCCTCTTCCGTCTCATGTTCGGTATCGTTTCCTGTTGAAACCTTGGATCGACGTTGAAAAGCGGGTACCAGTTTCTTTAGACGTACATGGGACACACCTTTCAACGCACCCACTGATTCGGGATGCACCAAGACTTGTAAATCGTCCATGGTGTCACCCGGACTTGTTCTTAATGCCACTGCCTTTTGTACCTTGACTTCTTCCTTCACCACGGTCGCTTGTCTACGTACTTTAGGTGCCACCACCACTTGAGATAGGTTGGAGAGTTTAGCAAACGGTACGTTCGGATCCAACTCACCCGCTACCACAAGACGTACCAAGGTCTTTCCATGAATCCACACACAAATCACTTGCTCGGTATAGACCACGCGTAACTGGGACAAGAGGTTTTCCTCCACATGTTGCGCATGAAGTTCTAAAATCTCCCAATCGTCTTCTGTATAAGGCTCCACAGACACGGAGAGACAATCAGGTACACCTTTACAGAAATCCACAGAGACCTTTTGTCCGTCTTGTAAACCTATTGCAAGACCCACTTGGGGGTCCATTTCAAGCACATCGAGCTTATTATTTTGTGCTGTAAATACGGCATGGGGTGGTAACGCTTTGGAAGCTTCACCAGACCAACCAAAGTAATGTCGTTTCGTATTCGTTTGGATTTCTAAAATGACGTTTTGTGGTAACTAGCATAGGTTCGCGCGGGGTGAATAAAGAACTTCCCTCCCCACATACTTATTTTTCTTTTTCTTTTTTTTTACCTTGTTCTGGTCAAGAAGTGCGCTCACCCATTTAGAAGGTAAATTGACAAGACAAGACCGAATAGGTGTAAACTGAACAATAAGTGGTTTAGGCATAGTTTAAAGAAAAAAAAAAATCCGTGGAAGGAGGGGGGGGGAGGCGATTTAAGGGGTTAGCTTGTTCCATCTCCGCAAAGAGTTGCAATTTGTCATGCCAAATGATCCATTTTTTCACACGGGGAAAAAAAAAAGAAGTGGATGTTATTCGCTTTTCTCAGGGACAGCCAAAAGTGCACGTAGTCGCAACGTAAGATGTGTGATTTGGGATGTACGCAGAATTACAAAGTTTAAAGACCAAATGAGAAGCTGAAAGTAAGCTATAACACACACATGACTGGTTTACCATATGCTGGTTATAATAAATTCTATCTAGTTCAAGAAGATAGGTTAAATTGACCTCTAGGTGTCTATTAAAGTATCATCATCAATATTACGACTACGCGCACCATGGCTGTCCCGAAGAAAAGCAAAGATAATATGGCACGTCAAAACAAGCCGAGAAGATTGGGTGGGTCCCAATCTATTTTATTGGGCACAGGATTTTAAAGACTAAAAATCCACTTGCAGATGAGGGCTTTATAAGTTGAGGGAGACTCTGTAGATGTGGGCAAGCTGAAAATAAAAGTAACCTTTAAAAAAAAAAGATCACGTGATTTAAGAAAAGACAGTAGGGCCCTATGGCCATAGGTGTGGTTATTTGTCTCAAATCTGATTTAATTAATGGGATTTTTTGGGAGCGCCGTAGGCGCTTCCAAAAAAAAACTTATCCTGTATAATCTCATTTTTAACAGGACTACATTGAATATAAATAAAGGTTTAAAACTGATAGTTTATTACATTGTTTGAGAAGTACAAAAATTTCTATTCATCTTGCCCTTGCATGAAGAGCTGTTACACTTCTTACATGTCCTTGGTTTTCTTTCTTTCGGTGGAAGAATGTAAAAATTTCCGCGATTTGTAGTAGTAATAGCGGTAGTAGTTGCAGACGTAAAATTATTTTGCAATCGAGGAATTTGCATTCTAGGACTATTATGAGGCTGTTGGAATGCGAAAGAACTACTACTGTCGATTGGTGTCATAAGGGTTGGAGCAATGATTCTAGCTGGCCTGGTAATGTGGGGAGTTCGCAAAGAGCTGATAATAACAGGAACATTCAGATCATTACTGATAACGTTACTGCTAAATTCACTTGACCCCAAATGGGTGAAAGTATTGGGTCTTTGAGCATTTACCAAACGTGATTCATGTCGAATGTTGCTACGCATCATATCACACTGAGCCTGGTTAACCAAAATGGTATCTCTGTATTTACTGTCATCCTTTTTTTTGTTGTAATATAATATAAGGTGTTCAGGACACTTGTAAAATATAGAGACACCATCTACTCTTTCAGACCATGCTTTACATATTGCTACCCAGGTGAAATAATTGTTTAGATTTTGAGCCGAGAAATGATTATTGACAAGTTCATTGTACAATTTATACTCCTCATATGTGTGTACGGGAGTCAATGCAAATCTAATTCCTTGTCTACTAGCCAGATAATGATACTTATTGTACTTGGTTGATCTCAATGCATCTGAAAATACTTGCGGATTCGTGTTGTTATGTGGCATAAAATTCAACATCAGCATCTTTACGGTAGGCAGTTTTACTGCAACAAGCGAGCTCACTTCCAAAACATCTACAATATTGTTAGTTACCAGTAATCAACTTAAGAAAAAACTTAATTATAAAACTGCGACTAATTACCTTGGGTCAATACTTGTAAATTAAAATCTTTTCCGTCATTGATAAGTTTTCTTCCTTGTGACAATAATCCAGAATCTTGTCTCAAAGGTAAGAGGTAACTGAAAGTATCTATAACCTCCTGAGAAACAGGGCATATTCCAAATTGTTCGTTGGAATCAACAAGATGGTGAGAGTTACCGTAAGAGTCAGCATATGAAGGAATAAATTCTTGATCAACATCAGCACGTAACGTATTCAGAGCTTGAACAAGCCATGGGTTATAATGGCTTCGATGCTCGATATTGAATCTATTTCTGCTTCCAACCTAGTTATATACTTAATTAAGTACTCACTGAATCAAATTTTGTAGCTCTGGACTTACAGAAATGTTGTGGCGCAGACGATAGTCAGCGAGAGCACAATCAGCCAAAAATGGACCTGCATTGAAAGAACTAAACTTTCGAATAATATTTTGGTGGATACCACCTTCAACGGAGTTTGTGCCTCTCGTACAACGATACACAGGCAATCCGCGCGAATCTCTTTTGACCAAATAGTAGAATGAAATTCCAGGAGGATCGCTGGCATGGCCTTTTCTGATTGCCTCCAAAACGGCTTTGGCTTGCTTCCAGCCCTGTCTGTCAAAAAGCGGGAATCCTGTAACAGCGCACTTAATGTGGCCGTAAACATTGAAAAGATTATCGACCACTGGCAAAAGAACATCAGGACTTGGTACGTATCTACGTACTCGCTTGAGTACCCAGTCCGGCTTGATTAACATTGCCTTGTCCCAAGTAATGTCTACTGATTCAAGATATTCTTCTACGGCTCTCTTGTCCTCTTCATCGTAAAGGAATATTGCATCCCTTAGAACTCGAGCAAACTCCTTAGACAAACCATGTCTCTTTGATACTTTTATCATATCCATTAAATGGAATATGTCTTTTAAAACACGAGTCGGAAGAGTGTTCGACATATTGTCATCGTTGCTTTCTTCTTGATCGATATTGACATCCAAAAGTGTATCAACGTCAGTATTGTTATTTTGCTCTACAAAGTTGTAAATTTCTTCATCATCCCTATCATCCTTTCTTCATCCTCACTTTGATCATCAACTACCATATCCAAATCTGCTTAAAACAAATATTATGATGAATAAAAAAAATCTATATAAATAAATCTACCTACCAACTAAAATAGGAATATCATCACTAATAATTTGAGCCTGGTTGAAATTATTAATAGGCGTATCTTCAGAATTCTGTGAGGATGACAGCGGTACTTCAGTAGAAGGTGGTTTTGCTGACTTCAGCCTTAACTGCTTGATATCAATAACAATTTTAGTCGATGTTCCATTGTCAACACATTTTTTTCCAAAACTTCTAAACTACACTTTTCCGTTTCGAAACCATGAACCATAGAAAAAGGATTGACGATAGTAGCCGGTACCATTATATCCGTGATCTCGATAATAGCAATATTTCTTTTTCTGAACTTTCTTTGTCTTTCCTGAATAGTTGCAGAACCTATATAAGAACAGTTAATTATGATATAACAACTTTAGATGCGATTAATTAATACCTTCAATGTTGTTACTATTCCATTGGACCGTATCTTTGGAGCAAATGGATCCACGTGCCAAAATTGTTTTTGATGACCCAGCATGAACACTCACAAATGTCCCAACTTGTGGCTCACCTACAATTGCCAATCCAATTGTTGGTAAATGTTTTACCTTTTCATATATTTCCAACGAAACGTACGCATCAGCAGCAGCATACTTTATTTGATCCTCGCTGAGGCGCGCTTCCTCCCAATTTCCAGACCGGATACGATCATCCTTGTTCAATTGTCGACTGAGAACAGCCTTGCAAACGTCGGCTAGACTCAAATTAGCCCGGGCGAATAACATCCTTGTCCTTGCAAAGAGTGCTAATTTCCAAAGAGCCAAGACAAACAAAATCACCATGAAAATCTCGTTGGATCTTTTTAAAATCACCGCCGATTGACTTTCCAATTTTTGTTATGGACCTTGTCAACAGAAGAGTTTTCAAAGATGCAGGAAGAACTTTTAAACCAGAAGTGGGATCGACATCGAAATGTTTAGTCTGAATGATGAAAACCTTTTTCTGATAAGCAATTTGTATAATGGCAACTTTTCCTTGATAAGACGGTCTGATGGTATAATACCACTCGCAATCAAAACCAATATTTACTCTGGTTCTTCTATCATGAATATCATTTAAAATTGTTTGCATAAAAAAGTCAATGGAATCAATGCTACTTAAACATTCAACTGTAACATCCGAAGGGATTTCATACACGGGTAGTTCGTGTTCTTGATCAGCTACTTCGACCGTTACATCATCAACATGTTTCACATCAATTATCAAGGAAGGGAAAATGTCTTCAAAGAGCTTCTGATCGCCAACGACATTGTCTGTAAAAACTATTTTTGGCATGGTATGACCATATAGCTCGTACGACCTCTTGAGAGCGCACAACAATGGTTTGACATGTGCGTGACCTTTTGTCGGTACAAAAGCCATTGCACGTACTTCTTCATACTCGTTGCAAACGGTATACAATGCTTGGAATACAGGCTTACCACCAACTTTGGCTATCTTTTTGATAATTTTAAAAGAATGGTCTACCTTAAGAATTTCACCATCCTTTACCATGGTCTCACGTTCCATTTTTGAGCGCAGCAAAGTAATGAATGATGTGTACACATGGCTGATATACTTGGAGCTAGGACATACGCCACCATATCTCATTTTATCGCTGTATGCGGAAAACTTTTCGACTGTTGAGGAGCCAAAAAATCCGTGAATAGTGCTGTTATTAAAATATTTAACGGCGTCCAAGTACTGTAACTCCAAGGTGTCATGTTTAAGATGATGCAGCTCTTCTAAAATCTTACTCATACGATGAGGTCCAATTGAATTCTGAAAAAGTGCTCTCATAAAATTCATGAGCATCTTTGAAATGCCTGATTTATGGGTAATAAATGCGGGAAAATCAGCTTGGCATCTCAAAGGTAATTGCCTAACAATCGAGTCGTCGTAGCCGTTAAAAGTATGCTTTGGAGATCCAGGTGGTGCACTGCAGACATATCGTTTTGACATAAGATAATATGAACTAAAAATGAAATTCAATTAAAACATTTTCTCCTCATAATTACTACCAGATCACTTACTCTTCGAAATCAATTATTTTTCGGGCACGAGTCTTGGTGTTAAACCCATTCGATTTAATTTCACAATTGCATTTTTGGCATTTCAATTTTTCTTGGGCATTCATGAAATATTCAGGAAGCCATAAGAAAACCCGAGGGATGTACAAATTGTTGACATCCGAACTTTCTTTAAG